CAATGACTTCCTTAACCTCCGGTGCCGTATTTTTGTATATCCCCCAAAAATCGCTGTCGTATCTACGGCCCTTGAGGCGGAATGTTTTAATGTCCGGTATCTTGTTCTCATAGACAGCTTGGGACCTACGCTTTGTTTGACGATATAGCATTTTATCTTGTATCGGTCCCGGGTGAAGATGTTTAGGTTGATATTCATATTGCGAGCCCGATGCTTCCTCCGCCATTTCAATCCTACACACGGCAACCAATACAAACATCAATCCAAATATGCAAAAAAAATGATGCACTAACCACAAAAAAAAACTAATACTACATTCGGATTTCCCAAGTACATATTGCACAACTACATATTGCACCACATATATACTCAATTCAACCAAAAAAACTACAGTACAATTCACAATTCACAATTCACAATTCCAAATAGCTACACTAATCAAATCCAACACAAACCAATGTCCGGTATAGCTACACTAGTTATGTATATACATTAATCAACTAACAACAAACTAACACACAGTATACAATATCAAACCAATTGAGAACACACATCAACTATAACCGACTATATTATTAACTACATCAAAAATTCAAAATTTGGCCACCTAAATTCAAACGATTCTCGAATTGGCAATTCAAAATCACGAAACTAACACCAAACTAACTCATTGTTTTTCAATTTCACCACATTCGGATTTCTGAAAAAAAAAATTGAAAAACAAAAAACTAACGAGAAAAAAACTTATCGGGAGTTTCACAGAGTCGCCGGGACAGGAGGGAGTCATCGGGAGGAGTGGAGGGTCACTGGGAAACACATGCAGAGAGTCGCCGGGAGGAGTGGAGGATCGCCGGGAAAAGTAGAGGGAGTCGCCAGATTTCTGTGGAGGGTCGCCGGGAGAAGTGGAGGGAGTCGCCGGGAAGAGTGGAGGAAGTCGCCGGATTTCTGGAATCGGAAATCCGAGTTTTAGGGTTTTTTAAAACCGGGATTTGGGGGAAAACTGGGAGGGGGAAGAGTTGACCGGCTATATATAGTCCCGTCACACTCGGATTTTTGAAATCCAAACCTATAATATTCGTATTTCTGAAATCCGAATTTTCCCTGTTTGTCCTCAAATTGCACACTCTCGGATTCTTTCCTCAATTCGGATTTTCAAAATCCGAATCCTTTGCTGCAGGAAATCGGTCTTGTTTTGGATTTCTGAAATCCGAATCTCCCCTATTTGTCCTCAAATTGCACATTCTCGGATGCTTTCCTCAATTCGGATTTCCGAACGTAGTACAAATTGCATAAACAGGGATTTTGGAAATCCGAATGCTTTGCTGCAGGAAATCGATCCGGTTCCAGATTTCTGAAATCCGGAGGTAAATCAAAACGCGTACTTTCGGATTTCGGCAATCCGAATCCTTTGCACAACCTTACAATGAGTTTTTGCACAATCCCAAAACCTGTTATGAACAACTAGTATATATTTCATCATAATCACAGCACCAGCACCAATAATTTAATGTTAACATTACAATCCGAACAATTCAATAAACTCATTACAATCCGAATTTTTCAAAACATAAATTTGTCCACGTCTATTTAAATAGTTGTCATTCCAAATAACTTGAAAGAACACTAAATGACTCAATTCCAGCTGTCATTCACAGGTTCTCTATCTATTCCTGAGTGCGAGTTAGGACAAGGATTGCCATCATGACCTTGTTGTCCACATCTCCAACATTCTCCCCGGCTCCGACGTCCCCTATAATCTATTTGTATTCTATGTCTCCTTTTTTGTCTTCGTCCCGGTCCCGCATGCAACACAAGACGCTCATAATTTGGAATAATGTTCCAATTGACCGTCGGCCATTGTTCCTCATCGGGAACCGGAACAAAGCCCGTGTAATCAAATTATCTGCGCCACGTTGGAAGGCGCCACACACTATGGTATAAATCAATAGGCCTATCCCCTTTTCTCTGAAAAACTTGGAGTGCGTGTGTACAAAGCATCCGGTACTCTTGCCACTTCCTGCACGAACACCTATGTTCATCGTAGTTCACCGTATGCAACTCTCTACTGTCTCCTCATCCACAATCGCAAATGCAACCGGTAAAATGTGCTTGTTTGCGGTATAGACCACCGCAACAAGCAATTTACCCTTGTATCCACCACGCAAGAAGGTTCCATCGATACAAATGACCAGTGGACATTAACAAAACGTTGCAGCCACTGGTGCAAATGACCAGAAGACGTATTTAAATGTTCTATTTTTCCTGTTCCAACCTTCTTGTCCCTCCTTCCATTCCCACTCTACTACAGTCTCAGGATTAGTAAAGTTAAGCGCAGCGATATACCTATACAACAAACAAGTCACAGTTAAAATATTTCAATACATGTAAAAAAAAAACACTAAAAATATTTCAATACACGAATAAACCTTGATATTTACCGTGGAAGTTCTTCGAAATTCGAGGTCCAATCACCATAGACCGCTTCTATGGTTTTCCTCCTCCCGTACCACGCCCTTTTGTATGGCACATCTACTTTCAGTAAGGTCTTCACGTTTTTCTGTGCCGAGGCTACCATATAATCTACATTGTCCTCAACCTTTGTCCTGATGAGCCTAGCAATCAAAGACGCGTCCACACACCGATTGTCATTATCATTCACGGGAGTCATGCAATTATGTGTATCATGCCATCTTACAATTTCATGAAGGCCGTGAGCTTTCAAAGAACACGCATCTTACACTCACATGGTGGTTCACCATCCTCACTTTCCACATTTAATGTTCTGCACCGCACAACCCACGTCGTTGGACTACTCGCGGCGACCGTATATTCCCTTTTATGTGTGATGTTCCATAATTTCACAGCATGCTCTGCTTCTGATTGAGATTTGAAACAAACACCAATGTCCATTCCTTCGGGCGTCTCATCCTACATCTTAAGAGCAAACTCATCCTTGTCCACACATGAGGCATTCCATTTCCCCATCTTACTATATACATGGCGTTGGGGCAATGGATTACAATCCCTTTCCTCATTTTCCAACCTTTCATCATCGTTTTCTTCAAAATCACTCTCTCCGGAGACATCACAGTCTTTTTCGCTTTCACTTGGAGCTATGTAGTCGGAATCCGACTCTTCCCGGTAGTCATCTTGTGCAAATAAATGTGTCTCCTTTTCATCACGGTTTCGAGAAGTACTAGCACATTCCTCCCTTGGAAAACCATCAAATGACACGTTTTCCAAACTCGCTTCTCTTTCCCAAACTCGCTTCTCTTTCTTCTTGAGTGATATCTTCCAAATTTGTGTATAAATCCAAACATAACATTGGATCTACACGGTTCATGAACTCTACATGCGAATCATTCTTGATCTTCACTACACGTCTACTGCCGGGACTATCGAAAATCAAAGAAAGGTGGAGTTTCACGTGTGCTGGATCCCAACCAAGTGTCATACAAATCTTACTAATCAATCCCTCATATGACAACCTTTCCTCAATAAACAAACCATCATCCGGCATATTCGAAAAAGTGTTGACGCTACCATTCTCTATCACATACTTGCTTGTATGATACAAATTAAGCATGTATGATACATTACGTGCCATTGATAACTGTTAAAAAAAAACATCAATAACTAATCATTTCTTAATAACAAAATCAACAAATACACCATACATACTCCATTCATAATTCAAAAAACCTATAAAATACTAAAATACTTATAAATCAACTTCCATATCTCATGAATAACTATGATTTCTCATCTCTAACCTCAAAATCAACACCTAAAACATCCAAACAACCAACCAACATAAACCCTAATCTATCATACATCATTCTAACAATCAAAATAACACAAAACTAAACTAAATAACATGGTTTTGCAATCTAACCTCTTTCAAATAACGATTCCCACGTATCTAGAGGCAAGAATGCATCAAAAGCTCCAATTCGCCCTTGTTTGAGCTGCAAAAATAGAAAATCTAACTCAGTTCTCGAATGAGAACTGTCTGATTTTTTTTTCTTTTATAGCACGTTAAACTCGAATTTACGAAATTCGAGTCCGTAAGTAACTCGGATTTTAGAAATCCGAATTACCGTGACCTCGGATTTCTTGAATCCGAGTTTGGTCAATTCTGAATTTTTTAATTCATTTTTTGGTCCTCCAATTTATGGCACATGCCTATTTCCACCAACCAAAATTAAAGGCAGTCGGATTTCCAAAATCCGAATACAGAAAACCGGATTACGGACTTCCGATTTTTGGATTAAAAAATTTTACGCCTCGATTTTCTTTTTTTCTTTTTTCTTTTTGTACACTCGGATTTTGTAAATCTGAGGACTACTGTTTATTTAAGGACTCCAGGTCCTGTACTCCTTATTTGAGTTCAAATATTTCGTGCCTTAATTTATTATTTTTTAATTAAATTCGGATTCCAAAAATCGAATGACACTGTTCATTGTAGAATTTTTAAAAACTATTATTCAACAAAATTTATTTAATTATTATTTTATTATTAAATATTGGCTCGGATTTACGAAATCTGAATCTTTAATTTTAATTAGAACTCGGATTTCAGAAATCTGAGGGATATATTTCTGTCCACTAATGTTCTGAAAAATTCAAATTTGTCCACATTTATATTAATTAATTCTTTTGGGAAAAAACCCACTGAAAGTGGGGTGGAAAACTGCTAAAAGTTATAATTTATCGCTATAAATATAGTTCCTTAGAAGGACAGGGGTATTTTACTAAAAACTAGGAAGTACAGGGGTCGTAAGAGAAAAGAACGTCTGCTCAGCCCAAGCTGCCCAACTGAGACTTTTCTCATCGCCTTCCTCAATTCTGTCTTTTAGCTCTTGTTTCCTTTGCCCTTTCCACTTCATTTTCCACCTTTACTTGAACAAATCTGACTCTAATCAGTCATTTCTAAATCTTCTTCTTCTTCTTCTTCTTCTTCTGGAGTTTCAATCTTCCAAACCTCTTCTGAGTCGATCATGGCTTCACCAGCTGATGAAGGTACTTCTTCTTTTATAGATTCTGCATAAGTAAATGATTTTTTTTTTTTTTTTTCTTTTTGGTTCTCACTATATTGAGTCGATAGATAATTTTGGCCTAAATTGACCTTTCTCTAATTAAATATCTCCAATATTACTGATGATTCTGCTAATTTTTATATCATCTCCAAGTGATCAAAAGAATTTCTGATTGACGGAAAAAATTGTGCCTTTTAGGAAGGAAAAAAGGGAACCCAGAAAAAAGTAAAAAATAAATATAAAAATCAAAACTTGATTTAATGTTCTAGAAATGTTCCGCAACAACTTTTGATTCATATGTTTCATTTGGAGTATTGATTGTTTGTCAAATTATGTAGTAGGTGAAAGGGACTTAGAGAAAGGGTCGGTTACCCCAGTCATTTACCATAACCCTCTAGCTGAGATGTCGCAATCGCCTTCCCCATCACCTTCTCCATCTTCGGCAACAGCTCCGGCTCTAGTTCTATCTAATTCTGGCAAGAGAATAGACCAAGCTGGGAAGAAGAAGTATGTAAAGCAGGTGACTGGACGACACAATGACACTGAGCTGCATTTAGCTGCTCAAAGAGGCGATCTTGCGGCGGTGAAGCAGATTCTGGATGATATCGACACTCAAATGGTGGGAACTTTGAGTGGAGCCGACTTCGATCAGGAGGTAGCAGAGATCCGGGCATCAGTAGTGAATGACGTGAATGAGTTAGGGGAGACTGCATTGTTCACTGCTGCTGACAGAGGGCATCTTGATGTGGTGAAAGAATTGTTGAAGTACTCTAATAAGGAAACGCTCACGAGGAAGAATCGGTCGGGCTTTGATCCTCTACATATTGCTGCTAGTCAAGGACATCATGGTAAGAAGTTAATTCTTTGATATTTGTCGGTCTTGTTCAAGAGATTGTTGCTTTTATCAGTCTTAAGGGATTATTATTTCTATGAATGCAGCTATTGTCCAAGTACTGCTAGACCATGACCCTACACTTAGCAAAACTGTTGGGCAGTCGAATGCCACCCCTCTTATAACAGCAGCTACCCGAGGACATATAGATGTTGTTAATGAGCTTTTATTGAAGGATTGTAGCTTGCTGGAAATTTCAAAATCCAATGGTAAAAACGCGTTGCATCTTGCTGCCAGACAAGGGCATGTTGAGATTGTGAAAGCATTGCTTGACAAAGATCCTCAACTGGCAAGGAGGACTGACAAGAAAGGGCAGACTGCACTGCATATGGCTGTGAAAGGAGTAAACTGTGAAGTTGTCAGATTGTTGCTTGAGGCTGATGCTGCAATTGTCATGCTTCCTGACAAGTTTGGTAACACAGCATTACATGTGGCTACAAGGAAAAAACGAGCCGAGGTATGTGTTGATGCATGGAATTGGATAATATTAGGTGTCTATTTGTTTCCTAATACTTTTTGGGAATGCTATTCTATGTGATCGTCATGGCACAAAGTCATATGCACTAAGCATCTTGTGGTCTAGTATCTTTTTTATTTTGGTAAATTTTCATTCTACTTTGTGGAGAATCTCTGGATTATAAGTTCTATGTAAGGAAGGCAGAAGGAAAGTATCTGGATTGGTTACATTCATTTCTTTCATAATCCCACCCTTAAGCTAATGAGGAATTAAGACTCATGCCTCATGAGTAGTGAAGTAAAGCGAATGATTTATGCGTATGATGTTGCCTACATCGGCAAGCTTATCAAATATATGTTAGCTAAGTTTGATGCAATTCTTTGCGTTGCAGATAGTGAATGAGTTGATTACGCTGCCTGATACCAATGTTAATGCCCTTACCAGAGACCACAAGACAGCTCTAGATATAGCAGAAGATCTTCAGCTCTCCGAAGAATCTGCTTTGATTAAAGAGTGCCTTTATCGTGCTGGGGCAGTTAGAGCGAATGAACTGAACCAACCAAGAGATGAATTGAGGAAAACTGTGACACAAATCAAGAAAGATGTTCACACCCAACTAGAACAGACTAAGAGGACAAATAAAAATGTCCATGGGATTGCAAAAGAGCTTAGGAAACTACATCGAGAAGGGATAAATAATGCTACTAACTCAGTTACTGTGGTGGCTGTGCTCTTTGCAACAGTTGCTTTCGCAGCAATTTTTACTGTGCCCGGTGGGGATGATGACAATGGGGTGGCTGTGGTTGTCAGCCGAGCTTCCTTCAAAATCTTCTTCATCTTTAATGCCATTGCTCTATTTACCTCTCTTGCTGTTGTTGTGGTTCAAATTACGCTGGTCAGGGGTGAGACAAAAGCAGAAAGAAGGGTGGTGGAGGTGATAAACAAGTTGATGTGGTTGGCTTCAGTTTGTACATCAGTGGCTTTCATAGCGTCCTCCTACATAGTTGTCGGCCGTAAGTACGAATGGGCCGCGATCCTGGTTACAGTAGTTGGAGGTGTAATAATGGGTGGAGTTCTTGGGACCATGACATATTATGTGGTGAGGTCAAAGCGAAATCGATCAATGAGGAAACGAGAGAAGAGTGCGAGGAGCGGCTCCAACTCTTGGTACCACTCGGAGTTTTCCAACTCGGATATTGACAAGATCTATGCCATCTAGTAAGAGACGTAGTAATTTTGGCATCTGGGGAACATAATGACAGGTTAAATGTGAAATTTGTGGAAACCAGGCGAGGAAGGAAGGCGGAAGAGAGACTCTTCTTCGGCATTCCTGAACCTGGGAAGAGTATTGAAGAGGAGGAGGATGTAAAGATTTCTCTTTACAAGCAACAGTGAGGGGAGGTTGTCTAGATGTCCCTCCCTCTAATGATATAAGCTCATCACTAATTCCTGAGATTTGGGAAAATGGTGCCAAATGCCACCACGTAGGATTTGCTGTAACCAGGATACTGTCTGAATTTATGTGGTGTAGAATTTCAAAAATTTGTAAGTGCCAAAAATCGCAGACACCAAGAGTATGTGTGTGTGTGTATTGATGAAAAACATTAGCAATGACATGAATATATATATGAGCGTTGGTGGATTTTGCCTTTCATGTTGTAAGGTAAAAAGTTTTACGTCCCATTTTTTTTAGTTTAAGTCAAGAAAATGAACCAATAAAAGGAGAGGGAATATGTTATAAAGCATTATTGGATTTGGTCACAACTGTATTACTCTTATGAATCATTCACGCATACACTTCCCCAAGTAATAATGGAAATCACTAGAAGCCTGCCCGGTGTCGTTTTAGAGCTTTAGAAACTTTTTTTTCCCGGAGACGTTCGACCTAAAGTCAGACAGTTCCGGTGACATGGTGCGCATTCAGGTGAAGCATGCCTGCCGGAGCCGGAGCCGGAGCCAGCATAAGAACGACGGCAAGAATTGTGAACTTGAGTTCCTATACGACTGCGAATCATGTGGTACTAGTATCGAAGATATGACGGAGGAGATCACGGAGATTGCCAACCTTCAATTCCAAATTCACCACCTCACCACTCAATTCCTTCCTCGTCTCTCCCTTCTCCTCCACACCAACCCACAAGGTCCAAAATCTTGTTGATTTTTTTATTTTTATTTTTTTTATTTAAATCTTTTCTTCAATGAAGAACAACAAATTCGGGTTGATCATGTTGGTAACTTTTGATTAGAAATACAGCTATATATTGATTGTCTGGAAGATTGACATATTAAAGTTATATATGAATGCAGTGATATCCCTCCACAGAGCTCTCTCCGAAGCTACTTCCTACGCCTCCAAGGTGCTTCTGTTGTTATTTTTATTTTTTATTTTTGTTAATTTTTTGCCAATCAAATGGAACCATATAGATATGAAATTGAGCAGGATTAATGAGGGGTGGGGAAAAGAAAATTCATATTTTGATTATGGCCCCCGGCAGCAGATTAAGAATGCAGCATTTATGTTAATCATGGGTTTTGATCATGTCTCTTTGAGGACAGGACCAAGTTATGCATGGCAAGCCATTGTTGAGTGTTGCATTAAGGCAACACATGAGAAGCATCGAATCCGAGTTTGCAGTCAATTATCAGCTATTGGATTTTCCAGATGCCAAGCTTGAAAGGGCGCTTCTAGGTAACACAATCTCCCTTTCTGTTTAGTCTCTGGCATTTAATTTTATCTCAATGTTGTTGCGTATTGAAATAATAAATCTACTAGCTTATAATCTGAGCTGGGTTTTTGGTTTCTTGTTTGGTCACTTCATTTTAATGTGCTGATACGTGTTGGACCCTATTGCTGTGCTAGTTGAAATATACTGAAATTCGTAATATTCAGATGTGGAACTCCTTCAAGAAGACAGCGTTCAGCTTTTGTGGGCGGGGAAGGAGTTGATGAAGGGGAAAACATTAGCTGACTATATTGGAAAAAATGAGAAGACAAAGGTGCACACGTGATCCTCTATGACTCTTCCTCATATATTGATTGTTTGTAGAACAATTCATCAAGAATAAACTTTGATTGATGGCAGATCATACTGAGGTTGTTGTCGCGTGACTCACATTCTACCTGTAAGCCCATTATCACATCTTTAACTGCTCGTGTCCCTAAGTTTGATGGCTTTCTACAGTTCTAAGACCCCTTCCTAATGGCGTAAATTTTCTCAGCGGCTTGTCTTTTTATTTTTGATAGAGCTAGAGATGTATCCTCGGAGTGAAATGTGCCTCATCAAGGAGCCTCTCAGTCTATTGGGTTCAAGGCTACATACATGATATTCTGGGACACATGCAAGCATGTGGCATTTCCTTCTGCAAAGGTTAAGAGTTTTTGGAAAGGTTGATTGCTGTATGTAGTTTCAAGTTGTGATGTATTTTCGCTGAAGCCAAATAGAATAGGGCAGAAGTTTGCCAACTCGTGTTTTTTATAAGAGTTTCTAAACTTGCAACCGTTTCTGGAAAACTCAAAATGTATCTGTTAAAGAGAGTACAATATATTCCATCCTGTATACACATTGCTTCACTTTCTCGTCAGTTAGACTTATTCCTAAACGGTGCTCTGTTAATTCATTGGTTTCCAAGCTTTTGAAATTTTAGTTCCAGTAATTCGACGTCGTCTTTAAACCATCTGGAGTGAATTTCCATCAGGAATCCAAGAATCTTTGGAGTGAATTTCCATAAGGAAACCAAGAATATTTGTGCAACACTGTACCTTGTATTATCACTGTCAGTTTACAAGATGATACCATCTGAAGTTGTCTTATAGGGGGTGCCCCTATGATAACTGATAAGTTAAGTTGCTGAAATTTTACTGATTAGTGAAGCCAAGCACATGGCCTGTTTAAGGCAGAATTGGACTCAATTCATTAGTTCTTTCTCAATATGCCTGTGAAACAATCTTATCTTTTTAATTCGTAGAAGTTAACGTCACAACAGTTTGAAAATCTTTAGTTGACATGAAACATTTGCCAATTTCATTTTCCATTCTTTGAAGGCAGGTGGGGAGAAAAACTTCTTGTAATGTTGGTATCAGTACATCTTAGTGCAGCTCAGCAGCTTGACTTATTGAGTTGATAATCTTAATTTGCCATAAATTCGGGGCTGACATGTTTTCCTAGATTAAGGTTTGCTGCACCCACATGATGATGAGAAAGTAGGTGTAATAGAACCACCTGAATCCTGAAAGGCTGTTTGTTTGTCTCCATGTTCACTATATAAAAATCTTGTTTAAGTTATCTGTTTGTTTTGAAATCATTTGCTCTCATTTAAGTTATATACTATATTTCAAATGTTCTAATCCAATGAATGTTGCGTACTCCCTCCGTCCCATAATTATTGTCCAGTTTGCGTTTTCATTTTTAGTTCAAATTGTACTAAAAGTGAAATCTCAAACTGGACAATAATTTTGGGATAGAGGGAGTATTAACTTGAGAGACAGACAAGAGTAGTTGCTAATCATAATCATGGTTATCCTTTGTTCTCTTTTATTAGAAGTAAAGTATGGTATTTTCTTGTGTTCAAACATCCTACATAAATTCAGAGGACAACTTGTAGATTTAAATATTGTCTGAGTATTAGATTACTAATTAAAAGAGCACAGCAACTATGGAGGAATAAGGTTTCTGAATTTTGATGATGTTGAAATCATCCCTTCATTTCTTGACCCTAAGTCCAAGGCACATGAACATGTTCTCTACATTAATTGAGTAATAAATCTATAAGAAATGTGATTCTTTGATTGAAAGGAAAGGCTAAAGTGAAGGTTTTCCAACTCCTTTTTTGCCTATGTAATAAGAAAGCAATTGTTGGTTCTCCTTATACCCGTCTGGATTCCTGTAATTTGGCATCTGAAAAAGACACCATTTTCTCCGAATGTGCTTTAAGACTAAAAGCAGTTGCCTTGATTAAGCTTTGATTAATTATAATTTATACGAACTTGGATACTTGAAATGGAAGTTCAGTGTGGTAGTCAAAAACTTTTCTCTCAAAAGAGATGCTTTTTTTTTTTTTTTTTTTTTGCTGCTAAGTACAGCAAAAACTAAAAAAGTTAGCCCTTTCGCCATTTGGAAGGGTTAAAATCCCAAAACATTGCATCAGTAAAGAATCCATGGGTGCTTACCTCACCTCACATGCATCCACAACGTAAGGCCTTCAACAATAGATTCCTAGTTTTCACAGAAATATCATTTTGGGACAGAGGAATGCTTCAAGTTTCTAATCTAATAAATGAGCCGAGGAAGAAAACTTGAAAACAGCATTGTTTACATACATTTTAGTTCTGCAACAATGGACTTTGATCATTATCACGATCATTATTACATTAAATGATCTAATTATGACAAAAAAAAAAAAAAAAACAGAAGAAGAAAGTAACCTATCAAAATTTGTACTCCCCCTTACTACACGATCTCCTCTACTAATGATTCATAAATCTTCAACCCCTGCAAAGCCCTGGTCTTTGATCTTCATAAATGACTCTGGAAGAGTTCAATGAGCAGAAACCAAGATCACTTACAGTCTTTCTTGAACTGAAAAGCTGCTGAGACCTCTTACAATGTGCAATTGCTGCCTGTATAGGATTCTCAGCATCAGAATTAACACTGTTACTTCTCTTGAAGAATGGCATTTCTCTGAACCCACTTGAGTTGTTTGAACTTGAAGCTGAAGAAGATCCAGATGAAGACAATGAAGACGAAGCTCGAGCCGTGGACATCCTAATTTTGAATGCTCCTGAGAATGACCTCCTATGTCTACCTCTGCCATTAGTCTCATGATCAAAGCTCTCTGTTTTATCAAATCCCCTGTTCCTGGAATTTGAAGTAATTTCTTGCTGATGTCTGTTAGATTTCTGATCAATTTGGCCAAATGGGATTTTTCTTGGTACTTTAACATACTTGTTTCCGCAATCTTTAGACTTCAAAAGAGACCCTTGATCATGTTCATCAAGAGCATTAACTTTGGAAGCTGCAGCTGCACATGATTCATTAGAACAAGCTGTTTTATTGAAAAAAGACTTTAGATAGCTTTTGGAAGCCTTGAGCTTTGAACCAAGTGAAGATGACTGCTTGATCAACTTAAGCTTCTTAGTCCAAGCAGATTTCTTATTGTTTTCATCAACAAAACAACTACTTGATGATGATGATGATGATGGTTCTGTTGAATACTCAAAAGAGTATTCCTCTGGATTTAGCTCCCTGCTAACTTGGCAAGACTCCAATGGGGAAGCGTTGCAGGATTCAAATGGAGTATTGTTTGCATTTGGAGTGTTATTATTGGTGGTGAATAAAGGGGTGCTGAAAGATTCTTCGAAAAAGGTACTACTGCCTTCTTCTTCTTCCTTCATCATGTTGTGATGATGATGATAATGATGGTCAAAAACGCTGGGGTTTTGGAGGAGTTTTTCGACCATCTGCAAACGTGGTGGGAGGTGAAGAGGGAGGAGTTTTCCTTTGTAGAAGAGCTCGTCGGCCGGCGAAGGGGCGGCGTCTTTCTCCGATGAGCTTGACATTTGGAATTCGAATTCTCTGGTGGTGTAATGGTGGTGGTGGCTGAAGATGGGAAAATGTGAATCTACTTCCATGTAAATGTAGTCTTCTTCTGCATGGTCACATGAATGGCGGTTTGCTTCCATATTGTTTTTCTTTGGTTTCTTCAAATTTGGAGTTGAGTTTTTGGGAAAGAAATGAAGTGCAAATGAGCCCTTTTTAAAGGCAGATCTTCTGTGAATTCTTTTTTTAAAATAATCAGTAATGCATGATGGGGTAGTTTGGTTTCTCCTGCCACTGATAATTTGTTTAGTACTCCCTCCTCCGTCCCATAGCTATTCTCTAGTTTGAATTTTCATTTCTAATTCAAATTATACTAAAAGTGAAATATCAAACTGGACAATAATTATGGGACAGAGGAAGTATCTTTTTATTGTTACTGTTTCTTGTTTAATAATGAAAACATTTTTCTAGGTCATTTTCCACTCATCTCCTTGTTTTAATATGGCCTTGTCGGATTATTAATTTAATTATTAGTTAAAAGTTAGAAATAAAAGTCTTCTCATCTTGCTGCTACTTCTTTTCCTTTTTTTACCAAAAGCAACAACGATGGAGAGATACAAAGTGGAATGGTTGATGACTTAACGGCTTTTTAGTTTTTACCAAAAGGATTTCATTTGAGCCCTCATAATTACCTTTGTTTCCAATGAAGAAAGTTAAAGCATAAATTAAACTAATCACACTAACAATAAAAACAGTGATAAAATCACACTTAATCTACTTAATAATTGATTCATCAATACATTATCATATTGATCACCAATGACATCAAGTTAGTAATTAGTGGTTTTTTTATTAATCTCGAGACCGTCAACTTAACAGAATGATTAAACTTCAAGCTCATAAAGGATCACTTTTTGGCTTCTTTTTTTTTTCCTTTGGTAAAACATGGAATAGAGAAAGCAAAAGCGGCAGTGGGATTAGAGTAAGAAAGTTTTTTATTTAAAAAAAATTGTGAAAGGACATTTTCCTAAAACTAGGCTTTGCAAACAGAGTCTTTGATTTAACAAAATAAATTAATTATATGACGACGTTTCAAGAGGGGAAAAAAAAAAAAAGAAGAAAAAGTTAGTGTGCGATTTTGAGCTCGTGCGGCATGGCAAAAGGACAAAAGTAAACTAAGATAGTTTAATGGGTTTGAAAAACAAAATCATCACTTATGATTAACAATCACTTTTCTTCGGTTTGCTTAGTTGAGTTTCGTTCCTTCCAGTACTTTTTAATTTACGGGATTCCTGGGTTTTTTTTTTTTTGTCTTTTTATTTTTCTTCCAATTGAGCCACTACGTTTGGTTTAAATTCATTGGTTCTTCTTTTTTCTTTTTTTTTTCTTTCTTTTTTAATGGTGAATTATGTTGGAGCAAAGACACAAACACACGGCAAAAAGACAGAGAAGTTTGTTGACCTTTTTAATCATATATAAGTACAGTAAATTAGGAGTAATAGAGAATTAGGTTATTAGGGGATTGAAGAAATTAAAGAAAGCTCATGATCCCAGTCCGACACTTAATGGTGGAGAGATGGCCTGCAAAGCTCGAGAGACCTAAAAACGACTTTTGTTTGATGACATTTTTTTTTTTTTTTTTGAGGAATCGGAGATCATTTACAACAAACTAGCTAGGACTGACAAACACATAGTTACAACAACGTTAGATATTAAAAGAAAGAATTAATCATGCTTAAAACTCATGATATAATATCGGATTATCGATATCACTCTATCCACTGATATTATATCTCCTGGTTTAGCAAACTCAGCTTCACATACACCAGTCCATCAAACCCTAATTTTGGTGTCGGTTCATTTTGACAGTTCTGTTTTCAAGGGTTCAATTTACTAGTAATATGTATTCTTTCTATCACGAAATATTTTCCGGTTAAAATTTTTATTCTTTGTTCAAATTAATTAAAATTAAAAATTCAAATAAGACTTATATTTTGTAATTAAGAGAATATATAATAGAACTGCGAGATTATACTTGAAACTTTATATATATATATATATATATATATATATATAAATGCTAGAAGTCCAAACCCAAAAATTGATTGATTATGTCTTTGAATGGATGTTGGGGTACAATATTAAGGGAGAAAAGAAAACGTAAAGCACTCAACTCATCACCAACAAATATTTTTCCCGACTTAATTATTTTGCCGTATAAATGACGCTGATGGATATACGTTCCTTTATTATTCATTTCAGGGAGAATAAATGGCATGTGAACTTTTTCCACAATGAAGTAAATTATATTTCGCACTTAGCTTTAGAATCTAACATGTTTAATAATTCAATTTTAAGTTGTGCACATGTCTATTAGTTGATTTGCTTGTCTCAAAATAATTATGTTCTTATTTTATTGCAACAAATATTCTGAAACGGAAAAATACTTTTTTTTTACTTCTAAAATTTAACAAGAACTTGGGTATGCCCCGGTAAAACTACTGAAGAAAACCTTCCAAATACTAGACTATAAACATCATTTTAATGATCTAACATCGTGATAGCTATTAGTACGCTTTCATATCCGTTTATCGAAGTAATAATGCTAGCGTTAGTAAAGATTCTTGGGGTACTTTTCCCCAGTTCGGATCATTCTTTTGTCTAACATGATGCACTTTATGACAATTATAATTTCAGCTAATCTTCCAAAGTAGAATCATACGATATCGATCTTAGAATCATGTGCACACAAGCTGATACTCCTTCCGTCTCGAAATAATTATCCAGTTTGGATTTTTATTTTTATTATGAATTGTATTAAAAATAAAAATGTACAATAAACAGTCATTTTAAAATAAAAACAAATATATCATTTGTATTTTATTATATACACTTTTCTCGGGGTTCTAAAATGTAGTTTTATCTTAAAAAGATTGTACCATAAAAACAAGACAATCTTTTTAAGACTAAAGGAATTCGATTTAACTTAAGTTACTTGAACTATTGAATAAAAAAGAATTGGAAATTTTTTCAAACTACTAGGGAGGAGAGGATCCTTCCTAATCTTTTCAATAAGCTTATAGTAGTTCACACTTTGAAAGTCCATGTTAGCCAAAACACTAATTCCTTCGCGCGAATAGAGAATAAGAATTTCATGGCCACACCGAGATAGGCTTTGTTTAATCCAAATAAACATCCATAAATGGTAGTGATTTAGCTTTTGCTTATAAGTGTTAAAATGGATTAACAATGTGCATAATATCAATAAACATTTTCACTCTCAAAAAAAAAAAGAGAGATGGAAGTGACAATGGCCGGAACATAAGGCGTCCCACCACAAACCAGAAAATCTGGACGACATTTCCCGTTGGTACGAATGGCACAATCAGCATTCAGCAGCCAGTAACTTCGTCTAAAGGGGTGGAGGAGGGCCTCCGCTGCCGGGAATCCCACCGGCAACAGTGGCAGCAGATGGAATTTCAGTTTCAAACAAATTGCTTCTTCAAAAAGATTTGTCCCTTTTGCAAAGCTACTTTCCCCTCTCTATTGGCTTTTCTATTTCAAAACCACCACCATTTTCCCTTCATCATGTTGCCTAACAAAAAATGAGACAGAAAACCTCTACTTCTATTTTCAGGAACCTTGTTCAGCTGTTGTCTCTGTCCATATAAATATATGTCTTCGGAACCCCACCTGTACCATGATGGCGTCACTTCTTCTTCCAATTGCCTTAAACCGGCTATTCCTGCACGGCTAGAACATTCTCATTTCTAACCAGTTTTTAAGAAGAAAAAGATTATCCTCATACCATCCACAAATCTGGTATCTGTTAAATCTTCCTGTAAAGGTAACACCATCATTATGTTCACATACTCTGACAACACAAATATGTGTCTGAAAATAAAGGGCTTGGTGTCAATATTATAAACCACAAAAAACAACCTGAATTATCTGAGTTTTTCTTTTACGGTTTCCATTTACAGAAGTTGTGGTTTCAGATGTTTACAGCCAACAGCATTTACACGAGAATTGATCGATCAGAAGGTGATTAGCTCCTGAGCTAAATATTGCTGGAAGGAGCTTGAAAGATTTATCTTAAATTATACATTTAACACAACAGTAAAGCACCGGGGAGGGGGAAGTGATTTTAAGTCATGTTACTTATTTTTTTGTTGGTGAGTCAGCAGAGTTTAACGCCTTCTCAAGCTCATCAAATTCCCAGTCACCAATTTCTTCCGCGGAGTAATCCTGGTTAACTTTACCAAATTCCGACTCCAGCTTTGCTAACTCTGCCTCAGCATCAAGAGGATGCTCAGATGCAATTGCTGGAGCTGGTGCATCAGGGACCTTAGTTTTGTGAGTGACATTTTCCTCTGTATTCTTAGTTGGATGCGGTGCACTTTCTTGCTCCTTGGCACCAGATGACTCTTCCTCATCACGAGTAGGATTCTCCATTTCCAGATTTGGCCTCTCAATAGCTTCAAATTGTCCTCTCAGTACCTCAATTTTCTCAAATAACTCTTTAACAGCTGGGTCATCCTTGCTGGAATAGAAACAACCATTTTATCAAGCCTTGAAAAAAAAAACATTCTATTGCCAGAAGGAGAGAAAAAAAAAAAAAAAAAAAAAAAACTGTTTATCAAACCTGGATAGTTTACCCTGCCCAGAGTAGAACTGCTCTCTCATGTTGTCCACCACACTGAACATAGTTATAATCTACAATTATAGAGCACAATACGATAAATTCACCAAGGTTTCAGGCATGGAAATCACAGCCAAACATCATGTCCATAAGAAAAATATGGAGAAAATGAATGCACAGCCATCCTCTATAATTTAGAAAGGAACAGGTAAACTTGTCTGACACAATATTGCAGTAATCTGCATCTAGTTTTAAAAGCAAACTCATAATTCCTGGAATTTACCTTAGCTTCATAGTCCAGATATTCCTCTTCAAGGCTTTTTCTTGGATTCAATATGCTAGAATTATCTTTATCAGGTGAAGCTACCTTGGATCTGTTAAACAGTGAGCAGAATGTTTAAAACTGTAACTACTAACTAGAATATAAAACATGCTACTGCAACAGCACAGATTACCCTTCACTTAAACTCTTCAAGTTTTCCACGTATTTTCCAATGCGATCAATTGAAGGCTTCAATTCTTTCTGCACAGAGTGGGAAAGATAAGTCAGGCCTTCTATCTTCTCGTTCTGTCCTGTGGACTAGTCCAAGATATTACTAACAAATTGCCCACCTACCTCATAAGCCGTAAGCAGTTGAATTACCAAATTCACAAAGTATCCCTCATGTCTTTCCAGTTCATCACTAAAGATATTCCAAGAACTCGTATTAGCACCAAGCAGCACACAAGTACAATAAAGGAAATTTTAACAAGGTTTTCAAATACTTTATCTCTTTACTCTTGGTCTCAGCATATGCATGTTGGAGAACCCATGTGTCTTCCAAAAAATTTATCCAGGTGCCTAGAACATCCCCTTCAACACGACATGAACCAATGGATTTCGACAATTCATCGTCCTAGTGGTTAAAAGAAAAATAAAAAAGAAATGTAAAATAAGTTTTAACACCAGTGGCAAAAAATGAACTGACTATTCCAAAATCAACCAAAGGAAGAGATGGATGTAATCGAAGGTACAATATGCTGAAGATCGTGACATAAGATGATACAAGGAAAACAAAGAGGAAGGAAACCTTAGATTTCAAATGCGCAACAATCTGATCATTAGCTTCAAAGAATTGGTCTCTCTCTTCCCTGGCATTACGAAGGCGGGCTTGAGCAGCAGCCAAGGAAATATTGACCTGAGAAGTTCCAATAGAGAAGGGGTCAGAAATCACATCAGTAAAACTGAAATAGAGTACAAAAATTTAATTGAAGGACTTCTGATTTGAAGAAGACATTACCACTACTGAGTTTCACCAATTAAGATATCATAAAGCGTATTTTCTGACGTCATACAAACTGAAAAACTTCAAAAGAACCCGGGGAAACCCATCAAAGAACCAGAATGGAACATCTAATATATAACAGTCAAACCCCTAAACCCTTTATGCATTTAGCAACCAGTCCATTGTTCGTCCAAATCCAAGAATAAATACTAATATGTCCGATAGATCTTAATGATTCCTTAATCCCTTCCACAATTGACAAAAAAGAAATCTACATCATCTTTAAAGATCCAATTCTTCTGAAATCAATAAAAGCACAACATAGGAGGGGGGAGAAGAGCAAACAAAAGTAAATTACTTGTCTATAGTGCTAGTCAGGTAAGATACACCAGAATTTTCCATTATATTGCAAAAATTATGTTGTAATGATATCTCTTCTTCTTTTGTTTTCAAGAACAGAAAAAGACCAAAATACACAGATGGTGAAAGTCCTAAATTATAAAATCCATCTCTTGCAGTAACAAAGGGAAAAATGACACCCACCTTTTTCAGTTGAGCTTCAAGGTCATTTCTTTGTTTCTCGAGCTCTGAAACCTCGGCAGCTATCTCCTGAGTTTTACAGAGAGAAGAATACACACTTCTTTCATAAATAAACAAGATCATCAAACACAGATAATATAATATAATGACAGGGAAAACCATATGTGAGGATCTATTAAGCTAAGCATACAACAACTAACCCGAGGTAACAGTTAATGGACAGACAAATACCCTATCAAATCCCAAAAAAAAAAAATGTCACTGCTATCCAAGTAATATCTGCCCTTGAAATGGAGTAGTAAATAGCAGAGATACCTTTTCTATTTCCCCAGCTTCATTCGCTTTAGTAACTCGGAATTTCAATGCTTCCTCTTTCTGGATTCTGCCAAGAGAAGATATGGCACATATCATGTAAATAGATCCACGAGCCATATTAGAACACATAAAGACAGTAGGAAAGCTAATCATTCACGAGAACTAAAATTTTGCAACGAAACAGAGGACTATAACCACAGAGGAAATAAGAAAATAAAACCATGCAAAGACGAGCAAACGATAAATAACAAAATGAGTGTGGTGTAAGAAAATTAGTGAAAAGCAACTTCGAATTCAGAGCCTTAAAAATTGTCTCAATAACAAAACAACTGTTAACCAGTAACAAGCTATGGGGTAATCTTACTTGTTCTCTGAGATGCGCTTCTCGGATTTTAACGCGGAGCTAGACAGAGATTCAGACAACACTTTCAGCTTATCAACCTGCAAATATTTAGAAGGAAACCTTAAATAAGAGACTCTAGCTTTTCGCAATAGTCAGATTATGATAAGAACATTTTTACCCCAATTGAGTAGTCACATTAACATACGGCAAAAAACAAAATTTCAAAACTGAAGAAACCTCTAAAATCATGAACATAAATATGTTAAGTGAAACATGAAAACCAGAGAGAGAGAGAAAGAGAGATAAACACACACTCTAGGAGTCAAAGGGAATGGCATTTCAAACAAGTGACAAGAAAGCAACAAAACAGGACAAGTAGCATGTAGGAATCTCATGCTAAGTGCAATGATTGCGAATCAAAGCACGTGCAAAGACAAGCATCAGAGAGTGAGCATACTTTTTGAGCATGAACTTCTGGAGTATCTCCATACTTAAGTGCTTTTTTCTTCAGTAGAAGTCCCTCTAATTTGGAACAAGCTCGAATATGTGACAGTTCTTCTTTCAATACCTACTAGAGAAATATGAGGATTAGACTTCAAATATAAAAAAGTGTTTCTTTGTGGTGATTGTAACAGCACACAAACAATCCTGAAGCTATTAATATCACCAACAATACACAAGCGCACACACAAAGCTAGCAAAAGAAAACCTCAAGCCAGATGATGAAACACATGATCACATTTACAGCACCAGGTCCTTCTATAGCATTAATTCTCTATCCAAACTCTATGTATTTCAACATATTCTTCACTTCTACGGTAACACCTATAAAAGTAAGCAACTGGGTTGGTAAAGAAATTGATCAACAATCTTACTCAATACCAAATTATCAGTGGCTAGAGGAATATAAATATGAGTTATGATAGGCATCAATAGGAGTAATATCACACAAATGCACCTTTCTATTTGAGTAGCAAAATTATGACCTGAACAAGAACAGTGCATTCTTTAACCTATTTCTCTTCAATTAGCGTAACCACAACGGTAATAATTAAATGTTTATTAACGCAAATAAACCACAAATAGCAGCACCTAGAGAAATATTATAAGGGGCTGTGACCGGGTAAATTGGAGTATTATCCAAAAAGTTAAAAAGCTTCCTTGTCAGTAACACAATTACAATCTCATCTTCGGCTAGAGGTATACGTCTCATGGGTATGAAGTAGGAGAGAGGCAAAGCACAGGAGTCGCGTCGATCACTATACAAATAACTTAACGCAATTTTTACATATGAACAATATTTGTCCAGTTCAAAACTGGAGTGAAGATTAAAGGGACAAATCTCTGTTGTTCTTTAACATGTAGACGGAAGCATCCATATCTGGAGTCCCCACTTAAAGCTTACCAAGTGGTATCCAGTTAAAAGTTTCTGGACATGCTCAATAGAAAGTAAAAATCAGAATGAAGTAGATTTTATCAATCCTGGTGGCAGGGAGGAAGTAACAACCCCAACAAAAACAAACACTCTTTTTAAAAAAAAAAATCGCGATTGCAGAAATGGAAAGCACTAAAAACATTGAAAACTGCAAAACATACCTCTAGTGTTGGAACTGTTGGATCAGCTTTGTCCAGCAGTTCCTTTGAAACAGTCAATCCATCAATCTTTTTCCTTAACTTGGAGACCTCAGCATCAATTCTTATGCATACATAAACAACGAAACAGGATAAAGATGTCAATATGCTGTATAAACACTTCCCTAAAAGCTTACTCCTATCCTCTGACTCTTCTATTTCAATTTCACAACAATAATGAGCTATGAAAAATTCTGTGATATATTCCTAAATAGAAGTGAAGTCTAGAAGATGCCAGAAAAATAAGGTACCTTTCAATATCAGCATTTACTTTCAATCCAGTGATTGCACCTTCAGCGAATTGGAGCAATTCCTCCCTCTTCACCTACCCCAGCCACCAAGGGAGAGAGAAGTATATCATAAGAGTCAATTGTCAAGATCATTACTTTTAATACAGAAACTACCTAACAAGCACAAAACCAAAGTTTCCAAACAGAAAAGCTTGTGAAGTTCTACTTCCATCATTTTACACTCTTTGAGGATACAAATATTGGAGCTAAGTTTGGGAAGAACTCAAAATTACTTATGTATATCAGGAAACGACAAGTGAATAGCACCACTTTCTAATGCAAAAAAATCATAATTGCAATTTTTTTTCATTAAAACAAGAAACAAGCAACTAAAATCAACTTTAACTTCAATAATTAACTCCGATAAGTTTAAAAATATTTCTGTGGAGATAACATTTCATATTCATTCTAGCTTCAATGGATGCGGAGTAAACTTATACAAGACATTACCAAGACTTCATCTTGGTAGTTTGAAAACACTTTTGCTAGATCCTGAATACTGCTGACTACAGCATTGTGGACTTCTTTTCCACCTGTAAGACAGAGCCTGCACCGCCCGGAATGTAGAAAGTGTTCATACACATTCATATGCATCACAAACCAAGAATTTGGTCTGCAATTAAGAAATTTCCAAATTTAAACATACCCAAACAATTCAAGGAGCAATGACACCTCCTCCTCATTTGGAGCTTCAAGAATCTGAATCACAGAAAGAGTTAATCTTAGTTAATTTGTACAACAAGCAGCTATGTAAGTCCATAAGAGACTCAGCACATCAAGTGTTTTGGACTACAATGCATGATCACCCCCACGCAGCAGAAACCTTCCTGGCTCAATTAATTATAAACTTGATAGTAAAATGTGAAAGAAGAATAATGAATTTGTTATTACTTTTAGGATAAAGCTAATCACCAAGTGACTGCAAGTTAAACTTCAGACTCTCTAGAGCTAACCTTTAAGAACTACTTTCTATAAAATGATAAATGCAGCAAACCTCTATGATGGCAGATTCAGCGAACTTAATAACTAATGAAACCAGAATGATTCCCTAATACTTGAAGATACGATTCAAAGAGAAATAAATCACATACCATACAGATAGTTATTCCCTCCAAAGCTTGACTGTAGAGAAAGACATCACGAAAATTCATTGGTTCACCTCCCATGTCGGCGTCGTAGTACAGAACCTATGATTCACAAATGGGGCAGAGGATTACTAAACCTTAACTTTTCAAGGAATCTTTAGCAATTTTCTCTGGGAAACATAATTCACCAATTTGAAATTGATCGATATATACTATTAAAAAAAAGAATGAACTAGTACAATCTACCACTAGTACCATTCCCTTCGCGACAGAAAATCATTCGGAAACAATAACTTTTACAGCTCAAAAAATGTAACTGCTATAACATAGATAAAACTTACGAAATTCCCACAAGTAGAGAAAAAAAAAAACACACACACACACACAAATCCAGAATAAGCCTCTAACACAACCGAACAGACAAGCATACTGTTGCCAGGCTCTCAACTGGCCATATAACGAAGCATCCAAAATATAAAAGAACAGTAACAAAAGTTTCATTCATATTGGCAACTTTGATCCACTTGAAACACTTGAGTTCATCAATTTCAAGCATATATATTCTTCATGTCTCAATTTCTTACAAACCAGTCAAAGTAATACATGGAACCCCAGGCTTGAAAAACTAACAATGATAATTCACAGTGACAACAGATATATCAGATAAGAAACTTAGATTTGACAATCACAACATCCCTAGCTTCACAACACAACAAAATAAAAACAGAATTCGATAGCTACATTAATGCAAGAAAAGAAGATAAAAGGATCACTGAGTGCTCCCTCTCTTACTATTGAGTTTCCATCACTTGGGTTCTTCACACTAAGATGTTGCAATTGAAAAAAAAAAAATTTAAAAAAAAAACACAGAAAAACAAATGCAGGGTGTCCTTACAGGATTTATCATCCTCCTTGTTTCCCTGTCAATTCTAAATAGAACCAACTTTCAAACAAAGAACAAAACCAGTTCATTGGCACCCATCTGAGGAGATGAACTATTTACTAGATAAAACTACTTAGCAAGTACTAATAAGCGCTTGAAAACACCGCACCATAGTTTCACATCCAACTGCTACAGAAGAATGCACATCCAACTAATAAAGATCCAGCTACTACAACAGATATTGCCACAAGAAATCAAAAATTAACATCAACTATTCACCTGAGAGTGCTTCCTTGGACTGCCTTTAGGTTCTTCTGAAGGAATATTTTGCTCATTCTCTTTTTCTCTCTCGTCAACAGTAAACCCAGAGAACTTGTCAATGTCCCTAAGAGCTGCTAACCATCTCCGCATCAATTGGACTCTCTCTGGACCCCTACATGAAACAGAAGCTTCTTCCAATCTTTTCACAGTCTGCTTAAAACTTTTAACGTTCCGAGACACCTGCCATGAACAACAAGGAGCATGGTTTAATAATTTATATAAATCAAAGAGAACTGGAGATGACATAATGTCATGCAAACTTTGGAAACACTAGCACAAAACCATGAGCCATATAACAGCATTCCTAGTTTCGATAACAAATAATAACTGTTTATAATCACTTAGCCGTGAAGTTTTCAGAAAGCAACCCCTCTTAGAGAGCAAGGAAATACTTCAAAAGCTTAACGCCCACACTCTTTAGGATCAGAGTTTCGAAATGGAAGTCACATTAATGAATATCATTTGCCTCCAAAACTGACTTTTCTCCCTAGCCATCACAAATATGTGAAGCTACCTATATATAACCAATACCGCTAGATAAACTACAAGTATTGGGACAACCCATCAATAATGAGCATGCATGTGTTTATCCAATTATCTTCCTCCTGAATAATAGATTCCCGGACAGTTTCCTAAATAAACTTCGAGGAAGTGGGCAATTTTTTGCATCAAATGGGTACCGCTAAACACATTTCAATACTTAAAGAAGTAAACTTATCGACTCCCTAAATGAGTTGACTTCACTTTAAGTGAGATAAAAAGTTTAATTTGAAGTGTTACCAACTACCAAATCAAACAAATTAAAGGACTCGATCATGAAGTAAACAGCGGAATTGCATTACAAAGGAAAGAAAAAGGAAACTTTCCAACTACCTTACTGAACGTTTACAGTAGATCCTAAATTTATCAATGCCGCAGCTAATCAATATATTTTAGCTGCACTAACATACTCCTTGGATTGAAAGATAAAAGAAACTTATCCTTAATTCATCAATGCCTGCATCCTAACAACAACATTTTCTGCTACCAAATTGATGCAAGTAGCGAATTCAGTCAATCCGCAACTTTTGAAGAAAGTGAAATTTTAAAAGAAAAAAAAAAAAAAAAAGCCTTACAATACGGTCCTGGAACAATTTGGCGCCCTCGGCGACAGCTTGACCGGCTTGTTCAGCATAGCTCTTGACGGTGCGAGTGAGGTTGTTCTTGTTCCCAACCTCCACCGCTTTACTCACCGCCGATCTAATCCACGACATTATTTTGCTTCAACAACAAAACGAAACACCAATATTTCCGATTTCTCCCAAATCAAACTTCCCGAACAACTAATTTATTGTAATTTTATTAATCAAACACGCAAATATTTCTATGCGAGACTTTTTGAAGAAATGAAATGAATTTCTGTTTTCTTTTTTCTATTTTTTTTTTTTTTTAAGGTTTGCGTCGAGAAAAAGATACTGGAAGAAATGGGGGATATTCAGATAGGGATTTTGATTTTGGGGGCGGCCGAAGTAAGGAAGACTCAGGGGAATCGTGCATGCAGCGCAAGTGTGTGTTTTAATTTGGGGGAGGTTTTTGGACGCTAATTCAAAATTGGGTACTTTTAAGACAAAGGAGATGAAGTCAGACAGCGACCCAGTAACAAACAAATACTACTTTACTTGAATGAATTTACTATGAAGGTGATATATTATTATCATACTACTTCTTGGCACCGACGATTATGTCTTTCATTGTCTTCTAAAAATTATCCTTTGTTGTCTCAACCCATTTTTGGGTGTAACAGTCTCTTATCATTCCACTGTGTTACTCCCTTCATATTAACAATAGCCTCACTTTTCTTTATGCAAATTTTTAAAACTCTTTAGTCTTTACAATTTATATATTCTTTTTTACCGTTTTTATTGAAATCAAGAACATTTGATTAGTTTCAATTATTACCTATCCTCGTTAATTAGCTACTAATAACCTACTAGTGCCTAAAAAAACTACTAATAACTAATAGAGTTGTATATTGAAATTTTCATTTGAAAATTAATCACATAAATTTCATCACCTTTTTTTTCTTAATCTCCGTGTCTGTTTACATGAACCTAATAAATTTGAATTAATAGGATATTTCTTCGTGTCAAAATAAGAGTACAAATGTATACATACTTTTGAGTATGTGTTATAGTAATATTTAATATGTACAACTTTCTATTTATATATTTAATTTCAGAATTGGGACGAAAATAAAGAGTACCATGCTTTGCAATTGATGGTTTTTCTTTGTTTGTGGAGTTTGATTCATCGACAATATTGAATTTTGGGACACGGAGAATATATTTTTTTTACTATACTTTATTTTATTCATTGAGTATGCAATAACTAGTGAAATAAAATCATTTGATGTATACATATTTCATCACAATTTTAATTCAAAACGTATTACAGTATTAATCATGAAGTTTGCCATTTCTGGGCTTTGCTCAAATAGAACATACAGTATATTGTCTTACTCTTACTTGGTCTTATTCATATTCCGATGGAAGAACGAGTTCTAAAACACCTTTTCTTTCTAATTTTTGGTGGTTTTTTTTAGGATAAAAAAACAACACTTGAATCATTGAATGCCTTCAGAAAGTTGGAAAATAGGTAGCAACAAGGGAGACAAGTAGTCAAGTCTTATGTCTTGCTTAGATATCAGGTATTAACCATTAAATATTCAAGATGAAAATACGTGTATTGCAATACGAACATTTGTATATACTACAGACTGATATCAAACCGCATATGCTATAATAATTGAGATAAAATTGCTCCCATACCTAAAGTGGTTATGGTGGAGTGGAAGGGACTCCTCCATCCTTAACCATAGGTCGAAGGTTCGAACCTCGCCATTGATATAGAGTAACCTTAAATATTTTGACCAGTTGTCAAATCCATTGAGGTGCCTACAATTCAGCAAGAGGGATTAGTCACTGTTACCGACGGTGGACACCCGGCAAATATGTAAAAGAAAAAAAAAAAAGCTCCCATAATTGTCAGGATTTTCGCTGAAATAGTCTTCGCAGTAGACTAGGAGGTGCACGAGGGACATTCTTCAATCTTGAGTAGAACAAGTTGGTTCTGTCCATGTATTTCACTGCATTTATGTCACGATCCATATTAGCACACCCACCAGGTCCAACACGGTACACAGACACGAAAAGATCACCTTCAACAGAACGACATGCAACTTCGCACATCATGCTTGTCGCCCAAGATTCAACGGATTCAACGGACTAAACAGACCTGTCTTTACATACTACTTTCTTGAAGGAAATCGAGGGCCGCGGTGGTGACGACGGCATCTTACTCCTTTCGATCAAACTGTCTAACTCCAAGTCCATAGCAGCATAAGCAAATGCAACTCCAGATCCCGAGACCAACTTTTTCCCTTTAATCAGAACCCCAGTGCCATCAACGCGATATAAAGATGAACTCATTTCAGACTCGAATTCCCACCCTGCAACCAGTCCTGCTACTTCACACCTACAAGACAGAATCTTTGCCATCAGTTCTGCTACCTTTAAAGCAGGAGTAGCTCTCTCATGCACCACTTCCCACTTGAGGCACTTCCGTTTCAAATCAGAGAGCAACGTTGTGCAACTCCCGTTCTCCTTTCCAGTCACAATGGCAACCATGCGATCATTAAGCTTAATCATGTTCGGGGCACAACCTCGTTTTAAATGAGAAACAGCCACCATAACCTCTTCTGCTCCATACTTTCCTCTGAATGTAAAAGCTAGACATGGTAATCCTGCCTCGTCAGGTGGGGATGCATCATGGGATTGTTTGAAGTAAGACCATCCAAGCATTGGAAGATCTTGAGGATTCAAGATTTTCGTCTCGCCCTTATTCATGTGGATCGCGTGATAAAAACGATGATCAATATCTTCATATGCACTTGAAGACTAAGAGCGCGATGGATTTGATATTGAAGAGCGAGAGCGAGATCGGGAAGGGGAGGTTTCTGCCATTAGTGTGTGATGGCACCGGAGATTTGAATGGTATGAATGATACCTGGACCGACGTGAGCGACGAAGTGAATCCGGACGGCCAGTGCAATGGTCGAATCGGCGATAGTTGTTGGATTCCTTGGTCATCATTTGAAGAGAAGATCTGAAAAAACGTACCCCACTTATGATTTTTCTCGCGAATACAAGTATTTGAAAGAGAAATGGGAGCACCTATTCCACGAAAACAGGAAGTGGTGTTACACTGGAAACCACCCCCTCCGCTTTGGGTTAAAATGAACTCGGATGGGGCTCTTAATCTCAACATGAGACTTGCAATTGCAAGGGGTGTACTGAGGGACGAAACAGGGAGCTGGCTTGGGAGATTCACCTTTAACATCAGTTTTTCCAGCATAACCAGAGCTGAGTTGTGGGGGTTGGTTCAAGGCCTATCTCTTGCTTGGGACAACGGTTGCAGGAGAATTGAAGTGGAAGTCGACAACCAAAGTGTAGTGAAGATGGTTTTGGACAGGAATCGACCTCCATGCGCATATGAAGGACTTTTGGTAGTTATTAGGGAGCTTATGTATCGGAGATTGAAATGTAAAACTTAGTCATGCACATAGAGAGTGTAATTTTGTGGTCGATTACATGGCTTTACTGGTGGCGACGAATCCTATTGGACTAACCTACATGGATTCGTCTCCTCCATGTGCCTTTTGGTGGGTTAACCACGATGTCGTAGGAATAGCGTACACTCGACGGATTGTAATACAGAAGCTCTTGTATATTTTCCCTGATAAGCAAAAAAAAAAAAAAAAAGAAGAAGTTAAAAACAGAAAAAAAAAAAAAAGAAAAGAAAAGAAAAAGAAAAAGGAAGCGGCCTATATAGAAAGAAGAAGAAGAATAGCGTAGGCCTCTTGGTGAAAAGCCCATCAATCAGGCAACTTTAGAAAATGCGAGTCGTAAATTCTTAGCCAATGGCCCAATAACAGTTTGTTACAAACCTGCTTTTCAGTCTATACTTACAGTAAATTATCTATAAATTAGTAGTATTATTGTGCCTCAAAAATATAAATTAATTTATAATTAATAATTTAATATTTTTTCAATATTTATACTTAAGAAATAAATTACTCCAAATCTTCGTTGCAACAACAATACTTCATTCAGTTTTTTTGCACTTGAGATTACAGCATCACGAGTTTAGAAGATATACATCTGAATAGTACAACTACTAAAAGTCTATGTGAATTATTTTTTTAAGACAAAAATAAACAATACGTAAAAGAAATCAAAGATGAAATCCCTAAAATACATAAAATTGAGAGTGGGAAGGGGGGGCATAAAATACAAAAATGGATAATTATTGACTCCCACCTCATAAGACCGTTCAACAGAAATGTAATTGTTTTTTAATTATATTTTCGTCATATTAGTGATTATCTTATTTCACTGCATATTTTTCACTAGGCTTATTATTTTCCTCATTTAATAGAGGATATGGAGTACGAATTTATAAAAGTATTGTTGTATTTTTCTTATTTGATAGTGGTTATGGAGTACTAATGCATAAAGGTTTTATATCGTAATAATAAGGTTTTAATTACAAATAAATTTTTTTAAAAAAAGACTTTGGACGGTTGATTTGATGATATACATTCAATGATTAAACCATTGAGTCAATACACAATGCAAAATCTCCCTCACACGAACAAATAAATATGGGAAAATTTTAAAAAAGGGCATGAGAAAGATCCAATTTATTCTTGAAGGCATTAGCATTTTTATTTTTTTTGTAAATTTCTTAAATATTATTAATGTTTTATTACAATTTAAAAGACTATTTTATCCTTTCTTTCACCAAACAGTAACCGATTTTGTTCTTTGAGCTATTTTGAATTGAGAATTTAGCCAGTAAATTCCACTATTTTGATCCAAATCCTCATTTGTTTCTTCTCTTCCTTTGGATTTTAGTTTTCATGGTTCCCGCTCTTGGGTTTTAATAGAGAATACATGAACTGAATTGGAGCCCTAATTTTAAGAGATTGACAGTCCCCAAAAATTCAACGACTTCAGTCCAAAATAAAGTCGTCAAGTGAAGGCAAGCTTTTAATTTAGTTTTCCGTTTGAATTTTGTTTATTCCTTAGGGGTTCACTTAATCTTATAGTGAAAACATATCTCGATTCGTCATTCTTAAATGTTATGAATGGTTGTTAGTTTGAATTAAAAAAAATGGTAATAATTAATATAATTTAAATGGATTGGATCAAAATAGTATTTCCTTTAAAAACTATGAAATCTTTCTTCAATTGATGATATATCATAAACTAAGTCATGAACATCAAGCCAAATGAAGAGGTTAGAATAGTACCTGACATAGCCAAAAACTGACCGGTGAAGAGGATGGTTACGGGAAAAAAAAAGAGGAGAAACGAAAGGGGGAAGTGAAGAGTTATCATAAAAGGGCAAACAAGCCATTTTCTATCTTAAAAGATATAATAGTTATTTTAATATTCATGCTGAAAAAAAAAATGTCAATGCCCTTAAGAGTAATTTGGATGTTTCCCATGACTTTTTTAATAATTTTCCCAATAAATATTGTGATATAGATACATCTGAGTCCGAGGTATGATAATCTTAATTCCTAAAAATACTACTCCCTCTGTCCCAAAATTATTGTCCAGTTTGAGATTTTACTTTTAGTATAATTTGAACTAGAAATGAAAATCCAAACTGGACAATAATTTTGGGACGGATAGAATACTATTTTGCAATATATCACTGATATACATACCTATAAAAAAAAAAAAAAGAAAGAAGAAAAACTCATGCATTCCAAGTTTCACAAGAAGAAGAAAGTCCCACTATTGTATTTATATCTCAGTTGCTTGGTTTTCTTTGTACCTAATCTTCCCATTTACAAATTTTTCTGATTATTCAATTGGATCCAAACACCTTAAAGCTTAAAAACTGGAGTTTTTAGTTTAATTTTGATGTTTAGTACATTAATTTGTACTAATAAAATAAATGTGAAAGTCTAACGAGACATTCGATTTGGGAAGGAGAGTATCTTCTGTTGTCAAAAAGTCCACAGAGCTACCAACAAAAGTCAGTATGCGGAGAAGCAATGATGTAATAGAGCAAACCATGTCCACGTTTTAAACTCTACCAAACCCCCGCCGGCTTACCCATCCCCTCGGCACTACCTTCCCTTCCACAAATAAAAATAGTAATACTACCACCAGCGACAAGTGTGGTTAGTTATGGAGGAGTATCATTGAACCACAATTCAATATTACTATATACTGCCTCCGTCTAAAAAAATAGTAAATTTATATTAAAAACAGTATAAAATTTAAAACTCAATGTGATCTATTTTTGTGGGACGGAGGGAGTAATAAACAACTAAATTTAGGCCATCATTACAATTTATATACACCCAAAGAAAGAAAGAAAAAAAAAACTTGACGCAAATTGCAAATATTAAAAGGAAAATTCTGTTATTTGATCATATATAGTACTCCTGTCTCATAATTATTGTCCAGTTTGAAATTTTACTTTTAGTACAATTTGAACTAAAAATGAAAACTTAAACTGGACAATAATTATGGGACAGAGGGAGTAGTATCTTTGCGGTAGTAGCAATTTAACTACAGTAATTAATCTGGACACAAACTCTGGTGCATATAAAAGTCCTCCACCCACCCGCCTTCTAAGCTACCATTCCTCACACACATACACACACACAGAGTTTATCCACGTCACTCACCCTTCCCTCCACCCTTCACGTTTTTCAATCTCAATTCTCACTTCCCAAGATCCAAACCACCACCCAAATTAATGGCATAAGTGGAATAGAAGAAGAGAAGGGGAAGAGTAATAGAGAACGTGTAAAGTGGGAAAGGGAATAGAATTAAAAACTAGGAATCAAAGGGGACGTTGGCAAGCTGATTCGCAAACTAGGAAAACTAGTCGATTTGCAAACTGATCAGTGTGTGGGTACGTTTTTTCCTTTTTTTTTTTTTGTGAAGATGTCTCCGCCAATCTCCGTTTCCGAAGTTCAGGTCGAGAGCTATGTGTTCCCGCCGGCTATCAAGGCTCCTGGCTCCAAGGCTACCTTTTTCCTCGCCGGCGCAGGTTCCTATTAATTAACTTCACCTTTTTGTTTTTGTTTTTGTTTTTTTTTTATAATTTATGTCTGGTTCTTAATTAGGGGGAAAATGAATGCAGGGGAGAGAGGAATGGAAATCGAAGGCAAGTTCATAAAGTTCACGGCAATTGGAGTTTACTTGGAGGAGTCTGCCATCCCCTGGCTGGCTGGCAAGTGGAATGGGAAGACGGCGAATGAGTTGATGGATTCCGTAGAGTTCTTCAGAGAGATCGTTACAGGTAATCATCGAAACTCGCTATCTGTCAGTAGTATCTTTTTCTAATTTTCCGTTTGTCCCTAAATCTAAACGAACTCAAGCTAGATGCCGGCCACGAAATTTGCGTTTTATTTGTTGTTCTGTTGTGGTTTCTGGCCTCCGGGGGCACTCATTTAAGGTGGGGCCCCAGGGTCTCTCATTTTAATATCGCCCGCCAGTGGTCGGTCGGCTTAATGAAAAATGTTTTGCTGCACTACAAAATTGATTGACTGAATGAATTTTGGATCAGAAGTAAAATGTACTGAGATTACCTTTACCATCAGATTTAAAGTAGGAGAATACAAGATGCATATAATGCTAGGATTTGAGGATATTCCTACCGTGAAACAATACTCATGAACTAATTTGATTTAGTTATTTGGAATCTCAAATGTTAGCCCTACAATTATTAACAATTGAATCTCAATTGCGCAAACTCTCTTGTAAATTAATGAGCCAAATCACGTTTTGTTTTTCAGGTCCCTTTGAAAAGTTCACTCAGGTAACAATGATCTTGCCGTTGACTGGAAAGCAATACTCAGAGAAGGTCTCAGAAAATTGCTCTGCATATTGGAAAGCAATTGGTATCTACAGTGATGCCGAAGCTAAAGCCATTGAAAAGTTCCTTGAGGTTTTTAAGGATGAATCCTTCCCACCTGGTGCTTCTATTCTCTTCACTCAATCTCCACTCGGGTCATTAACGGTAATATTACTGCACAGACTGTTATGTACAGTGTTTTAGACATCCTTTTTTTTTACTTTTAAGCGTTATGTTTGACATAAATGAAACACTCTGTTTGTTGCCATAATTGATTTGTTTCGTACAATTTGATGCACTATAGATTAGCTTCTCCAAGGATGGTGTTATCCCTGAGGTGGGTCATTCGGTGATAGAGAATGTACCATTATCAGGAGCAGTGCTGGAGTCCATCATCGGGAAGCAAGGCGTGTCACCCGCTGCCCGGAGGAGTGTGGCCGAGCGATTATCCGAGTTGCTGAAAGCATCTGACGGGTCGGCTCATTGAAGAGGGTTGCTTGCGGTGTGTCCCGAGTCAGTTGAAGAATTAGCAAAGTTTTCAACTTGTGGTTTAATTTCTTTAAGCATATTCACTCCCAGCTGGATGGGAGTATTAATCAGCTGCTCCATTATACATTAAGCCTCAAATCTTGAAATGATTTCCTTTTGCTGTAACTCCTACTTTTGCTGTCCAGAAAATAAAAAAGGATGCTTAATCGATTTCATCAGAAGCTGATATTTCTCGTTTCCATTTCCGCATCAATACAACCAATGATGCGACCCTGAAGGACCTATATCCTGAAATTAACACCTGCTAATTAAGCTTTGTCGTGAGATCAGTCCAAGGATTGTTTAATTGGTCTCCTGGATAACCTGGATGGTTCAGAGTATAGCGTGACCGTACTATTTATTCGAAAAATGCCCCTGAGGTCTGGTAGTATCATCTTTATTCCCCCAAAATGGGCTAGTCCAAAAACTTGTGAAATGAAGCCCGATTCAGAAATCCTTTTCCCCAATGTTGTTGTTTAAACTTAATAGTGCTTTGAGTTTTTTCATTGTTCCACGTTCCAAATTCGAGGTTTAGAAGCTCCAGTTGTTTTCACAACATTTCATAGAAATTTCGTTATATTTTCAAAGCCCTTTTCGCCAGTGTGTAATCCAGGCTATCCAGCGAAGTTTAAATCAAATTCTATCTACGTATATGGCACCAAAAAAAGGAAGGATTCAAATTTCGTATCATAAATATGGTATTCTGAATTGGCCCAATTCCAATAATCCACTACTAACTCACTTTTTGAAGAATGTACTATCTTGTATCACGAAAAAACCTAAGATAATAGATTAGTATTTTCATTCCGAAATGATTATTTAGCTTAAATTACTATTTTTAATCTAGATTATCTATATAAGTAAACTGGACAATCATTTTTAAAACGGAAAGAATATTACTCTTTCAGAATATCTGAGACGACTTATGACAATTTTTTTTTTATTATTTAGTATAACAAATAGTGTAATACTCCCTGTATCCCCGAAATTATTATTAAGATACTAAAATTTAAAATCTAAATTTTATAATAATTTTGATAATAGATGTATAGTACTAAAATGCCGCAAAATCTCTAATTTTGGAGATGCGACTTGTAGATCAGAAAAACATACGTAAACGCGGTTCCGCGATTTACTCAATTCAGCTCTTCTCTGCTACTATTTGATTCGATCCCCACAGAGAAGAGAAGATAGAAAACGCGTATTTGGCAACAAACAAGTGACGACTTAGCTTTCAATGTTCTAACTAATTTACTACCACTATTACTACTCTTCTTCTTGATACTATAATTTTATACTTATAAAATTATAATTTTTTTTTATATTTTAAATTATTGTTCAGTTTATATTTTTTTTTTTGATACACGGCTCAAATAAGCTCCCATTTTCCCTCTCTGGGTGTTGAACCCGCGTCATGCGGGTGAAGGGTGTAAGGCCGCTCCACTGCGACAACCCCTCATTGACCAGTTTAGATTTTCATTTTTTATATAAATTACACTAAAAATAAAAATTCAAAGTGGACAATAATTTTAGGACAGAGAAAATACTAATAACAATAAAATATTTTAGAGTAGCTCTTAACAGTATACCCACTCCACTTTCCTTCCCTCTGCTCCTCACGAAAGTATACAATATGATTTGCAGAAGCTTCCTGGAATTTGATCCTCAACAAAAAGTTAGTATACTTAAAACATATCTTTACTCTTTTGTTAAAATTCCACAGTCTTTAGTCTTTACCATCTCATTCCTACCCTTGAAGTTGGATGACAAACTAATTGATTACAGGCATATTCTTCAAAAAAAAAAAAAAGCAAAAAAAAAAAAACCAGGATTTGACGTTTTTCAGCAAAGGATTGATTTGGTTTTCTTTGGTTTTTGTCGACAATGATTCGCACCATAATTATGTATCCCAGATAAGATAAGTGTGAATATAATACTTTTCAGTCGTCTACTATGCATTTTATTTTCCACGTGTTATACGCCACTTTCAATACAACATAAATTTGAGTTTTCTTCAAGCAAGCTGTAGATTTGTAACGTCTCGAATATACCATTATCGAGGTTATTTTGATGGTGGCATCGGAGTCGGACGAAGTGAATATATAGTCTAATGTCCTCATAATGTGTGTGATTTTAATCTTGTTGGCGATTGAATAATGATCCCCCAATTCAAACGGAAAAAGAAAATAATGTTGTATAGTTTGTATGTCCAGATAATTTAGTATTAATTCATTTTGGATTGTTAATTAATTTGTGATACTCGGATCTTTATCGTAGTGTTATAAAAAGAAAAATAATAGTAGACCAGACAAACATTTTTTTTTCCCCTGACAAACCAATCAAACAAACGAGACGCATAAGAGCACAAATCAAAATATTTTAAACTACATTTTCAAAATATCAAGTACGAGTCATCACTAAACAATTAAATACTGTCAATTATAGTCACTGCAAAAAAGAATTTTTCAAAAAACAATTACTCAACAACGGAATCCTGCCAAATTTGTCACTGAACTATATGTAGTTCTAAAATGGTCATTACACTAACAAAAAGTGTTTCAAGTTGGAATTTAAAATATAAATCAGAAAGTTGTTTGGATGATATTTTTTTTTCCATTGAATTTTGTATTTAAGAGGTAAAATGAGTTAAAATGTAAAATGAGTAGACGTCTTAACAAGACATTACGTCGTACCATTTCGATCAATTGAGTAGGTAACAAATAGTTCCGGAAATAAGTACTTTACATATGATTATCGAAACAAACAAATGGGTAATGAATTGAAATATGATAATTTACCATAAAACTACGTACTACTGTATGTAGTGTGGTAATTTGGTGCAAGATAAGAAATTTTTAAGGGTATCACATGGTACAGGTGACCATTATTAAATAAATATATAAACCAGCTGTATAGGACTTGAGTTATCCTTTGATTTTTCTTGAAGTTTCTATCATTGCAATTCTGTTGAGCACCGTTGACCGCTTTGCAATTTTTTTCTTTGATTTTTCTATTATTTTTTTTTTTGTTTTTTTAATGAAAACAACGCTCTACAATTAATTAAGGATTACTTTTGAAGTTTGTTCCATGAATTCGTCAAATAAAACGCACTGCCCACCTCGTCCGGTTTGAATAATAGAATCAACCACCCCAGAAGAAAAGCCAAAACAAACTGTATAATAAACAACAGTACTAATTGGGTTCTTTTTCCTCGTCAACAAAAAGTGATGTGAACCCCATAAATGTACGATTTCCATGGTTGATTATCCGCAAGAATACTCTTGGCTTAGGTCGTTTGTTTTTCCCTTTTAAACTTTAGTCCACCAAATTGAAGGCTGACAAAATATCATGGTTTCAGAAAATTGATCACCGCCAGGTTTTACCTTTCTCAAAACTTCATATTCTGTCAAGGTTTTTTTTTTTTTTTTAACCTTCCTAAGTCTTCAGATTCTTTGTTCATTTGTTTTTTTGGTTTTGGTTCTGTGTAGTCCTCTCTGCCTATGTTTGATGCACGATGAGAGTTGGAATTTGTAAATTCTTCATCTGGGCGCTACTGATTTCTTGTCTGGTCTTCCCTTCCTTAGAGTTTGATCCTGAAGATAACTATTTGATTAACTGTGGTTCATCTGTGAATACCCCTCTTGATCATCGTGTTTTCTTGGCTGATGTCTCAAATTTTTCCAGTTTTCTTTCAACCCCACAAAATATTTCCGCTGTTGCAAATTCTGATTCTATTCCCTCCGCTACTTATGGTTTAGCTTTGTACCAAACTGCCAGAATTTTTAATGGAAGTTCTCAGTACAATTTTTCTATCAAGAAGCAAGGTAGGCACTGGATTCGTCTGCATTTATTTCCTTTCCTCAATCCTTCCTTCAACCTGAGTACTGCGAAATTCTCTGTTTCTGCTCAAAATTTCACTCTTTTGAAGGATTTCCAGCCATCTAGTGCCCCAACTGTTAAGGAATATCTACTGAATATTACCACAAAAACTCTTGTTTTGAATTTCATCCCCGCAGCCAATTCAATTGCTTTCCTAAATGCCTTTGAAGTCACCTCAATCCCTGATGAGCTCATTCCTGCTGATGTTGCAACTATTGGTTCTTCCGGGCAGCACCAAAACCTGGAGACTCGAGCACTTGAGACGGTTGTGAGGGTCAACATGGGTAACGAAGCGGTTCTTCCAAAAAATGACTCCTTGGGGCGGCTTTGGTTGTCTGATTCTGGATATCTTACTTCCAATCATAATCTTGTTTTGTTTCTGTCAAACGTTGGATTAGTGAATTTTACAACGGCTGGAATGTCCGAGAATATTGGTCCTTCGTTGGTTTATGGCACAGGTACTGAGCTGTACACTGCGTTGGAAGACAGAAATATACTCAACGCAACCTGGCAGTTTCAAGTTGATCCTGGTTTTGATTACTTTATCCGGTTCCACTTTTGTAACATATTGAATGCCAGTGACCCTAATAGAAACAATTTGTTTTTCACCATGTATCTAAATTCTGAGTTTGCTGCGAAAGACGTAAACCTCAGTACTGTAGGTGTCCCTCAGTATATTGATGTGGTTACTTCGGTAAATAGTATAGGTCAGCTCAATGTAAGCCTTGGTTCTTCGAATGCGTTCAACTCATTTCCTGATGGCATTCTTAATGGACTTGAGGTAATTAAAATAAGCGATTCCGGGGGCAGTCTTGCTGCCGCAGATGCCAGAGTTCAGGAAAAATCATCAGCTACCAGTTCCAAGTCAAAAGTTTGGGTGTTTGTGGGTTCTGCTGTTGGAGTTTCGATTTTCATCATGGTTGTAGTTTTAGTTTTTGCTCTTTTCTGCAGACGAAGAAGGCGTGCAATCGTGGTTCACACGACACTGGAGCAATTTGCTGCAAATGGAGCGAGTTTCGTGGTGAATAAAAGTCCTGCAGCAGATTCATCCCTCATTTCTGAGTCAAAGAGAGGGTATCGCTTCCCTTTTGTAGTAGTCCGGGAAGCAACTGATAATTTCAGCGAGAGCCTAATTATCGGAGTTGGTGGATTTGGGAAAGTTTATAAAGGAGTCTTGAGTGATGGAACCAAAGTGGCAGTGAAAAGAGGTGTTTCTGAATCAAGACAAGGCCTGTCAGAATTCAAGACGGAAATTGAAATGCTGTCTCAAGTTCGCCATCGCCATCTTGTTTCGTTAATTGGGTATTGTGATGAAAGAAATGAGATGATCATTATCTATGAGTTCATGGAGAATGGAACCCTCAAGGATCATCTGTATGGATCAGATCATCCGAAACTAAATTGGAGACAAAGGCTAGAGATTTGCATTGGATCAGCTAGGGGACTTCACTATCTTCACACTGGATCAGTGAAGGCCATCATACACCGCGATGTAAAGTCTGCCAACATACTTCTTGATGAGAATCTACTGGCAAAAGTGGCTGATTTCGGCATTTCAAAATCCGGTCCAGAGCTAGACCAGACTCATGTTAGCACAGTTGTGAAAGGAAGCTTTGGTTATCTCGATCCAGAGTACTTAACAACGCAACAGCTGACAGATAAATCAGATGTGTACTCTTTTGGAGTGGTTATGATTGAAATACTATGTGGAAGGCCAGTCATTGATCCATCGCAGCCGCGAGAAAGGGTGAACTTAGTAGAATGGGCAATTCAGTGTCTCAACAGAGGGGAGCTGGAAATCATTGTGGATCCTCATATTGCAAGTGAAGTGAAGCCTGATTCCCTGATGAAATTTAAGGAAACTGTTGAGAAATGCTTGGCAGACTTGGGCGCAAATCGACCTACAATGGGAGATGTACTATGGAATTTGGAATCTGCATTTCAGCTTCAAGTTGGTGATCCAAGAGACAAGAACCAAGAGCAAACAAACAGTCAGAAACTGGATGTTAGCATATCCAGCACCGGGCAATTTAGCTTGGGAAGTTTTGGTGATCTTGAAGGTGTATCAATGAGGAGGGTGTTCTCTAATATGATTAAAGCTGAAAACGCAATTGACCAACATCAACAAGATGCTATATGAAGGCATGTACGATGTTGCTTTAGATTAGTTAGATAGTACAAGTCGATTACAAGTATTGTTGTACAAAGAGGATTGTTTTGGAAAAGTAACTGAAATCTTATAAGTTGGAAATTAAACTTCAATAGAATAAGATGGATGAACCAAGTATTTATATTTCAAATTTTCTGGTTTTTTGCTTTATATATAGACAGACATATGATACAATTTCAAAATTAGACCATTATGGTGAAGAGGCATCAGAAAACAGGCCCTTTCATCTTTTTGTTTTTGTTTTTGTTTTGCATATCGTATGTGTTTATCATCTGCAACAATGACTATTTCGTGTATTGAATCATAGACATCTCGATGAGTTTTTATTGGACTTAAAATCTGGGGTGATTGGGCTCTTCATAATTTTGTAGGCTTAAAGCCCACTGGGCCAAAAATTATCACTCAATTTTTTTTATTTTTTTTTCCTAATCTGGTCATCTGGTGTCGGTTTTCTCTTCAACTTTTCTCATCTCCTTTCAACCCGTTCGTTATCTTACCACTCCTTTTTTCCCTAAATAAGAGAGAATTATTTTTCTTCGACAGAGAGGGAGTGTGTCTGGGGGAGATAATTTTGGTAACCCTAGGGCAATATGGATAGGGAAGAAAAATCCAGCCGGAGAGACCGAGATTCCGATCGGGACCACCATAAACATCATTCTTCTTCTAAACACAAGTCCGGGGATGCCGATGACGATCGCCGCCACAGCCACAGTCACCATAGGTCTAAGTATCGGGAAGATGGTGAGGACCGGCATTCACTAGACCGGAGGTCGTCGAGGGAGTACTCCGCTGAGAGGGAGAAGTCAGTTGAGCTAAGAAGCGAGGCCGAGGGAGGCAGACATAGAGATAGGTCTCGCGAACGGCACAAACGCGGAAAGTCGAAAGATCGAGAGAAGTCGTATGATAGGGAGGATTCGACGGAGAGGAAGCATATTAAAAGGAAAGAGAGAGGAGGCGAGAGTGGGGAGGATAGTGACGGCGGGGCCAAGAGAGCTAGGGTTTTGGAGGATAGGAAGGAGAGGAGGAAGAAGTTTGATGAAGATGTGAATGGAGGCAAGGCAGAAGAAAAGAAAGAAAGGCGTAAATTTGAGGACGTTGATGGGGGAAAAGAGAATCGAGAGGAGCAAAGGGAGAGGAGGAGGTTTGAGGACAAGGGGAAAAAGGGCGAACATGGAACCGAGTTTGATGATTTGGGGAAAATTACCGGGTTTGATGAGAGAAGCTCTCAGCAAGAGCAGAAACCAGAACTCCCTGTTGCCGGTAACGTGAATACTGGTGGTTCCATATCTAATGTAAGTGTTCATCTATCATTTTACCTGTTGTTTTTTTTTTTTTTTTTGGGTTCTGGCCGCTGCATTATCCATAAATTGCTGTTTTCTTTTTCTTTTTAACCGCATGAAATATACTATCATCTCCGTTTGTAAGAGCACATTGAATTGTGATGTGGATTATTTTCATTTTGAGAATTTCAAATTTCAATAGGTTTTGGAGGAGTTGTTGAAGAAATGTGTTGTAGTAACTGGTGTGGTATGGATTGGTGATGATGCATACTGATTAGCCCTGTTTTGTCAATTGTGGGCATTGCGTGCCTGGTTTGCTTGGTCAGAATAGCTAAGTAAGTTGCAGAATAACTTTTCCTTTGGTCCCCAGCTCCCCCTCCCCTCCTCTTTTGTCTCCTGAGTCGATTTAGAGGAATAAGATCCCATTTCTTTGCATGTGAAGGAAGACCTGTATTCAACGTTGGTTTTGGCCCTCCTAAACCTGTTACATTTAGTTGAAGACTTTTGCGGATTTACTGTTAACATGTGTGCTTGCTGTTAAGATTCGGTAAAGACTAGGTTTATGCTTGTCTGTGTGCTGCTGTATGTTGTTGACACCATAACTTGATTTATCTATTGTTTTCTTTGAAAGGACTATAATGAGACCAATTGGAGCAATCTTTCGTTTTTACCTCTGTGCCCTTTACATATGCTGAATCTCCACCTTATCATACTTTTCTAGTCTAGTCTATCTAGGATCAGATGCTGCAAGTTTTACCTTGTGTAAATTATGTATGATCCTGCCTTTATAAAAGATAAACATTATTTAGTGTTATCCTGTTTAATCATATGGTCTTGCTGCCGGCAAAGCATCTGGATTCTAAGCACTGCCTTTTCTCTTTATGAAGACTGGCATAGGCAGTCGTCCTACTTCTAAGGAGCTGCTCTGAATTATGAGCTTCTTTTGTAGGGTAATGGAGTGGAATCATGCAGCACAGCATCTTGGAGTGATACTCATTTGCACGAAATTCATTCTCCTGATATCAAGGTATCTTCAATTTCTACGACAAATGAAAATAAGGGAGTTAATATTAACAGATCTCATGAGGTTCCTGGGAAATCCAGTACAGATGGAACAGGTTCAGATGCTGCCAAGGTTGGAGTTTTGTCTCGTGATAATTTAGATAAAGCAAAAAAAGCTTTGCAAAAGATGAAGGAGCTTCAAGAGAAGACTAAGAAGATTCCCGTGGTAAGCTACTTTTACAGGATTCTTCTTGTCTATTGTTTTATACATGTTGCTGTTTTCTTTTTCCAAAAAATAAAAAAGAAAGAAAGAAAAAAGAAGAAAGAACTATATCACAAATTCGTGTATCTTTTATTTTTGAGAAGTTATATTTTATGAGGCTGAAAACATGTACTGGTCATTTTGAGTTGGGATTTGTCCATAAGAAACTGTAGAAATAGATGTGCTATTTGGATGCAACCCGAGATGGTTACACAATTCTTTGTGAGATTATTATCAGATATGGACTTTAATGAGTTTTTCTTTCACAAGCTCACTCTTTTCATTCTTTAATATGAGGAAATATGGATACAGAATAATAATTATTATTATTATTATAATTTTTTTTTTTAATTGATAGCTAGAGTTAAGAAGTTTCTCGTGTTGCACTTGTTTGGTTTCTGTTAAACTGAACCTGTTCTCCTTTTGTGATTTAGTTGAACAAGGCTTCTGGGGTGAATAGAGAGAGTAGTCCTCATTTGGGACCCGCACCGGGTGTTAACAACACTCCTTCCACTGGATCTGGGATACCCGCTACACCTTCTTCCTTAGCCAGCTCTTCTCCAGTCACTACTTCACGTATGTCTACTTTGCCTGCGGTAGGAGATCCTATGAATCCTCCACCCCTGGGTTTGCCTCATCTTTCTGGGCTCAATCCGGAGCGATTTGAGGCTGTTAAGAAGGCTCAGGAGCTTGCTGCAAAAATGGGGTTCCGACAGGATCCAGAGTTTGCCCCTCTAATAAATATGTTTCCTGGGCAGTTGCTACCAGATGTTGCCATTCAGCCGAAGCCTGCCAAAGCGCCTGTTCTTCGCTTGGATGCTTTGGGCAGGGAAATTGATGAACACGGAAACGTAGTAAATGTGCCAAAAGTAAATACATTGAGTACTCTCAAGGTATGATAGTTCCTTCAACAAAAAAGAGAGTAGAAATATAAAATTTTCCTCAAAATTTATTTGTACTTGTTGTCTAATTCTGTTTTGATTTTTCAGGTCAATATTAACAAGCAGAAAAAAGATGCTTTTCAGATTCTTAAGCCAGAATTAGAAGTTGATCCGTCCGAAAATCCTCATTTTGACCCAAGAATGGGTATTAACAAAAACAAGATTCTGAGACCTAAGAGGATGTCGTTTCAGTTTGTGGAGGAAGGCAAATGGTCAAAAGATGCCGAGACACTCAGATTAAAGGTAAACCTTACTTGCTTTTTGTGTGTCTGTTTTGTTTTCTTTGTTCCCTTCTTTGGGTTTGTAAATTGACCGTCATACTGTATCTGATTTTGCTTGAAGAGTCAATTTGGAGAAGCGCGAGCAAAAGAGCTGAAGGCAAAGCAAGCACAACTGGCCAAGGCAAAGGCGGAGCCCGATATCAATCCGAATTTGATTGAGGTGTCGGAGAGGGTCGTTGTCAAAGAGAAGCCCAAGGAAGTAATTCCTGAAGTTGAGTGGTGGTAAGTTGGAATTATAATCCATCTACAGATTTTATATGACTTGCTGTTATGACATCATCAATGTAGTTCATGTGATGCATTTTACCTTCTTGCTTTATGATAGTTTGGGATCGATGAAAATGTGGCTCCTTAAGTTTCCAAATAGTGGAGGGATATATCTATAATTTGTGCCTACAGTTTCAGACCTTTTAGCTGTGTATATGATGTTATCTCTTGGTTGGTTGAAAGTGTGTGAAGTTTTCTGTTGTTGTATGTGACCTATGTTTTGTTTTACGCTGTGGGGTTTTGAGGGTGGCTTGGGAAATTGACTTCTATTCTGTTTATAGAAATATGAAAATTATGATCAATTTGTGATAAATTCTGTTGTCTGATGTGGTTATTCTTTTCTTTCCCCCTTCCCTTTTATGTCACATATTTGAAGGACTTATTCCACTTATCCTAATCTTATTTCCTCAAATTGCAGGGACATACCTCTTTTACTATCAGGGAATTACAATGATATCATAGACGGTGATTTAACTGATGACAAACTAAAGATGGATAAGATCACCATTTATGTTGAGCATCCTCGTCCCATTGAGCCTCCTGTTGAACCTACTCTTCCCCCGCCTCAGCCTTTGAAACTGACTAAGAAAGAGCAAAAGAAGCTCCGCACTCAGCGTCGCTTGTTGAGGGAGAAAGATAAACAGGACATGATTAGACAAGGCCTCCTAGAGCCACCAAAGCCGAAAGTGAAAATGAGCAACCTTCATAAGGTTCTCGGAACAGAAGCAACACAAGATCCAACAAAGCTTGAAAGGGAAATTAGAAATGCAGCTCTTGAGCGTGAACAGGCTCACATTGATAGAAATATTGCCCGGAAATTGACTCCTGCTGAGCGCCGTGAGAAGAAAGAGAGAAAACTGTTTGATGACCCAAATAATGCGGAAACTATAGTCTCGGTTTACAAAGTCCGTAGCCTTGCACATCCACAGGCTCGATTTAAAGTTGACGCAAATGCTCATGAGAATCGGTTGACTGGTTGTGCTGTGATTTCTGAAGGCATCTGTGTTGTGGTGGTGGAAGGTTGTCCGAAATCCATCAAGAGATATGGAAAACTTATGCTGAGGCGTATAAATTGGGCAGCAGTGGAGAAAAATGAGGAGGAAGATGAAGATGAAGATATGGATGATGATGCCCCTGTCAACAAGTGCATGTTGGTGTGGCAGGGTTCTGTTGCAAAATCAAGTTTTCATAAATTTTCCATTCACGAGTGCAGGACAGAAGCTGCTGCTCGGAAAATATTCTCTGATGCTGGGGTTGGTCACTATTGGGATCTTGCTCTTAATTTTTCGGAGGAATAAATTGACCTTGAGTCTCTTTTCTGGTTATGTTTCTTGGTGGCTAAAACGGTATTACTTTAGTAGTTCACCCGTTTTGTGCTAATATTTGTCCTTGGCTTAGACGGTTGACTGAGATTGTACAATTGATCACTTGATGCACTTGCTCATCTGTTAATGGTTTTGGAATTTGGACCATTTACATAATTTTGATGATTTTGGTTGCTGTCTAATAATAGTTCTATCAAGATGGAGATGTACAAATAGATGCTTAGGGTTTTTTTTTTGTTTTTTTCTTTTTCTTTTTTCTGTGCTCCCCTTTTAAATCTTTTGGCATACCAAAATCTGGGGAATGGCAAGGACCACTTTTCTTTTGTTTCCTCTTTTATATCGTTGCGGTTATAAAATCAGTAGTAGAAATTTACATGTAAATATATTAGAGAGAAGAGATGCTTGTTTGGGATAAAGCCTTGGGGATTCAAATGGTTAATCATGCGATTATAACTCAATCTCTTGGATTGGCTTGTCATTTGGTCCTGTTCTGGCTTGTTGTCAGGGTGGCAGCATAAGTTTATGCAACCCAATTCGATTTGTGTATGTCATTTACCTTCAAATGGTTAATCATGCGGTTTGGGAAACGTTAATTCAAGAAGATTAAAGCTTATTTAAAATCTAAAACTGAAAATTTAATTGCTCCCCGAAAGATGATAAGACATAAGTAATTGTTTTTGGTCACGGTTTAGCCATCTTGGGGCCGGTTAATAGAGATTCAAAGTGGGTTTAAAGTGCAACATGGAAGGAGATTAGGCAACAATCTAAAAGTGAGCCCAACCACATGCAGTTATAAGGACACATCACTTTTAATCCTTTGCCATTCTTTTTCTGTGGAATTGCATGTGGGAATCGGTGGAGAAATCGAAATCACCTTTTACATCTTTGGATGAAATTGCCAACGAATTACCATCGCACACATGAAGATGGTGTGATGAACATAATCAGATCTCATGCTGTGGGATTGTCCTTCACGACCCTCAAATTGTATTTACATTATTATCGATGACAACATTAACAACGTATAAACACTTCTATGCCTCTCTCAATTATGGAGGTTTGTTCTATTTTTTGTGTTTTTCAACTTCCGTATGCAATTTGCATGCAGGTAAAGTTAGTTGTTGATTTGGTAGAATCAGTTTGTTATGGCCGGAGTACCTCATGATATGCCCCGCCCCCTGCCCGAATCAATATTTCTATCTACATTTAACAATTTTAACTACCAACTTCCGACGTAGGCATTACTATATAGATTATAAATTAAGTTTACAAATTAAACAGCAATCTTAGTCCTGTATTACATGTTTTTATTATGATTAGTTATATGTCATTGTTGTAAATAAAAAACAATTAATTTTAATTTGAGTGAAGGGATTAATAATTTTCAAAACTACAGCGTATGTTCTTCATTGTTATGATATAGGAAAGATAGAAGACATAAAACATAAATCATAACCCACTAGTCTACACTCTACACATGTATAGAGAAAAAGAATTCAATAGTCTCCATGAACAGATGATTGTAGTCTTTATTAATTGACTGAACCATCTAAGCGACATGACCTTATTAATTAAATGGACAAATGCATGCTCATTTTATACCATCTAGCTAAGATCTGAACAACAAATAATGAGAGAATGATAATTTTCCCCCCTAAGGAATTCGGAGGGGTTTCATCTTTGTCTCCTTTTCAGTTTTACAAGCAGGACAAGCTTTACCGATGGTTATAGCCATATGGAAATTAAATGACAAGGCTAAACGGATTTGGGGGTTTTGTCAACTTTGTCTATTTCTACCACTTGTTAGCTTGGGAATATTTAAGGCTCATTTTATATAGTACTCCATATTACTTAAAATATGGCCGTGTCAAGGCTTCTTCTTCGATCATTCTTGCAAATTACATATGAGCCATAATTATAAACACTACCTTTTCTTCAAAAGCAAGAAATTGCTGTCAAATTATTTGGTCATTTTAGATATTCATCGGATTTGAATAAATGAACTAGTCGCTTGCTAGAACCGAAGGATATGTAATGTAAATGGATCGAGTGGCTCTCATGAAATCTTAAAAGAGTAATGATATATATCTCTCTGGCTCTCTGATACCTTTATACTCAAATGACAATATCTCGGGATTTTAATCAATGTTTTCCACAAATTCGAACTGCATAAAAAATTACGCTAGTAAGAGTTAGAGAGATTTAATAGTTGAAATGAGTATTAGTATTAAATTCACCGTTTTTTATATTCAATAAAATGGTTGAGTATCATTGCATAAATATAAATAGTAATTTGGTTATAAGCCAGCTCTTGTTTTTTAAATTTAAATAAAATGAATAACCATAGTCGAATAGTCAAACAATTTCGCTGAATGATTAGTAACTGAAAATTCTTTAGGACAAGAAGAGGTTTACTTCATCCGCCAAATTGTTACCCTTATTTGCTTGTAACTCATGCAACGGCAACGGGTTAATTAAACTTTATAATGTCATCATTATCGCATTGATTGGGTGATTAAATAATTACATTTTAAAAATATAAGAATGTAGCAAAATCGAACTATATCTTTTAATTTGTAGTGATTTTTCTTTTCTTTTCAGCTGCAATGCACAAATTGACTTATATTCCTTTCTTTATGTTACAGAAGCTCAAGAGTTGTTACTTCATACTTAATGCATACAGTTGACAAGCACATGGAAGTGGAAAAAATTATATTCCGATTATTCATACAGGAAAATTATTTTGAGACAGAAGAGTGTGATCATTTGTAAAATTTTCATTGACGTAGGGAAGAATAATGGAATTAAACGTGCGAATGAAATTTTTTCTGATGGAATAAGAAATTAATGATTGCAGTTATGATATTCTTGACTATTCATATTTGCTACTTTCTTTTTCCTAGTAGTACTTGAAAAAGACAATTAAATGGGAAATTACCGCCGTCCTTTTTCTTTGGTATTCAGAAAATTCGTGAGGCCGGGGATTATGACCTTGTGTTATGGGCAAAGAATGGGGTTCAGGAGAAAAAAATGAGCTACCTCTACGTAATCTGTAACATGATATCATTTGACATCGGTTTGGGGTGCCCAAATATTGCGTGGTTATAATTTCTGTCATGATTATCTGAATCATAGACAAAATTAATTAACAAGAACCATTAACACTATTACTATGTTCGTTATGTTTATGCGATGTATGATCGTTTAGAATATAAGTAAATCATTGATACAATTACATGAGAATTAGTTAAATCATTTTTGGTTATTCAACTACTTTGTATTTAGGGTATATTATAACTATTTTGTCTGTCCCAAAATTATTATCCATTTTGGATCTTAATTTTTAGTTTAATGTATTAAAAATGAAAATGTAAATTGGACAATAAGGAGGAGTATTTAAAAAAAAAAAAAAAACCCCAAGAGAGTGGACAAAGAAGTAGTTAGGAGTTATTTTGTTGAACGTCTGTCGATTGTCAAACTTAAACATCAAATAAAATATCAGTGTTCGGACATTGTCAGTTTATTTTCGTGTTTTTTCCCTTGATAAATTCATTAGCTTGATTTAAGTAATCAAACAAAGCATCTTTGGTGTAAGCAGTGCAGTTCAGACACTCTAATTTCAGCGTACCAATAAAACTGGTACTAGTTATACTTTGATTTGAACAGAAAAATATGTACAACATCATAACGCAGTTTATAGTGTTATTATGGGTCCAGAAGCATCTGTAACCTTGAAATGATTAATGCCACTGTTAAAAGAGAGAGAGAGAAAATCCTCTATGTAAACCATAAAATTCATATCGAGTTTTTCAATTATCGATATCGTACTAAGAATAGTCAAAAGGAAAACAATCTAGACTCTAGATGCTTCAACTTGAATCGGATCTTTATACCTCGTAATGCCATAAGAAGATTTGATATAAAATGAGAGAATTAATTAGAAAATGTAAATAGTTTTTACTTTATTTCCAAACTAAATTATCCGAATAATAACTTATCATTTGAATTGAATTTCGAGGATGAATTTATGGTGAAGGAAGAAAAGTATACACATAAAACATCATCTAGAAGAAATAATATTAAGTAGTCAAAATGTACGTATGTTGTGACATATATATTATCATAGTAATATATGTGAGTAAGTAAAACTCTTCACACATACATAACCCTCTTAATTAAGAAGAAGCAAAGCGGCTAAGCTGAAACAGTAGATTACCATCCACACCTACCTTCACCCTTCAATCATACATCTTCCTCAAATGACAAAATACCCAAAGAAAAAAAAAATAAAAAGAAAAGAAAAAAGGAGCAGACTTCAGTCTACGTGGCATTGACCCACCAAATAGTAAGCCACCACTTGTCATCTTCCCAAGGTCTAATATTTTCTAGTAAAAAACCAGACGTGTAAATCAAAGATTAGGAGATTTAGGTCACCTCTCTCCACCCCCCTTCCCGCCCTAACCCCCCATAGCCTCCACACCACAATTTCCATCATTTTCTCCTTTCTTCATTTCAATTTTCACCCTCCTCCTCAAGTAAACTATATAAAAATAATATTCTATTTTAAATTAAACCTCACACTTCAAAAATTAGAATAATAATAAAAAAAAACCCTTTACCCAATTCAAACACTAAACCCAAAACCAGAGACAAATTAAACCAACTAGACCAGTCATCATCCCCTCCAAAAATCCACCAGAAAAAAAAAAAGAAAAAGAAAAAGACATTACATTATTCACACTGCTCACATTAAATGCATTCCCTTTATATATAAGGAAACAAACACTCCTTCCATTAGACATAACCTCACTAAAATTAAACACTTTTAGGAACTTCATCAACCAAAAGTGGGGGAGAGAGAAAAAAAAAGGAAAAAAAAAAAACACGCACACACACAGTAGTACGTAGAGGCAGGAAGCAGTTTTCTTGTATGTTCAGAACATATATATAAACCTTTGTGGATTGTTCAGAACAAACAACCAACACTTCAAAAATCTCATCTCCCCTATATTTCCTCCACTAAATACGCTGTCGTTTCACCGCCATGTTCTCCCCTGCTCTGTAACTCCTCCCTAATCCAGCTTTCTTAAAATATTAGCATAAAAGCCAGTGCTTCTTTTTTTTTCTTAATAAAAAAACTTCCCCTTACAAGTAGCATTTCATTAGGAATTTTTTTATTCTTTTTCTGGGTTACATGTTAAAGGGCAAAATGTCGCGGGTTGCTGCAAATGTCTCCCCGCTGACGGCGGTGTTTGATCGGATGCAGGCGGTTCAGTTGTCTTCATCCCCCAGCGCGTGTGCTTCACCAACTCTAGGACAGCTGCTGAAACGCGTTGGCGATGCCAGTAAGGAGTCCCACGGCGATGAGACCCCGGCTCATCAGGTCCTTGACGTCAGCGACGGTGGAATGGACCGCGCGCTTCCGTTCGTTCTCTCCTTCAACAACCTCACTTACAGCGTGAAAATTCGCCGGAAGATGGCTTTGCCGGCGATATTCAGCCGCGCCAAACTCGGCGGAGCGGGCGCCGCAGCAGCCGAACCCACCGCCGGAGAAACTCTGTTCACCAAGACCAAAGTCCTCCTCAACGACATCTCCGGCGAGGCGCGTGATGGCGAAATCATGGCTGTTCTCGGCGCCTCGGGTTCCGGAAAATCCACTCTCATCGACGCATTGGCCAACCGCATAGCGAAGGAGAGCTTGAAAGGAACCATCACCCTCAACGGCGAGCACCTGGAATCACGGCTGCTCAAAGTCATCTCCGCTTACGTCATGCAAGACGATCTCCTCTACCCCATGCTCACCGTCGAAGAAACCCTAATGTTCGCCGCCGAGTTCCGCCTCCCGCGGACTCTATCCACCTCCAAGAAGAGAGCCAGAGTCCAGGCCTTGATTGATCAATTAGGCCTCCGGAACGCCGCGAAAACCGTCATCGGAGACGAAGGCCACCGCGGAGTATCCGGAGGAGAACGGCGGAGGGTGTCCATCGGAATTGACATCATCCACGATCCCATAATCCTGTTCCTGGATGAGCCGACCTCGGGACTGGATTCCACAAGTGCATATATGGTGGTCAAGGTTCTACAGCGAATCGCTCAAAGTGGCAGCATCGTAATTATGTCCATCCACCAGCCCAGTTATCGAATCCTCGGGATCCTTGATAGACTGATTTTCCTGTCACGTGGCCAGCCGGTTTACAGCGGGCCGCCCAGTAATCTCCCCCAATTCTTCGCGGATTTCGGGCACCCGATTCCGGACAACGAGAACCGGACCGAATTCGCTCTGGATTTGATCCGGGAACTGGAAGGCTCACCGGGAGGTACTCGAAGCTTGGTGGAATTCAACAAGAATTGGCAGAACATGAAACGCGGAGCCGCCGCCACGGGTCTTCCCACCGCCACCCCGGCTTCTCCAACTCGGGGCTTATCGTTGAAGGAAGCAATAAGTGCCAGCATTTCAAGGGGAAAATTAGTCTCCGGCGCCACCAACAAAGACGCAAGTCCTGCCTCAATGGTCCCCACTTACGCCAACCCGTTCTGGGTCGAAATGGCGGTCTTATCACGAAGGTCATTCAAGAATTCCCGCCGGATGCCCGAACTTTTCGGGATCCGGATGGGCGCGGTCCTGGTCACCGGGTTCATCTTGGCAACCATGTTCTGGCAGCTGGATAACTCTCCCAAAGGAATTCAAGAAAGGTTAGGGTTTTTCGCGTTCGCGATGTCGACCACATTCTACACCTGTGCGGACGCGCTGCCCGTTTTCCTGCAAGAGAGGTACATATTCATGCGGGAGACGGCTTACAACGCGTACAGGAGGATCTCTTATTGTCTCTCCCACGCATTGGTATCCTTGCCGTCGTTAATATTCTTATCGTTAGCGTTCGCTTCGATAACATTCTGGGCGGTCGGGTTAGACGGCGGGTCATCCGGGTTCATGTTCTATTTCGCCATCATATTAGCCTCATTCTGGGCGGGGAATTCGTTCGTGACATTCCTGTCAGGTGTGGTCCCGCACGTGATGCTGGGTTACACGATTGTGGTGGCAATCCTAGCTTACTTCTTGCTCTTCAGCGGGTTCTTCATCAACCGGGACCGGATCCCGGCGTACTGGATTTGGTTCCATTACATTTCGTTGGTTAAGTATCCGTACGAGGCGGTGCTCCAGAACGAGTTCGACAACCCATTGAAGTGTTTCGTTCGGGGGATCCAGATTTTCGACAATACCCCGTTGGGAGTGGTTCCGGATTCGTTGAAAAGCAAGTTATTGGACAGCATGAGCAATACGCTGGGAATGAGGATCACCAACTCGACGTGCGTCACCACCGGCGTCGACATTTTGAAACAGCAAGGTGTTACCGAGCTCAGCAAGTGGGCCTGCCTTTACATCACCATTGCTTGGGGTTTCTTCTTCAGGATCTTGTTTTACTTCTCCTTGTTACTAGGAAGTAAAAACAAGAGGCGGTAAAAAAAGTTAAAAACAAACAAATGGTGTATAAGGTTTTTTTTTTTACCACAGATGTTTGAGGGAAAAGATGATGTAATTTTTCCTTCGTTTTTTTTAAAAATTTCGGGGAATGTAATTTTTTTTTTGGTTAATTTAATACTTGTTATTAGGTGTTCGACAAATACAAATATAAGATATTATTGAGTTGAAATAAATTTTTGATGTGCCATGCTTTATTTGTTGTTGTAGTAGTAGTATATGTGTAGTGTAGGGCTTGAGGTTTACGTAAATATGTATAAATGTAGGTGACCTAGAAATCTTAAACAATGAAATAAATGTATGCATATGTTTGGTCAAGTAAATTAGTTAAAGCTTACAGCATTGAGAGAGAAGGCATATAAATCAACTTATTGTTGACCAGAATGACTGTTGTGACGAAATGGGGGTGGTGATGAGTAGATAGGAATTAGGGAGGTAGATGGGAGGATATACACCCACACGGGTTCTTCATGACTTTCTTTTTTTTTGTAATATCTTAAATTTATTAGTATTATTTTTTAGAAAACACAAAAAAAAAAAAAAACGTGAAAGCGTTACGGGGATGCAGTTAGTTTTGGGTTTGAAATGGTGGTAAGGATAACCTTTTGGCAATGTTTAATGTGGAAACCTTTAATTTGATTACTAGTGTAACTGATATATTGACCAGAATGATTAAAGTAATTTAAAGCTTATCATTATTATTAAAACTTAATTCATCGTGTCAGTCGCCCCACAAAGCATAAATGATTAACGTACGTAGGGATGAGATATTGAAGCGTTTAATTTCATAATTGGGTTTTATGGTTTTGTTCTTCTTACGTTTTTTGAATTCCATCTTTTTGGAGTTACTCGAATATTATTAATCATTGTCTGTTAATAAACAACAATCAGGTTTGTTTTTTTTTTTTTCCAGTAAGCGCACCAAACGTGATTTTGCCTAAAAGGAAATACCAAAATAAAACGAACTCAGATTTTTTTATCATGTGACTGAGCCCAAGTTCTTCGGGAAGATGAGAATATATTAATACCAAATAAAATAAACTTAAAATTTGTTGAGTGTTTATTTAAAATCACCACGCAGAATCTATTTCCATTTCCATGTATAAGTTAGTCAGCAACAATGTTTTACCTCCTTGAAGATTCATAAATACTCCTTCCTGACTTAATTTGAAAATATATAAATTTCTTTTGTAGTGACAAACAAAATGTTTAATCTAATTAGATTTGGGGGAAGGACGGAAATAAAATTATGTATAAATGCGCGTTTTAACTTGGTGAGCGCGACAGATTTTGATATCACATTATCCAACAATAAAACATGATTACCACGCAAAAAAGTACGTAAAAAATTTATCATATGAAGTATTATACGTAACTGTAGCTTTTTTTTGGGATTGAATATTATTCTAACATCTGAGAATTTTAATTATGGCACCAGAGAGGCAGGACTTGAGACGGAGTAGAGTAAGTAAAATACTTGATAAATCGAAACGTGGAGACTGTTACATTAACACGAGAGCCAAAAAAAAAAAAAGCAATAAACTTTATCGAGAATTCAAGAAAAAAAGAAGAAGGAAAACATGACATCATATGAATTAAATTATAAACATACAGAACATCGATTAGATATTTTGCATTGACATTTATTGGACCCAACCCAGCCGAAAACGTTAACTTGTAGTTGTTAGTTTGCAAGGCTGCTGGTTGATGATCAACAAAAATATACATGTATCTAAACCCATAATTGTGATTGATTGTGTGGGTAAACAAGCCACCCTTAGTTTATGTAGGCTGTACTAAAACGAACGCTAATTTGGATGCTTCATGAAATTATATAGCTCCACCCAAAAAAGCAAAACCCAATTTTGTAAGCAATTAATTAAGTTTCAATTTCGTGTCGGATTTACCAACATTTCTGCCAACCATCTTCTTTTCTTCTTCCTCTACTGCTAACCTTTAGTAGTATAAAATAGTACTAAGACTTTTTATTGTAACCCCTATATTATACTCCCTCCGGTTCTTAATATAATGCATTTTGATTTATTCTATGTTTCATCTGATACGTATTTTTAATTGACAAAAAAATATTAAAAATACTTCCTTTGGTTCTTATTATAAGGTATTTTGATTTTTCTTATATTTCATCTAGTACACATTTTTAATTGACGAAAAAACCTCAAAAATATATTTTCACATTCGTTGTATTCTCTTGATCGTTATGATATATTTTTAAGATTTTTTCGTCGATTAAAAATATGTAATAGATTAAACCTAAAATAAATCAAAATGTCTTATATAATAATTAAGAGAATACAAGATAAACCTAAGATAATAGATTAATTTGAGGGACATGCGAGACGAGTATTTTATAACAATCAAGAGAATATAAGAATCAGAACAGAGAATATAAAGAACCCGAGAAAAAAAAAAAAAAAGAAGAAGAAGAAGAAGAAGAAACAACTGCTACATCCAACGTACGTCGTAATTGTAAGAAAGTTTTCTCGGTCTCGTGAAGTCCTCTTACTTTTCCAAGGAAGATTAATTGTCCACAACTATATCTGGTTGAAGAGAATATACTAATTAATTAAATTCCAGTATGAACTCGACGATATGGATTGCGTTACTCCATTTTTTTACTCTTAATTACTCCATCGCATGCCCCTCAAATTATCGGTTCTTCCATTTTATTTTGTCATATGAATTTTCATAGAAACTGTTTCGATTTAGTTGAATGAAAGTCTAACGTTGTTCGTCGACAATCAATTGACCCGATTTTGAATGAGGGACAAATCCAAGAGCCCATTGAGTACTTATTATTAATGGTAAAATAATCAAAGCAAAAAAAATTGTCGCGATAAAGATAAAGAGAGCTTTTTGAAAGGGACTCAAAATTTTTACGAATATACTCCTCCGTTCCACAAAAATAATCTAGTTTCAAAACGTGTAACTTTTTAATTTTATTCAACTCAATCAAGCTACAACTCATTTTGTATCTTGAACTTCCTTTTTCACCCCTGGTCTTCTCTCGGTCAGACGTTCAAATTTTGTGACCCTAAAATATTTCCTCGCCGGAAAACACCGTTGCCGCCTGCTCTATAAAAGCAGTCACTATGCTTACCCTCAAATCGCTACCTTTTCCTTCTCATCAACTTCTTTCATTTTCTGATGACGAAATAACCGTAAAAATCACAATTTCTAAATAAAATCAGAGTTTTTTTTTAAAAAAAAAGCTATATAGCATCACCCATTCGCTTTCGTAAACAACAAAAATAATAGAAGCACTTTAAGGAAAAGGAAAAAAGAAGGAATAAGAAGAAGATACCGGAGATAGGGAGCAAATTAATTGAAGAATACTAGCTAATCTACCAAGGGGATGATGAAGGCCGTGGAGTTTAAAGCAGATTGGTAAAGCAATTAGGAACTAAGCAAATCGGCAACGACAATCGAGTAAATAGAACCTCATACAAAGAAGAATTGAGTGAGTCAGTGACGGCGGCCGAACATGGGGATGAAGAATTGAGGAGTCCGTGACGGCGGCAGAACGTGGGGATGAAGAATTGAGTCGATCAGTGACGGCGGTGGAACCTGGGAGCCTGGCCGCATATGGAATTTTGATAGGGTTAATTTGTAAGGTTTTAATTTTGACCGTGGATAGTTTTAGGGTACTTTAGTCATTTTATTCGAATATAATTTTGAGGACTATTTTTGTGGTACGGAGGGAGTATAACTTTTATCCCAGAAAACTAATTCATACTGAATTTTCAAATTTGTATTATTTTTTTGGATTAGAGGTAAAATATGATTTTGTTGGTTGTTAGTTATACACTAATAAGGTTACCATGAAGTACGATTAAAGCATCCAGTAGAATTAAAGTACACTAACTTTACCAATTACCATGATTTTGTAGTACTCATGTAGTATTTTTTTTTTAATATTCTGTACAGAAACAAAAATTAAAAAATTGGATCGTGTCGAGGGTAAATCCCGGGGGCAGAGAGTCAACGGTCCGACCTGAACAGGAACCTGCAAGACAGAGGTTAGCACTCCGAAGATTAAGTCAGTTATAGGGAGAGAAACAGGTAATTAACACACTTAGAGAGAGAAACGATAGTATGGAATTGAATTCGCAATAAATGAGTAAAGAGTATTTATAGGTCCCAATGCGACAATACCTGTGGACCCCCGTATTAGGAGGGGCAAAAACGTAAATAGACAAGGATTGATTCTTTATAATCCGGCTGGGCCTTTAGAAAGAAATAAACGGATTACTTGGGTTTATAAGATAGGCTCAAATAGGGTGGACAGTTGGGCCAGTCAAAGTGGGTCAAAGTTGATCCCCAACAGATCGATTCTCATAAAACTATCAACAACTATAAACGAGTGAACACAATAAAGGAAAAATACGGAGAAATATTGTTTACCATCTCTACTAAAAAGTGAAAAAGAAGTCAAACATTGAAAAATAATCCTCAAGATTCACACGTCAACTACGCATACCAGTAGGCCAATTGCACATGGTATAGCTGTAAGTTAATAAAATCGCTACGATAAATTAACTTTCTGGACACACATTAATTTCTAACCTAATTATTTAAAACCCTTATTACAAAAGGCAATTAAATTCTGCTTTGGAAAATGATTGAAAGATACAAATATCCAATCCCAGATCCTGGAATGGTCACCACTTTTGAAGTACAAGCAAACATTAAACACAATAGCATGTTCACATTTACATGTTAAAAAAAAAAAGAAAAGAAAGTACACTGTAGTTTGACCAATATTTTGTTTTTAATTTTTTATTTGGGTTTGAAATGTGATTTAAAATGTGGTTTGAGATAAAATTTAAAAAGTTGTTTGGGTAATATTTTAAATAGACTAATAATATTTTGAGACCACCACCGAACTACCTCCACCACCGGAGCCGCCGCCGCACCATCAACCGCCACCGTCGAAATTCGGCCGGCCAGTCGCCGGCCGCTAACGGTACGGCGGCGGCGGTAGACGATCCGGTGGTGGCGGAGGTAGTCCGGTGGTGGTAGACGAAAATTGGGTAAAAATAATTTTTGGAATATTTTTTAAAAGGTAAATTAAAAAGTTGTTTAGATAGTATTGGAATTTGTGTATGAGAGCTGTTTTAAGAGGTAAATGAGACAAAAATGTAAAATAAAAAGTTGGCCAATCGAAGGCCTTAAGATTCTAAGGAAGCAAAGAGGAACAACAACTCAACGTTGCTTCATTCTTCTTTTAGTATATAGTACTGTTAGTGGGGTACATTAATGATCCAAAGCCCTTTACTTAGTTTCAACTTTCACCACTAGTTTTCATCATCAGTCAATCGGTGGAAAAATATTTGAAAATCGGCATCACGGGAAGGCTGATTTTGATGGATCGCCTAAAGTGTCAAAGTGAGTTTGTGAAATTTTACATGGGTATCCTGGCTGTTGATGATATCTCAGTCTCGTATGGTAGTCGTGTTTTTTTGTTTCCCCTTTTTGTAAATGGGTCTGCAAATAGACCAAACATTATTAAGCCGGCCAATTTGACGAAATGACAACTAATGAAAAGATGTGTAGTTAGATTCTCCCTTTTACTCCTCATTATACACTGATCTATCATCTCATTGATTGATCTTGCACGCTAGTACGTACTATTTTCTCCTACAAGATTATAGTTACGTTTGTAAATAATTATTTTGGAACAAATACGTGATCTTATTTCATAATTTCAAGAACTATTCAGCATTTGGTTTCACTAATTGGTGGTGGTAACAGGGATGACAATTGACAACCATCACCAGGTAGGTGCCCAGATTATGCCCAAATTGCTCGTACAAGTAATATATAGAATTCAGCCCAATTTGAAGAGAATGATTTTTTTTTCTTTGCATGTATGTATCACTATTCACTAGTTATTCAAATGTATAACTGACCAATGATTCCCTATCCTCAATTGAGTATTTCTAGTTCCATTTACAGAATGCAGAGAGATTTTGGATCCGTGGACTTGATATGACAGCTAAAGCAAAATATGCTTCCTTGTTTAGTACATTTAGTACCACTACCAAGCGTTCCAACTGCCAACTTTGTTGGGAACCGTACGCTAAAACCACAGAGAAAAGAATCTTAAAATTCGATTCTAACACCATGCAGTGTTGTGAGCATTTCTTAAATAAACTTATACTCCCTCCGTCCCATAATTATTGTCCAGTTTGAGTTTTCATTTCTAGTTCAAATTGTACTAAAAGTGAAATCTCAAACTGGACAATAATTTTGGGACAGAGGAAGTATTTAATGTGCCATGCCTTTCCGTAAGAACTCTAGATGTGGCAAACATGGCATCCAACGCCTAGAACAACAATGTGTTATTCAAATTGGGAAAACCAAACCCCTCGCTATTCGAGACAAACTACCCAACTGTGGGTAAAGTAACATCCGATGAATCATTTGGCTTGAAGCTGGGAAGATTTGAGAAGATGCCTTACAGATTGAATCATGGAACATCAGTATCAGGTGATTTGGATGGTGACTGCTCCTGAATCTCTTGCTTTGAAACATTGTTTCGTATGTTAGCTAATTTTTCCGCCTCATCTCTTTCCAGTAAGGCCTGTTGTTGCATGGTTTTCATTAGTTCCTTCATCTTTGTCTCTTCACTGTCGAGCTGCATCTTCATTATCATATGTGCTTCTTGGTCAATAGGTTTAAAATACTCTTCAATCGCAGCCTCCTGAAATGATGGAAATTTTTTTTTATTAGATGCACTATGGTATTCAAGAAGAACTTGTGAAAAGTAAGCAAAACTAAATGCAGTGAAGTAAAATGATGCAAGAGGTTCGTAGGAGGTAGGAAATTGCAGCAAAAAAACTTGATAAACTAACTCTTATTAATCCTTTCAAACAAGTCGAAGTTCGAATCTAACATTCAGAGGAGCACAAGGACCGGAAACACATTTGATTGAAGACTAAGCATATTCACAAAAAGAAACAACAAAAAAACTGCCAAAGAAAGACACTTACTGTTTCTTCCAGCTTCTTATTCAAAGCTTGCATGTCTTCCACCATCTTCCTGACTTCAGACAAAATAATTTGCTCAGGAACCTTTTTCAAAGCTTCCTTCTTTGCCTGGGCCTGCGCAGAAAAACAGTGGATACAATCTTTTAGCTAGTCTTAGCAGGCATTGCACAAAAGATAACCAAGAACTAAGAAAATGCTGCTAGCAAATTAAAAATCTAATAATAAAACAAAACAGATCACCATAAAAGAATGCAAAGATGATATCAACATGCAACGCATCGAAGGCCATAGCTACCAAAAGTTTCACATGCTCAGTAGATTCAAGGTAAGTTCTTTTTAACAGTCCGTTGTGATACTACACCACAACTACACAGAACTTGGTTCTTATGTTTGGTACACTACACCTCAGAACTCGAATCAGATGTTGAGTTCATTCATCAATCATACTGAACAAAGAGTATACGGTAACAGTAATAAAGAGAATTAAACTGATAAACCGTGCCTCTCTTCCCAAAATTTGTATGCAGAAACACATATTGATACCACGATAATTCCTAGTTAGACAAAACATGAACCCTATACCATTTTTCTTCAGGATTATTCTCAGTGAGATTAAATTCAGTATCTTTTACCATGAATAATAGTAAGCTGAATAAACTACCAGAGCCAATAGTTCTCTAATTATGGCAGCATTCCAAACAGAAAATTATCCTCTCCAGTTGGAATAACATCATTGAGAACTTAACCCGATTACTGGGAGTGGCCGTTGTCAAAATGCTGACACTCTTCTGATATTTATGTTAAAAAGAAATAATACGTCAAAAAAACACAGCACATTTCTTATACCAACAAATGAACTGAGAGAAGAAAGAAAACAACATAAAGACAGCAAAATTCGCATGTACATAATGAGAACAGAAAGTAGCACTCACACTCAAAATGGAGATGTCTTTGTGGTTATTATGAGGATTACCTTCTGGAGGCGTTCTTCCATCTGTAATCTAAACGACCGAATTCGACGTTCCTCATAGCCCGAGAGGACCCTCACGTAGAACATTGCTTTCCTCCCAAAATCCAATAGCTTTTTCATTCTTTGATATGAGTATATTCGTTCTCAACACTGGCAAAAGTTACATGTCAAACCATTAACATAATCAGAATGCTGTAAATTTTGGCTGCATATAGTTTTTTAAAAAAAGGGGGAAAAAAAAAGCTGCAAATAGATATTCATAAATCCCATGTCTGATTCATAAATCTTGGACTATAATTCGAGTAACCATTGCCCTAAATTTGGCTCAGAAGTTGGGAAGAAGAAATAACTCAACCAAAAAGAAAAAAGGAGCACAATCCATGAACTTCTATACAAGACTGACAGAAATGATGACGAACTAACAGCAGCAACAAGATGCCAATTACTGAACAAGAAGAAGAAAGAAATAACCAGATAAATACAAAATAAACAATGAATTAATTCATCCCAAAAAGAAAAATGAATTAATTCATCCAAATTACCTGGAGAAATTCGGTTTGGTAACCGAAGTGACGCAAAAGGAGACGAAATCGAGATAGAAATTCCAGCGGTGGAAGCTCTCAACAATTCCACTTCCCACTATCAGATCAATGGGGATACCTTCGATTGCTGACGGGGTTCAACGATATTAAGAAATGGGCGGGAGAATCAAAGGATACAGCGGTGGCGCCGGTAGTGATGGGGGGAGGCTGACGGCCGGAGACAGCTGCGGAGTTTGATTATAACTCGTTTTATTTGAGGGAAAATGCTAGAACGGTCCCTCAACTTAATTACATTATTCATTTGGTCACTCAATTTGGTAGATAGTTCTGTTAAGTCCCGAAGTTTGTCCCGTTCAGATTAACCACAAACCTAAATTATAAACTACGAGTCTTAATAAGCTTTGAATTTCTTATGATCATAGTCGACTTTGTTAAATTATTATTCTTCTACTCTAATAAACCTGATTATATGTTAAAAATCAGAATAATTCTCAAGCAAGAAACTTTCAATGAACTCCTTATGACATGGTCTCTTCCACGTACGTCTACCTTATTAATTTTTCTTGTGTCGTCTGTGATGTGCATAGATAATCACTAATTGATATCTATTTTCTTTAATAATGTATAGGGCTGTCAATAAATCGAGTCAAACGCAAATAATATAGTGTTTGGGCTCTGAGTTCATAAAAGAATTTGATGCTCATATTCAAGATTGAGCACGATTGATTATCTAAACTAAGACTTAAGCTTGACTCGAAGGAAAAATAAATTACTTGTACAAGATTTGTATTGGATTCAATTATTTCGAGCCTAGATTCTCGATAATAGATCAATTCAAATGCCCGATATACTCACAATGGATTTCACTTTCTGATATTTCCATGCTCCCATATTTATACTATAGGCTGCAGTGATGTAACATAAACTTTCAAATCGGGGTACGAAAATGGAGTTATACCTGTTTAATTAGAGCATTTCCTTATTAAATTTCTTAAGCCAAATTTTCTGCATCAATCATCCAAACATTTACTCTAGCTGGGGTACTAGGCTTCTTCACCACATAGATATTGTCCGTCTTATGCAAGAAATACAATGGTCGACTCTTTGGAATGGGCATTCCCAAAAGGATCAATGATATTTCTTGCACAAAACCTAACAATTGCGCTCGTGTATAGCACTAATTAAACTGTTGGTAAGAAACCTTCACTTAAAGTTCAAAACTTAAGCATTGTTCTTCTAAAATCATACAAAACAGAGATTACATTTTTTTTTTTTATCAAAAAAGAAATGTCATCATAAGAAGTTTTTCATACAAATGCTAATCCTAAGATCACTCATATATATTTTATGTCCATGATCAATTTATTTCCTAGGCTCATATTGCTAGGTTCAGAAACCGCTTGTGACGACCCAAATCACCAACTAGTTTTGCTCGTCATGCTTGATAATTCATTGGCTGCCCGCCAAGCGATTTCCGCTCAAAAATATTGTGGAAAATAAAAACTGAATCTAATCCAAAATATAAAAACTCACTTTTGCAACAAACACACTTAATTTACATTTTACATATTTAGATTCTTCTAAAACATTTTCCTACATCAAAACATTTTGGCACATTTAAGCAGTATTGTTAAGTCGGTTCTAACCGGCCATTTGAACCGATTTAACCAGGAACCGGACTCCAATTCAAACCGAGCAGGTCAGAAATTTGCTAGTTTTAAAATTGGTCAAAACCGATCAAGATTCCGGTTCAACTACGAATCGGCAAAAACTGGATCGAAGGCGGGTTTTTACCTTTTTGACTTTTTTGATCAAACTTTTCCATATTTCCCATGGATTCCAACGTGTCCTAAGCACAACCTTTTTCCTTTTGTTAAAAAATGACCCCACAACTTTATAGTATTCGTTTTATGAAAGTTTCAAGTTGTATTTTTGGTCCCTAATTTTAAATTTCAACTACTAAATGCACTATTTTGAATTCTTTTCCTTTTTTTAAAAAATAATAATTTGCTGTAAAAACCAACTTTTAAGATTTTAAGCAAAATTTATAACTCTATTGTGTTGAACTTAATTTCACATAACATTTTTCTTAATTTTTTCAATTAATTATCCTACAATAATAATTTTTAAATAATAATTTATTTATCTTAATAACTTTAATAATATACTTATTTACTTCATAAAAATTATAATTAACTACTATAAATTATTAACATCAATCATTACTATAGAAAGACATATCATGCTTAAGTTTTTTATTTTAAATACATTAAATTACTAAAAAAATTTATTTAGTGATAATGATGTCTTCCAAGTCAATATCCTAAATTAATTTTTGTTTTATCAAAACCCATTTGCAAATTATGAATTACTAATTTAACTTCAAAAATTAATAAATATCAATGAAACTTATAATTTTTTTACTAAAAAATAATTATTAATTAATTAATATTTATTACATCATTATGATGTCATCCGAGTCGACCCCGAATCATTCCGAGTCGACCCCCGACCGTGCCGAGTCGAGCTCCGGTCTGAGCATGGCAACACTGCATTTAAGCAGCCCAACATTACAAGCCTCAAAAGTTTCATACAGGAGGTCAATTTTCACAGTTCCATTTTATAAATTAAATACTTTTCAATTCATCGATCTTGTACTCCAGCGTACCTATCAACCAGCGGGATGGGGAAAGTAGTATATGGGGTTAACTCGCGCCATGCAAGCCCAGTGAGGTCCTATACTTTATAACCTATCTACACGGGATACCTATACAACATGCAAATCTCAAGGCAGAAGCAAGCATTCTCAAACATGCAACTCAGTGGCGGATCTAGGATTAAAATTCAATGGGGGCACATTAATATGGGAAAATAAGCGCAACAAATTTTGAGCTCAATTGATATTTCGTATAGAATTTTTGGTAGAATTAACTAAAAAAATAAAACATAATGTTCAAAATCTCATCAAACATTTTTCCTTTTTTTTTTTGGAATACCTTCTCACGCTATAAATAATTATATAAAACAATAAATACATTTAAACAAATAAGTGTTTTTAAATGGCCTAAAATTCCAACCAATTTCATTTTGGGTTCCGGATTCACTAAGCACAAGTCCCATTTGGAAACTTGAGAAGTCCAAATATACAATATCAGGTTTTTGTAACCATTATTTTATTCTAGGGAAAAATTCACTTTATGTACCCTATGAATAGGGGTTTCCAAATTATGTACCCTAAGAATTGGTCTCCCCAAATTATGTACCTTATGTTTGAAATTTGTTGTTTTAAGTATTTTTTCAAGAGCAAAATGGGAAACTAATAAATTTTATTCCTAACCTACTTCGTTGTTGTCCCCAAACTTCTGAAAGAGATCAAATTGCACTATTAATTTTATTAATTTTTTTAAAAATTTTATCTTTCTATAAGATTTCTGAAAATTGCACCTAGATTTTTGGTCAAAATTTCTTACAACTTCCGGTGCTTATTATATTTGACGTACATATATTTTTTTTATTATAAAGCATTTTTCTTTATTAGTAGTTTTATTTATATTTTTATTCGTCGTTTTGTATGATTATTTTAAAAATATTCTTTTAGTTCTTCCTTTTCTTTTGATACTTTTTTGTTCCAGTTTTTCGCACTTTGATGCATTTCTAGTAACAAATAATTTTTTTAGATTTTGTCTAAAATATAAATATAAGTTATAATAAGAAAAAATAGCTAAAATAAAAAATATGTACATTAAAAGAATACGAGTTTATTTTTATTATTTTAGCTATGTTTTTCTTATATTTTAGGCAAATAAAAATAAAATCTAAAAAAATAAGTATAATTTCTAGAAATGCATCAAAGTACCAAGACCTTGAACAAAAAGTACAAAAGGACTATAAATATTTTTTTTGAAAATAATCATGCAAAACGACATATAAAAATATAAATAAAAGCAATATATACGTCAAAAACAATATACACTGGAAGTCATGGGAAATTTTTGACTAAAAATCTTGGTTCAATGTGCTAAAATCTGACTGAAAGATAGATTTGTGTGAAATCCATAAAATTTATGATGTAATTTGCTATTTTCCAGAAGTTTAGGGGCAAAAACGAAATAGATTAGGAAAAAAATTTGTTAGTTTCCCATTTTGCTCTTGAAAACGTACTTAAAACAACAAAATTCAAACATAAGGTACATAATTAGGGGAGACCAATTCTTATGGAACATAATTTGGAGACCCCATATTCTTAGAGTGCATAAAGTGACTTTTTCCCTTTATTCTAATATAAAATTGATTATAATTTACTGAATAATCAAATAATAAATATTAATAAATATTTATAATTTTACATGTAAAAACTAAAGATTGGTCTAGTCAGCGGGGCACGTGCATAGTACCCCCACCCTAGCTCCGCCCCTGATGCAACTTGACGATAAAAAAAAAAAATACATACATTTTAAATACACAAGTGGCAGCATAATAGGGGCGAGTCAAACTTGAGAAGCAAATCCAAGGACTTATGTAGTCTTTAGGATTGATTCACAAGTTGACTCTCTGGACCGCCTTAGTACGATCAATTTGGGATTGGTAAAAGTACAATCAATATCTTTCTCTTATCATCATCTTTATCTTTTTTCACAATTTATTAAGCGCGCATCTCCTTCATGTTTGGGTGTGGTTATCACTGGTTCAAATGACTTCTACTGGTAACTAGAGTATACCATCATTAATCTGGGATTTTATAGTTCTTCCTAAACGACCAAGTCCGATACTGGCTCACCGGTTCAATTTCTATAAGATCGGGCCCATAAAACATGCAGAAGTAGTTCACAATTCAACAACTATATCAATCATTCTCAACTAGGGCTCTCAACGAATCGAGTCAAGCCCAAACAGTTAGGTGCCCGAGATCGAGTTCGACAAAAAATTTAAAGCTCATATTCGAGTTCGAACTCGGTCGAACATCTAAATTGATGTTTGAGTTTGGCTCGAAATAAAAACGAATAGTTCGCGCTCGGCTCGAATGGCTCAGGTTTTTGTGTTCGATAAAGATTGAGCTCGAATGCTCGATAATATTGAACTCGAATAAATTTTAATATTTACCGTTTTTTAATTCAACACGTTCAATTTATGTGTTCTATGAGCAAATTTCTTTGAGAAATAATGAAATATATGTATATCTTATTATTACATCTTTAAAGGGCAATAATTTTTAAGGAATAAAAAGGAAAGGTTTCATGAATTAAATATTATTCATAATAAAAATAAAATAATTTATAATAAGTTCGAATAGGCTCGACGAGCTCTCGAATCAAGCATTTTAATACTCGTATTCGACTCGTCTATTTAATCGAGCTGTTTGAATTCGGCTCGAGTTCTCACAAAATACTCGGTTCGTTGACAGCCCTACCCAACTTGTCAAAATCACATAGATCACATCATTTTCTTTATGAGAATCATCAAGCATACTACATCATTCCAAACAGCACGAAATATTACATCTAGTAACACTTAGCATATAATCGCATCTCGGATACACTATCCATTCAAGGCATACTTTCACATTCCTCAATCACACACAGAATACAAACGTAACCATAGGAAATGGTCACATGCATAATCCTAGGAGGAACTCACTTGTCAGTGGTCTTGCGTCTTACTAAGATCGCTCGGGACATCGATTAATTGAATAATTAACTCATCATTACATTTTCGAATTGTATAACTAATAGTTCCTCAAGCTTATGTAATTATTGTTATTGAGTCCTAACTCCTATGATATAATTTCTAAAAATTAATATGTTTGTAATCTAAAAGTTCTAATGTATACTTCGAGTATTTTTTTTACCCTGTTGACAACAAATTGCAATTTCTTCCCTAGGGTGGCAACAGATAATATCACATTTAAAATGCAATTTCTTCATTATGTTAATAATGAGACTATGATTTTTTAAATTTTAATTTTAGATTTCTTGTAAATCTTTTTTTGGGTAACGTGGGACAACTTTATTAGAGATTGGTAAACCTAGGCATGACCACGGTTCAGAACCGCCGGTTCACAGCTTAGGAAATAGATGAACCTTAACCGGCCCTTAATTCTACGGTTACGGTTACGATTCGTAAACTTCTGGTTAAGGTCCGATTCCGGGCCGGTTTTGGTTCTTGACCCTCTGCTTTGTTGATGGTTTAATTCGATTCTTTTACAATTTTAACACAATTTTTATACAATTCTTTTGTGTTATATTTTTTTTTTAAAAAAATAAAAATTTCGTGCTTGGTTTATAAAGTAACTTATTCGAATCATCAAAATATGTCTATAATGATTTATAATTATTAGCCTAGCAAAAAAATTTAATACAAATTTTTAAAATTAAATTAGGACACAGGTATTTTCTTGATTTTATTAAATAATGACAAAAATAAATATTTTAAGCAATATTTAAAATTTATTCAAGAAGATGAATTTGCATTACAATTTTTGCTAACGTCTAATGACAATAGAAACATAAATGTTAACAAAACAAATTAAAAATTACATACTTTGAGCACTACAAGAGTAATTGGCTAATCATTAACAAATGAAAAAAAATTCTATGTAATCCCTAATTAATTAGATCAACCACTTAATTTTAAGTACTTGTGTGTTGATACTCTATAAATGATATTTAAAACACAAGGGTAACATGAGAAGAAAAATTCAAAAATTATTATTAGAAAACTAAATAGACCTACACTTTGATATAACCACAAATTAGGAAATGGACATCTATTTTGAAAATGAGATAGTAATTAAAATTTTTATGTTTATAAAAACTAGTATTTTTATACTTATTTTTATGAAATCGACGGTTAATCAGAGGTTTTTGACGGTTTGAACCGCCGGTTCAAAATCGCCAGCTTGAACCGCTGATTTACGATTTTTGAAAGGCTTGAACTGTAACCGGCCCTTAACTAGACGTTCTGGTTACGATTTTATAAACTGCAACTTACGATTCTGGCCCGGTTTAGGTTAAAACATGAACCGTGGTCATGCCTAGCTAAACCCATGAGGTAATTTATTTCTTCGGCAAATAATTTAATTCCAGATTGCTATTTTGTTTTTTGTTTTTTTTTTTGCATGTATCACTACTCTTAACGGAATGATCTCGTTTGTCCATTAATGCTCCGGTGAACCTTGTTTGGAAATAAATCAATAGTGACCAATAGCTTAGTGATCAGCGTTAATGTTGACTCATAAGGTGTTATTGTTTCCACTTTCCACTTGATTTACTTGGCTAATCGCAGCAACAAACCTTTGGACTAGAGAAGCGTGGAGATGTCATCAGCTCCTGCATGGAACTAAACAACATGGGAAATCTTCAGTGATGAAATGTATATTTTGGTTAATTAACATTAATTATACCTAGCATACCATATGCATAATTTTTTATAGTCAATCATGGGTCACAGTCATCGAATAAATGCACTAACAAAAGATCACAACAGGCAACAGCGAAAACAAATGAATTTCATGTGGCTAACAAATCAAGGGGAACAGAGGGAGAAGACAAATATCGAATATTAGCAGATTTGTTGTCATTAAAAAAATTATTATATCCTCACTAAACAAAATGTCAAATAGAATTTCAAGTGGAAACCGCACCATATGCACGTGAGATGGTAATTGACCGTTTTGCCATCAACGATCTGGGAGGTGGAAGTTCCCTTTGCAATTTCGGACATTGGATACCGAATAGAGAATCTCACCTGCCATACCAAACTCCAAACACGTAGTATAGGAGTTTTGGTACTCGTATGTTAATTCCACCCTAGCTCATAAAGTAAATCCCCCTGGAGATTATAATCGCATGATAATTGGCCGGACTCATATTGTTTGTTTCTACTGCATTTGGATATTCACTGAAAAGTTACTTGATTTGATTCCTGCTAGCTCCCATACTATTAATTTAAATTAATGTTCACGCGCACATTTTTTATATTTGAATTTATAAAACATTATGACGTGAAGTATGATGTCTTTCCCTGTATGTGAATTTATAATTATGTCTCTCCCTGTCTAAAAATTATTCCCTTTGTCCCGAAATGCTTATTCAGTTTGAATTTTATATTTTAATTAGACTAAGAAATTCTATCACAAAGGTAAGAAATTTTATTGACACAATTAGGATAGGAAAGATTCAGTGCAGCGTCCAACTTGTGTAGCCAAATAAATACATGTGGGAGGTCTGAGCTGCCAATATTGCACGAGAGAGAAGCTACATACATAGTGATAGATCACAATTAATGCAAATACAAACTTAATTAGTTGTAGCGCACAATTAATGTGGAGTACAATGGAGGCTATGAAGAAATGTGATGAAGTCAGATCAGAAGTTGATAGTGAAAAGGTGGGTAATGATTATCATCTTTCCATTAAGTCACCCTTGTCGACTGATCACAAGCAGCTGAAACAACAATTAACGAACCTTATGATGCTGCTGCTGTTGTTCATCCCTCCTTTCTTACTGTTTCTTTTTGTCCATCTTTTGAGACGTGAACACGTACTGATCTCTCCCATCTTTTGGGATCAACTCATAATGAGTTGTTGTGGTGTTGTGGCGAATTCTAGGATATTTTTGGGTTGTTTCCTAACTGTGTTCCTAGGAACGTTGTATTTCAAGTCCAGGCCTAGGGAAGTTTACCTGGTTGATTTCGCATGTTTCAAACCTGGACCTGAACTTCTGGCCTCCAATGATATCTTACTCGACAAAGCGCGAAAACGCGGTACGTGTTCTGAAGAGAGTCTAAGCTTCATGAAGGCCGTTACTGAGAGGTCAGGGCTAGCTCCTGAAACCTATATGCCACCCGCAGCTTTCGACGAATCACGACATTATCCAGGTATGGCGGATGGGAGGAAAGAGGCTGAGATGATAATGTTTGGTGCAGTTGATCAGCTGTTAGCAAAAACTAGTGGTGTGGTGAGGACTAGTGAAATAGGGATTCTTGTGGTCAACTGCACCATGTTTTGTCCAACTCCATCCCTTTCTTCCACCCTTGTTAACCATTACAAGCTTAGAAGCAACATTTTGAGTTACAATCTTGGAGGCATGGCTTGCAGTGCTGGAGTCCTCGCAATCGATCTTGCCAAGCAACTGCTACAGGTAAAAAAATCAACTTATATACCCACCGCCCCCCCAAGGGGGTTGTGACAAAAACTAACGAGTTGTAATTTTTCCATCTCTTGGCAACAAAAAATAAACAGGTGAATCCAAATTCTTATGCCCTCATAGTTAGCTTAGAATGCATAAGTCCTCACTTTTACAGCGGTAACGATAAATCAATGCTTGTGACAAATTGCCTCTTCCGTCTGGGAGGCGCAGCTGTTCTTCTCTCCAACAAATCTTGTGACCGCCGACACTCAAAATACCGGCTCTTGCACTCATTACTTACCACAACTGGTGCCGATGACACTAGCTATAAGTGCACTTTCCAACGGGAGGACGATGATAACATAGTAGGCCTATCATTGTCTAAAGATATCCTCAAGGTGGCTGCGGAAACCCTAAGGATTAACCTCACCAGACTTGGCCCATTAGTCCTTCCCATATCCGAGAAACTCAAGTACTTGTTTAATCTAGTTGGGAGGAAGGTTCTCAATATGAAGATCCAGCCGTACGTTCCTGATTTCAAGCTCGCATTTCAGCATTTTTGTATTCATGCTGGAGGAAAACAACTTTTGAATGGAATGGAAAAGGAACTTGGTCTGACCGAATGGCTAATGGAGCCTTCAAGGATGACACTTTATAGGTATGGCAATGTTTCAAGCACTTCAATCTGGTACGAATTGGCTTACATTGAGGCTAAGGGGAGGATGAAAAGAGGTGATAAGGTCTGGCAAGTTGGACTTGGCACAGGATTCATGTGCAATAGTGCCGTTTGGTCTGCACTAAAAACTATTGATCCAGCTCAAGAGACGTCTAATCCCTGGATGCATGGATGAAATTCATCTGTTTCCTGTTTGATTATGTGATGTGTTAGTATTTACCCTAGCTTTGTTCTTTGAAACATTAATTTCTATTGTCGCACTTGTGGCATTAAAGATGCATGCTTTCGCTAGCTTCTTGTTTCGTTGAGTTGTTGAGACACGATTTAATTAATTGATGTTAAGTACCCTTTTTACCCGCAAGATATATTATGGATTTGCAATTGTAGCTGTAACAACCGGTGCACAATCTTAAATGTTGGAGAATGGCTCTCTAAGTAAAGCAAAATTGCTCTCTAATTAACTCTTACCGTCTGCTACCTTTTCAACCCAATAGTGCATATTCACTTCTTTTATACTGAACTACAAATTCATGTTATCCATTTGATCTTCTCCCGGTTATATGGACTAATCCAAGAAAAAGTGTATGAACAACCAGCTCCTTACTCCTCGTTTTCATCTTCTCTCATCGTGACGAAGCTTGGATTTGTACGGTGCTTAGAACGGGCGGCGATAATGACTTAGGCGGCGGCGAACGGCCTAAAACCTACAAGACAGAGCCTTGGGTGTCTCTTGAGGGTAGACTCTCCGATGCTTAAGTCAATAAGGGAATAGAGATAATGGAGAAAGAAGGATGTGTATCGTGTGTAGAAGGTGTAGAAGATAGGTAGAAGATATATATTATGGGAAAGGCACCACATCTTTATATAGAGGTGGTGTTATCTGTTTCCTGAAACCCAGTCGTAATAGGTTTAGGCGGTGACTTAGCCTTCAAGGTAGTTGGCCCAAACCCATTAGGGTTAGGGTTTATTTTATGACTCGTTACATCAAAAGAAAAAAAGTAAACAAATAAATTGTTGGAAAAATTTGGATGAGAAACAGTGGAGGATATGTAATTAATAAATAAGGCGATATCTTTAAATAATTTTTATTAATCACATTATGTTCTCACTTTCAAACATGACTTTATCTCTTATCTAACCAATTTTTAGCATTTCAATTTTTCATAAGTAAATTCAAATCTATGTGCTAAGTTTAAAGTTAATAATATGTTAATATACAAAATCAAAATATTATAGGACAAAAGAAAATAATTACATGATTTAAAATACAGAGGTTAATTGTTCACAATTTTGAAGATTCATTTTTCTTAAATAGTATTGACATTTAAAATGTAATATTTAATCTTTTTAATGTGACTAAGCTTTAAAGGAAATTGTCCCACAAAAGTTACAAATGCTCGTAGTTAATTTTACCGTTACAACAAACTTTGTAAAACTTCACTAATCTATTTTGTACTTTTATGTCACCATAATTTTCTAAAAATATAATAAAAATAAAAAATTTTAAATATTATTTTGACCAATGAATGTCAGCAATAGAACGTCAGTAAATTAATATTCTATAAATTAATAACTTATCCCAGCTAATAAGTAAAAAAAGTGAAAAAAAATCGATAAAATGATAAGATAATAATGTTTCAGAAAATCTCCTATATGTCTATAGGTTTCAACAATACCATAAATTAATAAATGACCTAAAAAAATAATTATAAATATTTAGTAAAATATAAACTATTGATACTTATATTTTAGACCCTGAAAATGATATGAACTATGTATGAATTTTTATTATTTTCAAAAGAGTTTTAATATTTGATTGATTTGGATGTAAAGACAACTAGATGCTTGGCCCAGGCAGATGTCCGGGCGCCCCCTCTACTTTAATTTTGTGTTAATAGATAAATAAATTTTTGATTTAGAAAAAATAAAATAGCTATACATTTATTTTTTCCCTTTTTTAGCCAAAAATAAAAATAAAAATAAAAAATCATCTGCAAAAGGAGAAAAAATATTGAAAAGTACACCAATGTAGAAATCATACAAAAGAATGTGTAGTAATAAAAAAGATAAGTTTATGGATAAATTTAAATCCTATCTTAATTTGATTGATAAATGATAAGTGTTAGGAGTTAAAATTGTGTAGCTATTTTTGTAAATTAGCTTTTGTTTTTCCGGATAAGAAGTTTTTTTTTCTTTTAAAAAGGGATGACACGTGGTAGAATGGTTAAAGCAATATGGTGCATTTAGAACCAAAATTTTTTAATAAGAAATTGCCACATCAACATCCTGTATTCTGCTTTAATAGGGTAAAATGGATTGTAAATTAGGGAATTTAGTAACAGTTCTTTATTTTTCATAAAAATTATGTAAATTAATAATTTATTAATTTATCTTTTATTTAATAACTCTCTAAATTAATAAATTTCAGTGATCCCAACACTATTAATATATAGAAGTTATACTGTATGTAACACATATTTAATAGTATTACCCTTTATGAATTATTTATTCTCCACTAACCTATCTAAATTTTCCCTAAATCGTTTACCTCTCTTAAAATTTCCTCATAGTCTCGTGTAAATTGCCAATTCATGTGATTCTTTACATAAACACACACTGCTCCAAAATCCCCAGATAGAACATGGGAGGTGGAAGGGAGATAAGAGAGATGGATATGACTTGTTTACTCTTAGCAGCTAATTATTGCATTTCGTAATATCACTGGCCTTTAAAAATGAAGTGGGTTGGAAGGAGGAAAAATTTTCCTGAAAATTAGTATGGAACGCTAGCACATTTGTGCACGTGATCCTGAATGAAAGCACGTGATAGCATACATGCTGGTTCTTTGTTGGATTTTGTGGAAATGATTAAACAAAACCGTTTTCGCAGGTTATCACGATTTGGTGAGGCTCATGAATTGATTAAAAAATGTTTCCAGCCACGCTTAAGCTGGCAAATAGCTTACAAAAAAGTACACGTCGATTACTTAATTTGGTCAAATCAAGAATCTCTTACCTGCTACAAAAACAAATCAAACACAAATACCCAACAGTAATCTGTATCTGTAATCAAATCCTCTGGAAATCACACACAAATCAATTGATGTTGTTTGTTTTCTACGAGGTTGGATGGAATCATGGAATATCAATCGCGATCTTGATCTCTAAAGTCTCGACTGCCGAGGATATTGTACCGACATTTAAGCAGCTTTACACTTGTACATTGCCTTGATGTACGTATCCAGAGTCGAGTGGAATGGAATCACAACTATCTCTCTCGGTACATACATGTGTGTACATTGGAATACCGACAAATTACTTTTTCACATGTCGAATTCAAATCAAAGATTCATTATCTATTGCATGAGAATGTCACGTTGGAATTAATTCTGACGACCATTAAATCTGATGAAGCAGTCAATCGAAAAAGGGGAAGACGTTGTAAAATTTGTGCTCTATCTGAACCTTAATTATCATCATGTGGTTCTTGATTCCTGCTTTTCCATTAACGTGGCTTTCTAATGAGCTCCATGTTTGGATAAGTAAACAAGCACTAGAGATCATTCTAGCCATTATTTTCCTAGCAACATTTCACTTGATGATGTCTAGGCCTAGGAAAGTGTACTTGGTCGACTTTGCATGTTTCAAACCGGGACCTCAACTCCAGGCATCCCATGATGTTCTACTTGACAAAGTTCGACAAACAGGTACTGTGAGCGAAAAGAACATAAACTTTATGAAAGGTTTCATGGGAAGATCAGGGATGGGCCACAAAACATTTTTGCCCGAAATTTTCTTTGATTCGTCTCGAGTTCGCGCGGGCATGGCGGATGCGAGGACAGAGGCTGAGATGTTGATGTTCGGTGCAGTAGACCAGCTGCTGGCAAAAACCGGTGTGAACACCAAAGAAATAGGGGTCCTTGTGGTCAATTGCAGCACTTTTTGTCCAACTCCATCCCTTTCCGCGGCCGTTGTAAACCATTACAAGCTCAGAAGCAATGTTTTGAGTTACAATCTTGGAGGCATGGGTTGCAGTGCTGGAATCATAGCCCTTGATCTCGCCAAACAACTTCTGCAGGTAATTTGATTAAAGTGGTTTTCTGATGAATTGTCAGCTCTCTAATCAATGCATATTGGTGGTGATAAATTAACAGGTGAATCCAGATACTTACGCCCTCATAGTTAGCTTGGAATCAATAGCAATCAACTTGTACGGTGGCAACAACCATTTCATGCTCGTGTCAAATTGCTACTTCCGTTTGGGGGGTGCAGCAATCCTTCTGACCAACAAACCAAGTGATCGTGGACGTTCAAAATATCAGCTCCTGCACTCGTTACGCGCCACCACAGCCGCTGATGATAAAAGTTACAAATGTATTTTCCAACAAGAGGACGAGGATGGCGAGGTTGGCGTCACGTTGACGCTGGATTGCGTGGGTGCCGCTAAAGAAGCCGTTAGGCTCAATCTCACGGCGCTTGCGCCCTTAGTCCTTCCGATATCCGAGCAGCTCAAATGGTTGTTTAGCGTGGTTGGGAGGAATGTGTTGAAGATGAAGATGGAGGCGTATGTTCCTGATTTTAAGCGAGCGTTTGAGCACTTCTGCATCCATACCGGAGGTAAACAAGTGTTCAATGCCATGGAGAAGCACCTTGGTCTGACCAAATGGCTAATGGAGCCTTCAAGGATGACATTTTATAGGTATGGTAACCTTTCAAGCAGCTCAGTCTGGTATGAATTGGCTTACATTGAGGCTAAAGGGAGGATTAAAAGGGGTGATAGGATATGCCAGATTGGACTTGGGTCAGGATTCAAGTGCAACACTGCTGTTTGGTCTGCACTCAGGACTATTGATCCAGCTAATGAGATACACAATCCCTGGTTGGATGAGATTGATCAATTTCCTGTTGACCTGTGTTCTTAGGTTCAAGCCAAAGGTGTATTTGCAATTTTAGTTGGACACTTAGTGCATGTTTATGTGCATGCGTGCTTGAGTTGTTTACCATTGTCGAATCCAACAAATTAATGAACGAAAACATGCAGCTGGTTAAGGTTTTTTTTTTTTTTTCTTTATCTTCGGTAGCTTCAAAAAAGTTCATCATTTCTCTACATTTGTTTGAGCGGCGTAAATTATGGTCATCATATATAATACTACTAGTATAACAACTACTTTCTCTTAAGATTTCCAGAGAACAACAATATAACAAAAAACAACACCCTAAAGAAAAAACTCCAAGCAAAATTGATCAATAAGGACGCCCATATGCTAAGATCATCAGCCCCTATCAGCTTCAGAACTTGTGCTCCAGTTCTCATGCACTTCGAGGCGGTGATATTCATCCCCAGAACCTCCCCAAATCCTCGCAGAACCTGCTGCTTCAATTCTTGTGAAACACCAGCAAGTTTGGTGTGGTCGAAACTCTCGATTGCTCTGGAATAGCATCTCGTTGAATCCACAAACTCAGTCTGCAAAAACGCGTCGTATGCATATTTGGCGGGTGATAAATAATGGTACCAAATCCAATAAGCTGGAATATGGTCCCTGTTTATAAGAGCACCCGAGAAAAAGAAAAAGTAGACTACTGTTGCGACCAGAACAACAAGGCCGGCTGTAGCATCAGGAAACAATCCAACCACGATCATAAGGTAAGAATTCGCGGCCCAAAGCTCAGCCAAGACGATTGCAGAGTAGATGCAAAATCGTGCAGGCAGTCCATCCCCAAACCCAATCCCCCAAAACGTTATAGCGGAATATGTTAACGATAAGATGAGGAGGCAGGGGATCCATGTGAGCCCTTCCGATAGGGCATAAGAAGATTTCCTGTAGACATTGTGACTTGTCTCCCTCAGCATTATGTTTTTCTCCAAGAAAAGCATTGCCGCCCCGTCCCCGGTTAAGAAAAGGATTGAAATTGTAACGAATGCTAGAGCTTTTAGTTTGTCTTCATTTCCCTGGAGGGAATCCTGATCAAGTCGCCAACACAAGGACGCCACTATCAGTCCTGTTGCCAGGGTTACCACGAATCGGCTCGCGAAAACCTCTGGCATGCGGAATGAATTTAGCAAGGATCGCTTCGCCAACACCCAGACCTCAATCCAACACGGATTAGCGAATTCTGGAACCTTGGTGGCTGTTCCTGATGGGCGTTCAACTGCTGCGCTTCTTGTGGTGTGATCCTCCTTTTTTTCCCACATTCGATTGTAATCGACAAGGCTGCTGGTCCCATCTGAAGAATTCTCTAGATCGCAAATGAGATCCAAAATAGCCTCTGCAGGGTTCTCATCTCTGGGTACTGGATGTCCCAGGTTTTCCATAAACAGTGGCAAATCAGATGGGGAGCCACCATAGACAATCTGTCCCTTAGACAGGATTAACAACTGGTCCATGAGGTTGAGAATCCGAAAACTCGGCTGGTGCACCGACATGATCACAATGCTTCCTGTCTCCGCGATGCGTTGCAAGACCTTCACCACCGCGTAAGCGCTGGTAGAATCAAGCCCTGTGATGGGTTCATCCAGAAATAAAATGATTGGATCATGTATGATCTCGATTCCAATCGACACTCGCTTCCGCTGTCCACCTGAAACTCCTCTGTGACCTTCATCTCCAATTATCGTTTGAGCACAGTCTGAGAGATCCAACTGAACAATCAAATCTTCAACTCTTTTCTTCTTGTCAATCTTGGAAATGCCCCGGGGAAGCCTCAGCTCAGCCGCAAACGTTATGGTCTCTTCAACAGTTAGCATTGGGAAGAGGAGATCATCTTGCCTAACATAGGCGGAGATGGTTTTGAGTAATCTGGAATCAAAAGGCTCACCATTGAGGGTGATCAGCCCTTTAAGGCTTCCCTTGGATATACGATTCGCCAGCGCATCAATCAGCGTTGATTTTCCTGAACCCGAGGCTCCCATAACTGCCAGAATCTGCCCTTCATATGCCTCACCCGAGATGTCATAGAGCAGAACTTTTGTCTCAGCTGGCTCCTTGTTAATCATGTTGAAGCGTGGCAAGAAACTCCAGTTGAGCTTGCAGCTGATTTTGGCTTCATAGGTGAGGTTGCTGAAGGCTAATACAAGAGAACACGCCTGATTCGCAATGTTTCTGTCGGCGATTTTATGGACTAAATGTTGAGCTGCGGCTCCCTCACCAGTGTCTTGCTCCTGTTGCACTTGTATATCATCACTAAGGCATGACAGCAAAGGAGTTGGGGAACCGTAGGCATTGGAAGAGCTAGGATCATTTATCTGCGCCATTATGGAAAATGCAAGTGTAATCTAATCCAGAAGGAGCTTGGTTGGGAAAGCTTTTTGTAAAGCGTCATTAAGGAGAATAGGAGATGAAGCAACAAAGGAACGTGTACATATATAAAATTAGTAGCACGGTTTCCGAGTTCCAATATTATAATCTGAAACTTAAATGCTAAAGTTGAATAAGTGCTTTAGAAATAAGGGATACTGAGTTGTCATCTTCAGAATGAAGAACGTTGATGGTTGACTTCCTGGGATGGATCATGTGAGGAACAGACTAGTTTTACTCCTACATCAAAGAAATCTTCTTGCATATCAATGCAGATCAATCAATATATTAAGTCACTTAAACTATTAGCTAATGGGATTCACCAAATTATCCCTTAGTGTTAAAATTTAAGCACAACAATGCCTAAATGTCAAATGAACCACCGAGATATATGACAATCTGGAGAAGATCATTTTCAGGTCATATCAACAAATGAAGTTTATCAAGAAATACTTCTTTCCTCACCTTATATTTACAAGACACAAATTAAAATAAATTTAAATTAACAATATCTGATAAAACAGATCCTTTTTATCCTGAAATTATTGTCTAGTTTAAATTTATTTTATAATACAACTTGAACTAAAATTGAAAACCGAAACTATACAATAATTTTGGAATGAACAGTTTAGTACTTCAAACTCTCAAAACCAGCTGAGATTTGTGACTGTATTAGTACCTGTGTATTGGTAGTGTTTGCATATCCTGGTCCTGGGATGCCCCACCGCCACATTTGCATCTTCCTTAGCCTTTTTCCTTCTGGTTGTTACTACTACGAGTCACAAATAACGTCCAACCATTTGGAATTCTCCATTTTCCCCCAATTATTTATGAAACACACATTTTATAAAACTCCCTCCTCAAATAACGATTTTTTTTGTAAATAGGAAATAAATAAAAATCCTTTCTTCTTCCCATAGGCCAGCCACAAATGGCTACCGTACCATCATCATCCACTCTACCACTCTCGAGCCCGAATCCATTGGCATTCTTAACATCATCGTCGGCGTCCTCACGCACTCCCACTTTCCTCAAACTACACGCGCCGCCCCTTCGAAACCTCAGCATTCCCAGAGCCGCCTCCGATGATTCCGACAACAACGAGGCTGAGTCGCCCTCAGATTCCGACTCCGACGACTTCGACAGCCGCCTTTCCCAGATTCGACTCCGGTACAAAAGCGGGCAAGGTAAGAAAGCCGAGGTCCGGAAGACTCGAAAGGGTGCGCCGGGAACCTCTGGTTCCGGCTCCAGCTTGTACCTTCCGCCGGTGCAGCTGAAGGAGCCGGTGTCGGAAGGACTGACTGTGGAATTCGGGTTCAGTCCGTACTCAGAAAGGGCCAATGGTCGGATTGCACTTGTGGGATTGACGGCATTGGTATTGGTGGAGCTTGCAACCGGTCAGGGGGTGATAAAGTATCACTCGCCGGCGATTGTTTTTATTCAGATTTACTTTATGGCGGCGGCTTCGGCATTGTACATTAAGTACGAGAAAGAGAAAGTAAGCGTTTGGCCCCAGACTCCAGTTTCTTCTCCTTCTTCTTCTCAAAAATGAAATGACCAAAAAATTTTTTAAGTACATTTGAGTCCGATAATGTTGTGAAAATGTAATACTATGATTTTGTTGATCATCTTCTTTTCTCTCTTTGCGCTTAGGATCTTTTCTTACATATGCTATCTTAAACACTCTCGCTTTAAAGCTTGACTTGAAGAGAAGATATTCATTTTATTGGAATGTGTGTATTACTCTCATCTCGTCCCAAGTGTTGTATGAAATCCAAAATTAACTTTGTGATCATGGACAATGGCGCGTAGTTGTGCCGAAAAACAATGGAAACTTACCACAAACTTCAAAATTGATGATGATATTAACAGCCACGGTACAAAGTTAGAGCTACATACTTTACCTTCCAAAAATCTTTAGGAATTACATTTGTCGACTTAATTTCCCCTTGCTCTAAATGTATACTCAGTTTCATCCCTGTAAAGAATGATGAATTTTCTTTGACACAGCTCTATCTGTAATCTCAAACTATAAGTGCTTCACTGCTGTTAAGTACAAGAAGCACTTCAAGGTGTAGCAAAATTCTAGTCTTATCTCATTTCACAATTAGCTCACAACATACAGTTTACAGGAGCCCTACCCACGCACCACCACCGTATTGTCAACCCGCTAGTCATACTCCACCGAGTCTCCAGAAAATTCTGTGCATTAATATATCTTTTGCTGATTAGTTAGAGTCATTGCCCAACCGAAGAGCATTGTACAACTTGGTCCCTATATTTGCACAAATTTATGCCGGATTTCGTGCAAAAAAATCATCAACTGCAAGGTAGGCATCTCCATGGCTTACGGCATCCTCAGGTTCAGGCATGAACAGGTTTGACATAGATACCTACGCGTCCAGCAACCATTTTAACAAGCAGATAACTATCACAGCAAAGCTATTGCAGAAAACATAACAGCCTCAAATGAAAAAACTTTTATGAGGTGACCCAGACAATAACCCTAAGTATCATCAAAGTTAAAAATAAAAACACTTTTATGAGGGGATTCCCAGGTCCTGACATAATGTTCCATGTAATACAAGGTAACAAAAAAACCTACCTTTGCATCAAGAAGCATCTCCCCAGAGCTATCTTTAGTTAGAGTTGCACCGTGAGCCTTTAACCATTCAACACATTCCTCCACTCCCTCATTTTCTTTCTCATTGCTACTGAAGCCTAGCACCTGAGCAATGTATGCTACAGGAACAGTTGGACGATACGAACGAGAAATGCATTTCACAGCTGTATAACGCATCTTCTCCACGTAGAGATCTGCTAAGATGTACATAAGTTAGGGAGGGAAAAAAGATACATCAATGCATAAACCCAACAAACATCATGACAAGTTCGTCCCACCCATTAGAAGTGTATTGAGGTTCGGAGCCACTTTATATAGCCTGAAGAATAGAACATAATTCCCCGAAGTTACTGCTGCACGGACTGCAAGAGCGTGTCTCACAGCATCATCTTCCCTTGCTTCAGCCGATAATCTAGAAATCCAAAAACATTCAGAACTCTAGGTCTAATTGGTAAGTTACTATTAATTTACTCACTCCGAAAAGATGGCAATATGCAGAGATAAAAATGCGTCCATCTGGTATATTAAACTAAATGAATGATGGTTGAGAAACCAAAGTCGAAACGAAGAAAGAAGCTTTATCATTAGTTAAATTTATCAGTTTTAAAAAGCCAGAATTACTAAGCCTTCCATGCAATTTGAGAATAACAGAATCCAAGGTGCAACTGAAGGTAGTCGACATGCAGACGGAGAAGGTGTTAAGAGGTGAATAACCTTGACATTGCAGACAGGAGATCTCTGTTATTATTAGAGTGAAGGATTACACAAAGTAAATTGTATGCTGCAAATTCCAATTGGCATCCTTTGATTCCTTCAGCATAAAGGGTTTTCAACTGAGACTGGCACTGCAGAAGCAGATAGAAATTCTTTATCAAATGCCAATTTATGCAACGCATCAATTGAATGATCTAGAACAAACATATGATTTTCTCTGCTTAACTCAAATTTGCAACGAGTTCACAACAATCCATGGCATAAGATCAAAGACAAAACACTGCTACTAGGTATACATGGAAAAGCACCTTAGCAGGAGAACAAGTAGTATGTATCCTAACTTGTTCTCACATCCCCTGTTCATTTCATCCCAACCCCTTTTTATAAAAAGACCAGAGGGAAAAACATGATTACATTAAATAAAACAAAAGTTAATCAAACATAACCCATCCAAAGGATTTCCAAAACTCTATGAGAACATCAGAATAGTATAACCAAGCACAAGAAATGAGCAAAACAAATGCAATCATCAGTATATTTCAGTCATGAAAGAAAACCAGCCTAGCGAAACCTAATCAATGGCATGTAACAAGCTAGACTAGAGACTCCAAAAGATTAAAGAGCTCACAAATATTCACCATATAATGAATGAAATAAAGCAAAAAGGTCTCAGCTAAGACCTATGACCACCAGAATAATAATCTCCAGATGCGCAGAAAAAATAATAATAATACCAATCAAGAAAGGAAAGACATTAAATATGCGAAACCAAATATCTTAAAGTACAAATATCTATGGAGAAAAAAACCTGATTAAACTCGGGCAAGTCCCCCACTTCAATTGCATAACGAGCATGAGTTTCATAAACCTGAAATGGGCAGAGAAGCCATGAAAGCTATCAAAAACATTTTCATTAAGGTACAGCTCCATTCCTCAAAAATGAAAGTATCCAAAATGTGATTCCAGCATTAATTTGATTGCACAAAAACTTAGAAAAGTGGCAACCAAATATAAACAACCAATCATAAAAACTTCAAATAAATATGCAAAATCAATCATACCCTGACAGTAAGCTCATTGCGGATACGCTGCACAGTCAAATCTTGCCGAATAGATTTTAACTGATCACACTTGTATAGATAATTCTTCTCAGAACTCTTAACCATAAGGAGAGCTTTTTCCAACACTTCCTCAGGTCTTACCTGCAAAGCAAATATCAGACAATTTTAAAACCTAATCTAAATCACAAGATACCACAATCGCAGGCTAAATATTTACCGTGGCAGGATCAGGTGCTGAAGTAAGGCGCAAGTAACGTTTCTCAATTTCCTGACAGGTCCCTTTGACAGTCAAAGCATCCCAATCTATATCTTCAACAGCCTTGGTATTACTCTCTTCGAAGCTTTTGGTAAGCACCGACGCACTAGCTCGTCTACTATACAAACTCCTAGCCCCAGCATTTTTGGGCCTTAATTGACTATATTCAGCCCGATTACTGTTTCCTTTTTCAAAACGTTTCGAGCGACTTTCACGTCGCTTTCTTTCTTCCGGTGAATCACTAAGTGCTACTGCAGCGGAATAATATGCCGTTAAAGATTGTTCCTTGTCACTCTCACTGGAAGCGTCACCATTATCAACCGCATTGTGGCTATCGAGTATGCGCTGCCTCTTAGCTGCCCTTGGGGCACTTTTATTGGAGCTCTTTTGGTCTGGTGAAGCAAACTTTGAGTTATTCCAACGATCAACCTTATGCTCAAATTTTCCGCCAGTAAACTGCTGCACATAAAATTTAAGAGAATTATAGACCGAACTACTTGCAACAACACAGTACAGCCAGATTCAGAAAAAGACATTGGCAGAAAACGTTTGGTAGAAGTACACCCTTGTTCAAAAAATAAAATGATGCTACAATCATGCACTTTTTATACTTGTAGATTGAATATTAAAACAGAAGGTCAATCTATAGTCTGAATTCTAAAACAGTAGCAATGAATGACGAACACAACATAATCTCAAGATTGCTTTCCACCTTATCTCAAAATCTATCTCCCTCCAGAACTAGACATCCAACATTTCCACTTACACTTCAAACTGCACCAACATTAAGTGGATAAGATTCCAAAGAGCAAAGACAGGGACATTTCCTTGTCCCAACACCCCCCAACACACATACACACACACACACACACACACACACACACACAAACCACAACAAAAAAAAAAACAAAAGAGGAAAAAGTAAAAATCCCTCCGACCTCATTTTCATATTATGTATAGAAGTAGAATCTACTTTTACATTTCCAAGAAAATCAATTCAAGAATCTTAAAGGCATCAGCTCTTTTGGAGTCTTTCCATGGAGATTTTAGCGGGACTCATAACAAGCTTAGAGACACAATACCTGAGCCTTTATCTAACTAAATGAAGTGCAAGAGAGAGAATTAAAAATTCAAAATTCAACCGTCGTAAGGTTGTCAATTCAAATCAGCGTAAGAGATAATACCTGTTTGTTCCATTCACCATATTTTGAAGGTTCACGGGAAACAGAGGTGGGCTTATCAGCTGGCTTCTCCTCTGACACAGGTTCCCACCTACTTTTGGATCGTCGACTGGGGCTTCTTCTGCTCTTTAGCAAAGAAGCAGCAGGGCTTGAGAACGGCAGAACGCTAAACAAGGCAAAGAACGCAACTTTTGTTAACCCCCGAATAAAAAAGTTTAAGAAGCTAAATTATCAACACATTATCAACCAAAACTACATGATCCAACTTGACAGCAAGAGAAAAAAAGGCTGACAAAGTTCATAGACAAATGTCAACATTGAAAAACAACAGACTTTTCGTGGCATAAGATAGACTATAGTATCTTCATCATATAAGAAATAGTCAAACAGGACAAAGAGAGCTTCGACGCTGTGCAACTGGCATCATGGATAGGTTTCCCTAAAGATACTACTAATTACAATGTCAACAGATGTCCCTCCCCGGATACTCGCCAAGCGTGAGCTTTTTGGCACTGGGGATTGATTATGGATTATGGATACTACTGATTACAGCATTGACAAAATTAGTTGCAGCAAGCAGATATGTTATGAAACTATTTCCCAACACCATATTGAACACATTTCCAGCTTACTCATTTGGAGAACATGATGGAATACTAAAGCAGAGAGAGAAGTAAATACCCCTGATTAGGTGTATCTGCATTTGGCAGAGGGAAAAGAGGCTCAGTATCCCAGTCTCGAGTGTGTAGAGTACCATCAGCAGTTGCCTTTTTGATAATCTAACAAGAAGGATGTCGTAGATATATTAACAAAGCAGATCTCAAAAGTATAACCTACCCACACTGTAATGTATACATATTAAACTAAAAAAGATATCGAGATCAAATTAATTGGATTTGAATGGTGGATCAGTCTACAGGGAAAGAGACATGATATGATCCAAAATATAATTCTGGGAATTGCACTCAAAATCAATTGAGCATGGCGATTGAATTCAATGAAGCCACCACTAAAACAGCGATTCATGTGAAATTCATGTACCCTAAATCAATTGAGCTCAAAACAGCGATTCATGTGAAATTCATGTACCCTAAATCAATTGAGCTTGGTGATTGAAATTGATGAATTTACCGCTAAAGCAGCTATACATGTGAAATTCTAGTGAACTAATTCCAGTGCTCATTTTGTATTCTTAGATAACCATTTTGATACATGGTTAATATGTAAAAAATGGCTTCTCTACCAAAGACAGATTGCTTCATTAAGGTGCGTTCAAAAAAGCTAGTGGCTATCCCTGCCCTTCTCAGAAGGAAACAGGCTCCCATTAACTTTCTGTGTCTGAGTTTTCTACCTTCACAGACTGGTAGGCAATCTTTAAAAAGAAAAAGACTGCAGGAAGTGTAAGCATTAACATTGGGGCGGGCTTGATGACCATTGGCAACTCAATACATGCTATGTCAATCGCCATACGGATGTTCATGTATTTCAAGACAAAGAATCACATCACAAATGCTCTAGTGCTAGCGGAAATTCAAAGACAGATACGAGTAGTATAGAATATCTCAACAGCAAAGTCAATAGGGAACTAATGCTGCAGATGAATGCGACATGAGTGATTTGAACGCAGTGCTAGTTTTGTCTAATGCGTAAAACTGTTAGCTCGTGATCTGTAATTTAGCTGCTCAAGATCATAGCAACAGTCCCACTGCTAAATCCACGTGTACACCCAGATCTTATGAATTAAATAAACTCTTTACCCAAGTTTAAAAAACAAAAATCTTGTCAATTTTAATGAGAAAAAACATTGAGTGGTTCCAAATTGATCATGAAGCTGAAAGCTAAAGTGAAAATTTTGAAAGGAAAATGCCAACCTCGTTAGCAGGTTCATATACTTCCACAATGAAAATATCGCATGAGCAAGAAAACCCTAAATTCGGAACAGCCTTTCTGAAAGGCATGCTATCTCAGTGGTAACGCTACATAGCAGAGAAAGCAGCTTTAGAGCAGAAGTCTTCACAAGCCAAGGATTTTATTTCAATTCTACAAAAAGACCCCGAACAAAACTCTGTATATATAAAGAAAAAACAGGAACTGGCAAATGTGAACCAACTGATGCCTACAAAACTTGAAAAATCCAATATTGATTCTCCAATGACATACACTGGTCAGGTTATCAAGAATCGTTGAATCATCATGAGAAACAAAAAAATGGACTAACAAACTGTCCTCAAACAGTGGTTATTGATAAATGTCATCTCAGAGATCAAGTTATTAAGAAGCTTAAGATATGCCAGCTATGGACACCAGAAAAGCAAAACATGTGATTGATAAGTGCAGAAATTCTTTTACCTCTTTCATGACAGCTTGAGAAGCTGCCATTTGGGCATCACCTTTGCAGCGAGCCAAAGCTCTCTCCACGTAACCCCGGAGTGACTTTGGAAACAAATCAGGCTATGATCAACAGAAATGATAATCATGTGAGACAGATGTACAAATGTAAGTTTCAAGATCTCACTAAAAACAAGCCATCAGAAATCATCAATCCGCAGGAGAATCCTAAATAAGTAGGTGGTAGTAGAAAGTAAATAAGAAAATATGCCCAGAGTAAGCTTCCAAAACCTTGAATCATATAACCCTTAAAAAAGGAACATATTCATATGAGGATGAAACTTTTAGCATTTTATAAACACTTCATAATTGGATCTAAATTGTGCAATGACACCCAAGTCTATCAGAGGACTGAGAGACAAACAGGAGAATAATTATCTAAAAAAACTACAGGAAAACAACTGATCTACTCAACCAATATCTAGCACCTCTTGCATGTATGTAAGCAAATATATAAACAACAAAAATAATATTTTAATATCCAAGCACAAAATCAAAATATGTATCAGGAACCATAAGTATTCATGACCTAGAAAACATATCAAACAGATGACAAAGAAAAGAAGGTAAGAAACCAGATGTCGAGCTCCTAAATTATACAGCTGCAACACAGAACAGTCATTATTTAAATCCTAATCTACACAGCTATTAAAACTCAACCATAAAACAAGAGAACACTCACCTTCAAATTGGAATCAGCTATAGTATCTTCAGCTTGCACTTTCTCATTTGGCTTCGTAAGTGAAACACTGACATAGGCTGGCTTTGAAGCTATGCCACTTACAGGGTTTTCCTTGTCTGCTTTTGACAAACTTAAACCCAGATTTGAAGCGATTCTAGGATTTGTTGGAATCTGCAATTTGCTGGTTACCCTTCGGGGATCAACCTGTGGAACAGTTTGTGAAACAGATGGTGAAGATGATTGATAACTTTGAGGAACCTGATGTGAAGCTCCATAAGTATGTGCCACAGACGTCTGTTGATTCTGGAAAGCTCCATATGGGGAACTTGTGTCTAGAGGTGTCTGTGCATGCTGTTGCACTGCACCAGAATTTTGATTATGAATCCCAAGATTCCAGTAGCCATCTTGGTTACCAGTACCGGCTGCAGCAGGCTGAAATAAGAAAACCGAAACATATGTATAATTGGACACAATATAAATTGAAATGATGATAATTTCAACCAATGGTAACTATAAAGTACAAGTAAGACAAAGAAGAGACCAGGAGTTGATCTTCAATACAAGGAATGAACAGTTCACTAATTATCTTCGACAAAAATCAAACAATGCATATGAAGAACTTTAACTAGTTTTTATCTGATATTAAAAAGTTCAAGTATGACGCGACAAAGAGGGACTGTTCCTGCAGAGATTAATATCAACTTGTGAAAGTAAAAAATAATCCCCCCCTAACTCCCAGGAAGAACAGAGCGTCCACACAAATTCGATATGAAAAATGCATAGAGGAAGAGAACATCCTATTCTTGTGACTGGAATCACGTTCTAGCTCAGCTCTACTAAACAAAAACCAATCATATCAGATAGCTACGAAAATGAAATCCTGCTAAATTGCGCGCGCACCCCCCACACACACACACACAATGGTAAGGGGAAACCTGTGTCCCATGGAATTCAGACGTAGTTGACTCTGGCCTCCAAGAGGGAACATAGGGAGCAGGAGGTGGTGCAGAAGTTTGCTGACTCTGTGAAGCTGGATATCCACCATTTACAGCAGGAACGGAACAACTAAGACTAGATGTCACAGGAACAGAAACATTTTCTGTGCCAGGAGCACAGCTGACTTCAGTTTGTGCATTGTAATAATCAGCCCACTGCTTATAGTGTTCCGCATACTGAGAAGTTTCCGTACTAGTTGTTGAACTGTACAAAGTAGTTGGATCCTGCGAGTAGTTCGGATATTGCTGGGGGGTGTAACTTGTGTACTGACCCTCCTGCCAATAGTTTGTCTGGTTACTGTAAGCACCATTCTGGTAACCTCCAGACGTCTGATAATCAGCAGGATTGTAGTAAGTGCCTGAATAACTTGCAGGCCCAGCATAAGACCCTGTATTCTGAAATGAGGAAAGAGGCTGATAAGGAGCACCTGAGTTTTGGTATGCTCCTACTGGCGGCTGATATGATTGGCTAGTTGGCTGCTGGTAACCATTGTACTGAGGTGTGTATCCTGTATTGCCATATCCATATGGATCTGTATTCTGATAGGCTGAATAGCTACTATAATCTTGGGGCGCATTTACTACACCGGAAGTTGAAGTGGAGGCAACAGGTGGCGCATTTAAACCATCTTGGACGTTCCTCGATATTAATTCTGCTTGTTGACCATGATGATATGTAGAACTGGAAGCACTCCCATTTTCAATGGAATAATTAATTGCCCCATAGGTGGTCCGAGTCGGTGCAGAGCTAATTTGGGCATAGTATGAAGACACATTAGCTTGACTTGGATCAGCAATAGGGTGCTTCTGAAAAGCGACAAAATTATACGTCAGGTACATTGCATAAATCAATCTGATTCACATTTTTCATTTACATACAGCAAAAAGCACAGCAATCCTAAACAAATTCAGAACTAGTTGACGTCATCCTAAGTCAGAGTGTTGTGAAACATTGTGCACATATAGAAAACTGGAGCAGACAAATAGATAATGGATCACCACATGCTTCCTTAACAAACCACCTCTCACAGAGCAAGGAAGCTGACAATCTACAAAAAAACATATCCAGAGAGGAATCTTAAATGCGATAAGACACACTCTGAAGATCAAAACGGAATAATTCAAGAAGGCAAAAAGGCGCACTTTCCACCTGAATTTATTTTCCACGTGGACTGTCCCAATATGTCATAAAAACCAACTTCTACAATGGAAAGTACATTTTAGGTTTTCAACATAAACCCCCGTTCATTATCCAAAAACCCATCCAATAAGAAAACAAAGGCAGTATATATACTCAATAATCCCCAAAATTGTCAAACACGACAAAAGAAAGAGCATATACTCAACATGAGCATCAGCATCCGTGATAATATTTTAAGTGAGCTGGAGGATAAGCGCAAGCTAAAGTACAGAACCAATAAAAAGATGGCTCATCTTTTCTTGAAGCAACACAAATAGGTCAGTTACTATTGCAGAAATCACATGCATATACAAAGAGCAGGTCAGAACGACGACAGACCAAAACTTTAATATACTTCCAGAAACATCACATAAAAATTCTGATTAAGCTAACTTCCAAAATTTCACCATTACCCTAAAATACTAATATACCACATTAAAATAAGACCAGGCAACTTCCTCAGGATGAACTCCAAGCATTAACCAAGCATAATGGATCAAAAAACTAGTTCGTTAGTTACCTCAAGCGAATTGGAATCCAGGGCAGAAAGAGTATGAGTTGTGCCTCCTTGATTCATATTCGGCAAATTACGAACTGGATTCAAGAAAAAACCGAAACAACTTTAGAATGTTCATACAGAAGAAATTTCACACAAACAAAATCATTATTAGAAAACCCTAATTTCTGCGTAGCCGAACAAAAATCAGGCTTCTCTTACCTTCAAAACTCGCAAAAAGGCAGCTCAAAACGTCGAGCCCATCCACAGCAACTATTGATCGAAACAAAAGCTAACGGTGATCCAAGACAAGAAACACAAAAATATTACAAACAAGAGACCTAACAAAAATCTAAAGAAAATGTAATCTGAAAAATCAAACAGAAACGGTAGACAATGATTTGACTAGGTAAAAACTACCAAGAAAATTTTTTAGAGGGAAGAATTGGAAAAATGCCAACAGCAAGAATAATGCGGTACGACGTCGGAGCAAACGATAAAATCAACAAAAGATATGTACTCCTGTAATAAATGATGGGTTCAATGCTTTTGTAGTCGTACGGGGAGTATTCGATCCATTTCCTCAAATTGGATGGACCAGATTCTTGGGCTTTTTTAATTTGATTATTATTGGGCCTATCCATATCCATGCCCCATTATATCTCCACTTTACAGCCCTATTTCCCCCAACATTTTAAAAAACTGCCGCTCTTTTTTCCGATATTTCCCAACTCTCCCGCCTAATCCAATGGGGTAAAATTTCCAGCTCTCCCGCCTCTAATTTCTCCACGAAAAGAATTTAAAAGTACAGCATTCTCTAAAGCTGTTAAGAGTTAAGAATAACCAAGATCCAATAACCAATAACAAGGTACTCCAAAAATCCAAATATCAAAATGTGTCAGAATTATACATAACGAACTTATGCACTAAATTACAATTGATTAGATGAATTTGGGATGAAATCTTGACAGCACTTCACTTTTTCTTTTGTCCTTTTCTTTTTTGATAGAATGGACACTAAGAGCCTGAAAATGCAATTATCTCTGATAACTGATAAGTTAAATTGCATCTTATATTTGCTAAGTATACCAAACGGATGCTGCAGAATCGAAATCCATGTCCTTATCGAGAGGATCTAAAAGGTAGAATGGTAGACCCAGCAAAAGAGGAAAAAAAAAAAGGGAAAAAATAGTTGGATAAAAAAGCAGAGACGCAATTGATGCTTGAAAATTTCAATTCAATATTTTCTGCTTGAACCAAATTCGGTCTCGATATCAGTACATCATAACAACCCCATTACGAAAGTGGGCCAAAACCATAACAACACCTAACTGGAACAAACCAATTGCAGATTCTAACAAGGAAAAAGCCCAAATCTCCAGAATCCCCAATTCCCAAATAGAAAAACCCTAACCGCCGAACCCGTAGAGGGTACGGCCTTGCCTCTTGAGAGCATACACCACATCCATGGCGGTGACCGTCTTCCGGCGAGCGTGCTCAGTGTAGGTGACGGCATCTCTGATCACATTCTCCAAGAAGATCTTGAGGACTCCACGGGTCTCTTCGTAGATCAGACCGCTGATACGCTTCACGCCTCCTCTACGAGCCAGACGCCGAATCGCCGGCTTGGTAATTCCCTGAATGTTATCTCGGAGCACCTTACGATGACGCTTTGCTCCTCCCTTTCCCAAACCCTTGCCTCCCTTACCACGTCCTGACATCTTCGATTAGCAACTGTATCATAAGAAATTCAGAACAATCAATCAGTACAAGACAAAGAATTCATTCACAACATTCATACAAATCGAATAGCTAAAATCACTGAATCGATTAAAGCTTAATCGCCAACCTAAAGTAGAATTGTTCAAAGACTTACCTAAACAAAGAGAAGTCTAATTATCAACGGAACGAAAGAAAAACAGGAGAATCTTCAGAATGCTAAAATGAATGGTCTCCCAATTGAGAATATGAAAGTGTGGCAGGCAAAGGTGACTATTTATACTAACAGCTCCCTTATGACCCGCGTCAACTATCAGAAGAAGTGGTGATCTGGACCTTTTATTACTTATGAACGGTCTAGATGGTAGCATGTTAAGCAACAGAGATCGATGACGTGGAAGAGAACGTTCTTATTGGCTGCTGTGTTGCTCCGCTTTCCAGAGTTTTTGACCCAAACTCCAAAGTGAGAAATTTCTTGAAAAGGAAAAAAACACTTTAAAAAAGAAATAGAGGGACTCTTTCGTCAAATTACAGTATCGTGTACCATGCTAATGATCATTACAGCGCTTGGGTCAGCTAATTTGACAAACACTTGCTGGGCACGAGCTAAATGGCCACTCTTCAATCTCTGCATTCGCTCTGAAATCAAATTCTCCACAATTCCTGATAAGGTTTTTAATTGATAAATGTTATGTTGTAATCAATTTGTGTTGAGATGAATGCACTGAGTGTGATGATTGCTCTTCTGGGTTAGGTACTAAGGAACCATAGAGACGAGGATTGTGATGATTTTCTGCCGTGGTTGGAGCAGAAAGCATGTATGCAAATCTCATCAGTGCTTTACATTGGTAAATCTGCTTTTGGAAGGTATATTTCTCTATAGCTTATCTGTAGCTAATATGCTGATGGCGGGTGTAAATTCAACTTCATGTATGATACTGTGATATAATTCATTCTCTGATGCCATTTTGATTTTGGTCAATGCAGGGGACTCTATGCTTCTAAGCACATAGAAGCTGGTGATTGCATTTTGAGGGTTCCTCACTCAGTGGTAAATAATAATTACATCTTCCTTAGAAGAGTTAGGAGGAAGACTTATTACTCTCAAAGCTGTCAAATAAATAGTTAGACTAAAAATTTAATTAATGCAAAAGATTGTAAATTGAACAAACTATCATTTCTGTTTTGTGTTTTAAGTCATTCTGTAAAGTATTGGGTTTAAATTATGCATTATATGGTTTGACCGAGGTGATTATTTGCCTTTTCAAATAAAGTTAGATCAACTGTTTTTTTGTTTTTCACAGCAATTGGCTCCTGATAATCTTCCTCCACGGATTTATTCTTCTTTGGGGAAGGAGGTCAGCAATGTTGCAAAAGTGGCAATACTCCTGTTACATCATATGAGATTGGGTCAGGTTCAGTATATATCTCTTGCATTCTCAATTAAATAACTCAATCTCTTTACATATCAAAACTTACTAGGATTCTATGCTGCCTTATAAACCATATTTCAAAAACTGATTCTTGTATCATTGTCCTGATTTTTCTCTGCAGAAATCTGAATGGGGTCCGTACATTAGTCGGCTGCCGCCAGCTTCTGAAATGCACAACACAGTTAGTTTTCTGCCAGAAGATTACTTTTGTAAATACTTATCTGACAACAGCAAAAAGATGATGGCCTGAGTAATTCTTTTATATTTTGTTGGGGTTCAGATGGTTGTACCTCAATCATTTCGGCTGCTTTCAATTTTTGATATTTGGACTCAATTAGTAGCTTGCACAGATATTCTCTCCCTCCTTAAGTACAGTAGACTGCCTAATCTTATTAAGTTTTTAACTTTCGTGAGCCTCTGTAGCTTGACCTCCTATTGCATTAGATTCTGTTCTACCATTCTGTTATGTGACGAAGAATATTCCCTCTTCCTAAAGTTGTTTACGACTCCAGAAAACTTGTAATTGTTTGTCCTGATGCATTATAATCCGGAGGTTATCAAGCTAGGGGACATTTGAGTGTTGATTTGACGATGTCAGAATTTCCCATTCTCCCTTGGCCGGACTTTATCATTCAGCTTGCATAGCGTGTCTCTTGTGTGTAAACAAACTTATATCAAATTTTATATAGATGTCCAAGATAATAAATGCTCAGTGACAGTTTAAATTAAATGCAGAATTTGTGGACCAATAATGAACTGGAGATGATTAGACAAAGTTCTGTATATCCGGAGACAATGAAACAAAGGAACGTTATTGAAAAGGAATTCCTGGCAATAAAACCAGTAAGTAATTTGCTCTGTTATCATTGTTTAGCGTTGAGTCCACTGATTTTCATTACAAGCAATTATTTTTAATAAATTCTAACCAATCAAATTCTAATTGAGTGATCATTTCTACCATATTCTTTGTTTCACTGACATTCTAATTACTATTGAAGTCATTTGGTTAGCTTGATAGTTGACGGGAATAGGACAATAGGTTAGATGATGGAGTACTAGTGGCTTTTTAGAGTTTTGTGTATCTCCCGTTACTATTATTGTATTTGCACTTCTTTGGTATCTGTCAAGTTAAGAAAATATTAAAGAATTAGATTTGAAGAAATAGTTTAAGCAATTAACTTCCAAAGTAATTACTCAAGGCAAAAGTTTAACTTTAATTAAACGGTAAATTGTCTACCTGTTTTATCAAGGCTTTGTTTTGTATTTTTGTTTTTCACATAGGGGTTGCTCTGATTTAAGAGGATGTTTATGTAATTCCTTGATATAAACTGATTTTGTTGGTCTAACTGATCGAGTTATTCTGTACTATCAAATGTTAAAAAGAAAATGAAAGAGTAACAAGAAAGGATACCAGGAGAAAAGTTATTCTTGAGCTTTATCTTAATTTCAGGTTCTGGATCAGTTTCGTGAAAACTTTTCAGACTTCTCCTTGGAGGACTTTGCATATGCTTGTGCTTTAGGTAGATATCTGTTTGCCTGAATTGAGCTTCTCTTGATTACTAAATTGCATTTCACCTGTGTTATCATAATTCATGAAGTTCATTATCAAGCTTATCAATATTATTTCGGCGAATGGCCTTTTCTTGACAATGCAGTCACATCTCGAGCATGGGAAAGCCCAAGAGGTGTCTCCATGGTATGATGTCGCAGATTTCACATAAGGAATGGACGCACTTATTTCTGTTGTAACAATGGGAAGTTAACTGTTTGTTTCCTCTAATCTTGGGTAATATCTTTTCCTCTTGTATTTTGTAGATTCCTTTCGCTGATTTCCTAAATCATGATGGTGCATCTGAGGCATTTCTTTGGAGTAAAGAACGCAAATTGTTCTCAGAGGTCTCTCTCTCAAATATCGTGATATTACTCTGATGATACCAATTCAAGATCTGTGCATACCTTGCCATATTTGATATTGAAATGGATAAATATGTTACCAAATTTCTCTTTCTTTAAAACTTGGCCACATTTGTCACTCATTTAGGTGCCGGAGTGAGACCAACCTTTAGTTTTTTGTATGTGTTTTCGCACTGCTTATGTTTTGAACCTATGAACTGACTTAGGTTGATGTAACAAAGTCATGAGTGCAGTTCAGGTGAGTTTTAACACGGATTGCATAACTTCTGTGTCCTGTCCCATTTTTTGGCAGGTTATTGCTGATCGTAATTATGTCCCTGGTGATCAGGTATTGACTGAGATAAATGTTCCTTTCTTTATATATGTCGTTTCTGATCTTCATGATTTGTAGAATGCTTTCCTAATGGTATTATTAGTTGGAGACTGTTTCTTTCGTTGAGGCACGTAACCTGAAATGGTTTACAAATTTCTGCAGGTCCTTGTAAGATATGGAAAATTTTCTAACCATACTCTGGCATTGGACTTTGGCTTTACGCTTCCTTACAACATCAATGACCAGGTTAATTTCCTCAAAATAAAACTTCTCATGATGTACATATTAGCTTCTGCAAGCACCTTCTCATAATTTACAAAGCCTTTTGCTGTTTGATCTTTTTTTCATTTCTTTGACTTATGATTATCCGGGTCTGGGATATTGCAATGTCTATTTGGAATTATCATGCTCCCTTGGAATAAGTGGTATTCGACAATTTACTATCCTTACGACTGCCTGTTCATGTGGGACATTCTTTCTTTACAACCAAGCTTATAAAGGTTAACAGGTAGATTTGAAGATGATTTTCTGTAGATACCATTGTAGCTTTTGTAATCTACAGGCAATAAGAAAGCTCAAAAATTGTACTGTTGTACACAAAACACTAAAGAACCCATGAAAGCACATTTGTCTAATGGCAAAAAAACGTAGAAACGTTTAGTGAACATAAAGAGTTCTTTTCAGATGCTCGGAACATGTTTTATTTGGTTGGAATCGGATTACTGGTATAACATCTGCCACTCCCATCGGACTTCCAACATTGTGCTTATATTCATTTTCATAGAACAACTAAACAGCCTTGTCCACAGGAATGAGATCCTGTTGGAATTTATTTTGGAATTGGCATGGTGGACACAAACAGTTAACCTTTTGGTATTGGGATGTATTAATCTATGGATACAACTTTGCACTGTCATCTGCTTCGATCAATCATTTACCTTTGATTTGGATGGCGTGGTTAAATGTAATTTACATCAATTGGCATCAGGTTGAAGTTCAACTAGACATACCTCATGATGATCATCTTCGTCAAATGAAGTTGCAACTTCTTCAACGGTTCCCTGCTCCCGCCATTAAAGACGTCAATGGATTCAGCCCTTCTGAGAAGTGTTTTACTATCAAGTCATAATCGTTTCTTGAAAAACGTGCTATTTAAAAATGCTCCATTGAATTTTAGTGTTTCCTTCGCCTGGGTTGTATATGGGTACTTGCCGTTGCTTTTACTATTGTTGTTGTTACACAAAGGCCACATCCTGCTACACAGAAAGAAAGAAAAATCAATTAAAGATCATAATCAGCTGACTGAATTATGGAGTTAATTGTTCCTCGTTGTATGGGTTTCTATTTCACCTGTCTGAGAATCATTTGTGGTCTTCATGCAGGGAAGTAAAATCTGGCTGTAGTAAAGGGAGAGGAATCCCACAAGCATTTCGCGCATTTGCTCGAATTGTATGCTGTAACTATCAAGGTCTCAAATAGCAGTTTATGCTCTTTTCTTTGTGGATGCTTAGTGACCTATTCCATTTTGTGCTGTGGTTGCTGTAAAGTTTTCCTTACACTGTTTTCCCTTTTTCGTATAGAATTAAGTGATCTGGCATGGGAAGCTGCTCAAAATGATGGAAGATTGGCTCGGAATCCTTTGACAAACAAAAACAAAGAAATTGAGGCACATCAATTGATGCTTTCCAGAGTAAATCAACTCATCGAGGATTATGATGCATCCATCAAGGTGATAACAGAATAAGTTTTCTCCGGTTCAAATGATTTTATATTATTTGAAAATGTGTTAAGAGATAATTATGTCACCTTATGTGAAGTGAAAGGTTGGGTTTTACATGAACATCAAAAAACCACAATGTTGGGATGGTCATAAAATCAGATGGATCCATTGGTAATTGGAATTCAGAGATTCTCTCTGCATTATGACCACAATCATATGAGAAATGAATTGTAGCATGATCCAACCCTCTACAGCTTTATCCAGGAAACATTTGGATATGCATGATTGTGAACAGTTCTGAATTCACATGATGATCTTTCTCATGGTGTCCATCTGTACAGTCTCTGGAACAAACATTCTCTCGTCACATGCTTAGAAGACATCCTTTAAGAAGGCAAATGGCCCGCGATCTTTTCTCTGGCGAGATTCGAGTTCTGATGTCTGCTTCTGCGTGGCTGAAACATTATTGTGCAACCATATGAAGGTAGGGATAATCGATGCAGATGTTTCCCTCCCGATTCAGCCTCCTTTCGGAACTTGGTTGGTTCAAGCAAATATCGTATTTCCCAGAAATTTCCCAGAAATCCAATGCTTGACTGAGGTCCGGCCGAGCTCATGTTCATCATTGAGACACTGAATGGATACAAGACGTTAATCGCTTGGGAAAGAAAGGGAAAGGACAAGAGATAGAATGGATCAGCAGAGCCGGCCATCATGTTGTGCAAAAATGGAATTCAATATCAAAGACTACTACTAAAATCACTATTCCCCGTCCCAAATTCGAAAATGATTGTGGGAGTATTGTTTTCACTTAACAATTCTTTTTTGGAATAGAGGGAGTAAAATTTTCACCTCATGAAAGTGACTCTTTGTTTTTATCCATATGCTGAGTTTGATTAACTTGAATGGATGAATAACTCAATTTTTTTTCGTAACGTTGGGAACCTCATTAGAAATGGGTAAACCCACCCTTACTGCTCTACAAATCATAGCGGAAGATAAATTACCCTAACCAAGCTTGGGATGATAAGCTTGGGTACAAATTTGGGGGTTTATGAGTGAGTTTGCCATAAAAAGCCCTCTAGAAGTGCCAATGGGCAAGGTTAGAGTGATTCCCTCACTCTTATTGGAATAGGAGTTTGAACTCATAATCTACTCTAGAGAGCAAGGGTGGTTTTACCACTGAATCAACACATCATTTCTGAATAACTCAAATTTTATTCACTGCTTAGATTAGATTAAATAATCTGATCAAGCAATTGATGTACAAACTATAGGTCAGCACCGACACGACCCGTACCCACAAATTTATATCTTTATATCTCCAATATATTAAAGAAGAGTTTTCAATCGGACACATGTCGCAAATTTAGATAGGCTAATCCACGTGGCACAAAATTACATAGCCAAGTCCACATGTCGCAACCAAGTCACTTCATCATTTAATGGTAATTTTTTATTTGTAAATCCGTAAACTCTATAAAAAAAAACCTATTTTACTAACTCTTAACAATTAAGATAAAAAAAAAAAAAAAAAGTTATACGTATATACCGACAAAACAAAAGCTAATTATTGATCATATATAATGCGCATTAACATAAGTATAATACTTAATATTAAGTCAAAATCTTATCTTGGATTATTTTGTGTTATAATTCCCAATAATTTTTAAAGAATAATAACCATATGATTTTTTTCTAATAAAGAACATAATGTTATAAATAATTATATAAATTTACAATTTGACGAAGGTTTTTTTAAAAAATTATATATTATATCTTTGAAGTGTGATAATGAGTCGCTAATCATTAATAAGTTCAATTCTATTCACGTTGTACGGGAGAATAAATATTAAATTTAAAAAAATATCAGTATCAAGAAAGTATAGGACTAAAAAAAAAGTTATACCTATATACCGACAAAACAAAAGATAATTACTGATCATATATATAATGTGCATTAACATAAGTATAATACTTAATATTAAGTCAAAATCTTATCTTGGATTATTTTGTGTTGTAATCCCCAATAAATTTTAAAGAATAATAACCACATGATTTTTTTTTAACAAAGAACATAACGTTATAAATAATTATATAAATTTACAATTTGATGAATGTTTTAAAAAAAAATTATATATTATATCTTTGAAGTATGATGATGAGTCGCTAATCATTAATAAGTTCAATTCCATTCACGTTGTACGGAAAAATAAATATCAAATTTAAATAAATATCAGTATCAAGAAAGTTTAGGACTAAAAAAAAAGAAATTATAAGAAATAAATATCAATTTATCCCTTATAACATTAACACATCTAAATATATATATATATAAAAAAAGAAGTAATAAGATAGATATGTTCGGTTGACCTAAATCAAAATTGTTTTGTCGTACGTTGTTAAGAGAATTAATACTTTACACCTATGCTAAATAGTTTTTTTTTTTTGTATTTGTTTTTGCATATGCATCTTGGAATTCAAGTATGACATGCGATTTTCATCGATGAATCTTCTAATGTTGATGAATATTGATAATCTTGATCAAAGTTTTAAAAGAAATCTATTAGATAATTCGTTATATTTTTTTCATATGATATGATGGTAGAAAAAGTTAAGGTTATGATGATAAAACAAAACATAGAGATCAATAGGGAGGAAAATTTCTAAAATGAGAAAAAAGAATAAAGTTCCATGAAGAGACGAATATTAAAAGAAAAGCATATTGATCGCAAATTTATAAAGAAAATAGCCCACATTAATAAATTTATTTAAAACGAAAGGCACAATGGGCTTTTCTTTAAGCCCGAGAAGAGCCCAATATGGAAATTCGATAGCCTTTATAAGCGGCTTACAAAGCCATTATATTGTCTAATCCGTTCCATCGAAAGCATAGGAGAGGAATAAGGATCTAGGGTTCTTCCTCCACTTTGTTCAGGTGCGCCCGACTCCTAACACCTTCTCCTTTCTTCGCCTTGCACCGCACAATCAAATTCATCGAAGAACTTCACGCTCTTTTTTTTTTTTTTTTCTTTCGGGTTCCAAAATCCGTTGTATGTGTGTGTTTTTACCGAGATTCTTTTTTAGATCTTTGAAGTTTGAAAATTTCTTGACAAAAATAGAATTGTACGTTTGTTGCGTGATTCTGCTCTTTTTTTTTTCTTTTTTTTTTTTAACTATTTCTCAGCTGGGAGGAGGTTTGAATTAATCTTGATTTGGATTCATTGTTTGGATTATGCTTCTTTTGTACTGTAATAGCTGATTACCTGCTTTTGCGAGAATTTAATTAGGTGATTGTATTGTGATATGCTGTTCCTGAGGTTTCAATATGGTGTCTATTAATTAGCTAGCTGCAGAGTGTTTTTTTTTTTCTTTTGGGATAACTCCTTCAATTTTGGTTCTTTTGGTTTTTAATTCTTGGAATATATCTGGTGAAACAGGGCCTTGATAATTGAAAGTTTGCTCAATTTCTACCGCCGGAGAAGATGCCGCGATATGATGATGGTGGTTATGGTACTACCAGGCTCTATGTTGGCCGACTTTCCTCCAGGACTCGTTCACGTGATCTGGAGGACATCTTCAGCCGATATGGAAGGTAAAATTATACTTTGGGTTCTAATTCCCAGCTGTCACTTCTCTATTCAATATCTACACGGCGCTGTTACTATAAGAGTTTGGGCTATGTTTTCCATCTCGTCTACTCACATAGTTAAGTTCTTTCTTTGGGCGCTTTACAGTCCATTTTGGGTGTTAGGACCAGGGCATGTTGGGCAGAATCAGAATCCTTGTGAAACCCTTCTTTTATTTCAGATAGGGAATTCAAATTTCTTTATTGGAAATCTATTTTAGGAAAAGTTGTCCCACGTTTCATTTTAACTTGAATAATGTTTCTGAAGGTTTCTGGGCTTTTTGCCCAACCTGGAGGTCTATGGTGAGAGGTTGCCCTTGGTGGAATTGGCCCAATGTCTTGCAGAATAGATAGGGGACTTTGGCGATTCTGTCTATATTCTTATTACAATTTTTTTTGATGGAAATGGCAACAATCTCAAACTGGTGTTATAGTTCATCTTTGAGGGGCAAGAAAGAGTATCAACTTTTCAGTTCTAATGTCTTGATGGCCTTACTGTTTCTGGCACCCATTTACGCAGAGTACGAGATGTGGACATGAAGCGTGATTATGCCTTCGTGGTACGCCTTTCTACTATTTTTATTCGTCATTATGCAATTATTTTGTAAATGAGAGGAACTTCGTCTTTGTACCTGTGTAAAGACGTGTTTCTTGCAACCTATCAATGTGCTGTTGGGTGCAGGAATTTAGCGACCCTAGAGATGCTGATGATGCACGATATCGCTTGAATGGGCGTGAAGTTGATGGTAGTCGTATTATTGTGGAGTTTGCAAAGGGAGTAAGTTGCCATTTTTTGTGGGAAAAAAAAATTGTTCTAATGATCTTTTTAGTTTTTTTGCATCTTCCTTCTGAAGGAGTCTCTTTAGCTTATGTGTGCTGGTCACGGATGTGGTAACATTTACAGTCAGCTTATATGAATCAGAATCAGTGATTGAGTGTAACTATTTTCTCAATGGTTTCTGAGATGTAATAATCTGATCAATCTAATCTTGGATAATGGGTTAGTTTGTGGTGAGAAAGGTATTTATTTATTTTTCTCTACTTTGCTGTTGTTTAGCGCCTGGCGCAGACATGATTCTGATTTCCCTTTTCGTTTAATTTTGTTGGTTGTCTGGATCATCGCATATACTCCGAAAAAATGTTCTCTTGAAATGTGTATTCTGTTGATGCTCTACAGTGTTCGTGTGCCTGACTTTACATTGAAAAATAACTTACTAGTTCTTGCTGTTCTCGGTAATGGGTTGCTTCTTGCTTCTCTGGTTATAGATGAACCATGTGGCTAAAGATTGATTTTTAATTCAGGTGCCACGTGGTCCTGGTGGGTCCCGTGAATATCTCGGCAGGGGACCCCCTCCTGGAACTGGGCGTTGCTTCAATTGTGGACTCGATGGCCACTGGGCTCGAGATTGCAAGGCTGGTGATTGGAAGAATAAGTGCTATCGATGCGGTGAACGAGGCCACATAGAGAGGAATTGCCAGAACAGTCCTCAAAAGCTGAAGTATGCACTTTTAGATATCTTCTCATCTATTGTTTATGTATTTGATAACTATTACGGAAGTAGTTTTTCTCAATCGGATCCTGGTTATGGTTATGCAGACGTGGACACAGTTACTCCCGTTCACCGTCCCCTCGACGTGACAGAAGCAGGCGCAGTTACACTAGGAGCCGAAGTTACAGGTTTGCTTCTTCTACTTGTGTGTTCCTTATATATACATTTTCTATTTTAAAAGCTCATATAAAAACTACCCCGCCAAAAAAAACAAAACAAAACTGAGGCAGATTAACAGAAGTGAATTATTTTACAACCTGGAAAAAGGAAAAAAAAAAGAATAAAGTTGTCATCATCATCACCTGTAATGTGTATCTTTGCCATAGATTTTGAGTCCCTTGTGTCCTTTCCAGAGTGTTTTTCTTAAGTTTTCTGTTTGTGGGAACAGAGTAACCTTTTGTTATTTTGCTGCAGCCGATCTAGGTCTCCAGTAAGAAGGGAGCGTAGCATTGAACATGAGGAAAGAAGATCTAGGAGCCCCAAGCGTCATATGGCATCATCTCCACTACCATCCAGGGGAGGAAGGAATCGCACTCCAACTCCTGATGATAGAAGCCCAAGAGAGAGGCGTTCACCCTCACCAAGGGATGAGAGGCCTGCAAATGGATCAGAATACAGTAGGAGCCCGGTGAGGAGCAGGAGTCCCAAAGATGGTGCTCAAAGGGATGATGATATCAGGGGCAGGAGCCCTCGTGAAGAAAATGGCCGCAGCCGCAGCCGTAGCCCCATTCCTAGGGACAATGGAAGCCCAGTCGATGATTACGAAAATGAAAACAATGGGTCACCCAGGGGCAGTGAATGAGATTAGGAGCATCGTGTATCGTAACTCTGTTAGTTGATGGTAAACTATTTCGGATTCTACGTGTGTTCTGGCTTTCAAATACCTTTAATATTCTGCCATATGTTAAGATTCTGTAACTGCTAGAATCGAGGCATTACTGAAACTATTTTGTTCGTGCCATTACCTATCACCTAGTATTCGTTTTTCCCGGTCAAATTTTGTTCCGTTAAGCACAACTTACGTTCAGATTTGTTCTGTTCACAATTTACCATCTTCTGGAACGGGTTGGTATCTTCATTTTGCTTTTTCTCCTTTCTTGCTAATAAAGCAGAGACGCCTAGCATCAGAAAGTGTCTTAACGATATGTAAGAATAAGTCCGTACAGAAAGTAATTATGCGATAACAATAAGGAATAATGTTAATATTATTCTAGACTTCTAGTATCTGGAAATTTAACAAAAAGAAAGAAACAAAAACCAGTAATAATTACAAATGAAGATTATGCATTACATATGTACATTTGCGGATTCAGCCAATACAGCAATTAAGTGAAGTCCTTTACACACAAAACAAGACTTTCCCTTCACACCGCAATAGCTTCTGAATCAGCAGAGAAGCTACAAGCTTCTAAAGATTAATTAATGTAAAATCCAATAACATTCTTCTTCAGAGCCACTCATCTTGAACAATAAATTATGAAATATATGCTTTGATCACTTCTGTGTAATTGCAGACAAAACCTGTCCTCGGGCATGTGATTCTGCCATTATTCTTCCTTGCCATGTCTTCTAGAGCCTGCCAAGCACAAATAGAACTTTTGTATAGCAATGAAATTTACTACTCGTGAGAACAATAAACTCTGGCAATTAGACAGACCTTAGTGCTGTAGACATAGCCATTTGGTAAGACTAGTGGAGGGTTCTCGGTGTCCATCAGTTCTTTTGTAATATAGCAAACAAGTTTTGAATGATGCTGCTTCGAGAATGGAAGTGGTGAAGCTAACTTGCGGAAGTGGTCTTGCGATAGCGGGTCCTCTTTAGAACAATCATCTTCATAGCAGAATCTAAATTGAGTCAAGGCAAAAGTGGCCGCATATAGAAACTACAACTATCATTAGTCGCATAAATTTGCAACTTAAACTTCTTTTACTTATTTGCACTAACCAAAAGATTGAGAGAGAGAGAGAGAGAGAGAGAGAGAGAGAGAGTCAACAATTGGATACGGAGTTTTCAGAGCTGACAAGCCGGCTTGCAAATATATATTTAGCAAGGGCTCTAGTGTCATGCCATATAACTTGCAGAACTCCTGCTTAAATTGATCAACGAGGAAATCCCATTGCTTGGCTTCAAATAAGACCTGGAAAATCATCACCAACAAAAGAAGCCACTCAGCTCACTGCAGCAAATAACTCCACAGGAGAGGAAGCATCATACTTTCATGGTTAATGAGAACTACAAAATTCCAGATACTCACGTGAAATCCACAACAATTCCAACAAAACATGGTTGAAAATATAACAATGTCGTCAGGAAGTATCAAAACAAAATCAGGTGACCCCCCATATCATGTGGGTATCCGTCTCAACACAACCAACCCAGGGAAAAAGGAGAAAAAAGACATCCTTACCTGTTACTGTTTGCATAAATTGGTACAGAATTTCAGATATACGAAACTACATATCCGAGTAAGAGTCAGAACTAAGCAAGGATGATGTAGAGAGTCCAACTAAAACATTATCATCCTAGAATAAGATCAGGCACTTGTTATAGAAGCATCAATCTGGGTCAGCTAATGAGATAATTAGATACCTTGTATGTCGCACACTCGGTATTACTCCTGAAAGCAAGTGTGGCCATCACCCTTTGCAATTCTTTCATGTGGGTAGCTCCCCAAGGAGCCAGATACTTGCGGGCATATGTAATAGCTCGCATGTTATTTTCAGCTCTTACTAGCTCTATGAAGTCTTGTAGTCTCAACTGAAACTCAAATTTACTCTGCCAACCAGAATAAGGAGTACATGAAAACCATGTGAACATCGATGCAACTTAACCAAGTAAATGTGAAAATACAACTGCAGTATCAGAAAAGAGATTTCCAGAAGAGCGACAGCTTAACAATAGCTCTCAATACCAAAAAAATAGCATATAGGAAGTACACTTAATTCCTCTCATGTTGAACTTTTAACCAAAACTTGTCAGCCACACATCCACTCCTATTAATTCTCAGCATTTTTTAGGATATACTGCGGACAATTGAACCAGAGATAGTTCTATTTGTAAACAACTTATGAAGTAATGTGCTATGTGCTTATAATAGAGATACTTATGAGCAATCTCTACAATGCTTTTCTCCTAGTGAGATAATCAGCAGCATGACTAGGCATGCCCAAGCAACATGTTTAAAAGCTCCAGCAAACAATATGGCCCTTAATTCCTTTCCACCATATTTAATGATGTGACCTTAAAAGGTTACATTTAAAGTAATCCTACAAAGATGCCATCACCAGACTACACAAAGTTCTTTAAGCCTGGATTTTTGAGTTATGAACATAGAAAATTTAAGACCTTCAAAAAGATATTAAAAACTCTAGGAGGTAACCACATATGATCAGTCAAACCACCCAACTGCACCTTCCAAAAGTTAGAATGAGGAGAAAACATCCATACCTTTGACTTCTTCAGCCTAGATTTATTATCCGCGCACCAAGCTAAAGCAGGGACGACATCTTTGTTTTGAAGAGCTTCAATAACCCTTCTTGCTTCAAAAAATACATCAATATCCACAAGATCCTGACAAGAAAAAATGTGCATCAGTCATTTTGCAGAAAGGGTGAGGATTACATTAACAGAAACAATAGTGAACCAAATAGTACTTTATAATGAATACAAAGATTTAAAGCAACTGATCGCATTATTTGAAGCAACTAAACTGATTTTTCATCATTTGAGATGTATAGACATAAAAGCCAAAAGTTTTGAAAAAATTAAGCATACAAAGGAATTACATGCAAGGATAAGTTACACATGAATAATTAATGAAATTTGAAGTCCAAATTATCAACTACGACACAAGATAGCTAGTCCTGTAAAACTAGATAATCCATCATAACCGACAAACAGAGGAATACACTATGATTCCCATAGTAAGGAGAAGTCACCTGAATATTGCTGCTTTCAGCAAGCTTGATCGCAGTGTCATAGTAAGACATCCTTAACATGTAATCCACAAGTATTCTCTTCAATCGAGTATTACTCCATTCTGATAGATTTTCTGCATCTGCAGCCTCCAAATGGTCCAGTCTAGCTCGGCATCTCTGAGCTTGCAAGTTCTCTGTTTTACTCCCTTCTTCCAACTGGTTATTCCAGTCACAAGTGATTAAATCAGTGCAAATACAGTCATAACCTTTCTTTGGAAGAAAACAAACTTAAGCATACTGAATAATACCGTTTCGTCAGAATCTCCGCTGAAAAGGATTTGATACTAAACTAAAATACACAACAATAGCTATAAACAGGAAACTGTTCACTTTCGTAACAAACATTAAGCATCAATCACATAACGAACATTGATCTCCGACGATTATACAGAAGATAGGTAATCGGCTACAACAACATTTATAATATGTCTTAGTTCTTACCTTCCTCTTGAGTCCTTGCAGTCTCGAGACCAGCGAATTAAGTTGCTTAACGGCATCATCACGACATAGTTCCGCGGAGTCGGCGGCTTCGGCGACACCGGAGATGACAGCGGATACCTCTTTCTCGACAGCGCGGTGGTTAGCGCGGATCGTCTTCTTGTAGTGCTCGAAGGGGACGCGGAGGAACTGGTGCTCCAATTTTAAGGACTCCGCCAGGTGAGTCAGCTTGGATGACGGAACTGCGGCTGAAACCGAGCCGGAAGTGGTGATCGACGCCGCAGAGGAAGCGGCGGAGGCGGTTGTCGATGACGGTGAGGAATTGCCGTTAGGAAGCGGGTCGGTTTCCATCTCCATGATTAGGGAATTTCGTTGGGATAATTGGATCAGGACGATACTTTTCCCTGAAACAGAATTAAAAAAGTGGAAGCAGATCACGAGCGATGTCGTTTAAAAGCATCAACTTGTCTTCACTCTTCTTCATCGGTTCTCCTCCGAATCTAATGTTTTAATGGGCTTGTAAACGGCCCTGATTTGGACTGGAACGAAATTTAGTCCACATGGATCTTCCGTTATCAGTTTCAGGCCCATATTAATGTCTGACCCTTTCTTTTTCTTTTCTTTATATTTTTTGGGTTATGCTCCATCTCATCAGGGTTCGTCTCTGATTTCACCATTGCAGGATGGAAGGGATTTGCAAACCAGATTGGGAAAATAAATCACGGACAAAGAAATACTCTTTCTGCCCCAAAATTATTGTCTAATTTCATATTTCACTTTTAATACAATTTGAACTAGAAATGAAAATCCGAACTGGATAATAATTATGGGACAGAGGGAGTAATAAATAGACAAACATTTAGTGGTAACCCAAAAAGATATCAAAAATGTAAAAGAGGGCAGTAATAAAGATAGAACATCATTGGCGAAATAATTCAGTTTTTTTTTTTAATTCAGGCGAAATAATTCAATAACACGTGAAACTGTGTTCTTTAAATTGCGAAATCTCATTAAGGTTCCAAGCATAATATGTGCATTGTGATTTCTTAGATATTCTATTGTATTTATCATTAGTCTTTCAAATAATTTACTAGTTAAGTTGTGGAAATAGCAAAAGCTATTTTCAAATAGCTTATGACTTCAATATATACTTCCTTCCATTGCCTTCAAAATTATCCACTTTAAACTTTGAATTTTAAAACATAATTGATATCAAGCATCCAGTCTGAAATTGATATTGTAAATTCAGTCATTTTTCACGATGAAAAATGATATGACCACAATATTATGTAAAGTCACCGAACATTTATTTTGAGTTTTGGGACATGATATAATGTAGCAAAAGTGTGTGTATCTCTTTATTCGTTCACTTTTGGCTCTCCAAAAAAAAAAATGCAAGATAAAGTAAACGACACACTGTACTTCATTTTGTGATGCCTACGAGTAAGCTTTTGCTTTGGCATCATTCCTTTGTTAGGAGTTCATTTTGTTCCCCACATTGCAGGTGCAATTATGGGACATTAGTGAGGTTTTGGGCAAAGATGGAAACCATTATGACCTTGGTGTGCCAATTATACTATATCATTGTGGACCTTTGAGGCCTAGATATAACCATAACTATGGTTTGTAGGACTTTTGGCATGGTACGTATTATGAAGTAAGGATGGAGGATTATGGAGGACTTTTGTCTTAACCGTCAGGTTAAAACAACAACAACACAACAAAAAAAAGAGGAAAAAAAAAAACTATTGATAACTGTTATAAAATTAACACTAAACTATTAATATGAAACTAAGCATAAGAACAAGAGAGACATAAGAGATTATAGAGAGATAAGAGACTTGTATTCAGATGTGTTTTGAAGCATGAATGAGCTCCCTATTTATACAAGTAGGGGATCAAACTATGGAAAATGAATCACCTATCATTAATGTGAAATATTACAGAATCATATTTCCTTGATTGTGAATAGAATAATACATACTAATATGGACATTCAATCAAATCAGATTTTTCCATAACGCACCCCCCTTTGAATGACCATCATTACGGAATAATGTCTCGTTAAAAACCTTGTCAGGAAAACCCATTGGGACAAAACCTCGATCATGAGAAAAAGAGTACAACGTGGGTTACTCCCCCTGTTAAGTACGCCACTTGTAATCTTCTCGTTGCATTCCAAGCTATTGACCAGACTCACAATTGTTTAAGTCAATAATAGACAGATTATTTCGACTTCTCATGTAGACAGTTGTCTTCATATACCTGTATAATCTTGAGTGTTTTATAATAATGGAGATGCATGACCATCATACCTTGAAGGTATCAATATATAACATCCATGTCTTGACTAATTGATTAGATAAACTAAAACTTTACAGGGTACTTCAGGACCAAATCAGTCTATGTCATTAATAGAAAGATCTATATGCACATCAAGATTTTAATCAAGTGTGCTCAACGGGTGTTGAACATACAAATGTCAAACCACTTAAACCGAGATTCTACTCAAGACCTTTCATTATCCTTACTTCAGGCAAGTAGAATTCTTTTGAACTTCCTTAGAAGTGTTCATAACTATGATATAACACTTCAGAAGTTTTATTTATATTAAGACTATTCGAACTTCGTGATAAGCTTCGATAATATTCAACCTTGAAACTCTACAAGAGTTTGTTACTAAACAAATTACAAAACACCTCAATAGTTTATCATGCGAATATGATCATATAAGCTCAGAGAAAATCACAGGCAATCACATGATAGACAAGCATGATATATCCAAATACATAAACAAGTGCATAAACAATTATGTCTATTATATTCAAAAAATGAACCTAAATATTAATCTAGACACATGAAAACACTAGAACTTGCACAAATCTTTTGAATTAATTTAATGAGAATAAGGACCATGTCCCCTATTGAATCTTTCAGGGATTTCGTAAAGACATCATTATCAAATGTCACATATTAAGTATCAAGTGATCACTATATCAAAGAGACGCATTTTTCATATCTTCATTTACTGCCAGATACAGTAAATATTGGAAGAGTTTTATTTCCATCCACTACAAGAGAATATATCTTCTCATGATTAACATCCAAATTTTGGAAAAACTTGTGCAATAAATTGGTTGCTCATTAACATTTTGCACATTACCCAACAATATTTAATCGGTGTATCATTGGCCAAAACTTCTAGTCTTTCAATGAGTTTTAATTCAACTTACACATTTTCAGGTGTGCGTATCACGTCTTTTTATTTATTGTGGCCAATAAATTTAATGTCCGTACTCACAACAGACTTTCATGATCCTCATTCATTTCACTAACTGCTGCAGTATATGCAAACTTCATGTCGACATTTTATTGCTGATCGATTCTATATTCTTTGGTAATGAGATCTCACAATCATTAAGTTTTTCAAATTTTCATATACTTCTTCTGGAAGTTAATTCACCATCGTGGGAAACTATTCCAGCTCAAAATTCTTATGAATCACAATTACTCGTATTTTCCATCTCTATAAATTTAAACATTGTCATTTACGAGGATTTTTATCATTGGAACCGATCGTTTTACCACTCATCAGATGGATATTCAATAATTGTGGTAGATGGTCCTATAGGAACATTATTCAAGATTTGGAACTTGACAGCGTTTCACATGTAACTCAGTCACATGTTTTGGTCAGTTAAACATCCGATTTTAAAAATTATCTCTTGAACTTCAAGTTCATGTTATCGAGGATCATCATGAGATAATTACATTGTCCACCTGATTTATAAATATTGTTTTAACTTCTCCCCCTGATGTTGGGAAAACTAACTCGCTAAAATGACGATTAACCGACCGAGCAGTTAATAATCTCCCTTTTGAGAGTAACTAACTCGTCAAACTAATACGATCAGTCTATCGAGTAGTTAATCTAACATCAATAATCTCAAACATTGGAGATTCAATATTCAACATATTTTTCTAGCCTCTTCTGGAGGCTCCATCCTTGTATGCATTGTGGTGGAATTAATTATAATATATAAACTGCACAGCTAATTTTTAAAAATGGATATGTATGGTTTCTGACCGAAAAACCACTATTGGGAGAATATTTGCAATTTGCAATGACCTGTTTGGTCTTATGCATATAATTGATGCCTTTTGTGTTTCAATACTTCTTCAATTATACACGAGGTAATTACGTTAATTAAACACATGCAATAAACGATTCTACTAGACCACTTCATTATTGCTCTTATAGGCACTCATATTCAACTTATATCATTCTGGTATTGAGTCATATACTCACCACAACTGTCAAATCGAAATTCTCGTAAGAGCATAACATGAAAATCGACAAGTTACCAAATTAACTCCATAATTGAGTTTCTACAAACTTCAGGTTGCAAGTTAATGAGAATCATACATGTGGCTATTTTATCGACATATCGATTGATATTCTAATTTGTTGGAAAAAAAAACTCTTGGTTCTCCAAATTTAAAGCATATAAACTTTCTTGTTTTGTCTTGAAACCATAATGGCTTAAGTAATTATGCCAAATTTTACAATTTCTCTTATGTAGAAAACAATGAATTAATTATTCAACTATACCAGAACAATTTCGCTCCACATGAGCATTTACCCTTACAGAGTATTTGTTATTCAGTTATTTTCATTCTAACATAGTGTTCATGCTCTTTTAAAAATAAAGTATCACTGCTCCCTGGAGACAACAACAAATTTACAAATTCAAAATAATTGTATTGGTAGAGCAATTTATATCCTTCTTTGATATCTTGGAGAATATAATGTCTCAATGCACTTTCTCCTTCTAACATTCTCTTGCTCTTTTAGGAGCAAAGTTTATTTGCTATTACTCTTCCAGAGGCAATGATGAATTCATAATATTTGCTCTTCATGAGCATTTATTTGTTTTCACTCTCCGAAGTAATTATACTCTACTGAAGTTTTCATCTATCTTTAAAAAATAATTCAAGGCATATGTTCTACTGGAGCATCTAATTATTTCGTGTTTATCATTGACTAGCATCACCTTCTGGGCGATTAACAAAAATCGAATGATGATTTGTTAATTCATAGTCGACAGGACTAATGAATTCATCTATTTTCAATAATATATTGAAGATATCAATAAGATAATTGTTGGGTATACATAACATGTCAACCCTATGGTTTTTTATACCACAACGATAGTATTTGCAATATACTATTTTTCAACTTCAGATCGATAGAAGCGTTTTCACTATTCTTCCAACTTCATGTGGTTAATAATGTATTTGTTAGAATCACCACTATCATTATTGTATAATCATCACATTTACTTCAGGAAATGGACCATGTCTAAATTGAACATATCTTCAAATCAATCATCAATAATTCTCCAACTTCTTGAGAAGAATCATATAGTAGATTTAATGTCTACAATTTGGCTCGAATTAATTTACTGCCCCTTCACTTCAAGGAATGGAAAGAAATCGATTCATAAGATTTCACAAAATATTTCACTATAATGCTACTACTGTAGCAATTTAATATAGTAATATATTATCATAACACTGCTACTTCAGAAGCAACTTTATTTTTGTTATCATTAATTTTTCACTTCGGGTGAAAAATATATCTATATAGTAACAATTCACTTGCTTCGGGAAGTAAAAAATCTCAAACTAAAGGGTAGCATATTTTCACGAAACAATCATAGTATATACAACAACAACAAAAAAAAAAACTAAAACAATTATTCTTGTCAACGTGCATAGCAAATTACTACAGCATAGCGACAATTTGCTTTTCAAATAATTTTCTTTTATAGGAAAAAGAAAAAACCGACAAATATAATTATGCTACAAAACCTTAATAGCACCAACAATACGTAAACATGTATTGAACAAATATGTTATAATTACTTTAAAAGGTTTAGATTGAACAAAACAAGAAAACAAAAACTCTATTATTAATCTTCCATATTTTCCTTTTACTCTTCCCAGAGGATAATATAAATAATATGCATCATAACATAATCATCGAATAAGGCATTGATATTAACGAGATCAAATAATTACAGAACATGTAATTTAGTTCATGGAATTAGAAATTAAAACAAAATCAAAAGTAAAATAATGACAACGTGGATGGGTTTTTGTCCAAAAACTCGTTGACTAATAAAATTACACGTCACTCAGACATCTCAATACAAAATTAAATAGTATGATTTCAACGTGCCGAAGTCCCTTTCTCAATTTTAAATTGACAATCCTAAACCGAGATCTTCAAGTGATTTGAGGTCACAACGCTTCAGACGCTCTAGGTCACAAAAACCTTTTTAAAATATTCACTGAGACTTCATGTCTTTAGAACCAATACGCACCAATTTCAGGCGGTGGTAGGATTAAAATATTCATTGAGGCTTCAGGCCTTCAGAATCAATACACACCAACTTCAGGCGGTGATAGGAGAATTAATATACACCAACTTCAGGCGATGGTAGAAGTTATTTGGCTAGAGTCTCGTGCTGATAACGTGTTATAAAATTAATGCTAAACTACTAATATGAAGCTAAGCATAAGAACAAGTGAGACAAGAGACTTGTATTCAGATGTGTTTTAAAGCATGAATGAGTTCCCCATTTATACAAGAAGCAAGTGATCAAACTATGTGAAATGAATCACCTATCATTAATACTAAATATTACAGAAATATATCTCTTTGATTGTGAATAGAATAATACATACTAATATGGACATTCAATCAAATTAGATTTTTCCATAACAATAAAAATGTTTATTATCAGCTCCTTCCCGTTTTTGTCTAAAGACAAAAAAGAAAAATGGTTATGCGAGTAATGTGACAATGCTTTTCTTGGTAATTTATCCATTTGAGGGTAATTAAAAAAATTGGAATGCAGGAACATAAAAAAGTTTAACCAGAGAGAAACATACAAGCTAGGGCCTAGATGGTGACAAATTAGCCGTCATAATACAACTACTGTATTTGAACAAAGACTAAACTGTATAAATGGTTCCCTACATTTGTCCGAATTTAAATTTTAGTCCCCTACATCAATATGTATATGGATTGAGCCTTTACATTTCATTTTGAAACTTTTTTTTGTTTTCACTGTTCCGTCACTATTTCCGTCTTGATGACCGTTGACCCTACCAAGTCAGGGGTATGTTCGGAATGACACATATAAGATCAAAATAATAAATGTTTAAATGGTCCCCTACATTTGTCCGAATTTAAATTTTGGTCCCCTACATCAACGTATATATGGATAGAGTCTTTACATTTCATTTTGAAACTTTTTTTTCTCTCTTTTCATTTTTCCGTCACCATTTCCGTCTTGATGACCGTTGACCCTACCAAGTCAGGGGTATTTTCAGAATGACACATATAAGATCAAAATAACAAATATTTTTATAATAAAATATTTAAAATTATTATTTTATAATAAAAAATTAAATAATGTAAACATAAAAAAAATTAAAATGATTTCAAATTTCAAATTTTTTTTGTCACTTCCCACCTTTGTGGGTCCCACATGCCAGTCAATTTCTTCCCTTTTTTTTGCTACAGTAAAAAAAAGTCAAAATTAAAAAGTAAACTTATCTTCACCCGTCTTTTACCTTTACCGGCAGTGAAAAAAAAATTGAAAATTGAAATTTGAAATTATTTTAATTTTTTATTTTTATTTTAAAATTATTTAATTTTTTATTATAAATAATAATTTTAAATATTTTATTTTATTTTATTATAAAAACATTTGTTATTTTGATCTTATAGGTGTCATTCCGAAAATACCCCTGACTTGGTAGGGTCAACGGTCATCAAGACGGAAATGGTGACGGAAAAGTGAAAAGAGACAAAAAAAAGTTTCAAAATGAAATGTAAATGCTCAATCCATATACATGTTGATGTAGGGGACCAAAATTTAAATTCGGACAAATATAGGGGACTATTTAAACATTTGTTATTTTGATCTTATAGGTGTCCTTCTGAAAATACCCCTGACTTGGTAGGGTCAACAGTCATCAAGACGGAAATGGTGACGAAACAGTGAAAAGAGACCAAAAAAGTTTCAAAATGAAATGTAAAGGCTCAATCCATATACATGTTGATGTAGGGACCAAAATTTAAATTTGGACAAATGTAGGGAACCATTTATACAATTTAGTCTTTGAACAAAGTGGGAGTTTAAATTTAATTTAAAGAAAAACTCATTCAACCACCTTAATCTTTTCTTTTATTACTATCGCGAATCATTAGTATTTATTATTTATAAAATTCTTAATTTTTAAATTCTGTTTCTCATAACTAGTTCAGTATGAATAAAATGTTTTCTAGCAAATGGGTTGGAACGAGAGAAAAAAAAAATTCATTAACCTAAGGTTAAGTTACTTTTTCCTCCATCCTAGTGTTTTATTTGGTGTATCTTCTCACTTTGTTTGTCTAACCGGTCTAACACAAAAAACAATAGGAAGTTCATTGTTTTTTTTTTTTTTTACATAATTTTAATTTTTTTAAAAATAAAAAGTTAGGCCTTAAAATGATAGGAAAATATGTACCCAACAAAATCACATATTCCCCTATAATTTTTGTTTTTTTTTTAAAATCCCCAATTATACTTTCTTCACAAAAAAAAATTTATGATTAATTACGGGAAAGTAAACAATTTTCATCCACATTAAAAAAAGGCCGAAATAAAAACGCTCCCTTCGTCCGACAGCGCGGCATCGACAATTTCAAAACTTTTGTAGGCCCAAAATACCCCTCCACTTTTTCAGCCAAAACAAAAAAAAGAAAAGAAGAAAACTGCGCCGCTCCAATCCGAGTTCACTCGCACACACAGTCACACAGTGGCAACAACAACAATCAAGAACTGCCACTCAACCCACTGAAAAGGGCCAGAAAAGAATCGTCCTCGTTTCCTTCGCAAAGTTCTTATTTTCACCTCTGCAAAATTATGCTCTTCACTCCATCCAAAAGCCAAAGCAAACGTCCAACGCTTCAATTCTGACAGTTTTATCATTCGCCGGCGTCTTACTCTTTCAACTCTTTGATTCAGTAAGAGTTCTTTATTTTCTCCCTTTCTATTAATTTACTCATTCCCTCTCAAACTATAAATTCCGCAAAATTCTCTGTTCTTGTTTTTTCTTCTTCGGGGGCAGGGGCGGGGTTTGGGAGTTGGCAGAGTTTTCGATTTCAAATTTTGAACGGCTTAATTTAATTACCTTGTTTAGGTGAATTTATTTGGAAGGTTTATTCGATAAGATTATATTCATTGAATTTGTTCTTGTTTAAATTTTTGAATGATTTGGTGTGTTGATAACGCTGGCATTTATGGATTTTCCTTTTTTAGAGCGTTCTCTTGATGTATGGCAGAACTGGGCTGTCTAACGGTCATTTTAATTGATAGAAGGTAATTTATTAGTATCAAATGCTGGACCTGTAAAGTGGAAGTGAGAGATTTTTTTTCTTTTTCCCCACAAGTGAGATATTTCAAGAAACTTTAAACAAAGGAAGGGGGAATTAGGGATTTTGCACGTAAGGTTCTTGGGAAATTGTGTGAGTTTCTTACTTGTAAAAGAATATCTGGAAATCTGTGGAGTGCTTTATTTTCCTTTTTTTTTTTAATTGCTGTTGTGAATTACTGTACCTTCATCTCTTTTGTTAGATAAGAAAGACTCCTTATTGCCCCTTTTATGTTTTAGAAGAAATTAGGGTGAGGACAGCATAGCTTTTTTGGTTCTGGAGGTTAGATTTTTAGTTTTTAATTTAGAGCTTCTGACACTAGTTTTTATATAATCATGAATCAGAAACATAGTCATTAACACTTTGTGGCAATATGGGGTCTCATGTTTCCTGCTAACAGAAAAGACGGGTTGTGTTACTGACTAATCTAATGGGATTTGATATATTAAGTGTAGTACCTGATAGATTGTTTTTTTTATTCAGTGATTGTACTTCTATTGTAGATTATGTGGTTTCAACTCTGTAAAGCATACTATGTTTCTCAGTGTAATGCCTATGACTGTGCATTAACTTTCTTATTCTTTTCTGTTCAACTAGGATCTCCCAGATTCTGAAAGTGAAAGTTGTGAAGTTCAGACCTAAGAGAAATTGAAGGCGAAGAAATAAATGAAGAAGCTGTTCTTTTTCAGATCCTCTTCTTCCAGTGGTAGCAATAATAATAAATCTTCCCCAACATCAACTCATGAGCAAGGATACCTGGATATACAACCAGATGGGGGGGAGAAGTCCAGGAATAAAAAGCAAGTCCCTGAAAACAACACAGCTACTAATGCTCCATTTCTTCGAAGAAGCCGCTCCTCATCATCTGCAGCAATCTTTGATGGTGGCAATGGTAGGAGAAGAAGTGGAATGGATCAACCAGAGTCTCCATTGAGCACCAGTAATAGTTCACTCAAGCAATTGGGACGCCATTCCTCTCGGTAAGCAATGGGGTTTTAGTTAAGGCAATCTTTTTCATGTTTCTTTTCTTCGTTTTAGCTGTTTTTTGAATTTCTGATGTGTCATTGATTGAATTTTATCCCTTTCAGTCATGCTATGACTCCTGAGAGGCAGTATCCTTCAAAATGCTCAGAAGTTGCAGGTTTTCAAGCGGCACGGAGAACTGACAGGCGTGGTTCTGTTCCTTCTCCTGGATTGCAATATGATTCATCAGACTGCTCTTCTTACAGTTCAAGTAATGTTTCAACTGCAGTCTTGGACCGTTATATTGATGGAGAACAACAACAGGAGAAAAGTGCATCGCAGAGAAAGTTTTCCTCGATTAATGATATTGAATTTGGAAATGACCTGATAGAGCAAGCTCCAATATGCCAGTTCAATGGTTCTACCTCTCCAAACATTGGTAGAAAACAAAAACCAAAGTCTCAGTCTTTCAGAGAGATTGATGCAGCAGAGCTTCATTTTTCTTCAAGAGATTGGGTGGATGGTGGATTCGGGAATGAGTCTCCAAGGAAGCTTGCAAAACATGTTGTTGAAAGGCTTTCACAGTCAAAATTCTTACCAAAGAAAACTTCAAGGGAATCAGATTCAGATATTCCCATTACTGTTGAAGATATTTACAGTGGAACCTTAAACAGAAGTCCTTGTGGAGATTCTGGTAGAATTGCTTTGAAAAATTCTCCAGGGGATGAGTCAAAAGATTTTTCTGATGGGTATCTCTATGAAGACACCACTGGTTTTGCAGAAAGGAACAGTTTCTCTACTGATAATTGTGAATTCATGAATAGCAACGAATCTGCTGTGGATGTAGATCAAAAGTTATTCAGACAGTTTAAAGAGGCTGAGGAGCAGGCTTTGCTTTTCTCAGAAGAGCTTGAACAGAAGAATTTTCGTCATCAATCTGAGCTAAGTCTTTCATCAATGGTGCAGAATGTGAGGGGCTTGAGCATTGAAAGAGCAAATATGGCTTACGAAATTGCTACAATTCTGAAGAATTGGATCACTGATAGGGCATCACTGAGAAAAGAGCTGAATGTAGCTAGGGAAGAATTAGAGTCAAAGACCCGGAAATTGGAGAAAGAAAAAAACGAGTTACAGTCAGCACTAGAGAGAGAATTGGACAGAAGATCGAACGAGTGGTCTCTTAAACTTGAAAAATACCAGTCTGAAGAACACAGGCTTCGTGAGAGGGTGAGGGAGCTTGCAGAGCAGAATGTCTCTCTGCAGAGGGAAATATCTTCTTTTAGTGAGAGCGAAACTGGTTTAAGAAATAGAGTTTCGTATTTTGAGCAACAAGTTGTGGACCTTACTGCAAAAGTGGAGGAAGTGAAAGGAGAAAACAAAAATTTGCAGCAAGATTTGGCTGAGATGCAAGAGAAGTACAGAGCAGCTGAAGAAGACCGAGACTGCCTTAGAAGAAACTATGAGGATAAGGCGAAAGAGTGCAAAGACTTACACAGATCTGTTACTAGATTGCAAAGGACTTGTGGTGAACAGGAAAAATCAATTGATGGATTACGGTCTCTATGTGAGGAAATTCAGAATAACAATTCTACAGAAAAAAATAGCAGCCATTTGGGGAAGTTGCAAATGGAACAAGTTAGGCTGACTGGACTTGAGTATGCTTTGAGGAAAGAGGTGGAATCTTTACGGATGGAAGTTGATTCACTTCGTCACGAAAACATAAACCTACTGAATCGTCTGAAGGAAACTGGAAAGGATGGTGGATTCTCAACGTTCAAGCTAGATCAAGAATTATGGAACCGTATCTGTTGCTTACAGAACCAAGGCCTCTCCTTCCTCGCAGACAGTTCCCAGCTCTGTAGGAACTTACTGGAGTACATCAAAACTAATAGAAGCCACAATGCAAAAGCTGGGCTAGGTGTTGACAGTATGGGTTTGGATAGCCAATTTATAGTTGAAAGCGAAGTAAAGCTCCAAGGTTTTAACAGAGGATTTGAAAACTTAACCAAGAGTTTGTCTGTAGTTTCTACTGTACAACATGAAAAAGCCACAGTTCAGCTTGAGAAATCTCAGCCCAGTGTGACACCTCAATGCTCCATTGCAGGGGTTGAATCAAGCCACCTGAACCACAAAAAATCAGAGGTAATTTTTGTTTGTTTTTTTCTATATTACAATCTACTTTTCGAAGATGTTATGCATCCATATTAATCCATATTAAGTTCCTTTTTTCTCCCTTTGGCATCCATCTTTGCCTGCAGGATGTTATACTCTCAGAGCTCAAAGCAGAAAGTTTGATGACAGCTCTTTTGAAGGAGAAACTTCATTCAAAAGAATTGGAGATTGAACAATATCAAGCTGAACTGGCAGCGGCTGTAAGAGGGAATGACATTCTTAAATCTGAAGTGCAAAATGCACTCGACACCCTTTCTTGTGCATCTCATAGGATGAAAGACCTTGAGCTTCAGGTAACCTCAAATGTTACAAATGCATGTGTCTTTTATGTTTGGAGTAATTAATGATGATTGGACCTTGAGTATGCATGGAAAACTGATTGAGCTCTCTGATCTTATATTCCGGTTGCCAAGGTTGAATTATTGGATGTTCTGTTGGTGGTTGGTTTGTATCCATCTGCAAGTTCTGGTTACACCACATATTATTATTGTAAATAATGTGACAACAAGTCCTATTAATAGCATACTCATAAAAAGAGCTGAAACTTGAGGATGCAAAATGAAACTTAGATGATTACTTGAAGTCCATATGTTCAATTTAAGATAGACGGCTGAGATTTTGTGCGTGTGGGGGTCGGGGACGGGGGGATGTGGAACTACGTTGAGCTTTGTTTGACATGAATATAAAGGAGGTGCTTTTGTGTGCTGGTTATGCTTTTTGTGATTATACCTTCTAGCTGTAAGTTTTTTTTGTTATAAATTGATAACTGACTTTTTACCTTGCTGCAGATAATGAAGAAAGATGAAAACATCAATCAGCTTCAACATGAATTACAAGAATGCACAAAAGAGCTAACAATTGTGAAAGGGATATTGCCGAAAGTGTCTGAAGAGAGAGATATGATGTGGAGTGAAGTGAAGCAATATAGTGAGAAGACTATGCTACTGAACTGCGAGATGAATATGCTGAAAAAGAAGATTGAGGCCCTAGACGAAGATATCCTCCTTAAAGAAGGACAGATCACAATTTTGAAAGATGCCTTGGGGAAACCATTTGATCTGCTTGCAAGTCCAGATCCTTCGGCTCATGAATTCTTGGTCAAGTAGTGAATTGATCATCACTGTTGAATATGATTGCAAAAAGTTGTGCAGAAGTACAGTTTATACTAATACAAGTTGTGTTCTTGTGAATTGATTCTTCATTCCTTAAATTCCATAGGTGTTTTTCTTCTCTCCTTTTTTTCTCTCTTTTATCCTCGAGAAACAAACACAATGTTTGATCTTGGATCAACCCCCACGGTTGATATAAGTATTGTTAGAATCCCGTTTTGATTGAATTTACGGTAATATAATGATGATATGAAAGATACTCTCTTCTTTGTGTAGCTCTTTTCTCCATGTTATTATTGATGTGCATTCCAGTTAATTACATTCTCATCTGTACTTGTCCATTATTCAAGGTAAGAATCCCGTGATTTGGGAAAAGTTTCATTTAAGTTTTAGGAGTAAGACAAAAGGGATGATGGATTTCTGCGACTAATCAAGTTCAAACTTCCGAGTGAGATGGCAAACGAGACACGATCGTTCCCGATTAACCCAACTGCTCGACCTAAACTCCCCTAAAAGTTTAGGTTGAAATTGATTGTTCGACTACTTTTTAATTTGCAAAAAGAGATTTGAAAGGAAAATATGTTCAGAGAATGGCCTTCCGAATTAATTACAAAACAATTACTCGGCTTCTGAAGTTAATGCTATTGTAGTAAAATGCATTAAAGAGAACTCAAAAAAAGGATAATGAAGCAAGCAAGACATAACTGCATTCCTGTCATATATAGTACTGAAAAACTCTCTCCATAGCTGTGACAGGCACAGCCCCACCAAGAACAGTTTACATTAGCAGGTAAGAAAAAAATGTCTCCAAAGAATTGCAGAATGTCTGCAGTAATTCTGTGCCTATTCATCTTGCTTGGGCTTTGCTACGGTGAAGGCGTTGAACTAGAAGTGAGTAACGATTGCAAGAATGCCAAGGCAATTGTTAAACCCTGTATCACAGAAATCATCAAGGAAGTTTTGACATTTCGGAGCGTTTCAATTCCTGCCACTTGCTGTCACGCTATACTTGGTATCGCTGCCAGTTGTTACTCTAAAACCTTGCCCTCATGGTTCATACCATTTGTCCAAGAGCATTGCTACTGAAGAAGCTGATGCTTTTGTTTAGCATTATCGTTTTCAAGTTCATCATCAATACTACAGTATACTAGGTACTAGAAGAGGGCAAAGAGCCGAATCCGTACTATGTCTGGAGGAACATAAACAAAGTCTCTTTCAAGTTGAGCTTTTTCTTGTGCAATTTTCAGCTACTCCAGGGAAACAGAATTTTCTCTTTTGCAAATTGTTTAGTCATCAACGCTTGCAGGAAAAACCATGATAATTCATTTCATTGTTTGTTAGTAACGCTCCCTTGCTTTCTCTAAAATGGCACAGCAATACAACACATCGCCACAGTTAGTGCTTCCATGGGAACCCCAGAAAGAGAACCAGACAGAGGTTTCCACTAGACAAAAATATTTATTTTCACACTGGCAGAAAATAAGGGATTTTATTGTAATATGATACAACAAAAGATGACCGTAATAACCATAATGAAACTAGAAGCTTTTGCTAATAAAAAAAACATGCATCTGACTTTTGCCAGCAAATCCACAGAACATCAGCAGAATACTGTTTACTCAGGCTGAATAACCTTCGCTCACAACGAGGCAGATTTCCAGAACTCAACAGGCTTCCGATGCTGAAAAGCAAAATTATGCAAATTTCATAAAATGAAGAATTTGATGATGGTAGAGGTTAGACACAGACTAGTCAAGATCTGGCTGATATTAACCCATTCAATAACATGGTTTGCCAAAAACAATTTTTGTGTTACCTGGGCTATGGGCATTTTGGCTCTAACAGACTCTATCAAGGAGAAATCAATATCTGCAACAGCAATACCAGTTGATAGACGATCTGAAAACATTAAACAGAAAACTTAATAATCTAGCCATCGAGGAAGAGATCATTCTCTCGTGAAACTTTAATTGAATGCCAGATAGTGCCGTGGGAAGAGCTATGAAGAATTTTATGGAGACATAACACGACATTAGGATCTACTCCCTGCAAATCTCAAAACTCAATGTGGATTCCCATGCAATACAGTAAGCACTAAGTAACAGAAATACACAATACACAGGTGCAGAAACAGCTACATCTACAAAGAAAATATAGCAACCCCTTTCACCTGGAAGCAGTTTACTATTGTGAAATATGACCTCAACAATTTGTGACTCGTTAATTAATCAGCTGATGCACAATGAAGAGACAGACGAAGGCGAGCTTAAGATAATATATATATATATATATATATATATATATATATATAAGCAAATTCATTTAAGCAGCCCATAGCACATGTCAAAGTTGAACAAGCAGAAGTATTAAATAATTTTAACTCATTGATATTACTATACCATTCCTTACACGGAGAGGATAATAACAAGCAGCAGATGGACATCTGGTCAAAGCCATCAAAGACAAGCAAAATTTGGATGTAAATAAAATATTAGTCAAATTCCATTCATCAATCCCCAAAACGAGGAAAAATTCATGCACCAGAGGATAAGCATTCATTCAGAAAGGAGACAGAAAAACATATGAGTCCGAATGTGCATGCACAGGGTATTCAGACCTGGTAACCTTCCAACTACTGTTCCCCATGGATCAATAATTAATGTGTCACCATAACTCTCTCTTTTTTCATTGTGCTTTCCAGCTTGTGCGGCAGCTATGACCTGGAAGACATTTATAACGGGCAAACCTATTCAAAATGACGTGAGCAAGAGCTCTGTGTGGAAAAAATCATATCAAATTACATACATGGAAACATTGGAGATGACATGGCAAATCACAAAGACAGAACTAAATGTGAAAGATTCAATGCAGAAGTACGACAGAAGTTTGCACTTAAACGAAGCTGCAAGTTGGAATTTCATTTCAGTCAAGTAATACAGTTTCTGATGTCAAAAAGATTTCTAACGCCAACCCCTCAAAAAATTTTAAAAGAGTAGAAACGAAATAAATCCATACATAACACTGAGTTTCTATGGCACGAGCTCGCAGAAGTATCTCCCAGTGTGCTAGACCAGTGGGTTTTGTAAAAGCAGCAGGCACCAACAACACCTGCAGAAGACGACCAAATAATCACTTTGTTGTCAAATACGAGTACATGCACAACTTATTTATTTACCTGGGCATCATGTTGAAACCTCAACTGCTGGTAAAGTTCTGGGAACCTCAAATCATAGCAAACTGTCAGACCTAATCTTCCAATGGGGCTATCTGCTGCTACAATCTCCTTTCCTGCAAAGTTGACAGAGAAAGATCATCAAGGCAACTATTTCGATCAAAGTGAACAATATTCATGAGGAGAATGATTATATGAGCAATTAAGTTATTCCAGCGATTTGACAATGTGGATTAAGCTGCCCAGGTTAGTTGAAACCTGACATGATAGTTTAAAACAGCATTTCACTACCAACACTCAACACTATTATACAGTCTGGCATGTGGAAATTGTGTAACTCTGACCATACAATTGAAAACGCTGCAATATGTATCGGGCATACATCTATTATCTCAAATGATAGCAAACTCATCGAGTTGCATTGATTATGATATATTGTTGCCACCCAACTAAAGTTCAAGGTGTCGTTAAAAAAGCTGTGAAGTAGCATACCAGCTTCGGTGAAGCTGCTCTCCTTGTAAACTGCACTTCCAGGAACATCCACGTCAAATCTTCAGATATTTGAGGGTTCCAGATTTAGATTCATAGATAAATTTACACAATATTTCTCTACGATACCATAACTTATGCCATTTCTTGAAAATCATCATTATTATGGATATATAATAGTAGTCATGTTTCATCAAAACGAACATTAAACCTTTGGAGAACTGGAGAAGCACAATAATGAATCTTACAGGTGGATCTTTCGGAAAACACTCCTGATAGCCCCGGTATCATCCACCAAAACATGAGCATTGCAGATGTGTCCATCATCAGATCCTTTTTCTTGGAATCCTCCAAGAGACAACCACATACTTGATTCCCTTCAATGAAAGACATTAAAAAAATTCCACTATCCATTAAACTTCATATAATCAATTATCAATTGATCAAGCACACAGCAATTACAACATTCAGGAAATCAGCGAAGACCTAATAAGTACAAAGTTAATCAAAACATACCATTTCAGATTGAAATTTTTAAGGAACAGGATCCATCATTCATGTAATACTACATGTAATTTCAAAAGAAAGCACTATTATAAGCTCATAGGACTTATACATATAAAACATCAGCAACTGGAAGCTAGTCCAGATTATGGCCTCACCTCGCAAGATCGCAATAACTCTTCATTATAGGTCCATCTAATGGCTCGGCAATCTTAACACTGTCCCCAGAAAGGTTACCGACATATGAAAAGTTTTCTGGAAAACAAATCAACTTTGCCCCGGCGGAAGCAGCTTCCTTACCAAAACAAAATAAATTTTTCATAGTTAATTTGGAAACAAAAGATTAGCAGCTAAATAATCGAACAAATAGGAAGTCGAAGAACAAGGATATCAAGATGATATGGTTACTTGTTTCTGTTTATAACACAAATACTGACTGGTAATGGACGTGAACATTTTAGCGGAATGTGAATACAATCAAAATTGAAATTTTGAATCAATTCAATTGTTCAAGTTCAAAATTAAATTTTCAGATGGTCTACGAATGATCGGGGGCTGAAAGTAGAGAACCTTAACGAGGCGGGAGCAGGTGGCGAAGTTGGCGGCGATATCATTGATTGAAGTCATTTGAGCAGCGGCGACTCGGACAGTGGAAGCCATGGTGGTTGCAGCTCAATCGCCGGCGATCACTCGGGGAGGAACAGCGGTGTCTGGTGGTTAGTGAAAGACGTTGCTGAATGCTGATTTGCTGGGCTAATTTACAGTTTGGGCCCATTTTAGTCAGAAAGTTCCGTGGACTTTTGGAAGGGTTGACTTGGGTCTAAAAGGTCCATTTCCCCGGTCATTACTGAAATTTTGGATTCAGTGACAAGTGTAACATTCCTTTGGTTCTTTGAAGGTTATGTAAATTACGCAATTGGTCCATTCATTTGGACTCCTTAATTCAATCAAGTCCTAAATAAATGAAATCGTCAAACTCATTTAACTTGGTCGTGAAATTCCTTTATGTGAAGTGATTGCTAGTATTTAGGCCATTGGCCTCCTTCACTGTATAGAAAAAAAAAAAGAGAAAAAAAAACCACTAATTATTCACTTCCGTCTGAAAATGATTCTACATTATAACAATCAAAACATTTATGAGTATTAATTGGATACTTGATCCAAAAATGGCAGCCTAGGGGGATATGTGCTTCTCCTCGGCATGTTAGGATATCTTACTAACTTTGTGTTGTGATATCAAAAAGACAATGCTTTTGCCAAATTGCTTCTTCCATTCGGGGCATGGTGGTTCAAGCGTTCAACTCTCCAACAAATAATGTGATTGTCAATATTCAAAATATTTGCTCTTGCATTTAGTATGACACACAGTTATAATTCTTTCTCCAACAAGAGAATATAACAAAATCACCAATAGCAATGCCTAAAAAATAAAGATCTTACAGTCATAGCTAAAGAAACTGTCAAATTCAACTTCACAACGCTTACGTTTTTTGTTAGTCCTTCCCAAATTTGCAAAACACATGTTTAGCTTTTTTTTTTTTTTTTGGGAAGCGATGTTTACTTAAGTTGGAATGTTCTATCAATTAGAAAATCTAGCCGTATATTGCCGATTTCAAGCTTGCATTTCGGCATTTTTGTGTTCGTGCCGAAGGAAAACAAGCGTTGAATGCAATGGCAAGAAACCTTGGCCTTCGTAGCAGATGGCAAATGGGGCCTTCATGAATGACATTGTTATGGCAATACTTCAACAGGGAAGGATTTTTTTTTCTTTTTTTTTCCTCCACATTTAAAACAATCATCACTAAGAAAAACTGAAAAAGTGACTAATAAGAAGATGGAAGACGAATTCATTGTTAGGTAACGCCATACTCTTTATGCCAAAAAACAAAAAAAAAAACTTATTTTCGCTTTGAAGATTTGTAATAGTAGGAAAAAAAAACCAGTTTCAATATCCTTATCACATATAAAAGTTACATTCGGAAACGTGAGCCTGTTTAGGTACGTCAGACGGTAAAGAATTCAGCACGTGTCTTGCGGCCAAGCTATCCAACTGAACCTCTAAAGCGAGATACCGCTCCTCCTGGTCAATTTTCATCTTTTCAATTGAGTAATCTGCTCAAAAGGTTCTTTATATTTGTCCAAAAATTTAATTTGGTCATTTACATTAAAAACTCACTCATTTGGTCCTTTATATTTGTTTTTTAAAAAAATTTGATCCTTTTTATCTTTTTTGGCCCTTTATATTTGTGGATTCTTGGTCTGACCAACTCTTTGTCAACTTAATAGGGACATTTTCGGTAAATTATAAATATCAGATTTTCAAAATATATTAAAAACAAAAAATGTACGAAAATTATTATTAATTTTTTAAAAATAATATATTTGAATTTTTAAATTATTTTTATTTTATAATAAATTATAAATTAATATAATATGTTTAGTATTATATAATTAATTTTTTTCTTAATATTTTTATACCACTACCAAACCACCTCCGCCACTGCCGGATCGCCCACCGTCGTCAACGGACCGCCGCCGACCAACGACCAGAATTTTGGAATAATAAAATCTTACGTATGCATCACATACGTAATACATACGTGATGTCAAAAAAATATTCTCTATCTCATGAAAATAAATTAATTTATAAAAACATTATACTAAAGTGGATTACTTTTTGGTGCGTACTAAAGTCTAAAATTTATACATCACTATGAGATAAGAGATAAACTAGAGAAAGGCAAAAATAATTCTCACTTGGACAAAATTCTTAGAGGCATTTAGAGCGCTTTCACTCACAAAATTCTACCCCAAAAAATCCCAAATCTAATTAGGCAAATCACGTAACCAGGTTGTATCTTATTTCCTTTTTATATTTTGAGATTTACTACTCCCTCCGTCTCATAATTATTGTCCAGTTTGAATTTTCATTTTTAGTTCAAATTGTATTGAAAATAAAATCTCAAACTAAATAATGATTTTGAGACAGAGGGAGTAAAAAAATAACTTTGGTACAGAGTTAACTTTTTCCTTTCCCCTACAAAAGAAAGTACATGTTAGTAGATCCATTTGAAAATATTGGGTTTCGATCCCAAAGTTTACTTATTAGATATTGGAAATTTAAACGTGCACCAAACGTTAATATTTTGTAAACACATAACATTAGTCAATGTAATTATTTGGCGTTTATATGAATTTTGATGATTGATTTGATCACTTATGGCTTTGGGAGAGATAAACTACTGTGCATCTGGTGATCCGAGGCAAATAATATTAAGATTCTAGGTACACCTTGCAAAGTGTACTTAGACAGTGCGTGAATCACACACAAGAGAAAAGAAATTGGAATTTTTGAGCCCAGGTAAAAGAAGTCTACACGTGCATTTAATCACCCAATTTTATCCCCCTTTTTTGGCATTTAATTCCCTAATCTTATCATTTTTTTTGGCATTGAACTCCCTGATCTTATCCCTTTTTTTTGGCATTCGATTAATTTTAAATCTTTTTTTTTATTTGCTTATCATGTTAACTTTTATATTATTTTATTTTATGAGATAATTTTTTATAACGATAGATTTTATTTTAGTAAAATTGACTATGGTTAATCATTGAGACTTATGAATATGGAGAATCAATGTGTATTTTCTCAGTAATAAATAACCAATGTTTAGACAATGAATAATATTATCCAATTATTGAAAGATGATTGATGTAGAATGTATTCGTTTTATTGATGAATATACATGCGTAAGGTAATGCGTATTATATGGTTAATGATGAACAAGAATTTCATCGTTGTTTTCTGACCAATGGTGTATTATCTTATTACGTTTTTATGATGAATATCTTACGTTAATTAATGAATAACGAGTTCTTATTGATGAATAATTGGACGATGTTTCAACTCTGAGGAAGAGGCTTTTGGTGCTTATAATTCTTGCACATTGTTTTTTCAATAAAAAGGTTCAAAGATTAGAAAATGTCCAAATCTGGTGTTGTATATTGAAAACAATTTGCATATAGCAAACAAGGAGTAAAAAATTCATGAGGTAGATGATATACAACAATGAATAATTATACCAAACTGATGAATACGATAATTTCAACAATGAATAATGATACCAAACTGATAAATACGGTAATTTCAACAATGAATAATTATACCAAACTGATAAATAATACAAAGATCTACTAATTTACTAAAAAAAAATAATACTAGTTTACAAAACTGCTAAATAACCCTCTATATCAATGTCTACACTTATTGTGGTTTGGTATTTTTGCATATTCAGATTTCCTGCTTCTTTCGGCTTTTGATTGTTGTTCTTCGCTCATACTTCTTTCATATTCTGTCTGATATTCTTCGCTCATGCTACAATATGTTTACAAATTCCATGAATAACTTGTCAAATGTGATAAATTTGTTAGTGTGTTTCTTAATATTAATGGATCATATATATCACAAACTTAATGAATGACTGTTCGATGAATTAATGAATAAATGTATATAGATCATGAATAATCTGGGATTATGAAATCGGAAAATTAATAATAATTGCTGACCCAATGAATAACATCTCTTTACTGATGATTATCCTAAAACAAATTTTACAACAAATTATGATAAATACCAATTACCAAATTGATGAACAAATTTAACGAATAAATAACACATAGTTGTGATAAACTATGAATCTGGCAATTTCAATAATGAATAATTATACCAAATTGATGAATAATACAAACATCTAGTAATTTACCAAAAAATCAATACTACATAGTTATAGTAAACGATGAATCCGACAATTTCAACAATGAATAATTATGCCAAACTGATGAATAATACAAAGATCTAGTAATTTACCAAAAAACAATACTACATAGTTATGGTAAACGATGAATCTGACAATTTCAGCAATGAATAATTATACCAAACTGATGAATAATACAAATATCTACTAATTTACCAAAAAAGTAATACTACATAGTTATGGTAAACGATAAATATGACAATTTTAACAATGAATAACTATACCAACCTGATGAATATACAAAAATATACCAATTTCTCAGAAAAACATCCAATAGAAGAACAAAACTCTAAAATTGATGAACAAACATCGTCAATCGAGTGAATATACCTTACATCTACAGAACCCAAACAAAAAAAAAAAAAAACACCAATGGTTGAATATGAAGAAAACTTTAAACTTGATGAACAGATATGCATAATCGAATGCATATACAGTAAATCTACAAAACCCATCAAAAAACGCATCAATAGTCCAAAAGATTAATAGTATTACCTTCGTTCATCTTCACTTTCCGAACTGCTTCTGTTCGGTTCAGATCCTCAATCGGTGATTTCTGCGTGGATGAATTTTGTTAATGTATTATCTTAAATCGCATCTTGAACAGAGTATATTTCCACAATTTCTACTGGATTTGATGCACAATCTGATTCCGTCCCAAAAAATCCAGCCGACGAGAGGTTTTCTGGACAAATCGCTGTAGAGAAAATTTAGTTTTTTAGTTTTTTTTTTTGTTTGAGACGGATTGTGATGAATGGGGTAGAAGATGGATATGGTTAATGGCTAAAAATTAGAAGGAAATGGTGGGATTTGAAATTTCAAAAATCCCACAAAATGAGAAATTAAATGGGATTGCTGTAAATACTGAGAAATGTCCATTTTTGAATCGCGTGAGACTCACACTAGGTACACCTAGCAAAGTGTACCTAGGATCCCTATATTATAATCGGTGATCCGTTGGCACAATCCCACTTTTAATGTTCTGAGTAATTGATTTCCATTTAATATACGTGCAAAAGGCTCGAAAAATGACTATATTTGTCATTCATCCAAACCCAATTCATTAAGAAAAAAATCACTATTCCATAAAAAATAAATAAAAAAGAGGAAAACGATGGGTATAATCTGAAAACTGATCCATGGTGGAATTCCAGTTTGAATTGAATTTTTAATGTTTGATATATTTTCCTTGAATATACGGAAAAAAAAAACATATAGTATTTAAATTGGGGATTCATTCAAACCTAATTCATTAAAACATAAATAACGACTACGTTAAATTTTAAATTATAACATTTTCTCAATCTTTTTTTCTTAATCGCAAATGCATTGACCGTAAGTCTAGCATTTTCTCAATTACAGATACATTAACCTTAAGTTAACTCTGGAGAGGTACTCAAAATATATTCCTTAAACATGCATTATGGATTTTTGTCCAATTAGTTAATAAGAGCAGAATGTATCTTCTTAAATATTAGGAATACGAGGAAATTTTTATTTTATGTGTGAATGGACTTAAGGAGGGAGATTTCATTGTCACATATATTATTATATATTCAGATATCAAATGTGACAAATATTTATAGAGTGGGCATTGGACATTTCAAATCGTTTTATTAGTCCTTTTCTTTTCTTATGTAAATAAGTAGCTTATAATAAATATTTTGGTCTAATACTATATCAATTTAGTGTTCTTAAATTATCAATTCACTTGGTCATAGTGTATATGTAATATTTTTACATAAACCTCTAATTTACTTTTACTCATACAATATTTTTTATACAAATTAAATAACTTCCTTTGTGTTTAACATATTTGCGACTAATTTTTTTTTTACATAAATGTATTTGAATAAACCTCGCCAGTTTAACATCTAGTAATTTATAAGGAATAATTGAATTGTGTCACAGTGTTACAAGAAAGTGGCACAGTAAGTGTCACAAAAAAGTGGCACAGACGTATATATATTGTTATAAATGTTCTTTTTCCAAATAAATGCTGCCACTAAATATTACGCAATTAATCGGTCTCGATAGAAGGAATTTTCAGAACTACGTGTTTTTCCCGTTCCCTGAGCAAAAAAATTTCAAGCTTCCCGTTTCCAGATTCCATCTTTATAAATTAATCGAAGTTAGTTTAGTTACCACTGAAGAGCAAGAACCCAGAAGAAGAAAGGAAGAACAGAGGAAAGCGGGATGTTGTTTCAGGTGGGAGGTCAAGGGACTCGTCCCACCTTCTTCGAGATGGCCGCTGCCCAGCAGCTTCCTGCCAGTCTCAGAGCCGCCCTCACTTACTCTCTTGGCGTAGTTCCCAAATCCCACCTTTTTTTTTCCTCACATTTTTGTCAAATTTCAAATGGGTTTTCGTTTCGAATTGTTGTCCAATTAAGGTCAAGTTTGTTTCTTTTTCTGTTTTGTGGTTGTAGGTATTGGCTCTGAGAAGGCCCTTTATCCACAAAATTTTGGACTATGAAGATGAATTCTTTGCTCTGTTGATGCTTGTCCTGGAAACTCATAGTTTGCGTACTACTGATGCTTCGTTTGCTGAGTCTCTTTATGGGCTGAGAAGAAGAGCTGTTAATATTAAATTGACCACAAAAGATCAAAATGATACTAGGAAAAAAATTGTGCCTTTGGATGCCGTTGGTGATGCGATTCACCATAGTGGTTTAGAGAGGCGCCAAAAAGTACTCTCCGTGGCTTTTCTGGTAAGTACTTCACTTTTAATGAACCCCCTTTTAGTTCAATTGTTAGTCAGTGGAATTAACCCTGGAATTTCTTAAAACAAGTTGTTGTCCAGTTCATAGCTTTTTCTATTTTTGCTCGATGAAGCGAGTTGTCTGTATTGAACATTTGTCTGTTTCTCATGGTTATGAATTGTGGCATTGGAAGGGTCTTTGTCAAAATTAGAATGTAAATTGTCTGCCCCCTTTATGTCATTGGTAGAAAAGAGCTTCGGCTTAATAGTTGAGACAGTCATTAGTTTGACGAGTGAGTTCTGAGTTTGAATGCCATCGTGTAGGTTGTTCTGCCATATATTAGGTCAAAACTGCAGTCTGTATACAATAAAGAACGGGAAGCTGCACTTCAAGCAAGTTTATGGGGTGAGGGTGAGGAGAGATTTGACAACATTGACTACCATGATGTAAGTGGTAATTCCCCAGTTTCTCGGAGCAGGAACACTGGGGAAACAACTACTAGACGAAGACTGATTTTGAAGAGAATTCAGAAGATTATTGCTGCTTGCTACCCATGGATCCATGCCGGAAATGAAGGTTCTTGAAAATTTAACTTCTTACGATAATTTATGTGTTTCGCTGCAAGTTTTTTGCTTCCGCTAAGTAGTTATGATGCATGCAGTCATGCAGTTCTGCATTTTCAATAATTGTATTGTAGCTTACAATAGGTTTTAAATTCCTCTTTGGATGAGCTACATTGTGTATTTTATTTGAACTTCTTGGAAATGCATGTTTTTTGACCGCTAGCTCAACAAACTTGCACTATGTTGAGATTTGACAGTTGAAAATCTTTTTTCCCTTTCCTTTTGCTGGTGGGAAATACTTTTTATAATGTTCAATGATATATCAAGGTGGAAAAGTAGAGGAAATACATATTTGAAGAGCTTCTTGTACACCATTGAAAAATCTCGTTAGATATGGAAGCTGCATCATGTGGTACTATTATTCAAATGATTGTATACATCTAATGTGATGCTAATGAATTACATTCTTGTGCTGGTAATTCCTTGATTTTGACTATTTTGTTTTCCTTCCTTTAATGTAGGGTTGTCATTTGCTTACCAGCTTTTGTACCTACTGGATGCTACTGGATTCTATTCTTTAGGATTACATGCTCTTGGAGTTCATGTTTGTCGAGCTACTGGGCAAGAGCTGGTATGTACTCTGGAAAGTTGTTGATTAGATGATTTACTCAGTTCTTGTGGTTATACCATCATTATCAGTTCACTGGGCTGTGTTAGTCAAACTGAATTATTTTCATTTCATGATTCTGTACTGATGTTTTTTTTCCGTATTATGGTGTTGCTTAATCTAATTTTTTAAGTCAACCTATGTAGTTCTATAGCTATCTCATGGATATCTTGGTTGTGCTTGATTGAAACCTGCAGTGCATAGCACTCTGATGATTTGAGTTACAGGTCATGTTGGGATGCTATATCTTAGATATATAAAGATGAGTCATTTGGTAAACATTGTGCTTGAAAGTTAGTTACCACCTGCAGTGATGCTTGGCAGTATTTAATTTAAATTTTTTTTTCCTGGCCATCTTATTTCAGGACCTAACTTCTTGTATAGTGACTTGTCATTAAGTAGTTATGTGGTGTGGCATTTACTGTGGAATCAGCACTTATCATTCATAACCCCTTGTGAAGTTCCCTGGGTGTCTAAATTCACATTCATGTGCTCTCATTTTCCATTTGAGAACTGACTCTTTGTCATGTCAAGGTAGATGGATTCATCTTCGAGGATTTCTAAGATCAGAAGCCGTGAGCGTGAGAGACTCCGTGGTCCTCCTTGGCTGAAGGTATGTGATTTTGTCTGGGGCACATTCAATATTCTCTCATTGTGATTCAGTTTGAGTGGACTTGTTCAGATCATTAATTATTATGGTTTTCTTAAGTTTCTGTGTTCTCTGACTGTGTTGATATCACTCAATGGGCTTTCATTATGTTTTCTTTTTCCTTATAGCATGCTGCCGTTAGTATATTGAAGTTTCTAACTCAAATAATACGGCCTGTTGGATTTTCAGGCAGTACAAGGTGCTCTAATGAGCAGTATGTATGCTGTTCTAGATTATGCACAGACCGGTTTAATTGCTGCAGTGTTTTTCTTTAAAGTAAGTGCTTTGCATGTTATACTCTCATAGTTGGGTCGTAGACAATTATGTTCTTGTCACTGTTTGGATGAAAATATGTTATAAACTAAATATTGAATGCCAGATGATGGAATGGTGGTACCAATCTGCTGAGGAGAGAATGTCAGCTCCAACTGTGTATCCGCCGCCACCACCTCCTCCTCCACCAAAGGTGAGTTATTTTTTTTCTGGGTATTTTTAGTGAGGAACTGGTTAAGCATTGTATTGTCTGGCTTTATGAATCATTCTGTACTTCGGAAGGTGGTCGTTGTTTACAAAAAGGTTCATTACATCATTATTTAATTTCTATCACGCACTTTTTTGTGATTGTTTACGATTATTTTTAAGGATTTTGCACATGGCTTCTCATCCATGAATCCCATGTTCTTGTTTCATTTTGAATCAGGTAGCTAAGGAGGGAATTTCACTACCAGCAGATAGAACGTTATGTCCATTGTGTTCACAAAAGCGTGCGAACCCATCAGTCATAGCTGTATCAGGATTTGTTTTCTGTTATTCTTGTGTTTTCAAATACGTCTCTCAGGTTTGTTTTGCCAAAGCTGCTTATTTATGTAGAATAACGCTTCAAGTGCTGGGGATATTTATCATGTCAGTAATTGAATTGTTTGCTTCTGTCAATACAGTACAAGCGCTGCCCTGTCACCTTGATGCCTGCAAGTGTGGAGCAGATTAGGAGGTTGTATCATGATATGTAGGAAACCATTAATGGAGATTCTGGCATCCATGTATTAGATGTAAGTAGAAGTAGTCAAGTAGAGGCAAATACCCTAGAAACCTAGGGTCAAAATGCAGAATCATTTTGTCGTAGTAGTTCACTTTGTCTTGTGATTCTCTGATTCGTATATTCTTTCTGTTAAATTTTATGCAATAAATACAAAATATTCCCCAAAGTTGTTATATAAAGCCCCTTGAAACTTAACTGGCGCAACTGTTCTTGTAACTTTGAATTAACTGCAGTTTTTGTTTGATTTCAAAATTAGCCCCCTTATCCGAATCCTAGTTATTTAGGCCCGTGGAACGGTATGTGGCAACTTTTGACACAAGCTAAGACACTTTGCAAGATTATGTGTCTTGTGGTGTTTGAGGGGGTGCTCTCAAAGTTGTACCAGACTGAAGGCAAATGGAGAATAAATTGTTAATGGCCTGCAAAAAGAAAAGGCAAATGGAGAATAAATTGTTAATGGCCTGCAAAAAGAAATACCCTCGCAAGCATATTTGAGATTCTTCGATTCTTACTTTCGCAGTGCAATATAAGTTTGCAAAGGATTCATCCATTCTTGAAATTGTTCCTTTCCATTGTATACACCATACAATGTGAAGGGTCATAATTTTGGGGAGAAGTACCGGTTTTCCATTAATCAAGTTTTAAAAATGCCCTTTATGGTATAAAAAATTGTAAAAATTATTTTTTTAAAAAATTTTTGTCCATTGTTTTCTTTCTTTCTTTCTTTTTTCTTTTTGGTATGCACTGAAAAATTTGAAAACAGATCGAGAAAAAAATAAAAAAATACAAGTTTTTAATTAACATAAAAGAAAAAAGAAATAATTCAAGGATTTTGTATATATTTATAACACATAGAAAAATGTGTCTAAAAAAATAATTTGTAATATACTTTCTTATGTATCTATAACATATAGGAAAAAAAATAGAGTTCATATTTCACACTAAAAAAAATAAAAAAATAATTGTTATTAAGAGACTATTTGATAACAATTAATAAATAAATTGATAAATATCAGTTATGTAAATACCAAAAAAAAAAGAAAAAAAAACAAACGAACAAAAAATTAAAATAAAATTTGTAATCTTTTTATATCATAAGGGTCAAGTTTTGAAAACGTATGTACGATTTCATTTCAGCTAATTTAAGTTAGTTTGAGCGGTATAATCATCCAAAGGACTAACTCGACTACAAAATCATACTTTTGGATGAAATCGACAACTAAAACAAACATATAAACTAAATTGAGGACTAGAGCAATATTTAGAATAAATCGACACTTTAACCCATAATTTTGCATAGAAACATAGTATGCGAACTACGTATAAACAATGACTTGTGATAATTATCACTAGGAGTGCTGCATACAATGAGCATATTGCCTAAAACCTCCACTAATCAAATCAAAGAGTAAGGAATACAGTATTTCTACTAAACTTAAGCAGCAACGTCTTCCAGCATTCTCTCTAGCTTGGTTTGGATAGACATCGAGTTAAATTAACCCTGGAAAAACACTAATCAGTAAATGAATTCTGCTTCATACTATCAATGGGGTGGCAAAACTTCAATCAGTAGTACCCTTCTCAAACAAGTGGCAGAATCAATCAGGCAAGGTCTTCATAGCTTGAAGAGGGATTTTTCCTCAAGAAATGAATCTTGTCTAATTCCACCCCTTCTCTCACTAGAGCATGAACATCAGGCGGTGACTTTGCTTTTCTGGATTTAGGTTATCGATCCTAGGTGTTAAGAATCAAGTGGCCTCAAACACAATCGTCCACCACATTTGCATTTGTAGGCTCATAAAGGAGATCTACATGGCAATTTAGTTGTCTTTATCAGTTGATCCATGCTTGCCTGCAGTGACCTACAAAAAAAAATAAAATAAAAAATAAAACAGTAAGACCCATTGCAAAAAGAGTTTAATCATAAAAAAAGATAGAATGTAACAATGTAATACCCACTTGGTCACTGTTGCAGTTAACTAATATGCATTATTCATCAAAATGTATATTAGTGATGCTTAATTTCGGCGCACATCATATGCGTCATGAATTTGTGTGGAAATTTACTGTTGAACACAACAAGAGGAACCCTAATACCATTATGCCTAAGTAGATTCTAGAAAAAAAAAGAAAGGAACCTAGCAACCTTGAAGTTATCGACTATATATGTGATGTATTCTAATGTGTTAAGCCTAACACTTAACTAACATAACTAAAAAGAGCAACGGAACTCATAAAAGATAGTTCAAGTTTCATTGTAACTCCTACCTGCAATGCTCTACATACTGCTTTCATTTTTTATAATTGACACCGCGAGCTATTGCAACATTTACGACAATCGTGCTATCTGTTTCAATCAGAATGCGGCAGTTCCTCAAGTCCTTCTGTTGCATCAAAAAGGATATAACACTTTGCATCATAGCAGATTTTAGAAGAGCCCATGGTGATCTGTAAAAGCGGGAAACTAAGAGGGTGTTAGCGGTGAAAACTGAGATTAGGTGAAAAATATATAATGAGGGAAGAAAGGCGCCCTGTCCAATGAGGCAGTGAAACCCCTGAGAGGTGAGACTTGGTAATTAAAGAGAAAAGTCTCCTCAGGCCTGTCTCGACCGGCTGGATTCATTAAGCATTAGATACATGGGAAAAAAAAAAGAAATACATAATTCAATTAGACCCTTTATCCAAATGGAAAATAAACTCGCTCGCTCTAATTTTATTGCTATTGTCCTAATCTTGGACCCCACTGTTGTAAATAGATGAAGATGGGTGTTGCGTTGGTACTGGCAGGACTCAGATGACGAGGAAACTAGAATATTGAGATTGGAACCTGGAAGGGATGGAGATGAATACTGGAATAGAGAAAGGGGGACATGAAATTATATAGTGTAGTTACAAAAACATATATTTTAGTTTAATTATTTTTTTTAATTTTATAATACAATTTAAGGTCTGTTGAATTAAATTGTAATACATTAAAATATACCAATAATTTTTTTTATTTATGCTAAATGTTTTTTTTTGTGAAAAATTAGATTTAGTTAAATAATCTTATTCTTTAGATTGAAAAAATAGATTAAAAAAATAATATCATTACTGTTAAACCATATTAAAAAATTAATATGTTTATTTAAATCAAACACGAGTTACAGATATGTAATTGTAAATTTATACATTAGAGTTTAAAAATAAATATTTTTTTAAAAAGATCATATAATATATTTTTATAGTTATAAAAAATAGTAAAAAGAAATAAAGAAATAGAAAACATTAAATAAAAACTGAAAAGAGATTATTTTGTTATTTTTACAATTTTTTTGGGTCATTTTTATAAATTTTAAAACTATTATGGTATTTTCACAATAAAAACTAATAGAATTCCTTTAATTTAAACAGAAATTGGTAAATTAGACAAAATGGACTAACGGTTGGATAGTTTAGGGTAATATTAGCTAACTAAAAAAGAATATGGTAACATTGACAACGCATGTAGGCTAAGTGAAAAAGAATATGACAACATTGACAACGCATGTAAACTTTCGGTAGATCAGACAATTTTTTCATATTTACCGTGTACAAGATATATTTACCCAGAAAATTTTGGAGGATGAAATAAACCTTAAAATTTTTATCCCACGTATATAATTTGATATTCGCTTGGCCTCCATTGAAGGGAAAAAAAAAAAAAAAAAGCTCACCCTGCTCGAGTTTGAATAGTTTCGTCCAAGAGACTAAAGGCATCCAATGGATGTAAACAAGTAGTGCTACATTGGTGTGTGGAGGTTAGAAAGGGTGGTTTGGTGTTTAACTTCAAACCATTTATAGCCATAATAATATAAAATCCAAAATGAATGTAAAGAGCCCACAGATTAAATTAAGAATAGATCAACAAATAAAATTCTTACTTCGTGATGAAGCATTACTTCTTTTTTTTTTTTTTTTTCTTTTCACTATAAAAGTTAGCTTTCCTAATTTTTTATTTTTTTTTCATATTCGTAGGGTGTCTACCGTCGACAACAGTGACTAATCCCCTCGTTGAATTGTAGGCACTGGGATAGCTTTCCTAAATTTTTGAACAATTTTTAATATGAGTTGTTATCAAAAGCATGGACCTCTTACTCCCTCAAAAGGTCCAATTGCATCTTTGTTGTCCATGGGCCTGTTTCACTGGAGTATCACATACTCGTTCGTTTTGCAGGCTGTGTGCTTTTTTTTTTTTTTTTTTTAATAATTAAACCCTGAAATGGTGATTATAGTGAAGAACATGCTTCTTCTTTGTTCTTCTATTTTTTTCTTGTTTTTTTTTGTGTGTGTGTTTTCTTCTGCTGTTTTAAATTACTCATCGGTGTAAAAAAGAAATCCACATTCTAATGGTGAGTTGGATTAAAAATAATACTAACTTTGCCCCGAAAAAAAAAAACAAACATACACTGAATTATTTGTAGAAATTTAAAAAATCAATACAATCTTTTTTTTTTTAACAGAGAGTGTAAAAATTTCAATTTACAATGTGGATATTTCCAGTGGAACAGAGGGAGTATTTTCGTTTTGCTTGATTTATTAAGTCATTGTAGGATAGTTCTACTTCTGAAAAGGGATATATAATGAATTTGTTATTCTAGATTATGCTAATAAAGTACATTAATATGTTGTAGTTCCTCTCACTTTGACTAGTTTGGAACCAAAAAACGGGAGTATCATAAGATTAGCCGCCCGTATTAGGTAATTTTATACTTTCTGTATTACACGGAGTAACAAACACTGTCACATACTTTTCCATGAGTGCGAATAATTTAGTAATAATTAATCTATCCCATTTTACTAGTTTAGTTTATACTATTTTATAGAATAGTGTACTACAATAGATTAAATTATTATAGTTTAGTTTATATATTTTTTATAGAATAGTAGTACAATAAATTAAATTATTAAAATGAGCGCAAATACAGTATGTAGTTTTTGTTTCTCCCACTGAATGTAAACATTCTATTCGAAACTCAAAATTGTTCAGCCGGAATTTGCACCGGCTTTGTGACAAAACGGGTAAATCTATCCATCCATCGAGACTAGCAATCAGTTTTAGTACTTTTCCCTTTATCAATCAAATACTACGTACCTGCCCCAAAAAGGAGACCTGCATGTTAGGGTAATATATGGAGGGCGGCGGCGCTACCATGGAATCTGAGATGAAGGTATCACAGGGTCCTTTCCTTCCTTCCTGACCCGCTTATTCTTGCCCTAAGCCTAATGCTTTTGTATTTCGTGGTTGGGGGATCAAAGTTTTCTAGGTTGTTAACTTTTCAAAATTAATTGTACTTTTTTATTTTTTCAGCCCGGAGGAGTATGGTCAAAGTTCTTTTTAATTGAAAGAAAGGTTGATGAGGAGCATATGTCCAAATCTGATGGATCAGAGATGATGGATGAAGAAGAAGAAGAAGAAGAGGACGAATTATCCCTGGTTGATTATATGCCTCAGTATTTGGATTCAAGGCTCTTGGATGAAAAGGATTAGTTTGTGATGAGGTTGAAGGTGCTTAGACGTCTTCATAAAGGATATGCGTTGAATCTTTGTTATGATCCTTTTAGTCTGATATTTACTTTTGACTCTGTAAATTGTTTGAAAGCCGTGCTGAATGGAGAAACCAAGAGATTTTTGGAATTCAATGGTGTCAATGCTGTTCCGTGGGTGGACAGCACTGAAGACCTAGTTCCTATATTGCATAAGGCAGCTGGCTACGGAGCCCTTGAGATCACGAAATTGTGTCTCCCAGGAAATGAGGATCAACTCAACCTCAGAGTCGATATTGATCTTGATCCTGTTGGCATTAAAGGTGCCCTACCCCTGAATTTAGCAGTCGAAACCCTCGCACGGTATGGTATCATTTTATCTTTGCTTGTTCTCTTCGGAGTATTTCTTTTTCTTTGGCTAAATAGAGAGAGCATGTAGAATTATGTTATGTGAGTTCACTTGATTTTGTAGGTTCAGTAGATGGAGATCAGACTCAATTCCAATGGAACCACAGGTGCTCCTTCACCAGTTGATTTTTCATACTGCTCGATTTCAGGTAAGTCCTCCCATACTCTTTTTGTCTATGAAAATTTTTTGGTACATTCACTATCTCAATGTTTTATTTTCTATCATAGTCTCTTTCCAAGGCTGAACTTGTGAGACTGCTTGCGTTTAATACTGTTGAAACTGAACAAGAATTTTTCACTTACTTGAAAGAGCGAAGACTGCCTGAATTGACTGTCTTATTGATGTTGGCGCGCCACCGTCTTACGCCGTGTTTGGAAAGAGGCTCTAAAATTCGAGATTTTGTCGTACAAGACATGGCAGCTGTGAAATCTGCTAACCACGTTGAGGTGGAGATGGAAGTAATAGAGTTTTTGCTTGAATTATTTGACAGAGTCGGTGATAGAATTGAAGCTTGCTTACGGCAAACTGATTATTCTGAAGTATACTTTTCTTAACCTTTTACTTTTTTTTCCCCTTTGCTTTTGCTGCTTTTTACTGAGTTATGCACAATCAGTGAGAAATTCTATTTTCATTTTCCCATTGTATAATTGTGCTCCCTCTGTCAGGTCAAAAGTCCACTTTTTGCTCAAGAGAGTGGACTTTTTTTTTTTCCTGGGACTGGTGGAGTAGTTTTCGAACTTTTCCATCAAAGAAGTAATTCAAAGAAGACCCTTAGACTGATCCATATGTTATGTTTTTATAGGTTGCTTCAAAGCTTGATTTGATTATACAACTTTCTCGGCTGTTGAAGGAGGCAGGGTTTGATGCACGGCTTGAATTAGATGAGATAGAAAGGTTATGTGCATAGTTTCTCTTAAAGTTTCCAATTTTTTTCTTAGACTAAAATGTCCAAATGGTCCCTTACATTTGGGCCTACTTGAATTTACATCCCTTACATTAACATTTCAATATCGTAGTCCCAAATATTATGTTTTCACACTTTTTTTTGTCCCATTTTACTATTTCCGGTTGTTGACATGCCGGAATCAGGGGTATTTTTGTCTTTTAATTTAATTTAATTTTTTTATTAAAATTTAACTCAGTTATATTCGAACTGCTGCCTTCACCAAATTGCTGTCCTCTCTTTTCCCGATAACCACCTACCCTGTTCCCTAGCCGCCTCTGATTCCCCCATGACCACCACCCGCCCCTCAATGGAGAAACTCTCCAATTTGAATCCCAAATTCAGGTTATATTCGAATCTATTAGGAGTCCAGTCGGAAAAAAAAAAGAATGAAACAAATTTAAAGAACAACCAACACAAAATGGCCGACCACCAACACTTTGGTCACCGTTGACAAATTCAACTATGAAGGCCGGCTAAGTAATTGCATGGAAGGAGATGAAATTGGAGAAGAGGGCGAATGTATAGAACTCAGAGTCCGGCGACATGAGCTTCCATGAATTCTTTGGTCTCAAAGTTCTTTTGTGGCTGAATATTGTTGGCATCAATCCGCGTTGATCTTCTGATGCGGACAATAATTTTCCGATTTTTGAATCTGTTGAGTATCAAGAATTGATGGTTGAGGGGAATGTCGTAGTATTGATGGTTGAGGTGACGATTTTTCAGAAGAAGGAAAGAGAAGGAGAAGATGATTCTGCAAAAGCTGAAGAAATGAGAAGGAAGGGTAGAAGAGGGGATTATTTTTGGTTCAAGTACAGGGAGTCATACCCCTCAAGTTAATTAGGAATGAAAAGGGATCTCATTATTGGGTTTGAAAGCCATTTTGGTGGGGCAATGTTTCTAACCAAGCAGCAATATTAGGAATGAAAGGCATAGAAATGAATTGATACCCTCAAACCCCTCCTAAAGCTGTGTGGTGTTTCAACATTTAGGGTTAACTTAAGTGGAATAGTGAGAGGAGGATAACAGCAAAGCTTTAAAATTTTTCAAAAGTGAATTGTTGATGAGATACATGAAGAATTAGTCAGCCAATATCCTAATATCCAGTCCCACCCTGCTGCCTCTGCAAAAATCTCAAAAGCATTAATTTTCTTTGATAATATAACTATTTAAAGTTCAAAAGCAATAATCAATATAAAGACACACGACTGTCATGAAGTAGACTCTTCAAATACTCAAAGAACTCTTGTTTATTATGGATTCTAAAGCATAAAAGAGCAAGCAAAACAAGCTTCGGTGCCTGTTGTTGAACCAAAGACATCACCGCTGGTCTCTGTAATGTGTCTCCAGTAACTCCCTTCGGTGCCTATCGTAGGAGTGTGTCATCAGGACTCTGGCTCTTGGATCGCTTACTTGAGAACTCTCTGTTAGCTTCTTTTTCTGTCAGTATTCACAGAATTTGCCTACCCTCCACGCTTTTCGGGGTATTTGTTCTCTTTGAGGAAGAGTTCCCCACAGAAGCAGGACTATTCTCGTCGGTTACATTCATTTCAGATGACATTAACCAGCTTGAGAGGCTTGTGTCGACAGCAATTTCATCATCTTTATGGCGGTTAGAAAATCGCCTCGAAAGCTGCTGTGGTGATTTCTTGAAACTTGTTGGCTTTCCCCAGAAAGAAAACGTATCATTTTCTTGCTCCAAATTAACATTCTCCTTGTCCTGATCAGTAGTAATTGGTGGGGTGGTTTTGGCTCTTACGGCATTCCATTGACTCAGATTTTCTATTGGGTTCAAAACAGATTGAACACAATTGCTCCTTTCTCTGGCATTTCCTCGCTTACTTGGTGGCTTAAGTGGGCTGGAGACTTCTTTTTCACCCACATCAGTATCTAAAGCTGCAATTTGTTTCCTAGAATCAATAGACAGTGAGAACAATGATTCAGACGACTCTTCTTGAACTAATAATAACGCAGAATCCTGACCATCACTTTTCTCTCTGTTATTGCTACCAATTTCACCATTCTCTCTGGATTCGCCCACATCATTCTCTACTGCTGCGATTTGATTCCGAGAATCAATGGACAATGAGAATAGTGATTCCGACGAATCTTCCGGAACTAATGCAGTATCCTGACTGCCATTTTGGACTGTGTACTTGCTATCAATTTCCTCATTCTTGTCATCAGACTCGCTGTCAGCAGCCAAATTGGTGTCCTTGAAATCCATACCAACAAAATCATCTTCATCACTGGATGCACAGTTCTGGTACCTTAAGTTGGGAGGGTAAGAGAAAAGGCTGGAAACACTCGATTCGGACATCATCAAGTCCGCCTCATCGCTGATCTTTGCTCTCTTTGATGTCTCTTCTCCCTTTTCACCACTTGAGCCACAATTAATGCCTTGACCCACCTCAACTTTGCTTTCTTCCGGCTTCTCCTCGACGTTAATTTCAACTGGGAAATTAACGGCTTCTTTTTGTATCTGGCATTCTTCTGGGTCGGGGGTCTTTACGTCTAAATCAAAGGTGACTTTCTTTCTGGTGCTGCTATTCAATTGATCTTCGTTCTTTCCCCTAAATTAATTACAAGGAAGTAAATGCAATAGAATCGTGAGCACAGTAGTCTAGGAGCCTTTAAGTACAGAGTTTGACAGCTAAGATTGAATACCCCACAAATTTAACTCAGTTAACAACCCAGCAAAATTTTAAAACAGTCACAAAGATTCAATTAATGCCGAAAAGTGAAGAGCTTACTTAATAGCCGAATTAGCAATCTGGGTTTGTTCAGCTGCCTGATTGGTGTATAAAAGAGCTTCTTTTGTAGCATCTTTCTCAATCAAACTCTGAAAGAATAATGAAGTAATACAGAAAACACAAATGAGCATATTATAGTAGGGAGGTAACCCTCTATTAAGACACAAAAAAATTGAGCTGGGTATAGGTTCTTACCTGCAGATCTTTACGAGGAGGTGGCGGGATAAGATGATGCTTTTTGTTCTTGCCAGAATGGTTGGTTAAGGAACCAAAACAAGCAGTAATGCACTTCATAATTTGCTGGGTAATGATGGGTTGTTATTAAGAAAAATTAAAAGAACTGAATAGCTTTTAAGCAAAAAGATGGCGGCTGGACTTTAGATAGACACTCATAATTTGATTGTAGAGAGAGGTAGTTTTGGTGAAGCTGAAGAAGGGGAGAAAGATCGGGAATTGGAGAGCCGGGGAGCTGGAACTGTTGGTAGCCTTTTTTGAGGGATCGTTTTGACTCGGAGTTTGAAAAAGAAGACCGTTGGAGAAGACTCGGGGGGTACCCTACTTGTAGTGGCAGTTGACAAGTAATAACAATAGAGACCTTATGGTAAAAACCGATTCAGGGTTTTACTTGGTTCGACCATTATGACTAACATTTACCGCTTAGTGTATACTACTAGTAGTGTGTATATGTTTTTTCACCTAAAAGCTTTGGAGGTTGAAATAAATCTTAAAAATGTTATCCTACTTGAATATAATACGATAGGCTCAATTCGTTTAGTTAAAAAATAAATAAATTATTGACTTACCCTGCTCGAGTTCGAATTGTTCAGTTCGTCCAAGGGATTCAAGACATCCAATGGATGTAAACAAGTAGTGCTACATTGATTATGTGTTGAGGTTTCAAAGGGTGGCTTGCTGTTTAACTTTAAACCATTTATAGCCATGATAATAAAGAATATATAAAATCCAAAATGAATGATCAAGAGCCCACAGATTCAATTAAGAATAGATCAACAAATAAAATTTCTTTCTTTGTGATGAAGCAGTGCGTCTTCTTTTCTTCTTCTTTTTTTTTAATAAATTCTTGAACAATTTATTTTTAATAAAAATTTCTCCTTCCAATGTTGTGGACTTATGACTTATGAGTTGTTGGAATCAAAATGATCAAAAAGCATATGGACCTCTTACTGCCTTAAAGGTCCAAGTGCATCTTTGTTGTCCATGGGCCTGTGTCACTGGAGTATCACCTACTCGTTCCTTTTGCCGGCTGTGTGCTTGTCTTTACTGAAGACTAATTAAATTATTAAACCCGGAAATGGTGATTATATTCTTCTATCTTTGTTCTTTTTTTGTGTGATTTTTTTCTATTGTTTTAAATCACTCTTCCGCCTCAAAAAATTGTCCACATTCTAATGGTGAGTTAGATTAGAAGTAATACTATATTCGTCCAAAAAAAAAAAAAAAAACATACTTTGAATTATTTGTAAAAATTTAGAAACTCAATATGGATTTTTGTTTTTAACAAAGAGCGAATAATGTACTCCTTTTGTCCCAAAATTATTATCCAATTTAAGATTTAATTTTTAGTACAATTTGAACTAGAAATGAAAATCTATACTGGACAATAATTATGGGACGGAGAGAGTAATAATTTATCTACCCCATTTTACTAGTTTATTTTATATTTCTATAGAATATATAATAGTACAGTAATTAAATTATTAAAATGAGAGGAAATGTGTAGCGCTTTTTTTTTTCCCTCCCTGCATGTAAACATTCTAATCGAAACTCAAAATTGTTCAGCCGGGATTTGCACCCGGCTTTGAGACAAAGCGGGTAAACCTATCCATCGAGACTACCAATGAACTAATTGCGACAATATGTTATTGCAATTAAACGTGGTTTTATGAGTGATCCAAGAAGTAAGTAAAGACTAAATGTTAGCTAGCAACAACTAAATGAAGTTTGTTTGCTCCCAGGAGCAACATTGATGCACGCGCTCTGCGGATGTCCATGTACGTGTCTTTAGCTAGCAAGAAACCATATGTATGTAGTACATCTTGTGTCCAATATAAATAAGATAATTGGTAACTAATTTTTTTATGAAAAAAAAGCAATATTATTCCTTTCATTTCATCATCACGACAACCTTAGCTTAATTGCACTTCCTCCTGTCCTTAATATAAGACATTTTAATTTGTACTAGGTTTCACCTAATACGCATTTTTAATTGACGAAAAAATCTTAAAAATATTTTATAACAATCAGAAGGACACAATAAATGTGAAAATCTATTTTTAATGTTTTTTCATTAATTAAAAATGAATACCAGGTGAAAGATAAGACAAAATCAAAATGTCTTATATTAAGAACTGGAGGGAGTATCAATTATAGTACTTCTCCCTTTATCAATCAAAGTACTACCTCCCCAAAAGGAGACATATGTTAGTCCGTATGTCTTTGTATTTTCCTTCCTTTTTGGGGTAAAAGAAAAAATTTAAACGACGTAATACAATAAACTAAGATAGATTGCGGATAAAAGAAAAAACACATGTAATGAATATGAAACCTAAATAACCTAAATTCATTTAGTAGTTTAATTATAATATATGGTGCAGGTCTTATATATTAACTGCTGGATAAATGAAGTACTCTTTCTATTTCAAAATTATTGTTTAGCTTGAAATTTTACTTTTTGTATATTTTGAATTAAAAATAAGAATCTAAATTAGATAATAATTTTGGAACAGAGAGAGTAGTACACTAAACAAGTGTGATTGGCCTTTGAGGTATGTATACTCCCAGTTTAAGCAGAGAAACGTTTTGAAAAAGGAAAAAAGAAAAGAAAAAAAAGAAAAACTAATAAAAATACAACTCCAATATAAAGAATTAGTTAGTACTACTGCGGTTGTGTTTCATTCTTGTTGGATGCCGAGGATCATGACCACTCCAAATTCTTTATTATTCAATATATACGTCATTATCAAAGGTACAAGGTTTATTAGGGGTACTCTTTAACTGATTGATCAAACTTTAGCAAGCTTTTTGGAGGGGTTCTATTATATGAGGCTCCTGTCTCAAAGTGTTGTCCAGTTTAATTTTTTTTATTTTTAAAAATGAAAATATAAATCAGATAATTATACAATTACATCCTTCAATGTTTACAATTACTAGATGTTAAATTATCAGTAGAAAATCATGGCATTGAATGCTTACTTTCAAAAAATTGTAATGTTATATTCTCTCCGTCCCAGAAAAATAGTCAACTTTGAATTTTGAGATTTGTACTAAAAACAGTACAAATTTCAAAACTCAATGTGAACTATTTTCATGGGACGGAGGTAGTAATATTTTCTTTTATAAATTTTCTTCATGTCCAATTTCTGGCACCGCTGACAAATACATTGTTGATGTTCAATGTTTGAGTAATATTTCTAAAATATAAAATTTTCTCTTAGAGGGTGTTGTACTGCATATAAAATAAAAAATCAGATTGATCACCTTTGCTTCCTCGTTAATAAAGGCTTTCCTTTAACCCCTTTTTATTCACGACGAAGACAAATTAATGTATCTCTCTCTAGCTAGTTATCTGTTGGGGTACGCAATCGAAAAAGTATGAGAAGAGAAAGGAGAATTAGAAGAAACCTTACGCAATCGATTGATTAAAGTACGGTACCTATATATGAGTACTAAACTGATCATATGATTTTGTTGCCAAATTTGACTTTGTGATCAAGTAACTCCGAGGTAAGAAACAATGTTTCGTTTTTAACGCAGCAAAATTTTTTTATTTTAATCGCTGTAATCACTCTAATGGATATGAAGAAATGCTTTAAGCATGTTAATCTCGTCCATTGTATCCAAAAAAATATATTACCTCCGTCCCAAAAAAATAGACCGTATTGAATTTTGAGATATATACTAGTTTTAGTACAAATTTGAAATCTTAATATGGACTATTTTTTTTGGGAGGGATGGAGTAAATATTAGGGTTTTGGAGGATAAAAAATGAAAGAAAAAAAGTTGGAGTTAATTAGAAGGATTTATCCATCTTTAACAAAGAGTATTATGTTCTAATCCTGCTTTTAAGTATTAATGAATAAATTAATTATTTGTTTGATTAATTACTGAATTATATGTTTGATTAATTATAAACATACTTAGAGAGGGACAGTTTTAGCATCATCACAAGGACTAATGGCTAGCTAAAAACAAAAGATGTACTTATAATATAGTTTTCAGTTTATTTTTTCTAAAAAAAGATTTATTGGTAAGCCTGTTTAATTTAAATAGTTGGTAGGTGCGTAAGTAAATGTCGTCCCATATGTATTCTGTTGGGAATTTATCTAGAAGAGAAAACCTGACATGGAGCCCAATAAGTGAGGTAAAACCTATCTGAACTTAAAAGTTCAAATTAATGGGTTCTGAATCCACCTTACTTATTAACTGATTCACATATCATCATGTCTCCGGTGTGATTCATAATCCTTGCCACATGACTCTCAACATATTCTTGTCAAATACAATTGATTAATACAAATAAAATGAGACGACCAATGTCAAGAACCAGAAAGAAATCAAGAATCCCCTCAAAGTAATATATATTATATAACAAGCGGAGTCATTTTCATGGATGTTGTAGTACTTTAACTCCCATTTTACGTTGTATATCATCGAAGTTCGGTCGCTTTTCGCTTTTTACGTGTAATTACTCTTTTAGTTTGTATTTTAGAAGGTTTTTTCCATTGAAAATTTAAGATGAGATAAGAAATTTGATAACAAAAACTTCTGAATAAACCATTAAAAAAGCAACCAAACAGAATGGTGTCTTTTGGCCATTTCCTTCGCCGATGTGAAATGCCGGAGGATAGGATGATCAGTTGTTTATATCGGTTAATCGTGCTCTAGTTAAAGTTAAGGGGATAGTTATAAGCATTAAAGTAAAAACTAGTATAGTAACACCTTACTATCATTTTACTATACCATTTTCCCTGACGTCAGTGCCATTTTGGGCCTTCTCTCATCTTTGATATTTCCTTTTTTAGTTACTTCGTTTTACTTCGAAATTGCCAAAAATAAAAATCAGTAAAATTGAATTGTTTTACTTATTAGTAGTGTACATTTTCTGATGGGGTTGGAAAGTCATTGTTTCAATTAATTCAAATTCGAGTTGGGTAGGAGGTTCCTTTTAAAAGATAAATCTCTTACAACAAATATTTTAATCAATACTAGTTTTTTTAAAATTCCGATCCGAATATTAGGATCTTACGATCTAACGATCCAGAATAAGGAAATCGATCATGGATGTTATGAAATCCTTCTATGTAGTGGGATCTTATGGAATTCTTCAAAATTCCAATTCGGATTGTAGGACCCCAAGATCCAGTGATCTTATTGATTTTGTCGATACTTATACAAATTGTTGATTTCGTATAAAAGGAGGGAAAAATGATTAGAAAAAATATAAAAGTTGAAATTTTAAATTGATGATACTTATGTGGGCACTAGTTACAATAAAAATTGAACAAGAATTGAACTAATAAATTGAAATTCGTAATTTCAGAATTATTATAATATTTTAAATAGTTACGATCCCACTGATCCAGAATCCGATCCGATCCTTGTAAAATCCCGATTTTGAAAATATTGCTACTAGGTCTCCCTATTTATAATGGAATTGAAAAGTTGAATAGACGTGTTTAGGGGGTTGAAATCAGCATTATGTACTTAACTTACAAATAAATTATATGGAATTGAAAAGTTGAACGTAACTATTTAGGGGGTTGAAATCAGCATTATTATGTACTTAAGTTACGAATAAATTATAACTTCAATTAGCTAGCTAGGCTGCTATCATATTGGCAAAATCAAACTGAGGGAGGCATACCTAGAGGACCAGAGGCCAAGAGACATATGCATCGGTATACAGAAAAAAATAAAAAAATCTCGCATTCATTCAAAAATGTAATTAACACGTTATTAAGAAAGGTTCAAGGGCATGATTTACCTTCTAAGTCATCTTAGTCCACAATAATCGCTCTTGGTATTCATCACTTGTAGTATTGATTAGTTTCACTTTATTTCCCCCGAACAGAGCCCTAGTCACCGTTCGAATCATGATCATAATTAATTAATCTAATATTTCACGGTAGATGGACTAAGTGATTGTTGGTATCTTCTACCATTGTTAATATCAGTACAAACAAAACCAAAATTGGGCTTTAAACATGTAAAAGGTGAAGTACAAACTGAAAGCTGATAGCTCACGGCAAAAACACCAAAGAAACAAAAAGTCATCATTTGCATGGAAACATATCATCGTCAACACCATATTGATCAGCATCTCATATGCAGTATGGAGTCAAATTTGTGGAACCATAGGAAAATAATGTGATGTATAATGCATACAACAAATTTCAAGACATCCGTATATGGCCGATTCACGATCAAGACATCCGTGATTCCACATTCCCAACAAATTTCTCTTCTTCTTCGGTTACAACCAAAAATAAATAATAATAGTAATGAAATAGGAACGAAAAAAAAAAGAAAAAAGAAGATAAACTCCCCCACCCGAAACCCCCCGCCATTAAGAGAAAAAAAAAAGGTGAGAATAAAAGGAGTAGGTTTTTAATCATGGATGGTCCAATTTTTTTTAGTCCCTATCATCACAATCAATCCATGATGATCATATTCATTTGTGCTGCATAAAATTTTGTACAACACTCCAAACCCAGCTGTTCTTCATTGGAAAAAATATTTGTGAGCTAGTAGGACCACTCTATTTCTTTTATGAGTATTTTAAATTGGTTCATCCTTTTTCTTAAAAAAAAAAATAATAAATAAAAATGGACCATGATGGTACTTTGGAAGACCTTTTTTCCAGTCTATTAATAAAAGAGTAAAACTTACATGCTTAAGAATTGAACAAGTTAATACTAGTAGCTTACCAAAAAAAAAAAAAAACTAACATTAACCTAAAATTTCAGCATTTCATAGAATGGTCCTCATTTGTTAAGTAAGATGATAGTAGGTGTTTTGCGGGATTATCTGTTACATTCCACGAATACTTTCTTCGAAAACAAAAAAGAAAAGAAAAAAGAAAGCAGTTACAAGCCAATTCAGATAACTATATGATCTTTTGAAATTCAAACCAAGGAATATCAAAATCTCAACTAAGTAAGTTGATGAGATAAATATGTTAGGCGGTAATTAGCGAAATATTATAAAAGCCATTTTGTAATCTTTTCATGTATACTCTTTGTAACAGATTTCACTTCTGTGTGTAGATTGTCAAATTTGAAAAGTGTTAAAAAGGGGTCTCGGAAGTGGTAGCACTTTTGTTAAACCTCCAATGGTGATGACGGATGAATGTAATTAGTGCAAATTTAATACTCCAATAATTAAAGCGAACATATTTTGCACCTGCCACCAGCTAATCATATGGACATTTGTTAAGGTTTGTAAAACCCAATTCTTTAATTCTCAAACAAACTTCCCCACTCTTTCTTTAATGACACTTTCATTTTTCTTTTTTTGTCCATTACTGTCATCAAAGAAGAAGAGGACTTCCAGTAAATCAAAGTTGTAGCCCTTCACTTATTAGGCGGAAGTATTAGGACCATATTAAAGTAGAGTTTAGTAGACTACACACACTCACACAGTGACTCTCTGTGAATGAAGTGATCAATGTTCAAAGGCTGATGATGGCGGTATGTTCTGTCCCTTTTTGTTGTTTCTTCTTGAGTTCTCGAAAAAAGTTTCCTGGGCCATACACACCAGTTTCATAGTCTAGTTTCTTCTCTTGCACAATTCTCAATTCTCTTGGAATCTTTTCTCCCTTTTCTGGGATTTTTTTCCCTAAACTTTTGGTGTTATTCTGTTTTTTTTTTTTTTTGTTTTTGGAGCATATTCACAGATCTCTGTTTTCATTTTTTGGGGTGTGAAGGATTCATGAGTTTTCATTTTTGGAGCGTATTTGGTTAGTTTTTTCTCTTCTCCTTTTTGGGTTGCGAAATAATAAGACACATGTGTCTTTGTTTGCATGGTTTTCTTCCTTTCTTGTCATTACACTTGTTATTCCACTTACTCTGTTTTTCTAACACCTGTTACTCGCAGTCTCCATCAAGTCCTCTGCTTTCTTTATCATCTTCTTCATCAGTTTCTTCGGCGTTTTAGCCAAAATTCCAATTGATTTTTGTTTTGGTCAAAACAGATATTTGTAAATGATGGCCGAATGAAATGAATATTGGAATTTCTATTTTGTGCCCAATGAAAATGAAAATATACTCTGAATATACTCTGTGAGTCTCTGTTATTAGTTTTATGATTGGATTTTTTTTTTCCTTCATTTTTTTCTTGCAGAGAAGCAAACCGGGGAAATGGCTAAATATTTTATGCTGCTGATTCTTTGCTTTCTTGTACAATTTGGGCTTCGAAGACCACTTTCCAGCTCCGTGGTCCATGATCACCAAACATGCTTTATAAATGCTTAGTCGTTTTTGGACGAGAAATTGAGATGTTTTTTCTCAGCATCTCTGAAGGGCTGTAATTAACACATCTTTTGAAGTTAGCTTCATGTGATTGCAGTTATAAAAAGTGAGTTTTAATCACATGACATGTATTAAAAAGGTGGTCTTGTGTGTGTTATAAGTCTTCTCAGCTTTGTGGTCAGTTTTTGGAGGAATTTGACCCCCAAAAAAAGAAAAAAAAAATGGAGTCTTCTGATCAAAAGTCTCTAGAGAAGGTTCTTTCACAGAAGGCTCTTCAAATGGGTAGTTCATCTCCATGTCAAATATGTGTTGTGGGTTTTCTTTGTGTGGTTTGCCTTACCTCATTGTTTCTGGCGGCTCTTACTTCCTTCGGCGCGTTCCAGTTTGAAGGGATTTCTTTCTCCACATTTTCCAGTGGAATTTTCGCAACTCAGAGTTCTCAATGTAAGTTCGATTTTCCCTGTTATCCTTCACTATTTCAAAAGTTGGTATGATGATCGTTTCCTACATTTCCATCTACTAATCAATTTTATTATTTTTTTTTATCACGTTGATGAAAATTACAAGATACTCCCTCCGTCCCAAAATTTAGAGTCTTATTTGTTTGTTGTAATTTCGGCAAGCATAATTCTTATTTTGGGACGGATGGAGTTTGTATTGTACGAGGGCCCATGAATTACATATTGCCTATTTATATGCCAGAAATGATTCATATGTACAAGTTTGCGTAATTACTTGAGTATCTTGCTGAAATGTGATGAAAAGCATTTGGTAAAGTTAGCCAATTTAGTTGTCTAGACAAGTGCATACTCATGAGGACGGGCCTCAAGTGTGTGTTGAAAGTAACCAAAAAGTGAGAAACATTACCTTAAATTTTCACAATGAAGCTTTGAGAACATGGTTTTAGTCGTAACAGCTCCATCCACTTTACAACCACCCAGATCCTTCCTTATAAAGCAACTAAAACGTTCTTTTTATTATTGTCTTCCAAATGCCAATTGGGGCAATTAAGCATCCTCCCTTCAAATGAAATGGAAATTGGATATTATGCCTTCCCTACATTTTTGGAAATAATTTTAACCAAACTTGCCCAATCGTACTCTGAGGAGTTAATATTCGCTAACCTTGTTTTGATTCAAGCAGCTTAAGTGTAATTGAATTATAATGTACGTGAACAAAACTATATAATCTTGAGAGGATTAAGATACCTTTCGTGACAACAAGAGATGATCACTATGATAATGCTTATTTACGTTGTGGAAATGGTCATTTTGCAGATGCTGTAACTGGGAATGATTGCAATCCCAAACAGAAAGAAAAAGAAAGAATAATGTATGCACAGAAGAGCGATCTGATCCTTGAGAAAGATGAGATGCATGATAGAGTGAAGGAACTATATTCAGTTTGGAGTAGAAAGTTAAGCACGTCCACAAGTGAGGATAACCAGCTACCAATTAGTGGTAGACTTGGCGAACTCAATACACCGAAAGCTCCTCACTTGGAAAACTGTAAATTAAGAGCTGAAGTTAATTCCCGTCTTGATAGCAGGATCCAGAATGAGAGCTTCCCTCCATGGACAATTTGGAAGGGGATGTTGAATGACTTCCCGTCGGTCCCAATTGACGAGGAGCAACTAAGTATCAGACGGCAATTGATTTCTGAAGGACCTAATCCTCCCTGGGTATGTTCTACTGGAAAATGAGATACATAAAATAATATTTAAATATCTGGGTAAGCTCTAGCAGCATGAATGTAGCTGAAAACTTGTGATGAAATTGCATTTATTTCTTCAATGTTGAGATGTTTCAATCCAAGCAATGGGGGCTGCATTGAATGGTGATATGATCGTCTGATCAAGTAATGAATCCTTCTTTCTAGGGTGCTGTGAAAATTTTTTATTCCCCAATAGTTGACAATTCTGGTTTCCTGCTGCAGGTAGCAGGATCTGACGATGAGAACTATCCTTTGACTCGGAAAGCACAACGTGATATATGGTTCCATCAACATCCAGCCAACTGTAGAGATCCTAATGTGAAGTTTCTTGTAGCTGATTGGGAAAGATTGCCTGGATTTGGCATCGGAGCTCAGATTGCTGGGATGTGTGGCCTTCTTGCAATTGCAATCAAAGAGAAAAGAGTTCTTGTGACAAACTACTACAATAGAGCAGATCATGATGGTTGTAAAGGTATTATTACCGGACTAGCATCATAAATCTTATTGGTCTCAGTTTGTTGAGGGGTCTTTATTTTAATTTGATGCCCATATTCCTTTGAATAGGATTGGAAGTATTACATTTATTGCTGCCGGAATAACAGTGGCCTGCCTTGTACCCTTTCTTGAGTTGTTGACGCGAACTTGGAGTTTATTCTTTCTGATTTAGTTCTACCTTAATTTATTACTGTCTTAGGTACTTCACGTTCTAGCTGGTCTTGTTACTTCGTTCCAGAGACATCACAAGAATGCAGGGAACGAGCATTTGAGTTAATGGAAAGCAAAGAAGCACAGCAGAAAGGAATGATAACTGTAAAGGAAAATTATACCTCCAAAGAAATATGGGCAGGAAGAATTCCAAGGCTAGTGGTTAAAAAACTTCAGTTCTTTCCTTGAGAAATTCATCTGCATACAGCATCCTCAGTGGCATCTTATCATTTGTGTACAGCAGGTTTTGGGGCAACCCTTGGAGTTATTTGCAACCAACCACAGAAGTGAATGGGAGTTTGATAGCAAATCATCGCAAAATGGACCGGAGATGGTGGCGTGCTCAGGTACAGTATATGCATGCCATTATCAAAGGTGGCTGAGAAACTATCTTTTAAGTTGTCTTGTCATGATTTGCTGCATGGAAACTAAATGATGTACTGATCATATTCTTCTAGATACCTGTGGTAAAGGGTCAATTTTGTATATTCCAGTTTTGTTTATTTTGCTTCTTCACTCTTTGGTCTTGTCAGGCTGTGCGATATTTGATGAGATTCCAGTCTGAGTACACATGTAACTTGCTGAATATAGCTCGCCATGAAGCTTTTGGATGGGAAGCAGCAAAAATGGCTGTTTCGACCACCTTTTCTGATTCTACAGAGGTCAGTCAGTTTGGAAGTTTCAACATATTGGAATGGAATCTGGTCATGAATGTCGTAGTAGGAAAGGGATGCTAGTTGAATCAGATAGAATTTACAATTTATTTATGTCACATTTTATTTGATCGATCACTCGACATGAATAAGGAATATGAAGATCACTAAACCATGTTAATTTGTTCTTCACTAAGAAAGCTCCTTTCTTTCCAGGATGTGGCCGGAATGCGAAGATTTGACATTGAAAAATTTGTATGGTCAAATCACAAGCCATGGATTCCTCGGCCTTTGTTAAGTATGCATGTCAGAATGGGAGATAAGGCATGTGAAATGAAGGTGGTCGGCTTTAGGGAATACATGCATCTAGCTGAACGAATCAGAAAGCGATTCCCTCATCTGAGTAGCATCTGGCTTTCAACTGAAATGCAGGTATTATATCTTACACCAAATTGGTTTCATTGACGACAGTCCAACTGAGTTGGGGTTGGGGACTTCGTGTTCTTTTGTTTGTGAATGATCAGTATGACACATTTGTACTTGCAGGAAGTCATTGAGCAATCTAAACTATTCCCTAACTGGAATATTTACTACACCAAAGTGGCGCGGCAAGAAGGGAACATAACCATGGCAACCTATGAAGCCAGTCTTGGCAGGGAAACGAGCACCAACTATCCCTTGGTGAATTTCTTGATGGCATCCGAAGCAGACTTCTTCATAGGTGCATTGGGTTCCACTTGGTGCTACCTTATAGACGGAATGCGGAATACAGGTGGAAAAGTCATGTCAGGATACTTGAGTGTGAACAAGGATAGATTCTGGTAGACCCTCCCTGAGTTTCAGCTTCCAAGTGTTATTATGTACATGCAACAATTGGTTAAAAAGCAGCTTGCCAAATTTCATGAAGACGTCAGGAACACCCCTATCACACTGTACATAGTTCGTGACAACTGTTTGCCGCTCATGAAGAGCTCACGAGGCGAATTGAACTTGAATCTCGCGTACAAGTCAAGTTCCATTTGCACGTGATCGTCTTACCTGCTTATGAGTTCTGCCATCTCATCGGATGATGTTTCTTTATGCAGGATCTTTGTTGGTCTCTATAATAGGGGGATAGAATCTGTCGCGATGTAAATAGTTTTGAAGCGCAGTAAGCATCTTAGGGGGCAGCTGTACAATCAACTATGCTTATGTACAGGATACCGGTGTTAGTGATACAAGTATTATGTTGTAAAAACTTCCCATTTACAGTTGCGAGGCTCAAAACACTTGAGATGGTATTGTTTTGCTTACCAGTTACCACAATGCTAGAGTTGTAAAAAAGCAGCCGAAACTTACAATAAAACCACGAATATCGTATATATCCAAAATGATCCATAATAAAAGAAAGAAAGCCCAAATCCAAAAACCTTAATTAACTAATTGCCGGAAGATATCCAAAAGGGTGAGTTGAGATACTGATCAACCCCATAGAGTGGTTTAAAGTATTTACCAAGTCCATAGTGTGGGTAGTCGTATTGATCCACTCCATGAAAACGTTCAGTACTTCCATCTTTGAAATTATAAATCCCCATATTCTTGGCTCCCCCTTCTACTATACTTACGGTTTTGTTGAAATGAGGAGCAAAATATATAGTATTACCTTTAATTCCAAATCTTTTTGCTTCCGCCTCTGGAAAAGAAATAGCAGCATTGTACCCAAGAAATAGAGCATCCCCTCCTATATCATTCACCATCTCCCAACAATCGTTCTTGTTTTCCATTTGAAGCACAATAAAATGGTCATCAAACGAGCCATCACTGTCATCATTGTCATCATTACAGGTAGTCTCGACTCGTACAATAGAGAGTAACTTTCCTTCTTCCTCTGTTAGTAAGGATGATGATGATGATGATTTCACTAAATATATTTGATGCCTTGGGTAAGGTACGGGCATATTGGGGAAGAAGCAAACATGGGCAATGGGCAAATGATTACCATCCCAAACCCACATATTTAGACAGTCGTCCATAACGTAAAATTTACTGTTGTAGTAATTTGCATGTACGAATTGATGATTATCAGCTTCTATTTTCGTCCACACCACATCTCCAGGCCTCCAAAAACCTAGAGCTCTACCGTGACAGTGAATTGCCATTAGGGTGAAATTTGGCACTCTAGATGGATTATCTGACAACACTCCTAGTTTTATAGATATGAGACACGGTTCGTAACAGAGATTTTCGGGTTTAGGCAAGGTTCGAATATTGGGGAGCTTAAATTGTGCACGAGAGAAAGGGTTCAACAAAGTAACGTCACCTGATTCCGTGAGAGTTAGTAACCACCCGAACCTAACTTCAATGCATCTTTTGCCAATTACTTCCGGAATGGATAATCTCATGCAAACCTTTTTCTTTGATAAGTGATAAAACTCGCATTCGCCGCTGTTTCCTTTTCTTGCAAGCATAAGCAGTGGAATCCTCGGTGAGAGTGAAGGGATAAATTTATCCATGGTGACCGCGGCTCGCCAAGAAGTACATACACCTCTGAAAGCCATGAAATCTTGAATGGATGATATGCATATCGCTATCTCCACCAACAATTCCGGCGGAAGGGTCGACCAATCCAAGAAGTACTTGCCCCTGCTGTATGGGAATTTAGATATATATTGACATTATTAGTCTTATATATGATACAAAAGTAAGATAATAGATTATACTTAAATCACTACAATAATCCTAGCAAAAGCAGAGAAGCTATTGAAACCTACAACAAATATTACAGACCAATAGAAGTATAAGAAGAACCCAATGCAATTTTGAACATCGAATCTTTAAAAAAAAAAAAAAAAAAAAAGCTGAAAAACTTGCCTCACAGTAGGACTGGGAACAAGCAGCATAATTGTGCCTCTCCACCACACGGTTTGGGGGTTTCTTTTATAGCTTCCTTTTCACATTAATTACTTGTTCGCCATTGTAGGGTTTTTAAATTGAAGTTGCTGGTGATGATTTATAGGTATGGCACCAGAGATGAGAAGCAGATAAGGAGACTTCGTTCAGTGGTGGCCGGAGCAGCGATGCCGACGTTGGTCTCTGTTGAGAAAACAGGAGGAGGCGGTGCAGAGGAGCGGCGGAGATCTAAAGGTTATGATTGTTAGAAACTGATTTTTTCCCAAAAACAAAAAAAAGAAGAAACTGATTCCCAATATATTATGCCAAAAAAAAAACCGTAGCAAAGGTCTGCGCACATCAAGTCCCACATCGAAGGAGGGGTATGGCTTTTGCAGCTCGGAGGAGAATAAGAGAGGGGCTCCAATACTTAGCAAACCATACCTTTCTCGGCCTTTTGGCTAAGATCAAGTGTAGTATCTGTTCTTATCAGTTTAATATCTGATACGTGGGCCATCGGCTCACATGATATTAAATTAATTTTTTTTAGGGGGATGGCATTAAGGTAGCTTGCTGCCTGGGCCTTCAAGCGTCGCCCATGCGCTGCACTACCGCACGGGCCTGGCGCACCCCTCCAATTTCAAATCCAAATTGTTTTTGAAGAGTGTTATTATTTGGGAGTAGTATTATAGAAATTTGTGATATATTAAGGGTAGAATTTTCTGGATTTTAATCTAGACAACAACCAATAGTTGCATACATTTTTTTTTTTTTGGGGGATCAGAAGTTACAGGCATCAATTATCCAATATAATACATACAACCTTGATGAAGTTTTCGATTTTGCTTTTGCTCATATGACAAAGTAGAAAATGATAATTGAACTCTATTCAGCATGACCCATCATTCTCAAGATCAAAAAGTAAACTGGATGACATAAAATTGGGAAAGGAAAAACAGCTAATTCCAGGTAAAGTTTACACGTTTTTATGATTACTCAGCTTCGGACAAAATCACTCGTCAGAATCATGCTTAACAGTGACATCAAGTTTAAGAATGGCCCTCAGATTAAGTATATCAATGAACTCAGTAGTCATAATCCCATACCCCCTGACAAATCTGAAAAACCCAGTCCCGGAAACAACAGAAAACTCCCTTTCCTTAACGGAAAAAGGATCAGGGCCTTGAATCTCCAAACTGCTCCCTTTGTATTCTCCTTCGGTGAATACCACAGAGAACACCAAATGCAGACCCTTCCCATCCATCTGGGAATTGATGTACAAACCTTGAGCCCTCCCTATTTCTCTGGAATCCCGATCTGGGCCTTCAGTAACTGGATCATCCACCGCAACTAGAGTCCCAAACTTCAACACGCTCGTCGTCGGCCCATTACAGCCAGCCACTGTTACGGCAGAAGTGTCATGCCCGCTGAAGTTGTCATGAACATAGAAAACAAGGTTGGTTTTTGTTCTCTTTGGTTTAGTTTTGGGAAGGTTTTTTGTAACCCAATACATAATAGGCAGAGCAATCAAAGGGAGTAGAGTGGAAGTAGCAAAGGCGAGAAAGTTAGACATGGTTTTGGAAGAATATTATGGCTCTGTTTTTGGCATTTGGATTGTTATGCAATGTTGCCGTCAATCAACGAGGTCAAATGTTTAATAAGGTCTGAAAGATTCCTAATCGATGAGTTGTCGGGAAACGACAAAGCTATGGCAAATTCATTTATGTAAAGCATCTGAGGTTGGCTTGGAATTATATGATCAGATTGATTCTTTAGGGGAATCATTTCTCCGTCCGTCCGAAATTATTATCCAGTTTTGATCTTCATTCTTAGTTCAAATTGTGCTAAAAATTCATTTTAATTTGGTTTGGAGGCTTTTGGCACCATTTATCGAGGCTTTGACACGTCCTTAACTGCTCCAATATTATGGCATCGCGGTAAGTCCTCTGTCCTCGTGATTAAATTTTGTCAAATTTATGCCTTTTATACCTTCCATAACCAACCTTATGACAAGCTATCCTCTATCACCAAAGCTGAGATATATAATATTATGAGGTCTGATTTAATAGTAGTTTCAACTGAGAATAGGGAAGGGGCCGCGCGAACGCAGGCCCCCACTGACACAAATTATGACGTTGGAACTCCATTAGGAGACCATAGACAGGCACCCCTCCGGATGTGCAATGGAGGTCACAAACAGTCTAGGCCATGAGCCTTCTTGATCGCTCATTCACCCCGTCCAGGTAAGTATGTTTCCTAGTTTCTGCCTCCTTCCGTTTTATATCCTTGCCCAATTGACTTCTTTTGCTCCATGGCCGATGTGGGACTATGTCACTATGAGGCGGTTATCATTAATCATCATAATTCAATGGCACTTCTAACTTCTCAATTCAAAAGCTTACTTTTGGATTGCAGTTTTAACTGTACGCAGGGCTGCTGTCGCAAGGGGCATATAAACTCATTTAATAATCGGTTTCTTCTTTAACATCTTGCATGATATTAAGTAGGCAGATCTTCTCGTCTTTGAGTTGTGAAGGCATGATTGATGCATCATCCACCACCTTCACTTTTGTTTCCAGTGATGAAGGGATTACCAGCACTAGATAAACCTTCACCTCTGTAACCAGCAAGACACATTCTCTCTAATGGTATATAAAGTTTAAGTTTCTATTCTCAAAAAAAGGACGAAAAACAAACTATACGTGTGCATTCTGAAGCTAAGAATTTCTACATACCCAAAGAAAATCCATGTCATAAAGATTGTATTGTTGGTTTAGTACTCTGGATGAATGTAAAGGAAACAGTTCTCCCTTCACAAAAAAACATGAAGCTAGAGTTAATAGACAATCAACACCCAAAGGATGTATGCAGAATGAGTCCAATCCTATCATTGAGATATAGACATGCTTTGATATTCCCCTACAAATTCTAAGGTGCATCTTCTAGAAAACATGTTATTTGGCCATTGTAAAATCAAACAAATACGTATTACATTATTACACCCGCCTCCGAACACGCCTGATGTGGGGATTCACCGACTCTGCGGCACCACCATCACCTGCCAAGTCTAGCCCGAATATACTGCTACCACTTCTTTTCTTACCGGAGATTGAGTTTGGCTTATCATCAACCAATGCTATTGTTTCCAGCAACTCAGACAACAGCGAGGGCCAGCTCTCTTCCAACTGTTTGTAACCATCTGACTGCATTACCGCTGTATAAAACACAAAAGAACAACACAGTTCATAGTTTGCTATGGCTGCTTTTTTGGCATAATGGATTTGATTTGTACACTGTTGTTGCAAGTGATTAACGAGTACAGAGATTGGTCTGAGATTTATTTTTCTTCTGGGGACATTGGTCTGAGATTTATTCTTTCGTGAACCCATTAATACGTAAGATTCGAATTTGATTAGGTTCTGCGAGCAAATGATTAGGATTGTTTGCATTTCGCTTACCCTTTGGATCAAACTCAAGTCGAACTGTCCTTCAAAAGGCGTAGATTACGAATTTTGCTTCTGCAGAAAAATAGATAAGAGGTTGTACGTACAACTTCAGTGTAGAGGTTGTGTACGCCATTTGCAGGATCTGTACAACTTCAGTTCTATAGATAAGGTTACCTTCATGGAAGTATCTATGTCTGGATCTGGAAGAATTCCAGTTGCTTTCTCCCTTTCAATGAGCTCCATCATAATTTCTTCACACCATTAAGTGAAATCAGAAACTAACATTGCTGTAAATATTTGCATTTGTTTTTCTTTTTTCGGTTGAGTTTGGTGTACCTGCCCTGGTTTTTACACCCTGACAGCAGGATGAAAAATGAACTGCTTCAGTAACAGTAATTTCTGGAATATGCTGATCGTATACGATTTAGCCCGGTGATTTACTCCCTTTGTCCCCAAATTAAAGAACAGCAAACTGCACTCGACACACTTAAATTGCAATCAGAGACTTAACCCATCAGTAACAGTACATGGAAAGCCTGCCGCATTTTAAGGCACTGTGGCTTGTCCAATACGTATTACTTCCTGAAAGCTAATGAGCAAAATCTTTTCTTTTTAACTGAATGAGCTTTGGAAGCACAATGTAGAGTACAATCTTCAGCATCTGTCACTAATATTAAAAGACTGCTGACTTAGTTTAGAAATTACTACATCAGTTTCCCCTTCATCCTGAGAGTACCTGAAGGGATTGCTGAAAGTGCTTTCAAAAATGTCCTGTCTTCCCACCTCCTGGAGGTCCTAGCAATAGTGTCAACCTGCAGTGCAAGGACAGATCATTTGCAACTTATATCTATTCATCTGGTTTCAGTGTTGAAAAAACCCTTTGCGGCATATAATAATGTAAACATATATGATGCTCTTGTTGCACAAAAGAACTTAGTAATCTAGATAGCTGGAGTATGGATTTTTGTAAATGTAAGGTGCAGAAGTTGAGGCATTTTCTCTAAGTGGAGGATAAATAGGCTGCAGTTACCTTCCCGGTTTGATGATACCACTTTTATCTTTAATGAAGCTGATCTTGGAAACCTGTGGCTTTAAACACGGAAGCCTCACCAGGTTCTGCAAAACAGAACGCAAAAGAAATGGCTTAATGGCAGTGTCAAAATGCAACTAAATGCAGAACTTTTTTGGATTCTGACCAGAGAAACTACAAACTTCAGAATACCTAGATAAATATGCATTCGTGTTACATGTTGTCGTACCTTCCTCTTAAGATTCAAGACCTTAAGAATATGAGACACCTCAGGATCAATCACGCAACAGATGAGAGTTATTGCAGGATGCCTCCAACATTTGAAAAGTTAACTTCAGCGCGTTGTTTCGGTATCTTCATTACAACTGTGTTTTTTAGCAGAGGGACGTGATGTACAAAATGTGAGATTCGTCAAACCAAATGAATCCACCTCCAAACTTACAAATGCTAGAGTTCGGGGGTTATCAAGGATTGAAACAACCGAATTGGATGGATCGTGGCATCGACTCTAGTCAACAACTTAAGGTTGACAGTAAGATCATCTTTAAAATCTCCTATCATTGCCGCATGGATCGCACAAGTAATTTGATTGATTTGCAACATGTTGTCGGCATAGCAGTACTACGGATGAGGGTGTAAAGGAAACAACTCTACGCTAAGGCTTATATATGGTGACAGGTTATTTGATAAAAATAAAAATAGAACAATCCACAGTAATTTCGATATTTCTTTCTTTCTTCAATCTGCAGTTATCCCTTCAGGGACATCCATAGCGTTGGTAATTTACCTGAAAGAAATAGGACGATCCACCTCACTTTTTTCTTATTGCTAAAAATTAAAACATGAAACATTACTATTCAAAATAATAGGGATATATGTAATACACATTCGGAGAAAAGCAAAAATATGTAAGGTTCCGATTGCTTATAAAACAATAGGCTAGCGGATTTAACACATTTACGATTCTTCAACACATGGACTCGGTGACAACCAGAAGCGGAACCAGCCAAAACTTTCTTTTTAAAGGAAAAAAAGGGCCGAAATCCAATAAACGGGAAACCAAATTATAGCCTATCCATCCAAAAAATAAACCTCTGCCCTGACACAGTGTGAGGCCAACAAGCTACAATGAAACCAGAAAACAAAAAAAGAACTAGTAAAGCACTAAAAATCATAAGTTAACGGAAAGTTGTTTCCTTCATCTCCTAGTCTCCAACTCTGGATCTATCTTCCCCAAGAGTTGCCCTCACTGTCAATCACAGCCTACCATCAAAAACCCAAAACATATCCAATTTTCCATCCATCCTTAAGATCAAATGAACTTCAGTTCTGGTTGCATCATCGGAAACAATCGGACCACTTGAACTTCAGTGCCAGGTTTCTCTTGTGATTTTCTCACATACTAAACAGCCTCAGCTGGAACCAAGCTTGAAAGTAAAAGATTTCACTTACAACACCTGATATGAAGGAACAAAAAGATCATGTAATCTACTGCATACTAGTCCCACATCTGAATGTGCTAATAGAAAAATGATCAATCAAACATATTACCAGCAGTGACAACTATGCTACTCTATCCAGTAAGGCTCTTACATGCAATGACCAAATGGACTACTAAGAAAAGAACAATACAATTTGATGAACTTTTTTAGTCTCGACCTACTGAACTTAGACACTATAGTAGGCGATTCATTAGTGCCAAATATTTCATGGAACTGGTAATGGAACCCTTAATCAGTCCGTACACTTGGAATTCAAAAGGAACTGAATAGACACGTGGGTAGGTGATCATCCAAACAGCATGTACAAACCCGTTCCCTTACTCCTGCCCTAGCACCAACAACAGCTACTTTTGTTCATTTTCTTTAATTAACTGTTGCATGAAATGTGTGCAATAGTTTGTCCATGCCATTTTATCGGTTAAAATGTCATAATATGTCTCACCTACTGAAACTCAAAACGGAGCCTCAAGTGATTCATCCCAAACATCTGCACTTCCGTTGGAGGCATCTTCTGCATCTTCCTCCATTGAGAGTCTGATATACTCTCTATGCGCAAAACGATCCCATTCTGTCAATGTTGGGTTCTCGCGTTCCTAATCCAAAAATAAAAGGTGGAAAATCCCATTTCATCAAACTATATTCATATATTCAGTTCATTCAACTTTTGCTCAAAAAAGAAGGCTGCAGTCCAACTACCTGACGGATTAGAAAAGGATCACGAGTTTCAAATGCCATGAACTTGTTGAGGTTGAAAAGGATATTAAACACACTGCCTGAGAGCCTGCTTCCTTTCAGATCACGTAAAGTAAAGTAGCTTTCATTCTGCAAGGAGGAAAATGTATGATTATAGCCATTTTAAGTGAAAAAAAGGAAAGAAATAAGTTAGCATCCAAGCTATAACGGTTTTAAAGACAGGACCACATCAAAGTGCGGCAATATGAAACAAACACTACTATTAAACACTACTATTTAAGAAGCAGTTAACAGAAGTAATATACTTTCTATGGTTGAAAAGGATGTAAAACCATCATCCTTATTGAACAGAAATGGTTAGAGTGTTATTAAAAAGATAGCATCACCTTTAACAGGACAATCACCTTGCAGTAATCAACATCACAGAAAAATAAACTATCGCCCACATACAATTTCAAACAATCCCAATTCAAGAGACAGAATCACTCATGGACAGGAGCATTTAGAATCTAATTATGCCACAATATCACTCTTCAAATTTCGACAAACCACAAGAGACAAAATACTTCGCACCAAGCGGAAATTTAAAAGCTCAAGTAATGCTTAACTTGGAAACTAACCTCTGGACTAATCATGTCAACAATCTGACATAAAATATCTTCGAAAAGCACAGGCTCCTGAGCCATACATTCCATTCTATGCAATTGCTCCTCATAGAAGAATTGCAGTTCATTCCTCGTCAGGACCCCATTGCCATCCAAATCTATGCATTTGAACCTGGTCAGTAGAAAAGAAAAGTACATAAATACTAATCGCAAAATCTGTGACAAAAACAAGTTAGCATTGGCAAAGAGACCTACAACAGTTTTATTTTCAAAAGTCACTCAACTTTGTAATGTTTTTAAAACTACTTATTGTGTGTTTTGTTCAACAAGAGTAAGAATATCGACCAAATGTATTCCATTTTCCAAAAGAAAATAATCTCTAAATAATGTCATCTTGTGCAATTAATCACCCAAAAGATAACCAGAAGATATAAATTATAGGAAAAAAAATCCAAAAAAAAAGAGAACCTAAAGCCCCATCTTTGATTTTCCAAAATATTGCTTTCAAAGAAAATTAAATCTACCATGATTGGTGTGTGTGTGTGCGGGTGGGGGGAGAGTAGGAAGGACAATGCCTAATAGTTATGTATCGCGGAGATGTACCAATACTCAAGACTAGGTTCTGATGACTTATCCTCCTCTGACAATATGAAATATACAAAGTCTTCATATCCCATCTTCCCTTCAACCTTACTAGTAAACTTTCTTGGAACCTAGGAACCAAAAGAACATGATGATCAGATAAAGCAACACTAAAACTAAAAGATTTACCCAAAAAACATACCACAGATAGACATCCTGCAGCATACCTGAGAAAATATCCTATCGACAATTCTGTAGGTAAGTGCATGGTTACCATATCTGATAAGGTTCTCTTTATCAATTAAGAAATCATGATCCGAGTCCAGCTCCCAGAACTTGCAGTATATCACGTAAAAGTGCTCATACGAGAAATACCTGCAGCATTAATAAAATGGAACATAAAAATGTGCAATGGGGAAATTTAGGAACACAATATAAGAGACAAAGAGTATTATGCAATTCTTAAGCGTAAATAAGCATAAAATAAACCACAGAAGTCTACAGAACTATGCTTGTTTACAAGACGAGAGAAAATGTATGCTTGTACAGATTAAAGTGAAAGCCTATGATGATAGTATCTGCAGAATTACCTAATTTACATTCCTAATAAGTAATAATGAGATCCAAGGGAACAATTCAAACTGGCTCACAGTGAATATAAAACAAGTGCATGTGTTGCTAACAAATGAAAGTCCAAGTAATTTAGAGATTATAGAGAGTGAATTCGTTCAGTACAGACAGAATGATGTCGGAAAAAAAAAGACAAAATTATCCATCACTCTTTATAGATTTGTCACGGATGTTGATTATGTCTATTCCTCTAACCACCTCAATCACCCTCCCATTTGATTGAGCTAATCTCTCCCTCCCATTGTTTGTAAAATCCCTTAGCAGATAGGAAAACACATAAATAATCATGAAGGAGAAGTTGGAGCACAGCTACAAGAATAATAAAGAGTAGAACTACAAGCCAAAAAGAGGTAATTCTATTGATATGGCATTACCTTAAAACCTTATTAATATCCTCTTCTTCATCTGCATGTTGCATTGCAGCAATCAAGTTCGAACGCTTTAATTCCCGAAGGGTAAGACGGCCATTACCAGCTCTATTCACGTAGTAGAATATTCTGTATATTACAGTTTCAGCTGGACAATACCATGAAGTAGATCGTAAGATGCAAAACAAAATGAGTCTGAATAACAAACCATCTAGAAAAGACTATAAACTAGAAGATTTTGATAATCAATGACCATGCAGATCAGAAAATTAAATTCTAAGGGAGAAACAATATGCCCTCAGACTGCATATACCAGTGTGATATGGTTGAGAGAAAATTGGGAAAAAGACAAGACTTTCTCAGCTATGCAATCTTCTGTCTCACCGAAACTCATACCCCAGAGTCAATATTATATAGTTTAGAAAGCAAACATAATTCAATGAAAAATGCCAATGCCCTGCTACCATCACCCCAACCAAAAAGAAACTGATTCTAATTAAAATTTATACGTGCAACTGCTCATCTGCCAGAGAGTTAATAAACCCAGCACTCCATTAGTCTGTTATGTCTATTTCACGATCTACATCTCAAAATATATAACACCGGTGATCATTGATCTATTATCTCACTTTGACACCTAATCTTACATGATAACACAAGTTACACTTCACAATTAGTTCTATTTTGGTAACATCCAAATAAACAACAACAGACTTCAATAGTTCTGCTCTCTTATCTCTTTTACTACAGCAAAATAGATGTCATTTCAAGAAAGCAAAAATATTTCAAAATATGTTATTCTACAAACTCGATGCATCTTTTACCAAATTTTTCCTCTATTACCCTACATATGGAACGGTAGTTTTGTTTAAGGTGGAATTGTAATAGAACTAAACAATATTGGGAGTTCAAGGAGAATAATTATGGCTAGTTTTGTATTTTGACAAACTTTTTTCCTTCATCCCGATGAAATTTCTCCATCTACACATATCATAAATAGATGGCATATTTTCTAAAGGAGCAAATGTAATAGCATGAACTTTATCTAGACAGGAATAAGCTTGTCTTTGTGCTGTTCTTACCCCAAGCATAAAGAGAATTAAAAGGAACAACAACTATGAAAAGTTTCTAAATGAATCTTTTGAAGTGGTATAAATGAACCGGCAGGCAGCTTTTCAAAAATTTATAGTGATGCATTCAGGATTCCCCACTTACTAACAAACAAGAAAAGGTGGATATAACGCGTACGCAGTCACCATTGAGCATTTCATTTAAATTTTCAATAAAAATGACCAACATGATCAGTATTCAATGCAGAAGGCACAAGTGCACATCATTCAAAGACGAGGATTATACAAATATTGAGAAACAGATTGCAGAACTAGATTATACCATATCTCTCTTGGAATTCAGGCGTGCTCTGCAAGAACTCTAACCCTGGATGAGTAGCCAAAAGTTCTCGAAGTACAGGCTTGAAGTCATCCTATTAAAAAATCGCACAATTAAAAAATCACAAATACAGCAGTATATAAACTTAGAATTGATGAGCCTGATACAGACATAAACCAAGTCAAGAACAGGAAGTTTGAAGTGCACCTGACTAAGATATCGGAGATCGGTCTGCTTCAATATTATGAATATTTGTGTAGCAATATCTTTGGTCAACATGTTACCATTGATCCAGTACTCAACAAAAGCATCCCTACAGATACATAACAAAGAATGAGGCAAATACAACCACTTCCATCACCCAAAAGCACCAATCAAGAATAATCACATAAACATCTCATGATGCCACTTCTCTTAGAGAATCCTATCCTAACTCAGGTAAGTTTTCGTTCTACACTGGAAAATGAGAGATGAAAGAGACTAAAGAAATGCTTTTTAGCAGCTGCTAAGTCATAGCCTTCAATTACAATTTTCCCACAAATCACAATATAGATGAAAAAAACAACTATGCAAGTCTCTAATTCATAGCCTTCAATTACATATTTATTTTTTAGAAACTTAGCAGGAAATGGTTGACCATAGATGGCCATCACAAATTGGAATATCATATCTGAGTTTAAACTGTTGGTGGGCCCCACAAACAAATATTAATTTTTCAGGACACAAAAACCACCACATATATATTGATCAGGCTAAAAAAGAAAATAGTAAACAGTCATATTGAAACTAAGTATCTTTAAGCCACAAAAGGAAACAAAAGTAATATGATGCTTTAAAGATAAAAAAATCCATAAGATTAAAGATATGGCTATTACTTGATTCTCTAGAAAAGTGACGAAAGCCTCCAAAATAAGAAGGAAAGCATATATAAGGAAATCAATTCAATTTCACAGAACAAAAAATCATTTTATTAAATTCTTAGGAACACGATGATGACAAACAACCTTACATCCAAACATAATAACATTATACCAATCTGGCGCTAAGCCTTCTAAATTTCTACAGAGGTCTGATATTTTGTCTTTCTGCCTGAAGTTTCCACCGTCCTGGTGTCAGGAATAAACGTTTCACTAGTAGCATCCAATGGGTACAGGAAAAAAAATCTGGCGTCCATAGTTAAGGGAACAAAATATAAAGTAAATCAATAACCTCTAGAGTCCTTCAAATATCTTTTCCTCGTATGAATATGAATAGAAACTACTTTATGAATTAACCCAACCTATCATCCCAAGAGTGACCACAGATAGCAAAAGTTGGACACTAGATTCTTCAGTAACTGAATTTTATTCCAAATATTGCAAATTTCAGAATAATTAAATCAATCATGGTAAATTCCGTCGACAGAAGCCAAAAATCATATAAAGAGATCCAAACTAGCAGATACCATACCGGGTCACGACGCCTGTACCATCTACATCTATCTTTCTGAAAAGAGCAGTGGAGAAGAATGAAGGAAGCTTGCAAATCTCCTTCGTCACAGGCTTAAATTCTGCAACAATATTGCAAGGTAAGTAAGGTGAACGCACAGTGGCTATAGCAAAAAATCCTAAACAACATCAGGCATTTACAAGTATGACATACTGGACAATCATCACAATTAAAATGATGAAATTTCTAAATCTCACCATGCATTTGCAGTCCATCCATGCGACCATAAAAGAACTGATTTATCCTAAACAAGCACCTCTCTTTAATTTCATTTGGAGGCGGACGGCCATTTTGAAAATAGAACTGCAGTAATACATATGTCAGTACATAGAAAACTTGCTTCAGCCAGGGAAAGGAGCATTCCAGTAATAGAACTTAAAACAAAAGATAACAACAAATTCCCCCAACCTGAGGTATCAGTTCTTTAACTGGTTCATTCACTAATTTAAGGGGAGATCCCAGAACAGAGGGACCTGTTCTATGTTTCGTCATTCGAGGTGAACCAGATGAACTTCTTGGCGAAAGTGGAGGCGTGCTACCAGCAGGAAACATGGAAGGTAATGTGTTGCTGGAAGCAGCATTTGTGTTGGAAGATGTCCCAGAGACATTCAGAGGACCACCTCCCTTGGCATTATTCAGCAGAGATCTCACCTGCACATGTAAAAATGGGATATTCAATTTAATAAAATGTACAAACTACAGCAATATTCTTAATATTCCTAAGCATGGGTGAATAAGATGAGATAACAATGCTCTTCAAAAAGACTGGAAAGACCGGAGAAAAAAGCTTATCTAGAATGATTTGTAAATGATAAAAAGACAGTAAATGCAAAATCGCAAGTTTAAAAACAAATCATTAAATAATCAAAGTGATAACAGCCAAGCGAGCATCACATAGGTCTTTACACCAACACCAGTTGAACACTTAATAGCCTGATACTGGAGTCTATAAGTGATCGGGAAATGAGGAACAAAATCCACATGATGAACAGCATAGACCAAGATCAGATTCTGACCAGGACCAGGCATAACCTCATCGAAGTCCAATCTATTACCAATAACTCCATTCCTCCAGGAGATTTACGGTCCGCTTCAGACACAGATCAACTCATTGAAAACCATAAATTCCACGGCAACAGATTCTAAACCATTCATTCAAGGCCTTCAACAACATGGCAGATGTCATAACACAACAAACGATCTTTAGTGACATCCCCGCATACATCCCCGCATCTTCTAATATAGATGTAATAACAAGGAAATAATTTTTCATAGACTTTTCCCGCAAAACTAGCATACCCCACAAAGTGGAATGAAGGCTTGTGGTTGTAGTTTTCCTATAAACTAACCAACGTTCTCGTGCACCCCTCTCTTCAGAACCAGAACCTACATCATTGTATAGTTTCATCAAACCAACCTGATCTAGTTTACATTCTGTTACAACACATTTATCTGTGTACTTAACATCACTCCCAACTACATAAAAATACAAATTGCCACAACTTATCACTCGCACTTGAGACATATAGGATCAGATTACATTAAATTTGAAATTTCTTGAAGCAACGAATAGCAATGCTACACTCTTCTTCCATTTGATTCTAGACTAATTTTTTTAACAGTCACCTACCTAGTCTACAGCAAGACATAAGCCACATCTATAAACATGAAGGATCCACACACAATACTAAAATGTAACAACAATGTTGAAGCCAATTCTAGGATCCTCGCATAGAAGTCTACTGGGAGGAAAATATCCTGTTAAACATTCGCCTTTACTGGTCAAACTCGGATTACAATATTGAAGCTGAAATAACTTCACACATAAGTCCAATGAACAATCACAATTTGAACATAATATTCTTTTACGGTACATTCAGACAGGTGTTTCCATACCCCTTCTCATAAAGCATTCCAGTCACATCGATTGAAGTTTCAACGTTATATTCCTAATACACATTAACTTCGATATTGATGCTATTAAATGCAAACAACCTTCAACCAGAAAAATTAATCTCTTTAAATGATCAACGGGCATAATGAATGGGACCCTAAAACTTAATCTCAATATTTCTTCGCACACAATCAATCCATTTTTCCAATAACCTATCCCCCTCTCCAAAACTCAGTCATTTTACTTGGACCACCATCAAACTGAATGTATCCATCACAGAAATTCACAAAGAACCCCGAATCAGACAGCCTCTCAAATCAATGAGCCAGATGACAGAACTCCAGTCATCAAAACAGTAATAAATGTATAAAGTACCGAGAGTTGTGTACACAGCAATTCAAATAATAGAGAGCTTAGGAGAGACAATCCAAATCAAGGAGTTTCAGCAGGTAGAAAAAATAAATAAATAAATAGGGAAAAAAAAATTACCAATGAAGTGGTGTCAGGAAGTGAAAGCCATTGGTCGAAAAGCTTCTCGGCAACGTAAGGGTTAGCTTTGATCGACAGAGGAGACACCTCCGGCAGCTGCAACAAGTCGGCATCGAGGCAAGCCACGTCACCATTAAAATCCAATTCCATCTTAACCTCTCGAATTAAACTCCAACAAAATCTCTAGATCTTCCAACGCCGGTTCAATCATCAAACAAACCCTAAACAAACGTAACGAGGAGGAAACCAAAAGAAACCGCCTCCGAGCTATATCCCCCGCTTACTCGCACCACCCAAAACGACGATATTTGTGCAAGAATAAATCTCCTAAATATAATATAGGAACGAAATGGTCCCGTCTTCTTATTTTTTATAAAATTAAATTAAGCTATGTACTTGCTGAAATATGAATCCCAAATAAGATCTACAAATTTACAGATCTTCCACAGCTTTTCAATCGGCGATACAATAAACCCTAGAATTGTGGGGGAGTTTCGGAGATCGGAAAGAGGCCTCGAGAGAAGTGAGTTTTTGAGGAGGGCGAGATGGGGATGAAGGGAGAATATTATACAAACATGGTAAAATTGGGAGTATAAGGAATGAAGGATTTTGGATGATCGTTGTAGTAAAGAAGAGACACCTGAAGGAAAAATGGAAATGAGCAAAAATAATCCACTCCACAACAATGACGAAGCGCAGGTAAGAAAGAGGCCCTTTTGCTTGCCTATTTTTTCTTTTCAGGCCCAGGACGACTGGGTGATTCGAAAATCTAATTCGTCGGGGCACGTGGAAAGAGCGTGATCACTTTTAACTTCTCTTTATTTTTTCGTTTTCTTTCCGTCTCAAAATTAATTCGAGTCTCATTTCTAATAACTGGAAGAATGGGTCTTTTCATCCCAAGGTTTGATCCACACTATATAAAATATTCCAAAATTTAAAAGTATGTCATTTTCATCCCAAATTTTTCAAAAATATGTAATATTAGGACATTTGTTAATTTTTCAAGTTATTAACGGCGATATTTCATTCAGTTTCTTTTCCCCCATTTTTTTTAGTCAAAAAAGTTTCATGCTTGCGTTTGGTAAATTTGGTCCATGCAAAGCAAAAAAGTTGCATGCCCCTGCATCAATTACAACACTAATTTTTTTAATGATGCTACATATTTAAAAAAAATAAATGAAATAGGGTTTACTTTCTAATTATGACACACTCGAAAGCTCTCATGATTGTTATCAATCTAGAAGGTGAATCTTGATTTTTTTTTTCTATTTCTAAACAAAGGGAAGAATAGATGATGTGAAGACCAAATTAGGTTTAGCTGTTTTCTTACAAGGTGGGAGTTAGTGGAACGTAAAATGATTAAAAGAATTGGGGAAGTAAAAACAGAATAAAGTAGCACTACTAATTAATTAACCGGAGTTAAAAATTTAACGAATATGCTGATGTAACATGTTTTTAAAAAGTTTGAGATGTAAATGACATGTTCTTAAACTTTGGGATGTGTTTGGGTAGTGTGACCCGAACTTTGGGATGAAAAGACCCATTTTCTCTTTCTAATAACAATTTATCTTTAAAAAGGAACTAATAACTCAACATTAGCATCATATTTTTTATTTGTGTGTTTTTGTGGATGATAATACGATTATATCAGGAAAAATAAACCAGTGAAGCAGTAGAAATACTATCTTTCATTACTTTTCTTTATGTACCTACAAAATTTCTAAACCGCAATTAACAGATGTAAAACATTATCTATTTACCACCTTTGATCATCCTAGCCTTTATTGCTAGCTTATCCATTAGTTTATCTAATTTTATCTAATTTTACTAATTTACGCTTAACCAAGTGTCAAAATGGGTAATGGTAGACTAGTAAACAACAATAGTAAAGTACTACTACTTGACAATCATAATGTAACAAAACTTTAACCATTCTCAGTTCTTAAACGTAATCGAAACAAACCCATTGTTTCATAACTACTTGTTAATTTACCAACAGTTTCATAAAAAAAAAAAACACGGAAGTCTCACTTCCTTGTCATACTATATAGCCAATCATATGAACCAAGACAAACGAATGCCCAAAAGTAGTTAGACCATGTTATTTGTTAAATATATTCTTTCCCCTAACAAATTAAATTGCTAGCTGTTTTCACTCTTCCCATGCATTACTTAAAGTCCTATATGTGGTTGACAATGATTACATGCATAATACAAAACACAATTCAAATTTCAATATATGAAATAGTAATATTTTTATGATAGATGCGGTTTAAAACAATAAAAAATTATTAATGTTAGATAGAATACAGACGTTTTAGATCAGCATCCTTAAGCAATATAATTATTCAGGTATGTATAATTATAACAGACAGTTCGATTATCATCTTTAACAACAATCGTATAAGAAGAGTTATTTCAACGATAAAGTTGGAATGAAACCTCTTCGATGAACTTGTATCTTAGAATTGCAATTATTAAATACATACAAAAGCAATATATTAAAAAAAACGATATAGATAAGTTATTAGTATAACAAAAGTTTGTGTCTCTTTAATAGCTTTATTGAATATTATTGTCTCAAAAGTTATATGTATTGCAACAAAATTGACAGCATGGGTCATTATGCTAATCGATTTGTTTAGTGTATGCATTTATAGATATTTTTATATTCAAACTGTCCAAAGGCACGAAGAACCAAGAAGAAAATATCATAAAGAGTGGCACATGTGAGCTAGGCTCTGCTCAAATCAGTTGTAGCAGAAAAGTTTGTGTTGTATATCTTATAAGTTGTTATTTTCGCCGCTTCTTTTGTAATTCGCATGTTTTGTATTTTTGTATGATCACTGTTTTATTAATAAATTGTATTTTTTCCTGAAATTTTAGATTTGAGGATTCCTGGATGATATAAAGCTGTTGTATTATTTGGTTAGATATATATTTTTAAGCGTTTTAAGTCATAGATGCCCCAGACAAGCATATAGTAATAGTTAAATGCATACGGATGGCACATTAATAAAGTCTTCCTACAAACTTATCTTTGTCAATAACTTCAAAAATGATTGCAGTTTGGTTTTATTTTCACGTTTCAATTGAAGAAATGATCGCGCACTGGATAAGGTGGTTGGAGTCTAAACAATTGATCACGCAAGGATTTTGGGTTACTTATATGCAGAATTGGGGTAGTGGTTCAATACTTCAATTTCTTATGGAGATCAACTTCTTATTCTTCTTTTATTAAATAGATGGTCTAAGTTTAACTATAACGTAAACCACAAATCGATAAAGTTAAGAACTGTTTCATACTTCATTTATCTCCAAATTAATTTTCACTTTTCGTGCAAGTTTATGCGCGGGCGCGACAAATAAGCTCAGAGCCCGCAGATTATTGTTCCAAGATAGGGGACTTATTTATCATACTACCAAACATCAGTATTAAACTGCAATTAGCCAATACTCCTCAACGACGTCGTTAAGAGTTACACAAAGTTACTGGAATTCTGTCTATGATGAATGGGACTAAAGGAAACTGGGGAAGCTCGAGCAGGGGTAAACTCGAAGTCTCGAACTCGCCGGAGATTTCGTCGGCGGTCGTCTTTTCGAACAAAATCTAAGAACATAACTGTTTCGGGCGAATTTCTATACCAACGGGAAGATGAACGGAACTCAATCGCTAGAGGATCTTCTGAAGCAACTGGAACATATATTGGACGCGGACCCGTTGATGTATGTCAAAATTCCTTGTCTTTTGTTACTTTTTTTTTTTGCCAAATTCAGTTTATCATTGCGTTCATTTATGTAGTAGTATACAATATTGGCGAAGTTTTCAAATTTTGATCAGTGTGATAAAAAGGAAATCGCTTTTTTTTTTTTTTAATATTCACGCCTGAAACTGTATATGAAATGCGTACATTGTCAGTCCGTTGCTTACCGTGCAATTACCATATGCATTGTTACTTCTCACACTCACTTTTTCTGTGTTTCTCCTTTGGAATCGTCTTTCCGTTATAGTGACGAAGTGGGGTTTCTTCATCCTTCACAGTTTCCCGAGCTTGTCAAGGAGGCTGTTAATCGTTCAAATGATGGAAATATTGTTCCCGAAGGATCAGACGGACTTTCTTATGATTTCTGGAGTCTAGACCATAAGTTGGGCATCTCCACTGATATTCTTCTTCCGCTGTATAGAGCTGCTAAACATGCATTTACCCAAGCATTTATGGAATACAAGGTGTTAATGGCCTCAACCAAAGAAAGCAGTACTGCAGAAGATCTGAATGCATCAAACTGTACCTCATCCTCCATGAGCTTAGTTGAAATCGAAGCAATGAAGCATAGCCGGGCTTTGCTGCTGTTAAGCTGTGATTTTGGCACTGCCTGGAATCTCAGGTGTCAATCACAATTCGCATCTCTTTCTCTGTCTTGATGTATGTGCAATATCGTGGATCTATGAATCTGCCAGTCAGTGCGATTTAAATTCTTCTTTTGTTTTGTTAAGCAGTAATTATTTAATTATAATTATTTAGTATGCCCACTCAGGACTTCATTCTTCAAAGTCATTGTAACAATTACTGGGTTTGAACTGTATGGTAGTACTACTAAATCATTGTTGTCTTGATAGCCGAATGTATCTATCTCACTAGGATCACGTATCTCAGTAGAAACAGAGAGAAAGAAAAGCATATTATTTGGAGTTAGGTCTTTGCATTACTAGTGTTGTTCGCAGTCTGAAACTGTTTTGACATTTCACTTGCAGGAAATCAATTGTTTCCAGAGTACAGAAGTTTCAGTTATTCAGGGATGAACTTCTTTTGTCATCTCTGGTTCTTTCATATGCGCCAAAAAGTGAGCGTGCTTGGAGTCACCGGTAAAATAGATCTTACCATTGCTGTAAGGTTTATTGCATGTAATTTGTAGCTGCTGTAAATCAACCCTTTTACTTCAAAATGTTCTTCAGCTGTAGTCATTGTGTCTTTTGGTTTACTAATTAGTGAATCAAATACTTATTGCTGCTATTACTGATAGGAGGTGGGTGATCAAGATGATTGCTGGAAAGTGTTCAAACTTGGAAGAGATTGTTGGAAGGGAATCTGAGTTTGTTGAAAAATTAGCTGAGGTTATATTGTGTGATATAACTTCATAACATGAACATTTGTAGGAGAAAGAGGTTCATTTGAAGAAAACATGTTAGATTATACTTATCCTAATTCAAAGTTTGAGTTCAACCTCAAGGAAGGAAACCGATCTTTTCTATGCTTTAGATTTCTGTAAAAACCATCAACACTCACCAACAGGGTCTAAGAAACTAATGTCAGCTTGTCATTTCCGATCCTTCATGTTTTGGTGTCTTAGATCATGTTGTATCCATGTGTCTTTACTTATGTGCTGAATAAAAGAAAAACCTTGTCTAAATTACTTTAACTGGAAGTTTATATTTAGATTTTAAAAGGTTTGATCTGGTTTTATTTCTTCTTGTAGAAATCTAAAATGAACTATCGTGCTTGGAATCACCGCTGCTGGTTAGTTACCTACATGTCCAGGGAAAAGGTTTGGCAATTTTTTGTACCACCATACTTGTGAATTATGCACGTGTCTAATACCATTTCCCTGATGTCAAATGGTTAACTGAGATTGGATCTCTTAGTTTTGTATCAAATGCGATAAAAAAGTGTTTCAGTGCATCAAAAAGAATTTTTGTGTTATTCTTGTTTCATATTAGATTTCATAATGTTTTTGTGCAGGTGATACATGAGTTGACTCAATCCCGACGCTGGGCTGGCCTCCATATTGCCGATAGCTCATGTTTCCACTATCGCGCTGTAAGTTTATCAAATGGTGTTTGGAAATCTTAGAACCATATGATACATGTATATTCTGTGTCTTGGAACTTGAATTGGGGTTTTCGGATGGAATACTTGTTAGTTTATATTTAGCTCATAGGCGTCTCATTCCATCTTTATGCTTTCCAATTCGGTTTCTTTGCACAATAAAGTCTCCTCTATCTAGTAAATCAGAGAGGAAAATCACGAGTATTAAGGACGGGCAGAAGCATGGAAATGCCATAGTTTCCAGTGATTGCCAACATGTTTAAGAATGCAACTTTAAAATGCTATCAGCTAATGCTGATGAAGTTACTTTCTAAAAATTAAAATCAACATTTATATGGGTCATATAGTCCACCAACCATGGCGGCATAAAGGCTTAATTATTTTGTTCTTGTTGCTTGTTCTGCTACTTCAGCTGCATTAGAAAGATATTGGAGCACTCTCGAATGTCTGTCACTATCATGGCTTCTGGCCTTAACATTTGTATTTTCCTGCATGCTTTATACTTGTATCCTTTATTGCGCTTTTGATTCAAGATGCAATGGGGAAACTCTATATTGTATCTGGTGCTACTGTAATTTACATGGCATTGTGCTGACCCTGTAAATTTAGCTAAAGATTGAAAACTGAAAGTGCAGATGCCTTGTTGTATGCTCATTTAGATGTAGGGATCTGAGTGCTAGTTTCTCTGGCATTGACATATATTACTGCATGTTGTTTGAATTTGGCAATTGGCAGAGGTTATTATTCAAGACTTTGGGGGTTTCTTCGGATGGGCAGGATTCTGGTGCATTGTCTGACCCAAATCTTTATGGACTTTGGAAGGTATGCTACATACTTGATGATCCTTTTGGAGGTGTTAAATTGTCTGGCTATTTTTTTTCCATTCTATTTGAAGAATAGGATCGCATTTTAAGAAACCAACTTATCCCTGGATGATAAGCGTGCTGAACTAATATGTATGCCTTCATTCTAGTCTCTGAAAGTTGATTTATAGAAAGAATATCTAGTTGAGATTCAGATGAAAGTGTCGCTGAGAGATTTAGATCTTCTGTGAAGTTCATGAAGCAACTAAACGCGCATTTTAAGTCTTGCAGATAAAGTGTCCAGAAAAAGCCATTGGCGTACTTTGTAACTGTAATAGCTTTCATGGTAGGCTGAAGTCAAATCCAAGTATCTCAATGGGCAAATTCCCTTAGAATCCCTTAGAATTTGTATAGCTTTTTGATAATACTGGATTCTGAAACGAACATCTCTTTTTGATAAATACACTTTTTTTGTTTTTTTCCCCTTTTTCTCCTTTCCTTGTAATTTGTTTTTTTGACCAATACATTGTTGCAGGAGGAACTTGATTGGCTTGAGCAGTTAATAAGGCGATATGTGGGTAGAGAGGTATGATTGTCTAGAGACCTATTCCAAAACAATTTCCACCACACTGTAATTTAATTTAAGTTTGCATTTGTAGATGGTGGTTGAGGAAATTGGAACTTCACTTGGCTATTCCTGTATTTGAAGTACCTAGCTTCTGTATGCTACTCCCTTTGTCTCAGAAAAATAGGACATTTTGTGTACTACGTGGACTATCTTTCTGGAATGGAGGGAGCATTATTTTTCTTGACTCTAAATATGGTTCTGAATATTGAATTTCATTTAATAAGCTCAGCTCTTTGAACAATGAAACAAAAAGAAGAAAAGACATCAGATGCTTTGTGATTTATACATCTTTGTAATCTTACACGTGCTTTGCATCTCTCAGTCTTGCTATGGGGATTTGAGGACAAATTAGACAGATTACATGATATTTTGATGTCGACCTGAGCTCCCTGTTTTGCATCCACGTGCTTCAAGTGCTGAAAAGCTTATGAATTTTGGCTTTGAAGTTTTAAGTTTTTAGCTGAGTTGGAAGTGAATATCTTATAGCTTGTGCAGTTAAAAATCAGGAGACAAAAATGAACTATTTTGAACGTTAAGTTGATTTTTTTTTTTTTATTTTCTTAAGTTCTTTGTATCATTTGTCTGTTTTTGCCATTCTTGAAACTGCATTTGACGGAATTAACACCTTTTTTTGTTTTTTTTTTTGGTGTTGAAGGCTTTATGGCTCCATCGGCGCTTCTTGTCTTATTATTGGATTACACATTTTATAACTCATGTTCAGAGTGAGTCTCATGATTTTATGAATGTGGAGACGTTTATGGACAATGAATTACAATTGTGTCGGTTCAGCTCAGCAATTCCCGATAATGATTTTGAGGACTATGAAGCACAGGCCGCTTTTTCTGCCACATATATCATGTGGCTGAGCAGGGTACCGAAAACTACAGTATCTTTTTTTTTTTTTTTTTAAAAAATTTTGGTAATCACTCCATGGTCAAGTGATTTACTCTTATCTTGTCTCTGTGTTTGGCCAGCAAGTAGCTGACTATTTGGAAATCGATTTTCAAAACAAGTTGGAAGCAAATGGATTCAAGAGTCTGCTGGAAAATGTTTGCCCTCAGAAGTCCGTCCTCTGGGATACTCTTAAATGCTAACATCCTGTCCTACCAGAAACTGATAGAATCAACTTTGAAAATGGCCAGTGGATTGATGAATTGGTTACATGCAGAAATTGAGGTCCGGATTCTCATACTGCGCTCTGACTAATGTATAATATCATTTTTTAGATGGACTGCTCGACGAATAATAATGATAAGGGACCTTGGGACTTGTAAGTGCTAATAGTTACCCTGACAGGCTTTTCAGTTTTCATAGATGATTGCTGCCATTGCTGCTGAGAAGCGGTTGTTGGAGACCAAAAGCATGAGCACCTGTTTTAAGACTATTCGGCTAATTAGCTTGGAATATAAACCAAAAAGCTGAGAACTGAGGTGAAAAACTAGCAGTTTCATCCGGTTATAGAGTACTAGAAATATTGCTGCAACTTGTCATCAATCAGGTGGATCTTGTGGCTACATACATTATTAAGAAATGTTGCAGCAAAAAAGGACATTGTGATTTGAAGCAACATTATCTGAAATAAATCTCAGTATCAGACAACAAAACATCTATTTACTTCGTGAACTGTTTTTTTTCCCTCTTCTTCTTCTTCAAAAAAAAAAAAAAAAAAAAAAGGAAAAACAATTTTCTGTATGAGTTGTGTTCATTTCTCTGATGTTTAAGTGCCTATCAACAAATCTGTCACTTGAGCTTTCAAATACATCTAAAGGCATCCCATAAAATGTTTTACTCATATTGAAAGAATTTTAACTCAAGTTTTATACAAGTTCTACACAACATATACAACCTTACTTATTGACTGTATATATTCAAATAAGATAAATTGCCAAATGGCTCAAATGTCTCCCGAGGGAAGATTTTAGTCTCATTTATCAGCATTCATGTCTACCTTTGCCCGCAGCCGTATCATATCCCCAATTGTAGTAGTTATCTGTTAACACCCAGCATCAGCTGCAGCTTCCAAACAATTTTAAGCTAAGTTGGATGATCTTAGCGCCATTTATATTGTAATTTTACCAAGAGCTGCTTCAAATTGTAACACTCATAACTGACCCAACAATCTGACTATACCCAGCAACGAACAAATTTGATTCTTGACTGCAAATAAAGCATACAAATCTATTACAAATCTAATCTTGTACTGTATTCAATTTCGTTTGCTGATCAATGGAAGACGTAAACAAGGACAGGATTTTTTACAGTTGTTTTTTGGAGCCAACTGAAACCTGCTACAAAGATTTTTTTAAAGGGATCAATAGTGGTTTAACCTGCTACAAAGATAAATACGATTGTGCTCGCTAATGATTAGAGGGGTAAAGTTTTGTTCTTGATCGGAGTTCTTCTGCTGAATTAGTTACTTTTTGGCTTGTTGTCGTGGCCTCTCCAATATTTGCATTTTATTTTTATTTCTTTCTTTGAGATTGAGGCTGTAAACTGAAAAGTGAAACTAACTCATGAGGACTCGAACATGTTTACGAGGACTCCGGAAATTCCTACATCATGTTAGCCAGGAAAACATAAATGCAGATGCCATTACCTTGGCCATACATAAAAAACAAATTTGATGTTGCCGCATCAGTTGGAAAGTTCCATTGCAAATATTTTTTCATCGGTTCATTTCATCCTAATTTTTCATTTAACATGCAGTTTGTAACATCCATTTGGTGCTAATTCGTCAAAACACCACAAGTAATAAAAGCATTCACAAGCAGGTACCCAAAAAAATGTTAAGTAAAAGAAAAGAGAGGAATTTCAGAGAAAGACCACATAGCTACTTCACTCAAAGCTGTGAACTGCCCAATTCCAAATCAGCCAACTCATAAATGTAACTCATAAGAACCATCCAGATGTAGAAAAATATTCAAGTAAACCCCCGTGATCTCTGTTACACACAACTATTGCTCAAGCCAGAGATTTCGACACTCTAAGATACTTCTTTTCTACCAACTTCTGCCTCAACACTTCAGCTTCATCGATTAAACCCTCAGAAGATATGCCTTCTATGATGCTAGAATAAACATTTACATGCGACTTGCCTTTACACAACATCATGATATCGAAGACTTGTATAGCAGTGTCCAATTTCTTCTTCTCACATAACCTGTGTATTATAAGTCTATAACATTTATCTCTAATCTGACGTTGACTACTTCCCATAACCTTCAACAGTTCCACAGCTTCTTCAATGTGATCTGCCCTACAGAATCCCCAGGTAAGACATCTATAAGTTATGTCATCAGGAACAATCCCCTGCTCTATCATATGGCCATAGAGTTCCATGGCTTTTTCCATAAAGCCTTTCTTAGCCAAACCATCAATCATGATATTGTAAGTGATTAAACTAGGGGAAGATGTGGTTCCATCTAAGCAGTATAAAATTTGGATAGCTTCGTCTAACATTTCCTCTTTGAAAAGAGCACGTATAAGGGTGTTATATGTGATTATATCAGGACAATAATTGTCGGAAACCATCTCAATAAAGTAGTCCACTGCACGATCAAGAAGCCCATGCTTGCAGCATCCATTAATCAATATATTGTAAGTGATCAGGCTAGGAAGATGCGATGTTTCATTCATGAGCGAAAGGATCTCATCTACTTGAACCCAATGCCCATGGGAACAAAGTGAGTGGAGAAGAGTGTTGTATGTTACCGAATTGGGCTCCAGTCCATGTGATAGCAAATCGTACAGTACCAGAGCTGTGTGATCAAAATTTCCTTGTTTACACGTAAAACTTACCAGAGAATTGTAGGTTACAAGGTCAGGGCAACATCCCTCAACATTTAAATCCTCCATCACTTCTATAGCCCGTTTAACCCCGCAATACCTGCACACTAACTCAATAAGAACTGTATATGTAATTATGTAAGGAGGGCAACCCTTTCTTAATTGTTCCTCCCAAAATTGAATGGCCTGCTCAAACCTGCCACATTCGAACATGGCTCGCAGTATTGTGTTGTACGTAATTACATCTGGAGAGCAACCACTCATATTCATGTCTGCCAATACATCAAGAGCAGATTTTAACTGTCCCTTCCTACACAAACCACCAATTAACATGTTGTACGTGATATTATCTGGAACTCCACCTGACATTACCATGAACTCAAGGATCTTTGCAGCTTTATCAATCTGATCATCATTAATAAGACCCCTAACCAAATTGATACATGAAGGAAAGTACGGAATCTGATTCCTACGAGCCATGAATTCCACTAATTTTGTTGCATCTTGCAATCTCCCACTGGTACAAAAACTTTGAAGGATTTCATTGTTCGTGTTCTCATCATTCTCAGTAACAGGCCCATCTAGGGTGGCCTTCAGATATTTAGGATATTTCTTTGACCAACTTGTATTAACAGTGGTTAATTTCTCATCCTTTTTGTTACTACCAGAAACTCTATCAGTACAAACTCCAGGCATCTGACTTCTAAATGTTTTCAAAGAAGCACTTCTACTTGAACAGATAAACCTAACCCCTTGTAGATAAGATCGTGTTCGGCACATATTCTTGACTGGATAGCTATGCGTCCTGATCATTCCCTTCGGGGTAATCCCTGAATGTGACCTATGCATACTAGAAAACTCAACAACGGAGTTGTGCGAAATGAGGGTCATCACATCACCAACAAGAAAATTTCCCTTTAGGCTCACATGCAAATAACCAGAATCCTTCTTTCAACCTAAGTAATACCAAATCTACCAAGCAAAGGCAAGAAAGCAATCAAAAGTTATTGCCCTTCAACACAGCAATTCAATATAACAATGGTGTCGACAAGCTTTATTGACCTTTTCAACCAGTTAAAAACCAAAACACTGGTTGCACCACTCCTGAAAGAAATACGTATAAATGTTAAAACTTGTGAGGGGCAACAACTCAAAACTACGCATGGGATGCTTGAAAGAATTTAGAAAAAAGGTAATGAAGGTCAAGAATACAATCTAGACGCCGTCTTTAAATGTCAAAGTGTCAAACTTCTGTATGATCAGATCTCAAGGGAAAAGGAAACAAAACTAAAAAAAGACACCTCAGATTCATGGCAGAGGTGAGAACGTCTAAAATTTGACAGAATTAAAAAAATGAGCCAGTGAGCAGAGAGCAGAAAACACCATGCCAAGATATTGCAGATCTTACCATCTATTTGATCTACCTTCTTCAAGATTCGGTAATCCAAATTAACAACTCCTATATTCCAATTACCTAAAAGTATCTTCTAATTTCATAAGGTAACGCGAATTAAACCCCTTCCCAGAAGATAAAAGTATAGCCTCAAGACTATGAGAGGCTGTTAAATTTCAACAACACAAAGTATCGGCGGTAAACAAAAATATATCAGAAAAAAGTCAGCTCACTGCATCTTTATTGAAATAATCTATCATCCAAACTCCGAGTGAGTTTCGGATATAAACAAAAATCCTGTAAACAAAATCCAGACATGCAGGCATTTCCAATCAAATATATGCCCCAAGGACCGATTCCTTAAAAAATTAAGCAGACTCCAATGGGGGAGGGTGTGTGTTTCAGAATCCGGAGAACCTTATATATGCGAGAATTCTAAATTGGCTCACATAAGTTCCGAATCCATAATTCTGTATTTCAATAAGACGAGCACAAACCAATGGTTCGAACTTCTGTTTTGATGTTGTAACTCGCAAACAAACTAGGAAATGAAGTAATGAAAATCAAAATCAAAACACAACCCTTCAACCAGAATTTAATGAAGATCAACACACCAATATAGATATTCATAAAGAAAACATTTAACACTATTACGTACTGCTCACATTTTTCCGTAGCGTCAGCGTATATTTCACCGGGGTCCTTCAGCAGTGTGACCTTGTTGAGAAAGCGTATCATTTGGGACAAGGCTGGAAAGAGTCAGCAGGTGGCGTTATCTACTAGTAATCTCAATAAGCTAAAATTTATGTCAAGCCATGGACTACCCTACTGAATGCCGCCTTTTTGTGTGTTTGGGAATGAAGCAGAGGGCGGCAAAGGCGAAAGAAATCGGAACTTTTGAGGTTTTTTCCTGCTGACCAAAAGAAGTGCAAAAAAAAATAAAGAAAAAATAAAAGGGTAAAAAGAAAAAGAGGGATGAAAATGAATTTGTTCTCATATGCTAAATTATAAGGGACTTAAAAATCGTTTCTTTTAAATTTTAAGGACTAATATGTTCATTTATAAAACGTACTGGACCATTTTTTATGATAACCGACTCACCGTCTTTACAACACCACCTCTAAGGCCTAAGCTCATAGCAAACAGAAATTCTTGTTTTTTTTTCTCCCTTAATTTTTCTCTGACGATGATGATGGCGTCGACGACCGTCGAGGGTGCCCTTCTGAAACTCCCTTCTCTGAGAATCATGAGCTCAAGTCCGAGGTTAAATGGCCGGAATTCGTTAAGGTTGCCGGTTAATCTTGGCGTGCGAGCCATAACTTCAGCCTCAGCCGCGGAAGCTGCCCGGGTTCCAATCCCTGTGGACGACACTAAGCTTGGGCCAGGCTCTCTGGGCCACATAACTCGGCCGGATTTCCCTATCCTTCACCAGGTAGGACCCGCTTGTCCTTGTTCTTTCTTATGATGATGCTTAAGTGAAGCAGCGCATTTTTTCAGTTTACTTAAGTTGAAGTTGTGTGAACTGGGCTATAAGGAAGAGATATTTTGGCACTTTTGTGGGATTTCTTAGTGATTGTTTGAATTGTGTTGTATAGGTAGTGGATGGGAAGAAACTCGTGTATTTGGATAATGCGGCCACTTCGCAGAAGCCTATTCAAGTGTTAAAGGCTGAGGAGAAGTATAACCTCTATGACAATTCCAATGTTCATCGTGGTATTCATACGTTGAGGTACCTTTACCTTCGAAGTCAGTTAGGAATGATTTCGCTATTAGCAGAACGTGGAAATCTGCCAAAAAGACTTTTTCTGAAGTGATTGTTTGTGTTTGTGACTGATTTAGTGTAAGGGCCACGGATGCATATGAACAAGCCAGGCAAAAGGTGGCCAATTTTATCAATGCCGCAGATTCTAGTGAGATTGTTTTCACGAAAAATGCTACGGAAGCTATCAATCTTGTTGCTTACACTTGGGGACTAACTAACTTGAAACCGCAAGATGAGGTATCCTCTCGTATCCTTTTTCCTAATCTGAACTTCTTTGAGAGAGGGTTTGCATTTTGATTTTAAGCTCCTACTTACCTCATCGCCGCTCTCAAGTCTTCCACAAGGAATTATTTGAATTTTACTTTTAAACATAACTAATAACATATGTGCAGTTTATGCTTTCCCCTAGCCCATTTATGTCTTTGGTGGCTTGGAAATTCAGCAAGTAATGTGCAGTGTTAGAACTTGCTTCGATTTATGCTAGCAGAATTTCTGGGTTATGGTTTTGTTGTTGCACTTTTCACAGATCATACTCTCGGTTGCTGAACATCACAGCAATTATGTTCCCTGGATAAGATTAGCTAACACGACTGGTGCAGTTCTCAAGATTGTGAGCCTTACTGAGGATGAAGTTCCAGATGTAGAAAGTTTGAAGGAAATGCTCTCAGAGAAAACAAAGCTTGTCGCCATCCATCACGTCTCAAATGTGCTAGGTGAGTGAAATAGCCTGGAACTTCAGTATTTAACTTGCAAGGCAAATATCTGTATCCATTTCATTGGTGGGAAAAAGCTGCAGATTCTCCCAAGGAACAAAGATGAATAAAAGAAAATTGGTGTTGAAATGTGATTCCTTCTGTCTAAGGGTTTGCTTCACGATATTTCCTCTTTTTCAGGGTCAATCCTCCCAATTGATGATATAGTCAGTTGGGCGCATGGTGTTGGTGCGAAAGTGCTTGTAGATGCTTGCCAAAGTGTTCCACACATGGTGGTTGATGTCAGGAAACTTGGTGCTGATTTTCTTGTTGCTTCTTCTCATAAGGTTCAGTCATTCACTGATGCTTAAATGTTAATTTATACAACTGGCGATTGAAGTTAAGAAATAATCATGCTTCAGATGTGTGGGCCTACAGGCATTGGATTCCTATATGGTAAGAGTGAGCTCTTGAATGCCATGCCGCCTTTCATAAGTAAGCTTCTCCTTTCAGGCAGTTCATTCTATTAGATATGTGCATACAGCTAATGTTGCTAGCTGATGATTACTGTAAAACTTTTCTGAAACTCCTCCAACGTATTTCCTTTATCACCACTAATTCAATTTGCATTACAGCTGGTGGAGAGACGATAGTTGATGTATATTTGGATCATGCCACTTTTGCTGAATCCCCTTCCAGGTTGGTGGAATGCAATCACATCTTCTTTTTGTTTTCTCTCTTTTTTTTTTTTAAATTAAAATGGATTAAGTCTTACTTCAAAACTTTCGTTTTTGTACTTTGCGCTCTTTGGTGTTGTAACTGGGTTATTGATAGTACTGGCATTTTAGTGTTTTGATTCCCTCTATTGTCCCCCTTAATGTGTTATTTTTTATTTTTAATGTGGCACAATCAATGTGGTAGATTTGAGGGTGGTACGCCTCCAATTGCACAAGCAGTTGGGTTGGGGGCAGCAATTGACTATCTATCTGGAATTGGCATGCAACGGATACATGATTATGAGGTATTTCTGTCTTCAGATACGAAAAGCCCTCACATTCAGGCCTAATGAAGAAAAATAAATTCACTTGTCTTTGTCCTTTCATTTGCTACATGGATGTGGTGGATAATGTCTCTTGTTTAAAACCAAACTGCAGGTCGAGCTGGGTAATTATCTGTATAAGAGTCTATTATCAGTACCCAATGTTCGTGTTTATGGTCCTGCACCTTCAGAAGAAGTTGAGCGTGCAGCTTTATGTTCGTTCAATGTTGAAGGGGTTCAAGCAACTGATATCTCTTTCTTTCTTGACCGGCTGGTTCATGAGGTTCAAGTTTACTATCTTCTACTGGTTTCTATAGAAGTTTTTTTCCTCAAAGAAACCTTTCATGGTTTGAGCTTGTGTACTTTATTCCTGTCATTCAACATGCTACATTTTTTCCTTCCAGCATGCGATAGCTGTGAGGTCCGGTCATCACTGCGCTCAGAATCTCCATCGTTATCTGGAGGGAACAAAAGAAGAAATAAAACCAAGTGCGAGAGCCAGCCTTTACTTTTACAATACAAAGGAGGATGTTGATAATTTCATACGGGGTCTAACTGAGGCCATTAGTTTCTACGCTTCTATAGTTTAGACGTTATTGCGTTCTTCTTCTTTTCTTTTCTTTTTTTAATAATAATTATTATTATTAATATAACTTTTTTTTTTATGTTTCACTTCTGTAATTAGTTTCTGTAGAACTAGTGCCTTTGTGGTACTAAAGTTTTACATGGTCTGTTTGGGTTGTTCCTTGTTGTTGTTATTAGTTTCAGTGCGTTTTTTTTTTTTTTTTTCTGTTGTTGCTGGAAATGTAATATGTTAGGTGTGTTGGGATGAAGTATATATTAATTAAAATTTCTGAAAAAGAACGTAGTGAATGTCTTTTTCGAAGGGTTTGATTGGTCTGTGCAAGCATGAGGCTCGTGCGGAAGAAACTTTTCAGAAAGGACTCTGTTTGATTATGGCCAAAATGAGGCTGGTTAATCCTAATCACGAGGTTCTGTGTTTCGGTATTCGGGGACAAATGACGCGTAAATATGGATCTTGGTCATAGGTTCAATGCAAGCTCCTCCAGCTGCTGTATTGCGCAACTATGGTTCTTGTCTTGATAAGAACTTAGGTCTAAATGTAATACTTCCTCAGTTCCTTGTTACAAAAGAATAATTATTTCAGAGTTATTTCTTTTATATTGGAAGTATTTAATCAAAACTTGACCAATTCTTTTTCATATTGAAAAATCTTGGCTTTTTTGTTTTTTTTTTTTTCGACCAGAGATGTTAAAGGTACTCGGATAGTCGGATGTCATAATTAGATGAATATATGTTTTGACCTTAATTCAGGACTGGTTCTTTACTACTTTGATTATACAAAGAGAGAACAAAGAAATCCCTTTCCTGAGTTTGTATCTTCAAATTTCCTTTTTTGTATTTGGCAAAAAGATAAAGGACTAAAAGTAAGAAATACACAAAAAACTATACCGACGAAGAAAATTATCGATTCTGGATACCGCTGGTGCAATTTTGTCAAAATAGTTACTTTCTTTTATAATTTTTTTCCCGGCGTTTTTTTTAACCTTTTTGCGGTTTTACCCCAGGAACAAGAGGTTTCCTCCTCTCTGTCACCTTCGTCGCCGGCGATTTCATCTTCTCCGGCCCCGAACTTTGCATTTTCATCGGTCGTTCGACTTGGAAAACGCGGAACAGCTAATTTACCATTCTTCTCAGTTTTGATACTGTAGAGAAGATGCAGCAAGACTATCAGACTAGCGGACCGCCCGATTTGGCTCAGCTCCAGGCCACCATGCGTACTATCGAGTTAGCCTGCAGTTCCATCCAGGTTAGATAAAATTTTATCTAGAATCCTATTTATCTGAGTAGTTTGGATGTTTGATTCAGTAGGATTCGTATCGTTCTGATATTTTTAGTAGAAGAGAAAAAATGTGAGGAACATAAATTAGGCTTGAGCGTCTGAAACTTCTGTATTCATTGCTTGGAATATGTACTCCCCGACTTTGAGTGCATTTTTGGTGTTACCGTCATGTGAAGTTTTGGTGGAGATAACTGAATTTGGTGGATAATTAACTTTATTGTGACTGGAGCTCATTTTTCATGGCGATCCCTTGATTTCTGAAGATGGTTGCTTACATCTTTGCATTGTTACTTGTTCAAGATTTGTTGTGATAGACATAGCGGTTGTGGAGGAGAGAAAGGTTGAAGTTGTTTCAGAAAGGAGATATAACCATATGGGTTAGGTCCAGTGTTTGTAGTTCAAATTGATTGGAGATGAGTTTAGCAGGTTTTGGAAACTCCTACTTCACTTTTAATTCAGTCTCTTTACCGTGGGAAATGCTTCCGTTATAATAAGAAAGGAGTCTATTCACATACAGGTTCCTCATCATCACAGTGGTTCAGGACTTCAGGCCTGGGCTCACAAAAATCATGAGGAGACTGGATGTTTTTGAATTCTTAACGGGTTTGTGGCAGCACAAAATTCATAATATATACGAATTCCTGGTGTTTTTCTTCCAATATTGTCATTGTTTGTTTTGTTTTGTTTGGCTCACAGTTTTGGTTACTACCGTGATATCTTTTGCCCTATTTCCTGGTAGATACTTCGTGACATGTGTTATGTGGATGTCCTCCCTTTGTGCCCGATTGAATGTGAATTTACCAGTATTACAAATTAAAGATGTAGTGCATAACTTCATAGATGGTTGTCTTTTTACATTGTTGTCAATCTTCACCAGATGCATGCCAATCCCAGTGAAGCTGAGGCAGCCATTTATTCTCTATGCCGATCTCCTCGACCATATCAAGCATGCCAATATATTCTTGGTAAGGTTACAAGATAGGGATGTTTTGCCTCACCATAATCTAAGTAAATGGAACGAGAAATTATTATCTTTCAACACTCATTATGAGGTGAAAAACCTACTTAATCTTGAGTTAATCTAGGCTGTATGCTAACTTTTAGACTTAGGAATGAAGAAAGTGCATGCACTAAACGCTCGGGGAGGAGAAAGATTACACCGGCTGAAGTATATTCAGGCACTTCTCATGTTACATTGAAGATGCTTGAAATCCTTTAATATTATCCAACTGAACAAAGAATTAGAAAACAAAGACAATTATCATATCACGGGATATATCTCCGTTTGATTTTGTTCTGAATTGCATTGGCTTTTGAAGAATTCGTTATTTGGTTGGCTTTTGTTTCGAGCAATTAAGTGAACATCGCTAATACTTTCGATTGTTTAATAAGATAGACAATTTTGATTAAATATTACAGAAAATTCTCAGTTGGCAAATGCAAGGTTTCAAGCTGCTGGAGCAATTCGAGATGCAGCCATTCGAGAATGGGCCTTTCTCACAATTGACGATAAGAGAGGCTTGATTGGGTAATTTTGAGGCCATTTGTTCAATGTCACTTTGCTATTTTAATGAACATTAACCAGGAAATGCTAAAGAGATTTTAAGAATGGAAATTGAAGTCTTGACTCTTAGTTTTAATTCTCTGCTTATATGATATATTGTATTATCTATTGCAGCTTTTGTTTGCAGTATGTCATGCAACATGCCGCTTCAACTGAAGGTTATGTCCAAGCCAAAGTGGCCTCTGTGGCTGCTCAGCTGTTGAAGAGGGGCTGGTAAGTTTGCTCTTAAAGAACAAGGACTATCAAAGCAAAAGTTACATAGATTGTTGTCTTTTGGGGTATTTATGTTCCTACATCCTTTTTTATTTTTATCCCGTGTCGGAGACAAAAAAATCTATTGAAAACATGTTATAAATACAACAATTTTTCGTGTATTGGTATGTTTCACTCATACAAATACTCATGAATACCTCGAGATGTCTCAGCTATCTTTACTTTCTTTTTTGTGGTGTGTTTGTGTAGGCTAGACTTTCCAGTTGCTGATAAGGAAACTATTTTTCTTCAGGTAACAAAATTTTTTTTCATTATGTTCATTTGATCAAGTTCTCTATCTCCCTTCTATATTTGACCTTTTCGAAGCAGAATTTTGCTTGTCTGAATTGATTTGACTTGTCCATCTTTAATTACCATGAACAAATGCCTTGAGTATCTTCTATTGAACTTCCTTCTTTGCTGCTTTGGGTGCCATGTCTGTTCATTTAGTTTCAATGGACTAACATGTTAGCAGGATGGTGTTAGAGATCCTGAGATAAAGGAGTGACATGGGAAAAGGGGAAAGCGAATATTCCACCCAATCTGTATGAAAGAGATTTTTCCTTAGGATTGATATGCCAATCAAGAGAAATAAACTGTTTCTGTCCTTTCGTCAGTATCTATGTTTTTCCTTTATGTTTATCATTGATTTTTTTATTTTTGAAAAAAAAATAACAAAACAGAAATAACATTTTGCTCTGAAGGATCAAGATCATTTTACCCTTACAAGAAGCAATATGTATGAGCTATGACAAATGAACAATAATTTAGTTTCATGGTTGGTTATCAATCATTATGAGATTAATATGCTGTGTGTGAAAACAAATGAGTTCATCTTCAGGAACAAGATAAAAAATGTGATTGCATGCTACCTTGAATTAGTATTTTGTTCTAAAATCACACTTGGAAGTTTTCATAATTTTGAGAATTGGAGTGATCACCAAAAATGGTTGTTGCTTGTTGATTTTTTTTTATTTTGTGAATTATATTGAGCCATTTTGTGGAAGTTACTTTTACAAACCCTAAGCCGACATTTCCAAAAAGTTTTGTTCATGATGCAAAAATATCTTTTGACATCCAACGTACAGAAAAAGGAGTCGTTCCTTGCTATGTAACTTTCTCCAGATTCATTAATTTGGTGTGGCAGAATCTAAATAACTAATCTGGTTAATTTGGACACGAGTGTACTTGAAACACTTGTACTTGTTGAAGTTCTCCCTTTTTGTTATTAATGATTAAGGTTGACAGTTCCAAAGTTCAGTTCATGCTCATGCCTACTTGTAGTTACGCCTTCTTTTTTAACACTCTTCATTATCTTTTAGAGCAATGTGCTGAAAGTTTTGAGATACAGGTGAAACATGCTGTAACTGGGAGCCATGGTGTTGATGTGCAGTTTGCTGGTATCATTTTTCTAGAATCCTTGGTAAGATCATGGCAAAGCATGTGAAATCCTTGTAACTTTCATCTCGAGAACGTGTGTTCACTGAACATACAAAATATGATCCATATAGCTCACCCCACTTAGTGTAATAAATTGGTTGTTTTAAAGATCATGAAAGAGTGTGGAAATGGCGTCGCCAGATATTTTTTTTACATGCTTCATCCGAGCTAGTTTGAAAATGAGATTAGGTTTTGGGTTTTGCTTTCTTGTGTTGAATTTTTTTTTAAAAAAAAAAAAAAGAAGAAGAAATTCTCCTTTATTTTATTTGAACTTACTAATTTATTTAATTGAATAATGAATAAATTGTAAATTTTAAAATTTATGAGAATACGAATAAATTTGATTGAATTTTGATTAATCATTTTTATTTTCTATTAGGTTATTGAGTTGAACCACGAAACTTTATATACCTGCAAATCTCTCTTTTCCTCAAACTTGAGACTGAGTTACTTAATCCATGTGCAGGTATCTGAATTTGCTCCATCTACCTCAACTGCTATGGGACTTCCTAAAGAATTTCATGAACAATGCCAGGCATCATTGGAGATGGATTATTTGAAGGTCTTCTAATTGCCATAGGTTTCTTTGCATCATTTGAACTCTTGTTCTACAGTTTGTGCAGCATAGGTTATTCAAAGAATTCCTTTTGTCATTTAGTTTGCATCTAACGTTATTTTCACATTTGATTATGCAGAATCTATACTGTTGGGCTCAAGATGCTGCTGCAAATGTCACAGATAGAATAATTGGGTCTGTCTCTGCTGTACCGGAAGGAAAAGTGTGTTCTGCTGCATTGCGTCTTATGCTTCAAATCTTGAACTGGGACTTCCGGTACAACCGAGGTACGGGTGATGTCAATAGAAGAGGCAACGATGCTTTCGGAGTAAAGTACGACAGCTCTTCACTCCGGAAAATTGAGTGTAACTTGGTGCAGGTAGCAAGTCAAAGTCTTCCACTTGGGTGCTTGTTAGCAATGACACTAGAAAAAGTTCACTGTCAACACGGCAAGGGTGTCTGGTTACTCATTTTTAACATGTATAATTGAAAACTGGCAAATCTTTTTTTATCTTGTCCTGACGACCTAGGTGTGGGATTATTAGATTCCATTGCATTTATTTTGAATGACATGTAACTTCTACCTGATTTCCTTTGGGAGATATATCCTTTCTATCCACCTATACTTAATTAGTCTGGCATTTGTTTTCCTGACCATGCTCTTATGCAATATATATGAACATGTGACAATCTTTCTTATGTTTGCTGTATCCTATTCCTTACGTAATTGTATTTATTTGTTTATTTTTGAACTGCTTGTAGCCTGGTTCCTCTTGGCGTGATGTGCTCATAACAAGTGGTCATGTTGGTTGGCTGTTGAAATTGTATGCTGCTCTGAGGCAGAAATTTTTATGTGAAGGTTATTGGCTTGACTGCCCCCTTGCTGTGTCTGCCAGGAAACTCATAGTACAGTTCTGCTCCTTGACTGGCACTATATTCCCACCTGGTATGAGCCCTATTCATGTTTAGTGTTAAAAGTAAGCTGTCTATCTGTGATTGTTTTTTATCATATAAATAGAAAATAAGATTTGGAGTAGCAGGAAACTTTTTTGATCTGAACATCTAGCCTAAGATCAGATGATGCCTTTGGTGAAAATCAGAGGAAAGTAAATGGTCCTGTGAGGACTAAAAGATTCTTTTGGTAGGTATCAGAATTCCCCTTTAGTGCCATGTTCGTTGGATACATTCTGAATGATATGCATTTTGGTTAAACTTATGGCTAGAAGTGTTTGATTTTATGTTAACAACAAGAACCGTTAGACAAGAATGGGCTGGTACAGTAAGGGCAATGGAACATACTCTTCAGTGTATGCGCCTCCTGACACGCTTCTCATATGTGAGATATGGGCCAGAGAATAGGACAGTGGGTCTTTCCAGAATGGCTCACTTGATTTGGTGCTGAAAAGAAAATACAGTGTGAATCATAAAAGAAAACATAAATACACTTTTTTGGAGTATCTGAACCTCTACTTCTTTGGGTCTTGACTTCAATCAGAACATGATTTGGTCTTTGTTTTGGTTAGCTTCTTTGCCTACAATCCATATCCGCTCGCTTTCAACCTGATATTCTGACTTATGCTTTTCTTTACTGCTAGGGGCTTGTTTAGCATATAAACCAACTGTTTATTGATGATTGATATTGATACTGTAGCTTTTTATTTATGTTGGTTTTCATCAACAATTTTTTTGGCCACAAAGTTTTGTTCTTGCTTTTCCTTTCCTTTTCTGAGCTAAACCACATTTGATTATCCTGTCTAATATTATCATTCAAACTGTCAAAAATCAAGATAACGGGCATGTGCAAGGCCAGCACCTCTTCCAACTGCTATGTGGAGTTATAGAGTGGATTGACCCTCCAGATGCAGTTGCCAAAGCAATAGAAAATGGAAAAAGTGAAAGGTTATAAATAGTTATACATGTACGTGTTTCTCGTACTCATTATTTTAGAAACTTTTCAATGATCATGGTTTTTGGCTTTTCTCAGTGAGTTGTTGGATGGTTGCCGTGCACTTCTATCTGTTGCAACCGTAACATCCCCAATTATCTTTGATCAACTCATAAAATCTATAAGGTGAGTGCATGATTATTTTTCAAATCCAAGGTTCAGATATCATATTTTATTAGGATTCGCAATGGGTTTTAAACTTTTGCGTTTTTGGATCATTCAGTTTTCCTGTACCACACTTTCTGACTATGATTGATGTATCAACTCAGTAAGAGTTTTTCTCAGGTTTTGATTTTTTTTTTCTTGTTGTCCAGACCTTATGGAACTCTTCATCTTCTATATACATTGATGGCTGAAGTCATTAAAAACCTTATGGCAAACTTCACAGAAGAAGAGACGTGGAGCTGGGTGGCACGTGATATCTTGTTAGATACCTGGACTACATTACTGATGGTATATCCATCCTACTCTGTAATCTTGATGATGACTAACAAGTTTCTCAGAAGAATTCAATTCCAAGTGTAGTTTCATTACTTCCAAGTTATTGTAGAGTGTAAATGTTACTAAGTTCTTGAAATCGTTCGAGTATTAAACTGTGTTCAGCTGAATTTATACAGTTTCAAGGAACTTTATATGTCTAGGTTGTACATTTATAAATTCCAGTAGTTGAACAAGGTTAATGGATTGTTTGAGACTAAATGAAAATTTTCTAAGCTAGATTTTTTGAATTATGTGCAGCCATTGGATAGCACTAGTCGTGATTCTTTCCTTCCATCAGAAGGGATCAATGCTGCTGCTAATCTTTTTGCCTTGATAGTGGAGTCTGAGTTAAAGGGTAATAATTATTTCCATAATTTTTTTTTTTCCTTTTCTGCTTTGTTCATTGGTTTTTCTTAGATAATGCGTCTGAACTGTGATTTTTATGAAAAAACAAAAGTGAAAAATAAAAGTTCTGAAATTCACTTGACATTTTTCTTTGTAGTTGCCTCTGCATCTGCCTTTAATGAGGAGAACGAGACAGATTACTTTCAGGCTTCTATTGTTGGTATTGCATCTACCTAATATTTATTGGTGCAGTTGCCTATCTCACTATTGATTTCATTAATTTCTGATGGTTTCATTTGCCTTCTATTTGAAGCCATGGATGAACGATTAAGTGCCTATGCCCTCATTGCTCGAGCAGCTATCGATATAACAGTTCCTCTACTGTCGAAGATTTTCTCAGAACGTTTTGCGAAGCTTCATCAGGTAAGTTCCTATTCTTAACTGTCAGTTGAACGAATTATTATTAGCAAAATTTTATGCTGTATATGTTTCTGAATGTTGGTTTTGGTTTTTGGTTCCAACCTTTAGGTCAGAGGCGTTAGTGATCCAACTGAAACTTTGGAAGAGCTCTACTCACTGTTACTGATAACTGGGCATGTTTTGGCTGATGAAGGACAGGGTGAAACGCCCTTGGTGGGTCTTATTTGCTCTGATTCTTTCTGGTCTCTTTTAAGCTTAATGCTCATAAAAATGGAAGCTTCTAAAGAAAATAATGCTCAAATTGTCCTTGTTCACCTAAAATCATGTATGGTATAATGTTATTGTATGACCTAATTGTACGTCTTAGTATATCTCTTGGTAGGTTGACAGTCATACTGTGTTTGTGAGTTCACAATGTCAAGTCTCAATACCTATTTACTGGCTCATACTTGGTAGATGTTTTAGAAGCCCCCATCTTCGCCTCTCTAGCATCATGCTTTAATGCCTTTCTATTCACTTGCATGAATGAGGTTTAAAGTTTCATACACAACACCACTGTGGTTCATTTTTCTTTGGTGTGTTATTTACAGGTTCCAATGGCTATACAGACCCAAATTATGAATTTGGTGGAACCAGAAAATCATCCAGTTGTGGTGCTTTCAGGGTAATGTAGACTTGTATTTTGTCCCTGCTTATGTTTACTTTACATAGTATATGAAAGCTTCATTACATATGAAGCTTAAAAAACCGTACGAAAGGATATATTTTGGTTGAGATTTAATCATTTGAAACAGAGCAGCGGTCATCTTGTTCTTTCGTAGATTTATAAGCCAGGCTAATTGAACATATTTTGAATGCAATGCACCTAACCAGATACCTTTTGGGCGTACTTATGCCGAGGGTGAAAGAGACTCTCATAGTAATTTTTCAATGTTGTTATTGGGATGTTCTTCACAAGCTCACAGCGCAATTTTTGTTTTCTGTTTTCGTATGTGTTCAGATCAATCATAAACTTTTCAGAACAAAGTTTAGATGCAGATATGAGATCATCGTTTTTCAGTCCTCGACTTATGGAGGTAGATGTTTGATTCTGTTAAATTCGCATATCTTATGTCAAGTTGATTTACTGTGTTGTCTCAGAGATTTGTGCTCTCTCTGACCCCAAATTGCATTACCATGCTTAAGAAATCTGTGCTATCTTACTTCTGGTTCATTTAGACAGAAGTTTTCTTTTCCTTATATATCCCCTTTTATATGACAAAAAATGGTAAGTCTTCCAGCCGGAAAATTGTCAAAATATTTTAGTCTTTTACTCAAGTTAATTTTGACTGCTATGAAACTGGACTATTTTGCGGGGACATTTTTTTTTATGAAACTGGACTGTTTTAATTCTCTATCTAGTCATATCTCTGATTCCTTGATTTTAGACAATTACTTAATTTTGAGCTGACTCTACCAGGCGGTCATATGGTTCCTTGCTAGATGGACTAGTACTTATCTTTTGACACCTCAAGAAGTTAAAGGGAGTAACAGCACTTCAGATATTTCCAAGGAAGCTCTACAAGAGTCGGAAAAGTCAAAGAAAATTATGCTTCGTGTTTTTGGAGAGTATGATAAGGGCAAGTATATTCTTGATGTGATTGTTCGCGTTGCCACAACAGTTCTTGTTTCATATCCTTTTGAGAAGGATTTACAGGTGCGGATGTGGAAGTGTTTACTTTCTTTTTGAATCATTTCAAAGTTTCAGAAATCACTTTTGGTATGAGAATCACTAAGAACTAAAGGAGTGTAAGAAAAAGTTTCGAAGAGCTTTTATGAAAATAGAAATACCATAGAATGTAATGCCTGGATGGTAATTATTGATGCTCTAAAGGAAGTGGAGGAAAGAATTCTATGGTCGTCTTTTCCCCTTTTTTGATGACCATTTTGTAAAGACCATAGAGGTCGTGCTTGTAGGTTGTAAGAAATTTCTTTTAGGTCCACGGGCCTTGTCTAAGTGATTGTTGACATTAGTGGATATTGTATGGATAGCCACTTTGGAATTTGGAAGCTCCTTTAGCCTTGAAGAGAACTTTGCTAGAGTGCATAGAAAAGCACACTTTATCGTGTCCGTAGAAAGATTACAACTCCATTTCTAGTACTTGGTCATGATAATGATGGAGATCTAAGTCACTGCATAAATTGACATCGAAAGGGAACCCCTTCCGACATATCAGAAGTACTAAGTTAATTAGTGTATGGGTTTTGATTTTAAATATTTTGTCCTTATGTTTCTTGAGTGATGATTAATTTGCGAATATGCAGAGGCTTATGAAAGTTTCTCTTTTCTTGTTTACCACTCCCATGGAAATTTTTTTCTCGTGTGTGTGTGTGTGTGATTGTGTGTGCCCCCAGGATGTTAGGCATAATGGATTTGGAAATTTTTATCCTAAAACATAACCATCAGATTTATGCAGGAGATACTTATTTGTAGTTGTCTGAAAGTCTTGTTTGGTCTTACAGGAGCTAAATTGTTCTCAATTGCTTCATGGACTTGCTAAGCAGAAGAGTATTTCTCAACATCTTCTTACTTTGGTAGGTCAATCATGCTTATTCTCCATCGACAGAAAAATGTCTTCTTTCTTATGTGCATGGCTGCATGCCCATTCTATGTCTGCATTTCTGTAACCTTTTTTAATGTTGCCTTTTTCTTCATCGCATTTCTTTGTCAATTTGTTGGCAATAAGATTGAAAATGGAAGCACCTTATACCAGAGGAGGATTTCACAAGGTTCTTACTGTAACAACCTTCTGTCTATATACTAGTTAAGGTTTTGGTGCTACTCATTGAGCTCTTAGAGAAACTATGGGATACCTAGCTATGGCTCTGGTTTTTATGCTTTCAGTTATCTAGGATGGAACGCAATTCATTGCGGTCTGTACTGCTTAAGTGTATGCTAATTTGGTTACTTGAATTTGTGAGTTGCATGATTTCTTTATGCAGTTTATTTGGAGATACTATAATGTCCTTTAGTAGAAATTAGAGTTTACTGGTGCTATAAATAGGGCTTAGTTGAAAAGTTGACCCCTTTCTTCCTGAAAAGGGGGCAAACAAAAAGAGTTGAACCCTTAGAGTGTGCTTTCTTCCATTCAAGGAAAGGTACATTTGGATCCAAAGAGACTACATTTTCTTAAAAATATTCCTTCAAAATTAACTCTGAATAGATTACAAATCCAGCTGTACTGCATTTTTTTGTTTTATTTTTTTAATGTTGTGCAGCGTATGTTTCTTATATATAATGGGAATTATACTCTTCTCCATCATGTCCTGATCCTCCCGTCAGACTCAATTCTAGACAAGATTAAAAGCAAAAAAAAAAAAACAAAAAAAAAGAAAAAAATAGAGGGCAAAAAGGGGGTGAGGGAGGATGAAAACAATTACAAACCCTTCAAGATTTGTACTTGAGCTTTTGCGCTGATGCTCATCATCCAGAACTTATATTAGATAATATTTTAATGTAATTTGCAGGACTCATGGCGTAATTTAGCAAATGCTTTTGCGAGCGAAAGAATTCTGCTGTCCCTAAACCCTATTCATCAGGTAATATACTTTGAGTGTGGTTGCATGGTGCTGAATGAGACAAATTTAATCGTCATTGATTTGGTTCATTTGCATGAGGACTTTTTGAGTAGCCAGCGTGAAATCTATACTTCCCTTCCCCTTTTATTTCCTCTTTCTTTTAGCTTTCTTTTAAATCCTATGTAAAACAAACTTACATATTCACTATTTAAAAGACATACACCTCTGTTTCTCAAGCAGAATTATTAATTTCTTTTACATCTCAGCGGTCACTGGCTCAAACCCTTGCTCTTTCTGCATCTAGTATGATAAATTCAGAAGAAGCAAACTTGTGAGTTTTTATTGGGTTTTACTTTATGATTTCATTTCTATTCCCCCATGCAATTTTTGGTTGTTGAATCATTTTCGTTGTTTATTGGAACTGTAACAGATTCATTAGGAATTTAACGAACCACATGACAACTTACCTGCTGCAACTGTCTGGGAGAAATGATCTAAAAAATGTTGCTCAACAACCTGATATTATAATGCTGGTATGGTCATTAGGCTCTGGGTAGGTATACTCTGTTCTGTGAGACATTTGAATTCTGCACTTACAGTTATGTACATCTGACAGGTAAGTTGTTTGTTCGAGCGGCTACGTGGGGTTGCAAGTGCTTCAGAACCTCGAACACAGAAAGCAATTTATGAAATGGGGTGCTCCGTCTTGAATCCAATTTTGATTTTCCTTGATATTTACAGACATGAGGTACTAAATGTTTTGGTTCTTCTACTGAGTTTCTGGACCGTGTGTGTGTTGGAGATTTACTTTTGTATTTTTTAGGTTTGGGTCACGGGGTTGGTAAGTCGCTGTTGGAGAGAAGTGAAGGGAATGAAGATTCTTTGGCATATTGCATATTACTTTTCCGACAATACCTTAATTTTGAAGTCTATCCTGTTTATTGCATTAAGTTTTGGTACAATTACCTTATTAGGCTAAGGGAGTTATGCAAGATAACACCCTGCCGAAAATTTATGATACTCCTCCGTCCCACAAAAATACCACATTAAGTTTTGAAATTTGTATTAAAAATAGTACAAATCTTAAAACTCAATGTGGACAATTTTTTTGGGACAGAGGTAGTAGTATTTTTATGGCAAGGACATTAGGTTTTAGGTTTTTAATCGCAGTTTTGCTGGTGTATTAACTTCAGTTAGGGCTTGCGCTCATTTGGAAAACCATTTTGTCTGATATATGGTCGCTGGTTGGTGGATTATGCTAAACCATGAATCACTGATATTTTCTTCTCGAATTTTATTCTCGAACCTCCTGATGAACTAAAAATTGAAATACAGATTCCAACTTGAATTGTGAGGGTGCTTGATACTTTAGTATAAAGTAGAAACCGCAATATGATATAGGGTGCTTGGAAAACCATTTTGTCTGATATATGGTCGCTGGTTGGTGGATTATGCTAAACTATGAATCACTGATATTTTCTTCTCGAATTTTATTCTTGAACCTCCTGATGAACTAAAAATTGAAATACAGATTCCAACTTGAATTGTGAGGGTGCTTGATACTTTAGTATAAAGTAGAAACTGCAATATGATGGGTTTGTGGATTCGTTTCTTTGGGACAATAATCTGAGAGAGCCACACTGTGCCAATGATATTTATTCCTTGAGTCTTTATTTTAAGTTCATATCTCATGTCCTCTTTGGTAAGATCAGATACATATGTCGGGTGAATGAAATTGCTCATTCTGATTGTTGTCTGTTTCTCAGTCTGTAGTTGTCTATCTTCTACTCAAATTTGTCGTGGATTGGATTGAAGGCCAAATTATCTACCTAGAAGCACATGAAACTGCTGCTGTTATTGAATTCTGCATGCGTTTGCTTCAGATTTACTCTTCACACAATATTGGCAAGGTATTGTAAACTTTTCTCACACATTTCCAAACAGCTATCTTAGTTTCTGAATATAAATTCCTTTTTTTAAACTCTTGAACCTGGTATTTATTCATGTTGATCTCCCTAATTAGATAATTGGTCAACGTGGATATGGCATACAAAAATTCAAGTGATGGATATGGGACATATTCAAGTGCTTGGTTATCAACATGATCTTATGTTTTTTGGCAATGAAAAACATCTCTCAATTATTTCATTAGATTTGACTATTTCATCTTAGTTCAGAGTATATTTATCGTGTATTGAAAGTTGAAAATTTTCTCTTGTGTCTCTTGCTGCTAAAGTAGTTTAAATTTATGTTACAAAAAAAATGAAATAGATCTTTGTCCCATGGACAAGTGGAAGTAGATATTTACAATATTGCGGGTTTAATGGCTGAAAAATGTGTTGATTGCAGAAACTGGCCAGCAAATTGATTATCTGTTTAGTAATGAGTACACCCTCTTTGAGAAGTTGACATTTATGATAGACCACCTTCATGTTGATCCTCCTCAAAAGTTTAAAATTTCATTCTTAAATTGTAGATAAATCATGTTTTCTCATGGTTGGTTTTCTTATTGCTCTTCAGATTTCGATCAGTGCTTCAAGCAGCCTACAGAGTGAAGCAGATACTGAAAAATATAAGGATTTGCGGGCCCTCCTACAATTGCTTGCAAATCTCTGTTCCAAGGATATGGTAAATGCATATCTATTTGGTTTCACGTCTGTCACCCTGTATGCATAGTAGATAACTCTTAAACTAAAACTTTTTCTTATCACCGAGAAATAAATACGGGAAAATGTCATTGTAGATTGATTTTTCATCAGATCCTATAGAGGCTCATGGCACAAACATTTCGCAGGTACAGACTTGTGCTCATGAAATGTTTTTGGAATAGTGTGTTTTCTTTTCCTTCTTGACAAGTACTGCCATTCAAACTTATATTCTTGTTGGTCTATGTTTTTGTTTTGCAGGTAGTGTATATGGGCCTTCACATAGTGACACCCCTAATAACACAAGAACTGCTCAAATATCCCAAACTTTGTCATGATGTAAGTTCCATTCATCATCGAAGAAGAATAATATTCACTCAATACAAGCAATGTTGATTATATATTTTTATGCGCAGTACTTCGCTCTTCTCTCACACCTGTTGGAGGTTTACCCTGAGACTGTCATGCAATTAAATAATGAAGCCTTTACTCATATTGTCGGATCTCTGGATTTTGGTCTTCATCATCAGGTGAATAACATTGCTAGTGATTAAATTCTTAAATGTTGGGGTTTTACGCTGTTTATACTGGGCATATTCTGGGTGATGTTTGAACTCCTTTGCTCATGTATGGTTTTATGACTTCTAGTTATGATATCCGGTCACTTAGTTTTGGCTTGTGTCACCCATCCTCTTATTGCCAAGCACAATGTTTTCTGATCCTGGTTGACACAGGACTCTGAAGTAGTTGATTTATGTCTAAGAGCTTTAAAAGCACTCTCGTGCTACCATTACAAGGAAATTGGTGCTGGAAAAGTAGGGTTAGGGTCTTATGCAGCAAGTTATGTGGATCCTGCTGGAAATAGTCAAGAAGGTATTCTTAGCCGGTTCCTGCGGTCATTGCTTCACATTCTCCTTTTTGAGGATTACAGGTTAGTTGAAAACTGAGATTTAAAACAAATATGAAAATCTGACTTGCAGGGTACACTAAAAGCCAAACATGTACTATCCTATCTATTCTGTCTCGCATGTTCCTCTGATCCTACTTCTTTTTGCCGCCACTGGGTTAACATTCTTTTTTTGTCTTCCAGCTCGGATCTTGTCAGCCTTGCTGCTGATACTCTTCTCTCCTTGATCTTGTGTGAACAATCTCTCTTTCAGGTATCTAACTTACCTTGCAATCGTCTTTTTAACTTTAATAATTAATTCTGGACTTTGGTGGTGCAACATTTTGACAATTGGCTGTACACGTAGACCCTGAAGCATGGTGGATTTAATGGATCTAACTGTTCCAACTTTAATAATTTAGAATGTGTCAGTCTGTAGGCTTTCCTAGTTACGAACCTTAGGCAATGTCCTTTGCATGCCATTCTAAGCACTTGACTTTTGTTAGCTGTATGTTCCTTGCCATTTTCACATTTCTCGTTAGTGAGTATAATCTGTATCTTGTTATTTTCACTCTACATCATCGGTTGACCCCAGATATCGCATTCCAAACCCTGGTGGATCATATTATCTAATCTTAGGCTAAGGTATCCGTGCACATGCTTTTGCTGTTTACTACCTTACATACTGTAACAATCGCTTGATTCTGAAGTAGGAAACCTTCCTAGTTCTCTTGATATTTAATTGCCAATGGATTTAAGATGCTTCTTTACATCAATTATTTGGTAAAAGTTCTGAATATCTATGCCAGCAACTCCGGCGTAAAGTTTTCTGGCCACAAGCATATGAAAATATCAACTTCAATTTGCATATTCTCTCTTGTTTTCTCATTCTCATTTGTCTTGACTGTGGCTTTGGTTGCAGAGATTGGGGAGTGAGTTAATTGAAAAGCAGGAGAACCCAGCATTCAGATCTAGGTTGGCTGATGCACTACATAATCTTACAAGTGCAAACAATCTGTCTTCAACACTTGATCGAAATAATTACCAAAAATTCAGGAAAAATCTGCATAACTTTCTAATTGAAGTTCGCGGGTTTCTTCGCTTAATATGATACAGTTGAGTTCATTTTGCAAAAGTTGGGAAATTTTCTGCTGTTATCGGCCCGTCCGAGTATAGATGTTTTGATATTGCAAGAGTGAGTTGCCTTCGGTGGAATTAAGCCGAAGTTATTCTTGTTTATTAGTGTTTCTGTACATAGCTTCTTGGTAGGAAAATTTTGGGAAGGACTGGCGGCATAGTAAGCTAACGTAGATGAGATGGTGTTCTAAAGAAAATTGAGTTTACGGAACGATTAGGAGAGACACTTCATGCAAGATGTCTTCCTCTACCTTCTTATTAAGTTCACATTTTTTCCAAGAGCCACAATTTTGCATTGTATTAAATATGATTATATTTGAAATTTACATCAACTAGTGATACTTGTTCTTTTACTATATTTTGAAAAATATGTTACATTATTTGAAGTGTTTCGAAGGTTTAAGTGTTCTAGGAAGGTACAGCAACCAATTTATGATGTATGTGGTCCATATCATTATCAGTTTATCAGGATTCATGCAGGGAGACCATAGAAAACCATTCCTTATAGCTGGCAGAACATTGCAGAACCCCCTGGTGTAGCGGAATCACAACCCTTTCCGATATTCTATTTCTCCAATAAAAACTCTTATCACAAGAATGATATTTTCCGAAGAGTGAATGAAAACACATTGATAATGAAAATATTATTGGTCATTGTATATCCTAAAAACACATCTCACTAGCAGGATCAGAATAGCAGGGGCCCCGACAAGTAATGCCAATCAAATTGTTTTCAGCATACTAAAAAAATATTTAGTACACAATGAAATTTCATGTTGAAAATGAAATGTAGCACCCTCCTTCCTCATCTTTTGCTTTGTTCAACCCCTGGATAGTGTTGATAGGAAACTAGAGGGTAGCTGTAAAGCATAATACGAGACTGTTGATCACAATATCTTTACCATTCACGAACAGGTCCTCATTTGTGAAAGACACTCTTCTTCGCCACCTTGGGTTTCTTTTGAAAATGATTCTGCCAACACAGCACAACATAATTAAGACTTTGAGAGTGACAACAAATTCATAATGAATAAACATGAATATTTACCTTTTGTTTCCCTAAAGCTTCAACATCTGTTCTCTCCTTCCAGTTGCTCTTTCGAAGTTTTATTGGCCGATTTCCAACATACTTACCTGAATATATTTGTCCCCAAATTAGTCAAGAGAAGTTAAAAGTTGATCATTCAACCAATACAGACAATAAGTTAGTGTGTAGAAGGTGAAAAGTACAAATGATACACTTGGACTATCAAATAAGTTTGTGTGGTGGCGGCGAAAAACCATCTACCACCCTCAGTAAAACTAAAAACCAAAGATTAATATTGAGAACTTGACAAATAACCAGAGAGACCAACACAGACAAACTCACCATTCATCTCCTTCAGTGCTCCAGCAAGGTCCGATGGATTGGCAAAACTTACAAATCCGTATCCCTTTGTTTTGCCGGTTCGCTTGTCTCTTACAACCTAAATACGTGAAAAGTTGACAACAGTTCAGCAATTATATGATGATCATGTTGCAAGTATTTTTTTTCAAAGAAATATCGACATATCAACATCCAACCAATTTTAGGAGATAAACAGAGAGCATTAACATGCAGGAATACGTAATGGTTCATCAGGAATGGCTTGCACAGTTGAGCTTACCAAGAAAAAAGAATTATCGCTCAAACAGATTAGATCAAAACAAATTAAACCCTATTCTTAAATCTGTCCACGTTCTCTAACAGGGACGTTCAATATTTATGATGTACAAGTAGTTTACACAAAAGAAAAAGAACCCCCACAAGCCACTATGACCACCTACACTGTCACTTCTCCTATCATCAATCTCAACTCCTCAGAACAGCAGAAATGGAACAAGACTGTTCTCACAATTGAGCCCCACTTTCAATCCTGAAATCTATGAATATCATGCAATATCATACTGCAACATAGACCAAAAGGATTCTACCTTAATGAACACGAGACAAGGTGAGGGCGCCATGCACTTCAAAATGACATCTGAAGAGGACATGCAAAATGCTACTGTACATCATTCCAACAATTAAAAATGATATCAATAAGAGGCAAAGGGTCCTTCAGACAAACTAACCTTCGCCATATTAAAGGATGGAAATTTGGCAAATGCTTTTGAAAGAACGTCGTCATTCACCTCATTCCCAAGATCTCCACAGAACAAACGATAGTCATCTGTTGACCACCAATATAGGCAAAAACATTAGAACTTTATCTAAGCAAACAATCAGAAAAACGATATAAGGGAAAATGAGTATAATAACCCAGATTCAAGCAAACTCAGGAATCAGAAAGAATAAAAACTCACTCTCAGGCCATTCTGCAAGGGTAGGATCCTCCCAGCTTTGTCCTGCTGCCTTACGAGGTATTGCTTTCTTTTTTGTCTCAGCCTTGTGTTCACTCTCACTACTTGCAAGGGCAGCCTTAACGCTTTCCAGGGCTTCTGGGGTTATTGTTTGTGCATCTCTTTGAAACAGCTGCTGTGCCTATACACACAAACTCAAAAAATCAATAAACAACTATATAGTCATTAAATCCTTCTCGCTCCCCCCCCCCCCACACTATCTATCAAGAAGATGCCATTGTGCTTATTATCAGAAAAATCGGATAATAAATAACTGTGAAAAAGATTTGCTCTTTATATTTCCGTACCCGAAGTCAACAAACACATTAATAACCTTCTTGCCATAATTCATAACCACCCACAAGACAATGATGTGCTTCCCCTATGAAGAAACAGTTTCCAAACAATGAATTCAATTTATTCGATAATCAGGAAATTAGAAAAAATAATCTTTTGGCAAAGGAAGTAAAAATCAAGCATGAGCTACCCCTCCATAGCTCCTACATCAATTTTTGCACTCGTAATAGCCAGGAAAAACAGAAAAACATTAAACCCAAGCAATGCATAGACCCATAATTTCACAAATTTATCTTTTCTGATCCGCTGCTAGCCTTAAAATCACGAAGTACGATTCTAAATAATTTTCACAAACAAAAGAAAAGTTGAAAAACTTTCTACCTGCTGATATTGAGGCATGGAGTACACCGTAGGAATAGTTGCCGGAGGATAGACAGGAACTACAGGCGGAGGAGGAACAGGTAGCTGCACCGTCGGCACGGAAACCGTAGGGGCGCCGACATAGGCCTGCGGCTGTTGAAGGTGAATCGGTGTCGGAAAGTAACTGCTGCTATACGTATATTGCGAAGAAGCCGACGAGGACGAAGCAGCAGCAGATGTACTTGCCATAAGGAAACCGGATCGCTGATTCCAATAGCAACTGCTTTGATTATATTATTCTGACTACGTACTGAAAATTGAATTTAGGGTTGAAATAATTGGTTGGACAAAAATCAAACAATTAGGGATGGAGAAAGAGAGGACTCTACTGGGGGAAATAACGCTGCGGAAATCAATCCACCGGCTCAATTCGGATTCCGATATCCGAAGAGGAAGCAAGCCTTGCCCTTAGTAGCAGAGAACTTTTTTGGTGGCGGTCCCCGCTGTGAACAGGCCCGAATAGATTTCTAGAAGAACTGAGAAGCCTCACAAGTTGGAAAGTCCAGTCCAATTGGACCAATAGATTTTATTTTCCTTTTTTAAGGAAAAAATAAATAAATACTACATGAATAAAGGTGTTTATTTTAAGAAAAAATAAATAAATGAGTAAAGGTATTTATAGACAAAGTTAAAAAATTATTCCTTTTTTAATTGTTATACTTTGTTATTAGGGATTTTAAAAGTGTTTTTATGGAAGTTTGATGTACTATAGGACTGATATTTTGAATTAAATTTATATTTCTATCACCAGTATTGGTCACAAATAATGAGCGACGGTAATAATTTAAAGATATGCACTGTTTTTTTGTCGAAATGATAATTATATTTAAATTAAAATAAAAAAACAACCAAAATTATAGCTTACATCCATCTAACAAAATACAAGATAAGTTTGATCTATCAAGATTTGTCATACACTAACAATATCAGTAATACAGAAAGCTACACCGTTAGGCTCTGTTTGTTTGGTTTTTTGGATGGTTTTTTCAGATTATTTTGAATTATTTACTACTTTGACCATAGCTATACACTCCCTTTGCAACTCTTGGCATCCACGAGCTACAGAACTTCAGATATAGAACTTCAGATCTGCAACAAACTCCTCGAACTGTTGACTTTAAATATTTATTTTTCTTCATCCAGATCTCCTCATTCGGCGAATAATAAATCTTCCTTCTTCGAGTCATATTTGTTGGGGAGGCTCACCAAACGTCTAAACAAACAACTAAACTTCCAAAATAAGGACTCAAATCACCCAAAAAAAAAAAAAAAAATGAGAGAGACATGATTCAATATAATGAAAGGTAAAAACTCTTTTCTAAAGAGGGTTAAAGCTTTCACAAAATAAACATCTAAACTTTCACAAAAGGAAACTAGCCGAGAAACAAAAACTAAAAAAATAAAAGATTGATCTCCCTATCCATCCATTAATGAAGAATGGGTGAGAAAGAAGATAAAAGTTGTTTGGTTCGAGTTTTAGAGAGAAGGAAGAGCCTCTCTCTAAAATATTGTAAGGGTAACTTTTGATATGTACACTCAAGAGGAAAGATGATAGTTTAGGAATATGAACACCTATCAGAAGCGAAGGTAATCAAAGAAGCCAAGGTGATCAAAGATAGAGTAAAATAATTTTTAGATATCATTTAAATTACGAATTTAATGTTGTAAGAAATAATAATAGTACCTTTTAAAACATGTCCTACGCGTCTGCTAAACCGAGTAGACTTGTTGGATTTGGCGAAGCGGGCACTCCAACACACTCTGCTTTGCTTCCCTTCAAAGGTGAATGGGCATTGTTCACTTGCTTCAAAGCGGTAGCCCTTACCTTTTTTTTGATTTTTGATTTTTTTTTTTTTACTAAATCTTTGAGTTAAAATTAGGAATTTTTTTGGGCTTTTTATTTTTTGGCCAATTTCATTCATGTTGGAATGTTCTTACTAACTCTTTTTAACTTGGATCATCTTAGTCCTAGTTGTATCTAAATTACTTTAATTATTATAAATTAATTACATATCACTTTCATTTTTAATTAATTTTTAAATAATAGAATCAAAAATTAATAATCATAATATATAGTTTTAATGAGTGACTTTAATATATGGTTGTCTTCTATTTTTTTATATCTTAATAGTAAATATATGTATGTATATTCTGACATGGACTTAAAAAACATTGCCGATACATTATAAAATTATAAGATATATATAATTATCAATAAAATCACATAAAAGAAACACTAGAAACAATCAAAACAAACACATTATTTTGATTATTTATAATATTAAATTATACAATAAAGAAAAATAAATATACATCATTTAACCACACATGACTAAATACTAAAACAATAATGATAGATTTGGTTTATAAAGCCAACTATTTATAAATTAATTATAATTCTTAATGATTTCATAATAATTTTATGTAGACTTTGAAATTTTTTAAAATCATTAAGGGTGTCCCAAACATGATCAAACTTGAATCGATTTTTAAATTTAAAATTCTCTGTTATCAACGCTTTTGCACGATTCATCTTCATTCCAACATATATATGTTTACAAATTCATTATCTTTTAAATGCTTAGCATTTACAAGCTTAATAGTACTAACCACATCTAATGTTGACATATCACTGGGATGTAAGTGATCGACCTACTTCATTCAAGCAATTAACGTCCTAATTCTGAGTTGTTGTTTCAATTGACTTTCATCGTGCTTGAATTGACCTTCTACTAAGGCTCCGTTTGATAATCACTGAAGTCTGAATCTGAACACTTAACACTTAACATTGAAGTCTGCAGTCTGAAGACTGAATTTATATTGTTTGATAAAAACGTCTGAATTTGATGTCTGAAGACTGAAGTCTGAAGTCTGAAGACTGAATCTGAATACTCATGTCTGAAAGTTATTTAAATTTTTAATATCATTAAAATTGAATAATAAACAAAATTCTTTTAAATAAAAAAGATAATTAATACTTTGTTCTAAATAATAGAATCATAATTTTAAAATAAGTTTTTGGTATATATAATGAAAGTAGATATTACACTTGAAAAATAATCAATATATAATTAAATTTAGATTATTGCATATATATGTATCCCTTGTTATTTAGCCAATTTCATGTATTAGAATTAGTCTAATTTAAGTTTGAAAGTTTGAGATCTTTTATACTTATAATATAAATTCAATTTTAAGCACTCTTAATTATTCATCTAAAGAAAATAAAAAATTTAAAACAATGTAAAAATAAGCGTTGAAATAAAAACGACGGAAAAAAAAAAAGAAAAAAGAAAAAAAGAGTCATTGCAAAAATTAAGTGATAAGTGGTAGCCCTATCACTTATTTTTTAGCTCACAATTGAACTGGGCATTCAGATGCACTTAATTAATTCAGACAGTGAAATTTTAGTTATCAAACGCACTTAATTTATAAGTACTTAATTAGTTCAGAACTTAATTTATTAAGACTTTTTAGTAGTAATTATCAAACACACTTAATTTCATTAAGTACTTAAATAAATTAAGTCACTATATTAAGTGATTATCAAACAGAGCCTATGTCGTATCCAAGCTAGAGTCCATTATACATTTTCTCTACTCGTTCCCAAAAGCTCTCGTCGGGATATTCTCAAATTTGCATATAAATCTTATACATATGCTTATCTTCCTCCGGACTGTAAGCTATTTTTTCTTTGACTAAAAAAGAAACATTTAAATGTTTGTGCGAGAATTCTTAGTAATAATGAAACATATTTATAGAATTTTGAAAAAGAAAATTTATCATAATCGTAACTGTCATTTTAGGTTTCATCAAAATATTAGTCATCATATTGATTTCTATACTAACTTCTTCATCTTCTTCTTATCTATTTTACAACCATTGAATTTTAAGAATGTGTATTGATATTAAAGCATGGATTAAAAATGCAATATTGACATATGATATTATAAAGAGTAAACCAGAAAATAGGTCATTAAATTAATGGGTTGTTTTATCACATGTCATCTATCAAATTTATTCCCAAAATCGGTTATCACACTAACCCAAAAATTCATCTGAAGTCATTATATTAATTTTGGCCGTTAAATAGTGACAGAAAATTATTTTTCACATTTTTTTTTGGATTCAGGAGTAGTTTTGTCAGTTTGCGTTTTTAATTTTTAATTATTAATTTTTTTTTTCTATTTACAATTTTTCTTCTTATACTTCTCATCTTGTATATGTTAATACTAGTATAATTATTAAATTTTAACAATTAATTTACCTTTTATATTTAACTTCTAGACTACAAACTTTTTTAACAAAAAAAAAACAAAGAAAACGAAGAAGAAAAATTCAAATTGAAGTAAACATAAGAATTCATAGTTTATCATTTTTTTTATAAAAAAAATGAAAAAGAATCTGTTAAGACAAGTTACTTCTTCTTGGTTATTTTGGGCATTAAATAGTAACGAAAAACTATTCTTCACATACTTTTGGGTTCAAGGGTAATTTTGTTATTTTATATTTTTCTTAAAAAATTTAATTTCGAATAACTTTTTTTTTAACAATTCTTGTTGTTATACTTCCTAACTTATATATGTTGGTACTAGTATAATTACTAAATTTTAAAAATGAATTTACCTTTTATATTTAATTAACAGATTATATTTTAAAAAAAAATTTAAAAAAATAAAGACGAAAAATTCAAAGTGAAGTAAACATGAAATCAATAATAAAATAATTAAATTTTAGAGGAAAATAATTAAATAACATAGCAAAAACAATTTGGTTTAGCTAATTTTTTAGTCTTTTTGTTTAAAATGAAAAATTATAAATTTTCATGTTAGTTCAACTGTAATTTATTTTTCTTCATTTTTTAAACTTTTTTTTAAAATTATAATCTATAGTTAAAATATAAAAGCTAAATTAGTTTTTGAAATTTAGTAGTCATACTAGTCCCAAAATATACAAGTTAGAAACTATAAGTAGATAAGGAGAACATTTGTAAAAATAAATAAATAAATAAATAAAAATTAAAAAAATTTTAAAATGCAAAATGATAAAAATACCCATGAACCCAAAAGTATGTGAAAAATAGCTTTCTGTCATTATTTAACGACCTAAATTAACATAATAACTTCGGGTGATTTTTTGGCTTAGTACGGTAACCGATTTTTGGAATAAATTTGATTGACGATCTGTGATGAAATTATCTTATACTTCAATGACCTGTTTTGTGGTTTACTCAATTATAAAATAGACAATACCCATAAATTCAAATAAAAGGAACACTACAAACAATCAATACAAACACATTATTTTGATCACATACTTATAATATCATAATAGGGATAAGAAAAAATACATCATTAAAGCTCACACATAAAAATACCACGACAATAACGATAGTGATTAGGAAACTAAAAATTCATAGAAATGATAAATAGACGATTACACAAATTAATTATCATTACTTTCATAATAATCATTCAAATTGTCTTCGGTGTGTCCGACATCATTGAGAAATCTAGATTGTCACTCGTTTGATGGTGTTCCAAACTATCACATGTTAGGCGATAATTTTTTTTGAGATTGTTGTTTTTGAAACTATCTTTGTTGTATAATTTGGAGCTATTTTCTCTGCTAATATCGACAGACCAATGGATTTGGAATAGCATTCAGATCCATCATCAACATTCTATCATCGTCAAAGTGCTTTTTTTTTTTTTCATGCATTTCAAGTTAGATGATTTTGGTGTTCATCTACTGCCTTTAGAAAATCAAGCATAACACTATTTTTTTTATTATTATTCAAAGCACTAAACACCTTACTCAAATAGTCTTCCGATTTTTTATTTTTTATTTTTTTCATTTTAGCTTTCTTCACTCTCATCAAGCGTTGAGATAATGTTTCACTTCCGCTGCCTCTATCATAGCTTTGTTCATGATTAAGAGACGACAATTATTGAGATTCAGGTCTTGGTTGTTCGGTATTATGATTTTTAGAGTCCGGCGAATCGTTGATTATAGTAAATTCCCTTGTATTATACCCTGGTTGGGTGACATCAAGAGCTTGTTTGGTTTGTTTGAGATATGATTTAAAATGTAGTTTGAGAGAAAATTTAAAAAGTTGTTTGGATAGTTTTTTAATTAAATAATAATATTGTTTTACCAGGCGGTCTGTCGGCAGCAGGTGGCGGTCCGGGGGTGAAGGTGGTCTGGTGGTGGTGGACGAAAATAGTGTAAAAATAATTTTTGGAATATTTTTTAAAAGGTAAGTTAAAATATTGTTTGAATAGTGAATTGAGTTTTGTGTTTAAGAGATAAAATGAGGCGAGGAAATCCAAACAAGCCCCAAATTTGTAAAAAAAAAAAAAAAACAAATCAAATACATGGCCAACTTTGAATCATTTTTTTCTATAATTGTTTGAATAAATAACTCATTGACTTGTTTCATTTACAAAAGAAAACTTTAAAAACTAAAACATAAAATATATAACCACATAAACAGCACATTAAAATTAAAAGCGAAATAAAATTTAGAAAAAATAAAATTACAAACTCACCCGATCTCCGAGTTGTGTCCCACTAGCGTTGCTATTTTTTATCTGTTATAAGCATTCATAAACGTTTTACTTATTCCTTCAACAATATGTATACGAGATTCATATGATCTAAACTTCATTTCTTTTATGTCATTCTTTCTGTTATTGTTATCTATGGCACTTGCTATCTCCTTGAATGTTTCTGTTTGTTTGAAGACATTGGATTTCCTGAAATATGGATGTAACAATTAACAAAAAACACATCTTCAACCCTAATATAGCTAATTCTCTTTTTAGAAGCCATCTATTTTGTTGGGGAATTGAATGACATAGTGGTTGGGTTGCTATTTTTCCTAATAAGAGATTAGGGTTCGATTCTCACCAGGAGTGTAACGAGTGATTTTGCCCACATTTAAGAGGGTTCACTAAGATAGAATTTTTTTTATAAAAAAAGCCATCTATTTTGTTGGATGTGTTTGCTAAAAGTGTGGTTTATGTAAAAAGAGAAAGAGAAAATTTACAAATATTTGTTATCATAACGGTATTTTTGACAAAGGTATAAAATAGGATAATAAGTTGATGTAAATTCGAATGAAATAATTGGATTTTTTTATAGAGAAAATGTGTAAAATTAACCAATAGTCAAAAAAAAAAAAATCGGATTATTTTTCAGACTGAAAAAACTCAATTTATTGGAATCAATAGTCTCACGTCTGAAAAACAACATTGGATTTCTTCTTGGACCTGCAATACTCACTACATTAGAATCAATAACCACCATTAATTCAAGAAAGGAATCAGCTGTTTTTTTTTGTTGTTGGAAAATACTAAATTTATTTGAACCAACAGTCACCTTCAAGTAAAATATATATATATATATATATATATATATATGTGTATAAGATTCCTTATTGGACTGATAATACTCAAAGCATTGGAATTAATAGTCATCATCAATTAAAAAAAAGGAATCATATGTTTTTTTTTACATGAAATGAGAGATGCTCACACTGTTAAATGGGAGAATATTCTCTTTATGAGAATTTTATACATGAAATGGGAAATGCTAACACTGTTAAAATTATAAAACTAGTGAGGTTTCACTATAGCAATTATAAATATGGAGTTTAAAGAGATGTTGGATTGGAGATGCCCTCGATTTGAGTTTGAAAGGAAAACCAAAGAATTGTTAGCTCCCATAAATCATTTTTTTTTCATCACTTCAACTTAAAACGAAACACACTATTTGCATTCGGATTTTTAAAAATCCATATTTTTCCAAAACAATCCTTATATTATTTTTAAACACGATTTAGGAAAAAGAAAAAGGAACAAAAAATGCTATACATTTTATTGTTTGATACGAGTGCTTGGAGAACAACAAAATGGCAATTTGAATCTGAATATATTAGTGCATGGTTGAATCTACATATACGCAAGATAAATTAAAGAAATTAATATACAGAGAAATGGAATTCATGAATGTTAACTATTGACCATGATCCTTTTTTTTTTTTTTTTGGAACAACCATAATCCACACATGGATACGAAAATCATCACAGCCCTCGTCTAATTTAAGCATAATTCAGAAGATCATCATCACATGATCTGCATATATCCAAAACATTTTTTTTTTTACGATTATCAGCAAGTAAATGCCCATAAAGCAAGAGTTATGCTTAAAAATATTAAAAAGTTGGGGAAAAAAAAAAGAAAAAAAAGGATTAGGCACGATAAGTATTTGTGAATTGACGAATGACTCCCTGAACTTTAGAGTGTCTTTTCCCTTGTCAATCAATTTGCCAACAAACTTCAGAGGAACAGAGCATCGTCCTGTGCCACGTCAGCGATCCGAAATGATAAAAGTCACGCAATCTAAACCGTTCATAATTTATGAAAGGCCCAGATCACTTATCCCTAAATTGACGCGGATCATAATTGAAACGCGACTTAATATAAATATCCAATCGGCTGCCCCACACATCAAACAAATCCATTTGGGTGAGAGAGAGAAAAAAAAAAAAAAAAATTTCGGAAGATTCTCCTAATTTTCTTCCACTCCGGCGTCTCAGATTTCTTCCTCTTCAGGTACTTCTCTGACCGTCTCTTGCTTTTAATCGTCAATTGGTTAATCGATTAAGAGGTTTTGGTTACCCGGTTGTTAATTTGTACGATTTTTGTGACTTCTATGAGCTTATGTGCTGATTGATTGTTTCGCACTTGTTATGATCCAGTTGCTAATCGAAGATGTCAGGACGTGGTAAGGGAGGCAAGGGTTTGGGAAAGGGAGGAGCAAAGCGTCATCGGAAGGTGCTCCGGGATAACATTCAGGGAATCACCAAGCCGGCGATTAGGCGTCTGGCTCGTAGGGGAGGCGTGAAGCGAATCAGCGGTCTGATCTACGAAGAGACCCGTGGAGTTCTTAAGATCTTCTTGGAAAATGTGATCAGAGATGCCGTCACCTACACTGAGCACGCTCGCCGGAAGACGGTCACCGCCATGGATGTGGTTTATGCTCTCAAGAGGCAAGGCCGTACTCTCTACGGATTCGGCGGTTAGGTTTTCTTTAGTTGGGGAATTGGGGTGAGGGTTATGGAGGTTTGGGCATTTTACTTGTTATAAGAATCTGCAATTGGTTTGTTCTGTTCTGGCCCATTTTCTCAGTGGGATTATTATGGATTTATATTCTTATTAGTAGTAGTAATTGTTGATGTACTTATCTTAGTATGAATTTAGTTCCATCTCGAATTGAAAAACTTCAAGCTCTAATTATTATCTCTCTATATCATCTGAATGCCAATGCAAACTGTGACTTTTCAATTTTCATCTTTTTTCCGGCTTTAATTTCAACAGCATCAATTTAGGCAAATAGAGGACTCAATTCAACTGATCGAGAAGGTTTAAATCCCAAAATTTAAAAAAATACTGAAGAATTCATCCATCAATGCAACAAAATAGTTTTGTTTGCAACAAAATTTGAATGTTTATCTTGTGCGGAAGTTCCATTGCACGTTTTGAGTAGTAGAAGGTAAAACTTCGTCAGATGTTTTTTACCTTGTAATTGGATTAAACAGATAACTGATATGAAAGAAATTGGTCTAGCAAATTTAGAGGCATTAGTCAGGCGGGAGAGAATGAAAATGGTAGACATTAGGCGGGGGAACTGCAAAAATTTTGGGAAGAAAAGCGGCATTTTTTGTTTTTTAAAGGAGTGTCGGGCTGGAATGACTTGCCAGACTTAGGTTAAGGCAATGGGCTACATGAAATAAGACGCTGGTTCGTGGATACTTCCTTCCCCTTGTTTTTCCCTACTTTTAAACTTGGAGCCCAACAGCCCAATTGAGAAATTGACTCTACTATTTTCCATATTAAATTTACATTTTGTTATATAAATAAATACTTACTACTCATTCGGTAATGAAATAATTGTCCAGATAGATTTTTTATTTTTAATAAAATTTATGTTAAAAATAAAAAATCAACTATAATAATAATTTTAAAGTAAAGAAAATTCTTAATTATAAGAAATCATTGATCAATAACTTTGATTGACAATAACCATGACGTTATACTGTGACATTATCTTAGGCTGTGTGTTCATTTATGGTTCAGAATTAAATGGACCGTTTTCTTTGTATCATATAAATCTACCAATGACTAAAAGTCACCTAAAATGAGATTAATTCCCTATTTTATTGTGTTATTTAAACATTTCCAGCTGTTTTTAATTTTTTTTTTCTTTTTAAACGACCGATCGAGACATGAAGCACCGCAATGTAGAAATTTGATGTGCTTTAAATGCATGCCGTAATCTAAATAGATTTGATTCACGATAGAGAAAATGGAAAAAAATAAAAATGGTGGAAGGTGTGAGACTGTATCAAATGTAGTAGTAGTAGTGGTTGGGTAGTGGCCAACAGAAAAAGTAGTAATATTGCAGTAATAATTATACAACTGTTGTATTATGTAGAATTATGTCGGTCAGACATAAGAATATGGCAATATAATAATTTTACCGGGAAAATTACCACAAAATTAGGAAATCCATATATTTTTCAGTATAATGGGTGTGTTGCTGCACTAAAAAAGGAATACACTTGCTGCATGGAATAATTTTTTCTCACATTTTGGTCTTTTTTTTATTTTTCTCTCCTTCCCTGCCTTACGAGTTACGACCTTTGACTGAAGAGGTTTAGCAAATAATTTATTTTTATTTTATTCCTCTGTGAAAAAAAAAAAAAAAGGAAATGTGATTCGGTTGCGGGGTAAGAGTACTATTAACTTGTTAATGTGAAATTACAGTACGGCATAGTTATCATCTATACACAATCGCGATAATCTCCCACTGCCTCAATACCACCCAATATTCCTCATTCTCCAAGGAAAGGTTAAATCAATGTGCTCACCAGTTTCAAAAAAAAGAAAAAAAAGAAAAAAGAAAAATGTGCTCACCGAAATAAAAAGAAAAGAAAATAAAAAAAAAAGTTAATGATTTTCTCTGCTGTTACTCATTATCTCAAAATATAAATTAGCACGAAGTAATGGTTTCCAAGTTTATTACGTTTACAACAATCACCTTTCTTATTCTCAAAAACTATGTATGTAACAGTGCAAAATGTACTAATAACATTTGTAATTAACTGTGATGTAAGGCAATACAATATTCACTATCATTTTGTTTTTAGTTTTAGTTTTAGTTTTTTTTTGTAATTTATAGATTAAAAAAGCTTAACTTGTCAATCTAATACTAGGATTAGCTATAACAAAAATTAAAACATTTCAAATAGTTACAAATCTCGAGAGTAAAAATGTGAATTTTTTTTTTTTAACGCCGAGAACGCCATCAGAGATGGGTAAACTCATGCCCACTGCAATAGTCTGCAAACTACAGTGGAAGGTAAATCACCCTAAGCATGTCCAGGGTGACAAGCTCGAGTGTAAAATCAGGGGTCCATTACTGGGTTAGCCATAACAAGTCCATAGAGGTGTTAATAAGCAAAGTGAGAGTTAACCCCTAACTTTTTGTTGAAGTGGGAAATTGAACTCATGACTTCCTCTTGGAGCAATGGTGGTATTACCACTGAACCAACTCCTCATTCGAAAAAAATAAAAGAAGTGAGTTTTGAATGAAGTAACTTATTTTCTTTTTCCTTACCCATGTACTCCGATTCTTTCTTCACTTAGTAATTTTTGATAAATTTCTCCAATAATAGGGATATTTATGTAAAAAAGGGCAAAGCACGGCTCCAACCTTAGTAAAGGTTTGTAACCGATAACAAAATGCTTTCAAAATATTTTTTATGTGAAAACCACATAAATTAAAATGAAAGATTAATGAAACTTGAAGGAAAATATTGAATTCGAATATCAACAGCGTTCTACTCACCATTTAATAAAATCGTGAAATTATTTAATTCACATTTTGAATGAAGTAGCTTATTTTTTTTCCTTACACATTTACCCTTATTATTTCTTCATTTAGGTGGGGAAAAAAATAATTTTTGGTAAATTTCTTCGATAATAAGGATATTTTTGAAAGAAAAAGATGGCAAAGGATGGCTTGCCCCTCAAAAAGTGGTAAAGGTTTGTAACCGATAAAAAAAAATTTTCAAAATGCTTTTTCACGTGAAAACAACAGAAAATCATAAAATGAAAAATTAGTGAAAGTTAAAGTGATATAATGAATTCGAATATCAATGTGTAATAGATATCGTTCTACTCGCCGTTTCAAAAAAATATGAATTTGTTTCATTCACATTGAATGAAGTAGCTTATATTTTTCCTTACATATTTATCCCTATTATTTATTCATTTAAGTGGGATAAAAATTAATTTTTGGTAACTTTCTTAGACAATTTTTGAAAAAAAAACGGGCAAAGCATGGCTTCGCCCTCAAAATTAGTAAAAGTTTGTAACCGATAACGAAATATTTTAAAAATATTTTCTCACGTGAAAATGACAGAAAAGTATAAAATGAAAGATCGGTGAAAGTTACAGTGAAATAGTGAATTCGAGTATCGACACGTATCGTTTTATTCGCCGTTAAATAAAACTGCGTATTTATTTCATTCACCTAACCAAAAATTTAAAAATACAGAAAACTAGAGAAGGGGTACTCCTACTCGTGAATCTAATCATCTAACAATACATCGGAATGAAGTGAAAATAAAGGTCCAAACTCCAAATCAAATGGACATGTTGTTGCATGAAATCAGTATATTTCATCACGCCAATTCGTAAATAGGAGTCACAATTCACGTCTTTGGGTACGTTTGGGAAATAGCAAGGCAACCGATTCGCAACCAAAACCACCACAAAAGTCACGTTTCTCATTCCCACCGGCCGGACAGAGTGGTCAGAGAAGTCTCCGGTAGACCCATTCCCTTGGTCCCCGTTACATTATAAAAGGCTCATCTAAAACCAGTAAGTATTACCAACTTTTCAACGTGTCTATATAAACAACTTCATTAATCTTTCATTAAAGATTATTAAGAAAATATTTTTGAGGAAAATAATTTATTTAATTGGACCTTCCCCAAAAACGTAAAGTTAATTAGTTGAATAAAAATATAAAATTAGCACAAAAGCTAATCAAAAGACAATAATAAAAAATAAAAGGTAATAACACATAGGAAAAAGTTATTTATTTATTTTTTGTTTATTATATGTGACACAAAAATTTGGTCACGCGGTGCTTAAAGGTTTAACCCAAAAACTTATGGGTGCCCATAGTTTCTGGTTGCTTGTATTCTTGGAATTAGTTTTTTTTTTTTAATACTACAATTATGTTTGAAAAATCTTTTTTTAACCCGTTTCAATTCTAGAATTTGGGAAGATTATTCTAATCTTTTGATGAGAGTTTATATCCCAATTTGTTCTTGGTTTTTTAAGCTCATCAAACCCTTATCCAAAAACTTTGATACAGTATTTTACCCTTTTAATTTTTTCCTTGTATTTTTTCTTTTCTTTTTATTTGTTTAAATAAAGGGGCATTTGAAATATCAATCTCCTAGTCCTAGAAGTAGAAGTATTTCATCATCATTGATACTTATTTTCTTGGCCCAATTTTTGGGAGGAAATTTCAATTGATACGTTTTGTTCATGAATCCGAAGTAGACGGACGGTGTCTGGAGAGGTGGTCAAAGGAATAGTTTTTTTTTTAAAAAAATTTAATTGGTGAGTTTACGTGGGTACCATCGCATTTTCCTGTGGCATTAAGGTTAGGGTTAATGTGTTCGTACTAGGGTTAGATCTGTTCAATCTGATTTTAATCTGCTAGTATAATTGATTCTTGATTTCTATTAGATAAACCATAAGGGTTCTTTCAAATGCAAAGATTCTGATGTTCGAATTGTACTAATGTGTTGCTTATCAAGCTTTTTGGGTACTAATTTTTTTTTTTTCTGCAATGTTTGGTGTAGTGGATTGAGGGGTTTCTGCTGCTCTGAGGTCAAAACAGAATTTAGATCTTCCGATCATTAATTTGTAAGTCAATCAAGAATTTATTTCTTTTGTTGTTTGTGAGTTGGGTTTGTATTTTGCTTGTTTCTTGGTCATAAATGTTGCTGAGTGTTTAGGGTTTTTCTGATTAGAGTGAGATGCACTTCATGCATGGAATGTTGTCATTGGTATTACCTGCAGTTTAGCAGGTTCAATCCCCAATTTAACATTTGGTTGTCAAATCCCGTTTTTCGTTATGTAGGCCGTTATATGAGAGTTAATAAGCTAATCTGATTATTATCATGCTGTATTCCATCCAAAGTTCTAGCATCGAATCTATGAGAAACTAAACTTTGGACTTATAAGACCAGAAGGATGGGTCATAAGTATGATATTGCATTTACTAGTATGACTTAGGTTGTAACAGTTTCGTAGGCAAGAAGAACACCCATGAAGTTCTTTGTTTTAAAAATTATCAGATTTCCTGATAAAAGGCTTACCAAAATGACGTTCTATCGCAATGTGTGAATTTTGCGATCCATGGTTAGTGGTCCAAGTTTATTTTCTGTAATCCTCTGCACGTCAAGTTCGACAAATTGGTAGAGGGTATAGGTGAATAGTAAAGATGTGTGGGCTTCAGTACTGATATGGGGATGATATCAGTGACTCCTTCACTCTTGTTACTGGTTCCGAACTTTTTTCTACTTTGGTTTACAATAATCATTTGAATGGGTCCGAATCCTATGGGATTGTGTGTTCCTTTTTTCTCCTCAATCCAATTTTGTTGGAATGTTTACTTCCAGCTGATACTTGCTATTTATGCAGTGTTGATGGGGACAGAACTTGTCAGAACTCGAATCAAAGAAGAAAACATGGAGATTCCATCTATTCCACCGGGCTTTGAGTCACTGGTTCCCTTTTCTCTGAAGAAGGTGGAACTTAAAGAAACGAAATTGAACCATTCACCCCTGGTTAATGGTTCAGAATCACAAACTATTAGTCTGGGATCGGGGAATGAACATAGTGATGAAGGTAAAACTTCGAAGACTTTGAGGCGTAGACCTTGGATAAATTATGGCCAAGTTGCTACCACATCAGGGGATGAATCAGAACCTGAGCAGGTAGTTTGTCTTTTCCTTTCTGGTGTGACTTTTATTTTTGTGTTTTACTGTGGTTTTTTGGTTTGAACGCCATGTTACTCTAGTTTCAAAATTTCATCTTGCATTTGCAGAATCCACGTTTTAAGCCACCGCTACCAAAAGGAGTGATTCGGGGATGTGGTGATTGTCCCAACTGCCAGAAGGTTGATTTTCCAAACCTTTTGTGTTGTTTTTTAACCTTTAGTGATTGTTCTCATGCATCTGACTGTATGATGTCAAGGATACATAGCTGTTGAGTAATCCTGTTATTATGTAAAAAATTAAAAAGACTAATCAAGATCATTTACAAGAACTAGCACTGTATATATTCTTTAGGAGGTGTTTTTCACCATGTGAAAGGAGCTTCACAGATCATTGCAAACTTGCTATTTCATTTTTCAGATACTTTATATTTTTATTTAATCATTATAGAACTTGATACAGGTAACTGCGAAATGGCACCCAGATGAAGCTTCCAGGCCTGATTTAGAGGATGTTCCTGTCTTTCATCCGTCTGAAGAGGTTATACTTCTCAAATGTCTTTTGCTTATATTTCTCAGTCATATAGATTACGTGGACCAGTTATTTTTGCTACCATTATGTCTATGATGAGTTATTTCCTATGATTCTCATCCACAAATGGCAGCTCAATGCATATAAGCACTTGCTTGTGCAGGGTTTGATGAAAGGACCAGCCATCAAGGCCTAATATGTGTAGCCTTAAGTTACATTTTTATAAAAGGCTATGTTTACTGCTAAAGTTTGTGACCTCAGGTCACACAGTAACACCACTTATCACTAAGTCAAGGTTTTCCTTCTATGCTCATAATGTTCATTGTGGTCTTTTCTACAGGAATTTGAAGATACAATAAAATATATAGCTAGCATACGTCCAAAAGCCGAAGCCTATGGGATTTGCCGCATAGTACCTCCTCCTTCGTGGAAGCCCCCCTGTCCTCTCAAGCAGAAAAATATATGGGAGAACTCAAAGTTTGCAACTCGTGTTCAGCGGATTGACAAACTTCAGAATCGGCAGTCAATGAATAAAATACTAAAAGTGAATCACCAAAAGAGGAGGAAAAAGAGAAGATGCATTAGAACTGCAGTAGACAATGGAAATGGTAATGGAGATCTCAGATCATCTGCTGATGTTGGGATGTGTGAGTCTGAGAGATTTGGGTTTGAACCTGGTCCAGAGGTTACCTTAAGCGAGTTCCAGAGTTATGCTGATGATTTCAAGGCCCAATATTTCAGAAAAGTTGAGAGTATTAAGGTTACAGGAGAGATGACTGTAACAGGGGAGCATTGGGAGCCATCTGTGGAAGATATTGAGGGTGAATATTGGCGCATGGTAGAGAAACCTACGGAAGAAATTGAGGTGCCCTTTTTTTATAATGCATTTTACTTGTAGGTTTCACTTTTTCATCTCAACGATTTAGCCCTTTGCTGTTAGATCTTAATTTTTTGTTCTTCTCCAGGTTCTTTATGGAGCTGACCTGGAAACAGGAGAATTTGGGAGTGGGTTTCCCAAAGACCTGAATCAACTTGGGTCTGTTTCTGATGAAAAGTATGTGAAATCAGGATGGAACCTGAATAATTTCCCCAGGCTCCCTGGTTCTGTACTTTCGTATGAAGCCAGTGATATATCAGGTGTCCTTGTACCGTGGCTATACATAGGAATGTGTTTTTCATCTTTTTGTTGGGTAAGAACAAAAAATTCTTCTCGCTTTTGCTTGTAAGAACTCTATGATGGTTAAACATCCATTGTTGTTTGAACTGTATCAAGCTTTTTTTCTTAAATCAGGTGTACCTTCTGGCAGTAGAAGCCTCTTCATGCCAGCATGCACACATTTATCTCTTGTTGCTAATTATTTGTTTTCGTTTCACTTCTTGCATCTGGAGATAGCATGAGTTGTATTGATTATTTTCACATTATTTTGCTTTTATTTGAAGTCACTGTCAGTAGTTCCCTTGTCTTGGTAAATGTAGGATTTTAATATAAAAAATTAAAGTGTACTTTCTAATTTTGCAAATTAGTTTCTCTGTCTTGCATTTTCTGCCTTGGACATGGTTTTATTTTAGTTTCTTTCTTTAGATTAACTTTGTAGTTTCATTGCAGCATGTTGAAGATCATCACTTGTACTCATTGAATTACATGCATTGGGGAGCTCCAAAAGTATGGTATGGTGTTCCAGGAGCAGATGCTCTGAAACTGGAGGAAGCTATGAGGAAACATTTACCTGACCTCTTTGAAGAACAGCCTGACTTGCTCCATAAATTGGTAAGTAGGATTTTTGCTCAATTCTGCAATCTTACTGCCGAGAATAAAGTTGTTCCTAGATGGCTGTCTTCCATATTACCAGTAGTACCGTTCTTTTGGGACTAGGAAAGTGAGATATCACATGTAACTAGTTGTACCCTTCTTTTGGGTTACTTGGGAAGTGAGGTATCACATGTTGTCTTATCTTTTGAGAACACAAGCCTCTTTAGAATCTGGTTTTCTGATCATTTCAGGCATCTATCTACCTTCTTTTAGGCATAAAATGTAAGTTTGAGTTTAGATATATCTTGTGCTTTGCCAATTTGCTGCTGGTCTTTGTAGCCATTAAGCTGCTACTTTTGTGTTTACAATGCTGCTGTTTTCTGTTTCTTTAATTTTCGTCCCTGAGACATTTGTTTCTTGTCAGGTGACACAACTCTCCCCTTCCATATTGAAAAGCGAGGGAGTGCCTGTTTATCGATGTATTCAAAATCCTGGAGAGTTTGTTCTGACTTTCCCTCGAGCATACCATGCTGGGTTCAACAGTGGCTTTAATTGTGCGGAAGCCGTAAATGTGGCTCCTGTTGACTGGTTGCCTCATGGTCAGAAAGCTATTGAGCTCTACTCTGTACAGGGCCGCAAAACATCTATTTCCCATGATAAACTGTTGCTTGGGGCTGCAAGAGAAGCAGTGAAAGCACATTGGGAACTCAACTTACTTCGGAAAAATACTCCAGATAACTTGAGATGGAGGGATGTTTGTGGAATTGAGGGGATCTTATCAAGAGCACTGAAGGTAATGATGTGCTTTTTTTTGGGGTGTTCCTCTTTCAACCTATAATTCTTTAGTTTCAGTTGATTTTATGCTTCACAGAGATAAATTTGTACTTGATAATGTTCATTAGTAGCGGATTCACTATTTATGGTCAGGGCCACAACTTGTCTGACTTTTTCTTTTCAAATACATTTATTTTGGTGTAGTCACGCGTGGATATGGAGAAGGTCAAAAGGGAATTTCTTTGCAATTCCTCACAGGCATTGAAGATGGAGAGCAGTTTTGATGCGACTAGTGAGAGAGAATGTAGTGTGTGCTTCTTTGATCTGCATTTGTCTGCTGCTGGTTGTCATAATTGTTCACCAGATAAATATGCATGCCTGAACCATGCAAAAGATTTGTGTTCGTGTTCTTGGGGTGCTAAATTTTTCCTATTCCGTTATGAAATCAATGAATTAAACATGTTGGTTGAAGCTTTGGAGGGGAAGTTAAGTGCAATATACAGATGGGCAAGACAGGATCTGGGACTTGCACTAACATCTTCGGCACCTAAGGAGAATTCTCATGCACCAGGGCATGTTAATAAGGTATCTCCTCCATTGGACAGAGGGTTGCAACAGGGATTGAGTGTCCGACCAGCTGTGAGTTCCGTACAAGATCAGAAGCCTAAAGAAAATGCAGGGATTTCCAACAATTTGATGGCTGTGGTCCAGAAAAGTTCAGTGTTAAAAGAGAAACCAACTGGAGACGTATTTTCCTCAGACAAGATTAAAATGAGCTCTCCATTGTCAAGCAATGTTTTGGATGCAAATTCCAGTTTACAATCGAAGAAAGTGTCGCAGCCTGACAAGATTAGGACGAGCTCTACATTGTCAAACAATGTTTTGGATGCAAATTGTAGTTCACATTCGAAGAAAGTGATGCAGCCTGACAAGATTAGGACGAGCTCTACATTGTCAACTAATGTTTTGGATGCAAATTCACAATCGAAGAAAGTGTCACAGCCTGATGATATAACTGTTGCTGCAGGAAATCAATCATCCAAAGGAAATATGTTTCCCAAATCTGAGACAAAAAGTGTTTCTTTCCAAGGAAAGAGCGATGTTATACTACTCCTCAGTGATGATGAAGAAGAGGAGTTGACCGAAAAACCCACTGGTGGAGAGCTGGATACTTCCAAAAAGGATAGTAAAGAACAAGAAAGAATTGTTTCTCAGGTGAACAATCCAGCATCAGTGGATCCCACAAAAAGTGCACTCCAGATGACTATAGATTTCTCTCCCGAGTGCAGACAAGCAGAAGGTGCTGCACCGAACAAAAATTATTTTGATCCCAATCAGCAAGATCATGTTTCCAAGGGACTTGGGTCAGCCAACGGTGATATTAATAGTGGCAATAAGGGTGCCTGTGGTCGAATAGAGAACCCCGAAGCTAAGTTACTTGGTGCAAATGAAACCTTTGTTCATCCACGGCCGTGCAATGGTGAATTGGTAAGCAAGGAGGATGGACAAATGAAGTTGGAAATGGATGCCAATTCAAGGCCAATGGATAGTTTGCAGCATGCAGCAGGAAATGCATATGGATCTCAAAGTAATTTGGATAGATATTACCGGCAACGAGGTCCACGTATTGCGAAGGTGATCAGACGATTCAATTGCAATGTTGAACCTCTGGAATATGGGAAAGTGAGCATTGGAAAGCTATGGTGTGATAGTCGAGCTATTTATCCCAAAGGTATGCAACCTTAGAGCTACAACGTCGCTCGTAGTTTTAATGTTGGTGGAGTGTGCGGCTTTAATTTTTTGGCAAATCTTTTCTTAGGTGGAGAGTAAATATCTTTTTCTGGCTAATGCAGGTTTCAGAAGCCGGGTTAAGTACATAAATGTGTTAGATCCTACAAACATGTGCTATTATGTCTCTGAAATTCTGGATGTTGGAAAGGATGGACCGTTATTTATGGTTAGTGACTCTGGACTAGACACTTGCTATTCTATTATTACCAATATTGTGCGACTTTTTTTTTATTAATTGGAAAAAGAGCAGTAGGCACATTTTTGAAGAACTGTTGATCTTGTATGATGTCTTCTGAATGATTGGCATTTGTGATCTGCTGTTGGTCATAAGCTCTTCACATTTACTTGCTACTATCAAAATGCCGATACAAACTCAAAGTTGGAATATTTTTTTATTCAAACAACCTTGTTGGTTTGATTTTAATTTGGAGAATGATATCAAGTCAACAGTTTTGACATCATGGAGAAGTAACAAAAGCTATAAATGGTCAGGCTCAAGATGGCTTGTGTAGCTAAGAAAGCCTTTCATCTTAATAATTTGACAAGGTTCTTTATGATTATTTTAGATCCGCATTCTGCTTGACCATTCTTTATGTTACGAATTTCAACTTTCAGGTCTCCCTGGAAGATTCTCCTGGTGAAGTCTTTGTCCATTCATCAGCTGCTAGGTGTTGGGAAATGGTTCGTGAGAGAGTGAATCAAGAAATTGCGAGGCAGCACAAATTAGGAAAACCAAACCTCCATCCTCTGCAGCCTCCTGGCAGTTTAGATGGCATTGAGATGTTTGGTTTCTCGTCACCAGAGATTATTCAGGTAATTCTTTGTGTGAGGCTGAGATTACATGTTGCATTAGGATACATTTGGTATATTAAATTAATGTTCCAGATACCCAGATTTCGGTTAGAAAAGCTGTGTCTGTAGTAAAACTTATGCTGTACGTTTTTGGTTGTGTTCTCACCAATGGATTCCTACATTGTTATCAACGACCTGGAGTAGAGCAATAATCTGATTTTTGTGTTTTATATTGGATTCTCACTGCAAATTTTCTATTATAATATGCGTGTAGGTCATTCAGGCGATGGACCAGAAGAGGGTGTGTACTGAGTATTGGAAATCAAGGCCCCTCATGCAGATTCCACCCCAACACTCAAAACCTGGTGAGAGTCTGAGAAACCCTTCTCTGAAAACAGAGGCGCCAAATGATCATCAGGAGATGAGAACAAACACAGTTCCAACTGGGGGGGAAGCAAAAATCAGCAGCCTTTTTAAGAAGGGGAGCCCCGACGAGCTACATGCTCTCTACCTCACATTAAACAACCCTAATAGTTCGACGACCAATAAAAGTTTAGTTACCCGGCTTCTTATGGAGGAGATTCAGAAACGGGTGAGATGAGTAGGCCTCCCATTATATGATTTTGACAATCAATAACCCAAGTTGATTCATTTCCAGCCTCATCGAAGGAGTCTGGACCTGCCATAACAAAATTGTAACCCTGTAAATGATGACCAGCCCCCCATTTTTAGAACATAGATGGCCAGCCAGCTAGCTCTAGGCGATCTGGTTTTTAAAATTTTTTTGTAAGCTGCTGTAATGCAGTTTCATCAGGTACATATAGAATTCTGATGTCTAAAATTCTTTCATCAGCTGATTAAAGGAAATTCAAAATTTTTTGAAACTATATCGTGATGTTTGCTGGGGAGTAGTGTGGTGGATTATTAAGTGACCGATCAGAATTCCCAGGCAAAAGTAAGTATCAGGGATCAGAATTCTGGATCTATTGGGCCTGGGTGCGTTGCCCTAAAAATGACTAACTTAAAGCCCAAATGAAAGAAATTATGGCCCAAAACGGAGAAATGCTGAATGCAACTTCCATAAAGGACGTAATTAAAGTGAGGCATATCAGACAGAATTTATACCGGAGTGGAGCTGGATAATAAAAGCATAAAATCAATCACATCAGTTAAGAAGTGGGTAAATTTTCCTGTCTAATCTAGCATCCCAATTCAAGTCCTAGATGTTCTAACAGAATGTTATGAAACAAAATCTAATTTAAAACTGTGTCCACATCGCGGTTTAATTAAGTCATCAATGCTCTAACAAAACATTGCATCATTTTAGTGAGATTGTCAATATTATTATACTCCCTCCGTCGCATAATTATTGTTCAGTTTGGATTTTCATTTCTAGTTCAAATTGTACTAAAAGTGAAATCTTAAAGTAGATGATAATGTTGGGACACAGAGAATACAAAACTTACGCTTAAAAATACCTAGCAACATACGGTTTGTCTTTCCATCAAAATGACATCATTTATCTACCATCTTCTATTAAAACAAATTCACCCTCTTTTAACATTCCAAAAACTAGTAGTGATTAGTGAACGCACGCATTTACAAGATGAATTCACACGGATATAAGACGAAATGACTTGGTAGTCACTCCTTGATGATTAAAACAAGCACGTGTACTATAGAATTTGCACCTCCTTTTTTGTTGTCTTGCCCGATATCCTATACAAAATTATTCATAAACCTAAGACAAAAACTTATCCAACCATAAAAATTATACTCTCCCAATCCCAAAATTATTGTCTAGTTTGAGTTTTGGATAATAATTTTGAGACAGAGGGAATATTAAAAATAATTCATGAATTATATAGTTTGTTGGGGCTAATAATAAATTGTAGTAATACAACAAGTTGAAAGGTTAATGAAAAGAGTTTAGTGAGGACCACACTAGGGAAAAAAAAAAAAAAAGCTAATGATATCAAATTAGTGAAAAGAAGGGAATTTTAACAGAAATCAGCACCCTAAGTGGTAACCAACGTCCAAGCCAAACAAGGAAAATTCCTAGGCACTGTACGGACCAAATTACCCATCGGCCACCGGATGAAGATCCGACGGTCAGGAACCCATGTGGTCCCCCGGGGCTGAGTTTCTGTGAGCAAAGCCGGGCACGGTTGGCTAGGAAGATGGGTTTGGGTTTACCCGACAAGTGGTGCGGATCGACACGTGGTCGAGCACGCCGTGGGTGCGGGGACCACCAGGAGTGAGCACGTGTCAGTGGCCGAAAGGAGCGTCTTAGTGCTGGCCACTTGGTCCCCCCAGATTGAGGGGTTCTTTTTGTTTGTACGGAGTAATTTCTTTTTGGATTTAATTAATTAAATTAAATTAACGTAGTAGAGATTGTGGTACCACTTAATTATGAGTATTAAACAATAATAAGTAATCAAAACGGAGCTAAAAAACTCCTATTTATGGGTTGAGCTTGAAGATTGGGAAATTTCCCTTCTTGGTTTGACCCTAAGGGGACCTGCCTACCCTAGCTGCTACACCGGGATTTTTGTTTTGTGCCCTCATAATAAATATACTTCATTTTCTTTCGAGTAACATATATATTAGTGTTTCGGGTCACTAAAATTATTCACATTATTATATAATTTGTTGTTTATTTTTAATAGATTTGGTAGAATGTTCATATATATTACTCCTAGATAAACGAATGATTGCACACGTTGGTTTATTTTCTACGAGTTTACCATATATGAGTTTGATGAAATTTTACTATCATATTTTTCTAATGAGCAGTGATTGCTGCACAAAAAAATTTGCGAGGAAAATATGTAGGGGATGAATGATAACTGTCCGTAGTTCAACTGATTTATGTATTTAAGAGTTAAGAGATCGTTAAAATTCAACCACATCATTTCTTATTAATTTTTTTTTTGTAAATTATGTCAACTGACTTATTTATCAACAATATTTTTGTCTTTTAAGTTAGTTAGGCTTTTATCAACAAATTATGTCAACCAACTAACTTATCATTCAATATTTTGGTAGGGTTTTCCACAATTTTGGGATGAGGATGTGATTTAGGGATCGAGACGTGACAATAAAATTCTTTTTTAGACGTGTCGATCTTCTAAATAATGCAACAAATTTGCTAATTAAAACAAAAAGACATTTTTCATTTTGTTATCGAACATTACATTTTGTTGACAAACACATAAGGAGAATACCTATTTTGCAGTTGAGTTGTGAGAGCATAATTCATTGTAAGTGAAGAGTAGTTGAAAATATAAATTCAATGGCAAGTGAAGCTTTGATCAACAATCACCCATTCCCCGACATTCTCTTTTCCCCTAGCTAGAAAACAGGCTCAAGTTCTTGGATCTCACCATCACAGCTTGCTTATAAACTTGTTACCCAATTCTCTTTAACAATTTTTTTTCCCTTCAAAATCCTATACGCTTTGAACTTCAAGAGAGAAGAGACATGCATATTCATTTTTATTTACATGGGTTACCATTTACTATTGTTGTTATTTTTTTAAACTTTTTTTTTTTTGGGTAGCATCAATAATATTCATCCGAAGTCTTGACTTCAAATCTCTAGAAAATAGTTCATATTTATAAATTATACTAAAAATAATACGTAATTTATTTGTAAATTAAAATATGAACTAATATATATATATATATATATATATTTTTTTTTTTTTAAGAGAGAAGCGATGATAATAAAGCCGGGAAGGGAAGGGAGGACAATGGCGCAAGGCAACCGGGAAGTAGGGCGGCATCCGTGATAAATAAATAAAAAGTAATGATATTCTACTCTACTTATATAACTTTACCTATAACTCTACTGACATGGCATTATTTATAATAATATTTTTTTGACAAAATTGAAACCAGAGTTCATCGTCAAATTTTCCGTCTCCAAGGCAAGCACTCGGATCTTGCTCAATTCCTAGACCATGACAGATGAAACAAATGATGATGAAAAATTCAATGTAAGTATAGATACTCAATTTAGAAGGTCATCTCTTGAGAAATGATTTCGGTTTATACCTTGGACTAATTAATCAATCCAAACATTACAAAGCAATATTATCCCTGAAATTAATTCCTTCAGTTTTTTTTGAAGATTTCATGCAACCATGTAGAACCGTGTTCACATATTTGGTACATATTTTTCTTGCATTAAAATTAATGGAATAAGTATGTCGAGAACTAGAAGTATTTTAGTTGTTTAGCTGGCTAGTTAGCTATACAACTAGTTTTGTTCAAGTGACAAGGGGTAATTAACTACGCTCTGTACATGTTGTGATCTGTCTTTGATCGATTTCTTTCCTATGCACTTCTTACCATAATAGAGAATTGGACGTATAATGAAGCCAAAAAAAGGATTAATAACGTGACTTACATATATATGGAGTTGGATGGCGGCTTAGTAGTTTTGGCCATATATATATATATATATATATATGCTGATTTATCAAATTTTACAATTTTGTGGAAAATTAAAAAGAAAAAGTAGGTCCAAATTGATGACTCAACGAATGAGAAAGAGGATAGTGGTAAATTCACATGAGGAGATCGACCGGTCTATTATTGTACATTTGATGTGATTTCTCGCGTACACTACTACTATATTGATGCAGAAATAGTTATATTAATGAAATTAATAGGATGTCATTTTCATAATCTTTATGGAGATCTTAAGGAAGGTGAAATATGATCATCATTTTATCAATGCATCATCTTTTGTCTTGTAGCATAATTGAAGGCTTTTTTTCTGGATTTGTAAAGCGAAGAATACCTAACCAATATTTCCCTCTTAATGGCTATTGCCTTTTTCCTAGACCTATCTAACCCTTTGTCCTCTTCGAAAAAAAGGTTTCAACTTTTAGTCCTCGGGGTAAAAATAATGGTTTGAAAAAAAGGAGGAAAGGAAACGTCAATTTTGTTTTGTATTCAAGCTAATAGCTCGAATCTAGCTTGTACTGTATATTAGTATGTGCATGAACTATGCGCCACTTTTAATAATTGGAAGATTAATTTCATGCATGCATACAAAACAATATCTATATGGCCTTTTGACTGCCCCAATTCTCTCCTATGATGTGCATTCTTTTTCTTTCTATCGTTTCATTGAGGCAAATTCTACTACGTAACAAAACAAGTCAAGAAGTCATGTCCGGGCAAAGTAATCATCCATGAAATTACAGTCTCAATTCCAATCACTAAGTAGTAGGACGAACGGAGGGTGATAATAAGAAACTTTGTGTGCATGTCCATACTTAATTTGCTAACTATTTTGATAAAGTTAAATAGAATGAACGATTCATGTTAGTCTCTGTTGATCCTCTCACTCTCTTTAGTCCAACACCTAAATTAACATTAAGTTCACCATTTCTTTCTGTTTTAATTGCACTCAATCAGCTGTACAACGTTTATATTGTGTCTCTCCTGAAATCCAGAATGATTGTGATAGTTTGATTCATTAATTTGTGCTTAGAAATGATGTCATTTGAACTATATACGCATGTATATATGTGTGTGTATAGTCTCCCCAAAGATAATTTTAACTATATATTAAGCTCAATATTGTTATATATGGGCGCGATCCACCATTAATTTTCTCCTCTATAAGTATATACATGCATTTTTCTGCCATTTGTATCAATGGATCATGGTTCATAATATTGCAACACGGTTTAATGTTGTACTACATTAACCAAACATGCATCAAATTCCATCAAATTAAATTCATGATACTATATAATCTTCATTAACCTTGTGGTTCATAAACATATATCAGCTTTTGGTACTTAACTAGTCTACATTTTCATGAGACTCCGGATTCCATAAATTATAACCAAAAAATTTAATTATTGACGACAAGAAGAAGAAGGAGTGAGCTCTGTGTGCTTCCTATTCTGGATAAGACTAATATAAGCAGGAGCCCAACCTGAAACATACTGAAGCAAACAACAGTATTTTATGTAACATGGAAATCCATACATTGTTCCGAGTAGCTAGATCGAGCCACATCTAAGTGTGATTATTACTTCAACAATTCCAACTAGTAAGAAACATTTCCACCTTTACCCTTTCCATACACGTAACAGATTAGAAGAAGCGAGAGAAATCGAAGAAGATGGAGAAAAATTCAAAAGAAAAACAAAAACCGAAAAACAATGTCCTCAAGATTCTCAACACAAACGAAACCTTTGATATACTTTCAGATGACAAGTTGATGACAAACTCACCTTAAATAGAATGCGAGGAACATCTATAAGTTTTTATTATTCAGAGACAAACCGAAACACGACTATAACAGATTAATAATTAATGCATACATAATAATAATAATAATCATCTAAAAAAAAGTAGACAAATCCTTAGTTTTCACTACTAAGAGTAGTAGTACTAGTACCAGATGAAGAATCCATGGCAACAAGTTTGACGACTTGTTTAATATTATTATTATGACCGGAAGATCTTTTCCTCTTCTTCTCGTAACTGATCCCTCTGGACTTGGACTGAAAATCCCTAACATCCCTCAAGAAAAGCCGTACTCCTCTGGTCCCAAAAGGGTTGGATTCAGGAAGCCCACCGTTTTCTTCATAAGCCGCTCTAAGCCTTCCAATGAGGGCATCCAGGCTTCCCCAGGCTTGCCTCAGCGGGCAAGGACAAGGCCCCGGTGGATTCGGGATCCCGAAAAACGGGCAGTTCTGGTTGTGCACCTTAGTCTTTCCGAACTGGTCCAGATACCGCAGGAACTCCAGCACGTGGGTGCTGCTGATGAGTGGCGGCGCTAATGGCGGCCGGTGGTTCCTCAGGAACTGGCAAAACGTGTTCCAATCGCGGCGTTTCTGGTTCTCGTATCGGCTGCTTTGAGTTTGAGGAGGAGGAGGAGCGGAATGGTGGTGATGATGAATAACATTTTGTGAAGAAGCTGATGAGATTTGGTTAACATGAGTAGTGGAAGTGATGATGTTTTGGGATGATGAAGTTGGCATAAATGAAGGCATTCCTGGGGTGGTAATGAACTCCATGGGAATAAGGATATATTTTTTTTGATTTTGTGTGTAAGTAATATATATATATATATATATATATATTATATTTTAACTAAGTAAAATATATATGGAGGATTATGGGGTATTCTTTTTTTTCTTTTTCTTTGAATCTCTTACTTCCTAGGGTTTTGCAACCATAATACTAGTATTGGTTTAATTTATGATGTGAGGGGAGAGGAGAGGATAAAGCTTGTTGGCACTACTCGTGCTCACTGCTCAACTGAGATGAGTAAAAAGAGACTTTTTCTTTAGGTGAAAGTGCAAGTGAAACAGTAGAAAGTTATAACACAAGTTGTACTTGTTTGCTGATGATTTATAGCATGCATTTTATGGGTGCAAAATTCGTACCTTCTCTTTTATTTTTTTAGTTTTTTTTTTTTTTTTTTTGGAAATATGATACTCTGAGGGAGGGAGGGAGGGAGGGAGGGATAAAATCAAGAAAACTATGATTCCTCACGTCTTAACTTGGATTGGATGTTCTTCTGTCTGCAATTTTGACTGATATATTTTGGGTCAAAAGTACGTCCTCCTGCCACTTCTTAGCTGGTTGAAGGGAGAGAAAAAGAGCCCACTGATATATATCTCCATCCTAGCAAGAAGATGATAAATAAAGTCATCTCATCAACATCTTTCTAATGGAAAGTTTGAACTCCTTTTGGTGTAGAGTGTCATTCCATCAGCTCCATGAGAGAAAGAGAAAGAAAGAAAGAGAGAGAGAGAGAGAGAAAGAAGGATGGATATGGATGGAGAAAATGAGACAAAATCTCTCAAATGGTTTGGTGTTGTGGAAAGAAGGTGGTATTAATAGGTTGTAGGCAAACAAGGGAAAAGTTTGGCACTAAGCTGGACTGTTGGGGAGCAATGAGGTAAATTAATTAATTGATTGATCATTAACGGATACAGCCATGATCACCAAAGTTGTTTTTTCTTGATTTGGACCTAATTAATTAGCACAAGCTATATAGTCAAATAATCTTCAATCATCAGTCCTACATTGTGGAGGAGGATCTAATTCCTCTTTTAGGCATAACCTACCTAATTAAGTTGGTGATGTGTGTGTGTATATATATATATATATTAGTTATAATAAAAAATACATAAAAATGAAATTTCTTCCCTCTAAGTGTTTAATTAATGATTTTGATCGCGTACAACAAAAATTTCAAGGAGTCTTTGTTGTTTATTTTTAGATATACAGTGTCATAATCCGCTTGGGAAAAAGATTCTACTATATGTGCCTCTAATAGGCCATATAAGTGAAGGAGATTTTTTTTTTTTTTTGGTTATCTAATGAGTATTAATATTATTTTTCTCATATAGGATGTGATCAATATTATTATTGTTTTTTATATATAAATTGTCTATTATTTAATTAAATTTAAATGCTCGACTTTTGATCAAGGATTGATGAATTTTATTGCTCGCAATATGGGATATGTATATAATAATTACTGCGAAAAATGAAATCGTGAGGTAATGAATAAATGATCCATCATGGATTTCAATGTGATCCATCATTTATGTGCTGAAGTTTTGTTATTAAGCCCAAGACTAATGGGTTAAGGATCATGGATCTAGCAGCAGCAAGACTCCTAATTGAATTTCTCTTTGCCTTTCTCATTTCTCCTTTTTATTTTTTAATTTTCTTTTTATATTTTTTATAAGTTAGTTGATAGTGTTATTATTTTTGACGATCAAATTTAATAAATTTCTCCTCAATTTCTCTTTGCCTTTCTCCAGAGTCCATTTTATCTTTTTTTCCTTTGAGTCTATTGGAAGAGATAATATATTAGACGAAACTCAAACTTCCAAATGATAAAGTCACTTAATGCTTAAAATTATTGAATTAATTATTTTTTCATTTCAGTATGTTTGATAATAAAAAATGAACCTCTTAATGAATTAAGTGATGCTAAAACTGCAGTACAAAATATAAGCAATAAAAATTAGCTTATTGCTTATTCCGTAATTCCTTAATGAACTCAGTATGTCTTATTCAGTATTAAGCATTAAAAAATAAACACTAATTTTTATCAAACAAATCTTATTCCGCCATCTGTTTGTCCAACCTTAGTCGACACCAGAATGGATTAATAGTGGGAATGCACAATAACCTTTATGGGCCTTGGTGGAATTATACCCTAAGCTAAGCTTATTTAGACCCATACAAAAACAGACTGATTGTGGTAAAAGATCTTAAACCACATGGGCCTTGTAGACACTGCTCTAACCTTCTACTCCCCTCTATTAAATTAGTCATAATTCTGAGGTTTATGATATGTTTTTCAGGATTGATTTGGTTAATTTGGTCCATCAACCAATACAGTAACACAGAAATGGAGTATTTCATGACCACCCATAATCCATCAAATTAATAAAGCGCAATCCAATAAAAATTCAATAAACTACTGGAACCATTTAAAAACCAAAGTAACAAGTTAACTAAACACAACAAATCCTAGCTACATGCATATGATGACATTCAGAATCCAGAATTGCCAGACATTGCAGTCTTAAATGACACTATAGATATGTATTATAACAAAGGGTTTTGTGAGCTCTTGTCTCTCTTGTCATCATTTCTTGTTGGGAGCTCCATTCACAGCGAGCTGTAAATAAAAATTGGTGAAGGATAATTAAGCTGCGAGTTTTAAGTGTTGGATCATAAATAGAATGAAAACTAGTTAGTTTAAGTCTTAAAAGACTACCTGAATACAGGACAAACTGTGTTGCACATCGCTGTCGGAGATCTGGTGATGAATGACAAACCTAATCCTGCAAATTTGGCAGATTTTAGCTTCTTATCCATCTGAAAATGCAAATTGAATCTGTACAAGTTGCTAGAAGAGAAGAAAAGATGGTCTTCTACACAAAAATTTCATTTGAAAATGCAACAAAGGAGTGCCCACCTTATATGATAAAGACAACCTTGCATGAAACAAATTAGTCAATACTATCTAGGAAAAATTAGCGTAGAAATGCACCTGAGTGGGCCTTCGGGTAGAACAAGTATACCATATCCCTCCAACATCTTACACAGTTTGGTTTCTGTGATGTTTACGCTCTCCAGTATATCGCAATACACCTAATGACGAGAAATTGGAAAATCAAAACAGGTGTGTTCGCTGTTTGCTTGATTAGAAGAGGAAAAGCCCCAAGTTTTTTCCAATTTATTCGTCTACACTTGTTAAGAAGTGTAAGAAACTTACTATGTTGGTCTGGACAGAATCCAAGTCCACTTTTAGTCCTTTGATTTTGTTCAGCCCCTCTAAGAAAATTGGCAAATATATCGTCAAATCATTTGCCAGAGATTGACAAAGTATATACAAACAGTTAAACACTAAAAAGGTATAGATGTATCACCTGCTAAAGTCTTGGCTCTTTTGTGGTCTCCCTCGAGTTTACCAACATTTTCCTGCAACGCGATATATGCAGCAGCACACAGGACGCCAACCTGCCTCATTCCACCACCCAAAGTCTTCCTAAGGATCTTAGCCTGAAATTTTTTACCAATGAAATTCCTTAGAATGGTTAAGTTATCAACAAGGTAGGCAGGAAAGGCAGGCGCAATTCGAATAAAATAAAGCTCACTTTGGCAATGAAGCTTTCTGAACCAACAATAACACTTCCAACTGGAGCACCAAGACCTTTTGATAAGCATATCTATAGACAAATAATTAGAACAGATAAAGTCTTAATGCAAAGAACTCCCAAAGGGTAGGACATGAAACTACCAAGAAGAACAAAATCGATATTTGCAACGATTGAACTTACTGAGACAGAATCAGCAGCCTGTACAAGTCTTTGAACTGGAACTCCCAGTGCCTAAGAATGGTATTATCTAATTAAAAAACTTGATATGAATGCTTATAAATAAGAATGATCTGAAAACTGCTCAACTAGACAAAGTAAAGTAAAATCAACAACTTGTACTCACAACTGATGCATTAAAAATACGAGCCCCGTCAATGTGAAGCTTCAGCCCATACTTCTTTGCTAGCTCTCCAACTCGGTCTACATACTCAGGAGACAGGCATCTCCCTCCAGAACTGCACAAGGATTATGTCACCAATCAAATAAGAATGAGCTTTAACATCCCAATTGACATGAGTACATTATTATTTGTCTTGATCAGAAATAAAAGAAGCTCATGTTTAAAGTAAAGAAATCATTCTGCGTATTCACTAGCTATAACTTCAATGTTTTCAACAAAATGTCATACTGAGAGGATCATTAGGCTTACTGGGCATGTGAATTCTCCAAACAAATGAGCCTAGTTGTTGGGAAACAGATCTCGAAGCTAGGATCTCTTATTGCAGCTTCAATTAGCTCAATATCCATTGTCCCATCATCATTATTTTTCACAGTTCTTGGATGAACACCACCAATTGTGGAAATGCCCCCATTTTCATAGATATGGATATGGCTACTATCACCTAATATGATTTCGCTGCCTCTGACTTGACAATGTGTTAGCACACTTATAAGGTTACCCATTGTCCCTGAAGGGACAAACAGGGCTGCTTCTTTCCCTGCAATTCTAGCAACCTCCAATTCAAGACGACGCGCAGTTGGATCATAACCTAACACATCATCATCAACTTCAGCATTCGCCATTGCAGCTCTCATTGCTTCAGTTGGTTTGGTGACTGTGTCAGATCTAAGGTCCACCGTTCTAGCCACCATTTTGAACTGTAATCAATTGGAGTAGAACAAGTGAGTTCGATGCATAGTAAAATAAAAAAGCAAATTTACAGTCTCAATGCATGAGAAACATAGTGAACATCTCATCTGCTCAAACAACTTAATGATATGTAAGAAACCACATCATCTCATCTGACATCCGACAACAGCTAGAAACCACAAAAATTAAGAAGGGAAAACTGTACAACTTTCTAGTAAGACCAGAGAACAGAGGCTTTTGAATATCATCTTTTAGATATTTGCAAATGAGTGTAGAACGCATGTTCTGTGCCCAAACAGAAGAAGAAGAAATCCAGAAAACTGGTATCCCAATGCCCCAAACCTTTAATGCATAGAGCTGATGATAGACATTTGTTAGAGACGGTCATTCGAATTTTAGCTTTTCTAAATTCAAAATTGCTTGGACAATTATAAAATGCAGTTCGGGATTGGTAAATCTATCCCTTCACATAAAGACTGGTACTTTCTGGACAGATTCATGTAACTGTGTAATTCAGGAATATGATCAAATATCCAGAGTTCTTCCAGTTTCACATTTAGCATGAAAATCCTGTGCACATCCTTTATATCTCCTCCACACGAAATCATGCAAAGTTCTTCTATGTACAAGCATCTTATATGGCCAATGTTTTATGAGTGAGTACCTTTTGTAGTTTATCAACAAAGACGCTAAAATACTCTTTGCTCTCTGCTTCTTACCGGTGCAGCGAACTTTGAGCACCTTACTCAGCTGAAATAAACGCCCCAATGAGTAAAATTAATACATGAACAAGGAAAATGGTCCTACAATTCCAATTCAATTGTACGAAAAAAGGAAACAGAACCACCAAAAAAACATACCAATGATTCAGTGCTCTCAAGAACCCAAAATCAATCACCACCACAGAAACGGAACCCCCAGCAAAACTAAAGTTTATAAATGAAGATTCCAAACTGAAGCACGGCGGAATCTTCGGTTACGTTTGGCTTTTCTTTGCCAAGCCAACCCCACCAACAACCTAAAAAGCACCAAACAGATAGACCCACTTCTGGAACTTTATGGGTTTCGTCTTTTATGCTGAAGAGAAATCAGGAAAGGCATCATCATCACATGAAAATGACAAAAACTGAGTGATGCATGCATATATATATGGTAAAAAGCACACACCAACAACAAAAAACTCAAATTAATTGCTAATGGGGATTTGAAATGGACATGCACGGTTTACGATTCACAATCAACAAACTATTAGGTGTTTAACGCTTTCACAGATGTCAAATTCCAAAACCCAAAGAGAAATCTCATCATTTTAATCAAAAGATTCTTTGGTTACATACATGAACTCATCATTTTGGGCTTTTGGCATTTACCTTTGAACACGTGATTCTGTTGCACTTCCTGGTTTCTTCTTACTTTTTCCTTACTTCCACTCTCGTTTGCATCACAAATCCTCACCAAAGATTTGATTTTTCACACTTAAAAACCTCAAAATGTAATGGTTTTAATTAAGGGGAAAACCCCAAGTTATTTATAGATGGAGTGCATGGAAACAGGGGAGTCTGAACCGAATACGTCATGAATGAACCTATATACTATGGTGTGTCCGAGCTGGAAGATAAAGTCATAAACAAAGGGAGTTTGGTCCAAAATTGCCTAAACTGACTAACAAAGTATAAGAACTGTGCAGACTGCTGACTCATATGACTGATGACTACGAGGATGTGGATTCCACCATTATCAATCGATATGGCCCAATTTTTGGCCTCTCCTTTTTCTGGCCCACGAATAGCATGGAAGCGTGCCGAAAATCTTAGCATAATTAATGGCCCTTTTGTATGTTTAATTTTCAGGAAGTTGGATTTGCTGTTTCCAATTCTCTGAATTCAAAGTTTTGATTGGGGATTTTGGTATTTGAAAGCAGACTCTAATTAATCATGGTTTAAGAGAAAGCAAAGTTTTCTACGGCCTTAAAAGTGATCTTCCCGGAAACTAAAGCAGAGCAGCCGTCATGCAAAGCCACGGCATTTGGCATACTGTTTTTGAGTTTTGACCCCTTTTATTAATTGCATTAAACACATATATAATTTGGTATGTTATTTACTTCAATGTGTTTAAGTCATTGTTCATAGGCCTCCCTAGCTTTATTTTCTCACCTTATTTAAGGGATATGTGCTGCTTTTAATCTTGTATTACTATCTTTTTTTTTTGTAGGGGATATGCCATTCCTTTTCCTTTTATAGAATTCTTATAAGCTAGGCTGTCGGTCTCTATTTTTTTTTTCCTTTTTTGGAACACATTGCACGATCATTAATGGATTCCTACAGCTTTGTGTTATCGCCATAATTTAGTGTCTCAGATTGAAATAATGTCACATCAAAAGCCCTGCCCGAAAATTTGAGGTTATCATACAAAGCTTTTATTCAAGCATGTATATCCATCCCAATTCCCCACCGCGATAACTAATAAGCAAAAGTCAAAGCTCAGTTACCTTCTTTTTCTTTTCTGTTTTATCAAAATCAAAAGGAAAGAAAAAAGTGGTGATGTCTTCTACTATGATCCAAGAAATTCACAGAAACAATCCTTCAAAATTTTTGTCCACAAATTCCTCATTCAACTTTAGCATCAGCAAATCCAAATTACAATTTCCGATTCCTGCATTCAAACTAATGTAACTCCTCATTCCTCCATTCCTTGGACAGGACCACCTTCCTCTACCTCTTGAACTGGACCATCTTCCTCCTTTGCTTGGACTTTAACATCCTCCTCTCCTCCTTTGTCAGCTTCTCTCAATCCATCCTCTACTACTTCCGCAATCTCAGCACCATTTTCAGTGGTTGGGGGAGCAACTGAAACAGAAGCATCGGCACTTGCTTCATTTTCAGTAACAGTAATAACCTCTTCTGAAGCCAGCTCAACAGCTTGATTCGCTGCTGCCCGACCTTCTTCTTCCATTTGCTCTCTTACCCTGTGCTCCTCCATAAGAATCTGAATTCTCTCCTTTTGAGCTAGAAGGTCACCGTAACGCTTTTGCAATGTATTCTCCAACTCCTTTTGCTTTTGAACCTCTTCCCAGAGATTATTAATCCTATTTGATGCAGCTAGTTTTTCCTGGTTCTGCAAAGCTTGAAAGCACTGCAGTTCTGTCTCTGCAGTGTCCATCTGCTTATGTATTGCTTCAATTTGGGACCACAACTTTCCAGCTCTCATCTGATCATATAAAACAGAGAGAAAACTTAAGCCCCACCTGAACTAATTTTAATGTAGTGTAGAAGATATCACTTCAAATTGGAAGACTTAAATTTCCCAACATTAGCATATCAAAGAAAATGGCAAAATAAAAACCAGGGAAACAAAACACGCACACAAACACACACAAAGCGAAAAATACTACACATATTTCCAGTGATTCGCCATACCTGATAGCCATTGGTAAGAATCTTTATTTTGTTCTCTAGGTTCTGAGCTTTCTTGGTATCATCCTCCATCTTCCTCTTCACATTCTCAAACTCAACCTGTAAAGCGGATATCTTCTCCATGTTTCCAGCTACACTAGAGAGGCCATAGGAATTACGTGTTGGGAAATACATGATATCATTTAAGCATGTTTGATGCGCTTCAACAAATTCATCAAAGGATTCATCCTTATGCCCCATTGCTGCACGAAGAAATTCAGACTCCTCCTCAATCAGATTCCCAGCCTGCACGATAAAAATGTATTTTTAGTGAACCTGAAATGACATTTGTTTAGTGCAAGGATAAGGAATACACATTCAAAAGTAGAAACTCAATGTCACATAGAAAAAAAAAAGAAAATACCCCCAGGGACAACTACGTGAGTATAACCACGTAACATGAATGAATTCTCATCAGCAGCATGATTGTATCTAATGCAAAGAAACTTATTGTCTGGATTAACAAGAGAACATCATCATTATAAATAATTTTAAGTAGTACAAAATCTTTTTCTCCAAACCCAACCCCTTTTATCACCGTAAAGGTCTGCAAGAAGAGACATCATTCTGACTGTGAATGAACCAAAAAGATAGCTACAGATAGGAAGAATAAGGATTCAATTTCCTCAGACCATGTATGTAAGTAAACAAAAGATATTTAAAGCATTAAATATTCTCAAGAAGCAAAAATGGTAAACAGGTGCACTTGGGATAACCAACATGTTTAAACCCCATAGAATATACAGCTCAATCCTCCAAGAATTGACAAGTATACAGAAGTTAGCGCAGGAAGCAAAATTTAAGCCAGCTTTTACCAAAAGGAAAAAAAAAACTTCAGCCAGTATATTATAATGTACCAAATGCATATTCTCTTAAAAACTACAGGCAGGTAATAAATTTTAAACAACGTCATGCTCCCTGGAGAAAAAACAGCAAAGGACCCACCTCTTTTAGCTGAATCTCTTCGAAATCTTCGATCACTGGAACAGGAGCAGCCTTTCTTTTCTTCCCTTTCTTCTTTTCTTTCTCTGCTTTATCATCTAGAGGATACTTCACATTATCATGCTCCAGTAAGGAAAGAAGTTCCTTTCTAATCATTTCATCAGCCTGCTCAATCAATGTCGGAGGGACAAAGGAACTCTTATCTTCACCAGCTCTTATAAGAGAATCCCTAATTAAATCCAGTGTAGCAGGAGGGGGTCTAGGTAATTCTCTCTGAAGCACTTTTGATCTTTTCCGAAGTAATGCTTGCTGCCTAGCTTCCTCCTCAGCCTTCTCTCTAGCTATCCTATCAGACATGTCTTCCTCTATCTTCTCCTCTGGCTCCTCATTTTCTTCAGGAACAGGTTGTATGACTATTTGATACTCATTCTTGGGCTGTGGAAGACTTTTCAGACCAGCCAGCAGTTGCTTTCTCGAGTCAGCAAGCACAAGCTTAGAACTATCACGCATCTCCATATCTTCATTAATGCGCAGTTCATCCCTGATCGGAGTACCTTTAGGTGTCATGGAGAAAGCATGTCCATCCCTTGACGGAGTCATACCAATTCTAGGTGTTAGGCCAGAGACTCCAGGGGTAGCGGAAGGAGTCAAAAGTGGATTAGGTGTTTGGATTTCCTTTCTCTTAGGAGTGACTCCAGTGAAATCGGAGGGGTATAACATAGGGTTTTCTCCCCCAAGTAAAGGTGTTTGAGACTGATTCAACCTCCTCTGATTTTCAGCTTCCATCATAATTGCATCTTGCTTACCAGCAGGTGTCCTCTGAGGGGTTCTTAGCGGGGTCATTCCCTGCCGTGGTGTCTGAGCATAGTTTGCCAGAAGCGCACGAGTTGCAGCATTCCCCTCAGTTAGTTCCTCGCTCCCAATCATATCACTAGCTATACCGATTTTCGCAATTGCTTCCAACTCGTGATCTGGGATCTGAGGTGCTGGAAGATTCAATTTTGATCTTCTCCTCACTGCCTCAGGATCATTAAGTTTGTTTGCTTGCATTATAGCTGAAGGAGCATCCTGTCTCTCAGCGATCTTGTTCTTAGCAGCATCCAGTTTCCTCATACGAGCTTCCCTGTCAATTCTTCTCTCACCTTCAAGCTCTTCAATGGTGGTTGGGAAATTTGGTTGTTCCACCGGTCGGTCCTCTTCTGTGACATCATAAAAGCCCGGGGGAGGCCTTTTCTCAAAAGGGATTTCAGCATTGTAATCAATACCCTTCCTCTTTCTCTTTCTATGACGAATATCAATTCCAGCAGCCTTCAGTTCTCTCCTTTTCTGCAATGAAGCAAGCCTGCGAGCCTCTTCAAGCTGCTTCTCCCTCGCCTTCCGTTTAGCCTTTTTACCTCTTGTGTTGGCTAATCGAGCACGCGCTTCGGAAAGCATCTCCTTCTCATCCTCATCCATATCCACAGGATCTGGACGAGCAGGCTTGGCTTCCGGATTTGGATCAATCTCTCCAGGACGCAACTTACGAGGATCATCTGAAGCCTCATAGTTATCCTCCTTTGCACAAGCTGCATCAAGAAGTTTCTCATAACGTTCAAGACACTGAGATGGAGTCCGACCGACAATTGGAGCAATTGTTCTCCACTGTGTAGGCATGAGTTTGGCAAGATGTAACAATTTCTCATCCTCTTCTCTGGTCCACTCAGTCTGCAATATTGCAAATAAATATTTTCAGAATTCCTAGCTCAAGAAAATTAGCTTGATAGATACAAAACAAACAAAGAAGTCCAGTGAAGAAGTAACAAACCATCCAAGCATAATCCATTCTATTTTCTTACTTATATTTGTAAGACAAACCAATCCTCCTACCAATGAACCAGTAATACTGAATACGAAACAAATTTGCTCATTATCAGCAACAATAACAGCAAATGGCATGAGCTAAATTCCCAGAAACAGCAACCAAGTGACTCGGCAATTCAAAGATTCACAATTAATTCACGTCATTCCAAAGTAAGGGTTTTACCAACTACCTAACAAAGTTCACCCCCCCCCCCCTCCCGGGTAAAATCATTCTCTGAATCATGGAAAAATAACCCAGAAACTATAATATGAAAGTCAGCCTAAGATGCAAACACACGCTTACCAGCAGTTTCAAGTTCCCAAAAAAAAATAATAATAATTAAAAAAAAATCAGCTCCTTCAAACAAAAGATAAACCATAAGCATTATGAGTAGAGAAACAGAAAACTAAATCTTCGCATGCTAAAGACTGATAGTCAAATAAATCATTAAGTTCTAGGTTTTCGAAAATTAAAAGAGGGCAAAAACTAAAAAAAAGTACCTTCTTAATTGAAGGATCGAGCCACTCGTACCAGCGAGCTTTGCATTGCTTAGCGGATTTGCGAACAAGCAAGGAAGAAATTCGAGCCCATTGATTCTTCCCATACTTCATAACAGCCGCCTTCAAGATTTCATCCTCGGTGTTCTTCCAAACACCGCCCTTTATCATAATCCTCATCTTGCCTGATTTTGTTTATGCCCTTCCACCAAAAAGTTTGAATTCTATCCCAGAAAACTAAGGAATTCAGCTTATAAATACCTCGTAACTCCGAAGAACCTCGATTCGAGAATCCCTGAAACCCTCTCTTCCAAAAACCACCGAGAATAAGGTTTTCGGAACTTCGCTCCCGTGGGCGGTTCTTTTCCGTGAGATTTTTATGACTTAAAAGAGTTAGGCAGACTTTTGGGCTGGGCTTTTAACCGACCTCACTTATGTCGTTGGGCTAGAATTTATGCTTCCTTTTTGGTCTCCACTTATTTATAGTGGAGTACTAATACTAATTTTTTATTTTATTTTTTTCCAAATTTCTTTTACTGCTTTGAAACGGAGATTTCACAGTCCAACCATCAATATTATGGGAAAAAAAAAATAAAAATAAAACTACATTGATGGCCAATTTTATAATTCAAAAAAACGAAAAATTTAATAGTACCCTATGTTCCTTTGGATTAATTTCAGCTCACTTTTGCTCAAAATTAGTTCTTCCACAAGAATAAAATGTAAGCTTAGGTGAACTAAAATTGCTTCAATCCGAGTCAGTTTACCTGGTTCCGGCTTTAAATATCATTTACAAGTTTGGTTCAGTCCTTAGTTTTCTTTATTTTTAGATACACAATTTGATATCTGTAATTAATTTTATAAACAATACATACTTTAGTCCCCATATCTGAGCGTGATTTCTCCAGACTCGGGAATGAGTAATAGTAATTTGTAACAAAGTAAACCATTCCATTCTCTCATGCAGTTTGACAACAAGGTTCGCCGGACAAATTATAGATATAACTGAAACTGAGAATGATATGAAACTAGATACAAAATTTTTATACCCCACTCTGAGTCTCTGATGCACAATTGAACTCACCACTTCCGTGTCAAATGCATCCCATCTTCAATTATCTACCGGTAAAATGACGCCAAAATGTAGAGACCTAGGGCTGTTGAAGCAGTGACCAGCAATTCCTGCACGTGCACAAAAAATTTCTAATGAGTGACTACCATACCAGCCCTAGCAGTCGTCGATATCATGTACATAAAAAAAAGAACAGTGCAAAGCTTTCATATGTTTTGTAACAATTTCTGGTATGTTTGACCACACAGCTCATGGGGTTCTTTCCAGAGCGAAATGAGCCAATTTTGAGCTTAGTTCTGAGAAAAGCCCTTTTCCATAATAACTGCAGCTGTAACTGTCAACTACCATGTACAGGGGAGCATACGGTGATACCATAAGACTGACCTCTAACACAGGACTCAAGCAATTCGTTTTCTTACAATGCCATTCATATCGCTTCATAAACTTATACCAAGTACTAGGCTCGTAACTATAGAGCATCCCCTCAATATTTTTAACTTTGGAAACATTACCATGCACAAATGTAAAGGTACATCGAACAGAACCAAATGAGCCATAGCTTCTGGGTCCCATGAGTAAATTTCAAATGATAAAACAATAAATCATCAGAGTTTGTTAAACAAAGATTACAAACCTGATTGTAGTACAAAAACCGAGGTATATAACCACCAGTACTTTCAATCAAATTTAGGACACCAGTGTATCCCTGCAACGAAACGATAGAGAACTAAGTTGCCTCAAAAACACAAAAATTTATGTCTAACCCAAGTCATCAAACAACTAGTGAAACAAAAACCAAAGCAGAACTGGAATGTCCACATCTTTACAGTGGAATTTGGAATGTTATTTCTCCATCCTATAATTTCATTTACTTGAATTCAAATGTGATCTCACCAGATATAGAAAACCCAACTTCAGGGAGAAACAATTTTTATCTTAAAAGCTTCAAATTCCTCACACAAATGTTCAAGCAGTACATACACCGAAGATAGATTTTTAAGTTGGATATAAATTTACGAAAATTCGAGGCGAACCACTTACCAGTGAAGCTATCGTCATACAACCAAAAACAAGCGCAAGAGATCTCATTAACCTTTTTCCCATTCTCAACATTTTCCCTTCATCTTCACCATATTCCTGCAGCCAACCCAAGAACAGCTTAAGCAGTCCATATGATCGAATAAAAATTAAGCAATTTGTACACTAACTTCTCCTGAAGAAGAAACGAACACGCAAAAAGTGTAAAACCAGAAAGCGCTAGAGTAAAACTAAAAGTGCTTACATTTAAGGTTGGAGATGCAGGTGCCTCAAATGATTTCAACTTCTCAAATATCCGGTATACAAAAATGAAACCCAAAAATTGTATAGGTTTCCAATCAGCATTACGCTTGATGAAAACCCAAGCTGTCTGCAATTAACCACACAAAAACAGGGTGCTGATATTAAAATTTGATTATTGTAAATGATTCTTTAAGTCCAAGCATTTAACCTCTCTTCTGACTTCTAAGTGCATAAATCACTCTATCTTGCCTTCCTGTGCATGGGTGCATGAGTGTGACATCCATAGACTTGCAGCAAACTAATATGATACAGCAACTAATTCTGGAGGTTAAGAAGTTTATTCTTACAACAAAACAATGTGCTCTTTGAATGTGACACTAGCAAACTAATGTTGTCCAATATCCCTGAATTTCTCTAAAGATTGAAACCTATATGTGAGAAACCGAACAGCAGATGGCCTTTATCTACTTACAAAAAGGGCAGAAATTGCCAAGTTGATCTTTATATCCTTGCCATCAGACTTGGCGTACCTGAAAGTTCGAGAAAACACAAAAAAAATAAGTCAAACAATGCAACCATTTCTTTGCTGCATGGAAATCAAGAATTAGCAGATGGAAAACAAAGAAGAGCTTCTGATTGTGAAACAAATGGTTTTATTTTTTATCGTTAAACATTTTCTTAAAAAGAGAAAACAAAGAAAGAATTGTTACAGTTCACGCCTTTGATGTTGACCGAAGAAAATGGGTATTTCAAGAGTAGAATTGTTAGTCATCACACACACGAGAAATTTACATGGGCATCTTTGTATGGAGGAGTTTAGATATCCACAAAAAATAAAATAAAATAAAAATCAGTTGGGTCGTGTCTTACTTGGCTAGTCTATTACTAGTGAATTGTAAATCATCAAATGAAAAAATTTATAGAATAAAAGAAACGACCAAGATTGACCACTAAATCAGCGGCATTACATGTAATTGGTCAAAAGTATACCTGGGGCCCCAAGGTACAATTGGCAGCTTATCGGCATATTTTATATCCTTAGAGACCTGAAAATTCATGCAAGTCGAGGATGATAAGTAAACTAGCTGCAAGTTAATCAATTAGACATATAATGAACAGGCATATTAGGCTTCAGCAGTCGATAATAGACCCAGTAGAAAATAGCTTAAACGGCATCGAATCATGTGCTTCATAGCTTAAAGAAGAACCTTCATGATCAGTCCAGTGCAGCAGTAATTAGCCTGGAATCAGTCACATTCTTTTTTATACATCACATACTGGCTTTTCATTGGCATCAGAAGGGCGAATTGGAGCAATAACAAGTAATTCAAAAATTGACTACAGGATCATGAAGCAACCTCAAATGAAAGATCCAACTCTCAGATGCATATTGCTTCTCATCCAGGCATGTTTAAGCAGCAACGGACAGGTTTTACAGTCAAGTGTATGGAGAACTCATTTAAACAAAGGAAAAGGGGGTATTAAACATACCTTAAAGTTACCAAAAGTTTCCCCTTGCTTCCTTTTCATTAATTGCGACAGCATAATTTTGTCATATGCACTCTCCAGCTGCAATTGTTGAGTATACATCCACAGTTAACAACCAGAGTAACCAATTTTTACAAGGTCTAACAAAACAAAGCAATAGACACTTGCCATTGCCGAAAATTACAAGAACAACAACTCAAAAGGGCTTGCAGTACCCGATTGGCAGTAGCTTCATCGCCTCTGCTTTCAGCATCCTTTTTTTTCTTAGCATACGCTTCCTTGATCTTGTCAAACCCAGCAATGGGGCTCACACCAAGAATCTAATCAACAATCCAAACGATTCAGAAACCAAATCAAAAAGTATGTCTGCTTACAGATTCTACAATCATGAACCAGAACCCAAACCTCGTATGGATTAAAATCACTGTTTGAGCTAGAACTTCCAGCAGCAGATGATGCAGCCCGGATGACACATTTATTCACCTTGTATATTTTAGAAAACCTGAAGAACTCAACATTTGAGAAAAAATTCAAAACTTACCAAATATCCATAACCAAAGCTCTCATGGAAAAGGGACGAAATCTCTAAATTCAAGTCCAAATTCTTGGCAAGCAACTCAAACAAACAAACAAAAAAAAGCATTGGGATTCACGCGAGGATAATGTTTCGGGCACTAATCACATTCCTCGAGTTTCAAACGGGACAAATAGAAACAAGAATCAATACAGCCAAACAGCAGTTGGTGACTTTGACAAATTACCTAAGGCATGAAGGGGTGATTTTAGGAAATTGAACTGAACCTCTGAGATGAGAACTTTGATTGGAACAGGGGAAAGACGTCTTGGGACATTGAACTAAGCTTGATGAAAGGGATAATGCCATAGTTTCAATCCTGCTTCGATTGAATTTTGCTGTCAAACTTACTTCGCATATTGCATCCTTAGGGCTTTTCCTGGGTTTTGTCTTTTGAGGTTGCCGTTAGGATCATTAGTCATACAGAGACTGATGCTGGACTCATCTATTAGTCTATATATAAAGAAAAGGTACGAAATTGTTGCTAACAGGTTCGCGTGGCCTAATGGATAAGGCGCTCGCCTCCGGAGCGGGAGATTGTGGGTTCGAGTCCCACCGTGAACGTTTTTTAATTTCATTTTTCTTTTCTTTTTTTGGGGTGTTTTGAACTTAATTTTTTTCTTCTGTTTTTTTTTTCCTTTTTTTTTTTTGGTGCTTGAACTTCCAATATAATTTTGATTCTGTACGTGAAATGATTTTTTGTTGTCCTTTTTCTTATAATTTGTCTTTCTTTTTTGGTTAAACTTCCAAGTTCCAATATTATTTTTGATTCTGTACATAAAACGATTTTTATTGATGAACTTGAATAAAATGTAAAAACAATCAAAAGAAGTACAATTGCTGCTCCTCCATTCCTCATTACTTTTTGATATTTCGTGCAGTATTCATATGGCAAAAGGACTCATATTATCAACTTTTGCTGGCCTTCATGTTTTTTAAGTTTTTGAAGACTTAAAAATCAGTATGTTCGAACTGCTGATCTTAGCTATTGTTGTGTGTAAACTTTCTTCAACTTCGTCCACCCCGTTTTCAGAGTATTTTACTTGACGTGTAAAAACAAGGAATAACAAGAAATTTTCCTTTTGTAAAACAGTAAAAGTAGGCAATGATCACCAAACTTTTCAGAAGGATAAACATTGCATAGATTCAGGGAGTACAAACTGATGTCTCAGCTGGTCAGATCATCATTCTTGAACGGCGTACAAAACAGTCAAGAGTAGCATGCGGCAGGCCGCTTATTATTTATTCGCATACTACAGTTTATACCGCAACATTCACACAGATCAAGACAGGTAAAAAAAACCAAAACAAAAGCTCGTTTCGTTTATTTTACACAACAGACATTGGGATTTCCACCCCCCTCTGCTGAGACTCAGAGTACTGTGGGCTGAGAATTGTGACTTCCTGCCTGTTATACTTAATCCTCCTGGCTTCTTCCCTTGATAGCTGGTAAGCATTTATCAAAACCTCCTCCGGCATGGCCCTGATCACTGATGTTTTTCCGACGAGTGGACTGGTTCTAGCCTGGTCATTAGTCTTCACAGTGAACCATTCACAGCCCTGGTTTCCAGCCTGTTTGAAATGAGCAAAGTTTTGTGGGACGATCAGCAATTGGCCTTCCCTCACTTCTCCGTCGAAAACGGGTCGGTTCGAGTTCCCAACTATCTGTACTCTGGCATTTCCTCTTGCAATGTAGCTTATGCTGTGGGCGTTGATGTTCCAGTGAGGTGCAACCATGGCAGCAGGGCGAAGTAATCCTCTGCCGGCGCTCAATCGGAGGACCCTCAAAATTGGTAGATTCAGGCTGTTGAGTGCGGCAATGCTTCCACCGTTGGCTGTGTAAATATCGGCCCTCTCAGGATTTGCGAGATTCTCCCTGAACCTCAAGCTGCAGATGGTTTCCTCGAATCCATTAGCTTTCTCGTTCATGTAGTATCCTCCTCCCTGTTGTTGTTCCTGGAATTGCTGTTCTCTCCTTGGGCTTACAATGCGGAACTCATCTCGAACCCTGATGATGCTTCCTCTGTTGTCATTCTCATTCTGTAGCTTCCTTACTGTTTCTTGATCTACCTGGAAAGCCTGTGCCAGAATCTGCGCATCAAATGCTTGGAAGATATTGACTCCCTGGTGGCGCTGCTGTCCCGGTTGTTGTTGTCCCTGATAGGTTCCTTGCCTTTGTTGCTGTTGTGGGTTTCCGGCAATGAAAAACCTCTGCAGAATCAAACAGGGACAAAAGAGGGGTTACTTAATGATGACAGAAATCTACATAAATTGAAAGACATATAATTAATTTGTTAGACGTCTATAATATACCCTTAAGTTTTCATCAAGTTGGTTCTCTAGATTGGCGGTGTGATGAACCACAACAAGGACGAGATCCTGATTGCCTTCGTTGTGGCACCAATGAGCAACTCCAGTGGGCAAAGCAATGACATCTCCCCTGTATAATTGATGTATTTTCTGGTGCTGATCCCTGAACCTCTGTTGGCCTTGTTCACTCTGTTGCCCCTGTATTTGTCCTACACTTTGGTATGTCTCTGGGCATCCAGGATCCATTACTCCAAGTATACCATTTCCTGTTGAAAATTAACAATCAAACTTCATCAAATTGAACCCAAAAGAAACAACAATTAAGTCTTCTGGACTAGAAAGCAATGAAATAAATGTACTTACCTTGGATGACAAAAACCATAGTCGGGGCATTGTTGAAAGAAGGCAAGAGGAGGCCCCGAGACCCGATAACGTGACGGGTAACAGCGACACCAGCACACCTCAATTGCTCATTGTTGGAGTCCCAAAACTCGCTGTATCCGCCTTCGTATTCGAGGCGGCGCATGGGCTCAAGCGGGTTGAGATTGGTGAGGGAGCATTGACCCATTCCTTGTTGGAACTGCTGGCCTCGCTGAACAGCTAGGCAACCACTGAACAGAGTAAGAAAGCTAAGAGCAAGAAACTGCAAAGAAGAGCCTGCCATTGTATTTTTCTTAGACTACAACTGAAATATACAGAAATGGAGAAATTGGCTTGGGATTCAGGGAGGGGAAATGGTGGGTATTTATAACAGGGGATTGAATTGCATGAGAATTGACACCTTGCAATGGAGAGTGGCACCTGGCGCGGCGAATTTGACAACTGCATCCAAAATTGCATGGCATATTCGGTGGAGAAGTGAATACGCGTCACTGCATTGTTCTTGTCATTGTCTGCATGATTTATTGTCGTCTTCATCTTTATCGAGTTTCGATGGATGCCGGGTTCGGATCGATCCATCTTTCCATTTCGCCATGGCTGAGCAGAATTTACGGGAGAGGCCAGTTGTCGCTAGTCATCATTACTACTCTCTTCAGATGACTCATGAGTCATGAGTGACCGCTCAATTTACAGATGAACTGTAAACTAGTAATGTCAGACATTCAATACACCTGAATTAAATGATGCCTGAACTTTATGTAATACTATAATATCTGAATTATCTCAACAAGAAGAAGACATAGCATTGAGTTAGTCGATTGTTATCTGATTTTGACAATGTTTTTTCCTTTTTTGTTTATTGGGGCATTGTAACAGAATCTTACGTATAAATCATAGAATATCAACACTTAGCGGATGTTGGATAAATTTGGTAATTAATTTTGCGCGGAAGTTTTCTATACTTGTCCACATAGCTAGCTAGTTAATTAAACCTGGAAAACTAACTACAACAAAGCCTGATTAAGTACCATCCTCGATCTCTATTATATTAGTACCATTTTAGTGACTTCTCGAAACGAATTGGAAACTCAAATGATATATTTTTTGTCCTAAAAAAGTAATTCACATTGAGTTTTGATATTTTTTTATTGTGACTATTGTTCTAGTACAAATTTCAAAACTTATTATAGACTATTTTTATGAGACAGGAAGATAGTTATTTTACTAGGTTGTTGTTTGTCGCGCGTTGCCCGACTATTTTATATACACTGTGTTATATATTATAAATATTTGTATTAATTTATTTCGGATACAAGTGGCTATAGTGAAAAAGTAATATTACCAAATTAAAAATCTAGAAGAAACTCAAGATTGAGAGAGAGAGAGAGAGAGAGAGAGAGAGAGAGAGAAATAGATTGTATCTTGTGTGATGTTACAAAACACAAATTTGGGGAAGATCATATTTCTATGAGAATGATTAATTAGTTTAACCAAGATAGACAAGGAACGAAGATACATAAATACAAAGTTCAGATCTTTATATTCTCCAAAGAGAAGCAAATAACTGAGGATAGCAATGGTGAAAGATTGTCACCTCAAGTCAGAGCTACCATAACTCGCCAAGAAAATTAAGCAATGGTGAAAGATTCTCACCTCAAGTCAGCCCACCTTCCAAATTGCTAACGGTGTTTTTTTATTGTCACAATCTAAAGTAAGGAACCAAGATAGAGCACAGAAACAGTATGTTAAAGCTGGAACAATAAAAGACAGGCCTGAAATATTTTAAAGAAAATTCATAGGATTGCTGGATAAAAGCATGCATTCTTAAATGATCAAGCAAAGGTATAAGTGCGACCAAACAACCAGCAAATCCAAAAGCTAGTATTTTAAGATCTCATTCTAGGCAACACGGAGTCATCTGGAGACCAATTAAGATCCACCAATACTTCAAGCCACACCTCCTGGCACTACGATGCAACTATATCCAGATGCCAAAAGAGTTCTTGTTGCCGGTGTAAGTCCCAAATGTCCATAGATGTTGCAGGAGAGGTGTATGAAAAACCTGTAGCCAATTTTTCACTTTAGGACAAGCCAACTTCTATAAAGCTGCCCTTTACAGGTAAAGAGAGTTGCACTACAAAATCTACTTCCAAATAACAAGCAACACACGGAATAGGACTAAATTTGTATCATGACAAAACCAATCAAAGCATTATGACAGGGGGAAAAAGAAGATAAATATCAGTTCAGGGGAACTATTTTTATACTTAGTACATCACACTGCAAAATAATGGAACAAGGAAACGCATGTTTTATCAGACAATGATTTAAATAAGAAACACAGCAAGATATCTTTAACAAGCGATGAACAGTACTCTTGTTCACAGATTCACAGACTAAATTTAACAACGATTCTCCAAATAAATTAAAACTCACAGGAATAGGACAGCAGGAACCAAGCTTTTAAGAGGCAACTTGTCAGCCTTTTTCAGTTTGCAGGTAGACACAGGCATCAATAGGTGATATGATGCCACTGAACGACAGAAGTAGCAATCCCTGTCACTGGATATCAAAATCATAATGTGCCTGAAAATTATGGAGCAAAGATATCAATGAAGCCTGCGTTTCATCAAATCCATTTTGAAGTAACAAAATCACATGTATTTAAAGAGGAAAAGAAAAAATACAAACTTTGGTTCATCCAAGTTGATCAATTACAAAATCAAAGCAATTTAAAACACAGCTAAATAATTAGACATGTCTGGGCTAAGAGCCTGCGTCCGGATCTATTTGTGCAATAATTCACAACCCACACAAGATTAGAAGCAGACCAAAATAATCAGACTCTAAAAGAAAATTCATAGTCTTAAATCCATCTCCAAAAGCGCTAAACATACTCGCTACTCACGAGACAAGTTTTCATCCGTAGCAGGAATCTTATGGTACAGAGTACATTCAACCAAACATGTTATCATTTAACTTGAGAAATCTTAAGGAAAAATAATAAAGAAAAACAATCCAGCCCAACATAACATTAATCAGTGCATTAATCATGCTGTTATCATTTATGTTGATGATTTTTTACCATTGCATATTTGTTGTTCTTAACTCTCTAATTTGTGCATTGACAATTCTTTATCGACAAGCACTATCGATGCACAAGCGAAATGAAAATCGGCAGACACAAACCTAACTGCAGAAAAAAGGTTTAAAAGATTCCCCAAAAAGCGAGCTCAGTGCCTAAGTGAACAACATTGGGACTCTACTTGGTCAAATCAAAACAAACAAATTCAGTTTAGCCAAGCAAACAAGCCAAAAGCCAGAGTTACCAACTAACCAATTTGAATGGACAAAGTTCCAGCAGTCTGCACCCGACCAAGCCAAATTTGGATCAGTAATCAATTCAAGAAGACAAAACAACCCAGACTTCTAAACTGAGCCTATCTCGACGTATCAAAGTTGCATTTTTCTTAAGCTCAATCATAAATGTATATATATTATACAGGGGGACAATACACAAAGCAGATCTTAAACTGACTCAAATTCTTACTTAGCTTTTGTTCCTTCTAGAGATCCACGAATTAATCTTGTGCAAAAAATCTTTGAATGAGGAATTACTCCACAAAAACCTAACCAAGTAAAAATGAAGCAAGAAAAAATCGCAGTACATGAAAATCTTTCAAAGAAGAATTAATCCACTTCAGCCTAACTAATTTAAAAAACCAAGCAAAACTTCATGCCATCGAAGCAGTCCACATATTGTGCAATTTGTTTCACCAGGTCCACGAAACTTGATTGCCAGCCCTGTAGTCACCATGATCATCGAGAAACATACAGCCATGTAGTTACCATGATCATCGAGAAGCATTTTTTCACCCACGTATGTAACGCGGCAGAATTAATACGTTAATTGCTTGGAACAATAGATGATGAACTTACCTCAAATTTCCCTAGATATTTTACGTTTTAATCAGCAAATTTTTCCGTGAGTTTTGGTGGCTGATGTTTCTCATCCAATGAATCGATGGGAATGTAAGCAGCCATCTTGCACCAAAAGAATTATCTTTATAGTAAGTAAAACCTCAATATTAAAACAGTATTATAATCGGAAGGGAAATTATATATATTGTGATGGAGGGGAACAAAAAGTTGAGAACACACGGGAGCAAAAATCAGAGACTTGAGTGTGCTTCAAACTACATGGACTGAACTTTGCTGAAAATGCATATTCTACTTTCTTTCGACTTTCAAGACTATTTTTGTTTTTTTCATGGCTATTATAACCTGAGACTTGAGTGTAAACTTCCAGATTTTTTGCTGTCTGTTGAACTGTTAGTGTTGTTAAGTGTTACTGTGTTAAAGTTTGAAATGAAGCTGATGTATGTTGCCAATTGCCAAGTTAAAGACTGAATAGTGAGAAGTGAAGACTGAAGTTCTCAATTCTGCTTTCTTTCACTTTTCAGTTTTGCTCTTAATGTTGAAACAAAAATATTTCTTTTCTCAATTTCTGAAACTTTGAAATTTGTTGACAATGTTATCATGTATCTAATATTCATATTGTATAAGTCTTAACACTTGTGGACTTTTAGTATGTACTGTGTGGCCTATGAAATATGAATTTTGAATTTCAATTTCAGTTGAACTTTATAAATTAGAATTTGGATTTCAGTTTCAGTTTTACTTGTGGTTTACACTTTACACTTTATAGGAAGAATTTAGTTCATAAATCAGGATTTGAAATCTTGTAAAAAATGGTCCATTTTTTTGGCCATTTTGTTCGGTTTAATCGGTCCCCGACCTGATCTCCCTCATGTTTAATCGGTCAGTTCGGTTCAGGGGATTTGAAATATCGGTTTAGTTTTGAGCAGGTTAAAGAAAATAAAAAAATCGAATTACCCGAACCGAATTCATCCGAACCGAATCGAACACCGAATTAGCAGCCCTAACTTCGTCGAGATATCTAAATTGACGCAAAAGTGGACCGTTTCGGATTCTTTTTGTTTGTTCATGAAGTCGAGTAGTCGACTAATAAAAAGTCCAGTGATGAAGTAATGATCCACACATAACACACGAATAAAGCCAAAAATGACAATAATTTCGGAAACATTTCTTCTAGGCCCTAGATTGCTAGCTAGCTCCCCTGTGATGAAGTTCCTGAATTAATAAAGATGTTGTACCAGAAAACCATGTCATCCCTGATACTATTACCTCCGTTAATGGCTGAGAAATGAAGCTTTGAATATTCTGCACTCTCATTTCTTCTGTCAATCATAAAAGAATCATCCTGGCTGCCGGCCGGTCGTTCAATGTTGGTAAATTCTGGCCTATCTGCTGCATAGATACGGTAATCATCAAATCCCACAACACTCTCACCATCTCTAATTACTTCTGCTGAACTTGAAGATGATTCGGCAACCATTTGAAGCCTTGAATATCTCGACATTTTACCGGCCAAGAAGTAGTGATTCTGTTGAATTACTCTCTTCTTCAACTGAGTATTCCAATAATTCTTTATCTCATTGTCTGTTCGGCCGGGCAACTTATTCGCAATGGCGGACCATCTTCAAAAGAAAAAGAATATTTGTACAATATCAATATATCATATGTGATTATATATAGTTATACGATTGATTTGTCTAAATTGAACAAATTAAAGTCACCTGTTTCCGAGTACTCCATGTAGCCTAATGATGGTTTCTTCTTCTTCTCTGGTAAAATTTCCTCGCTTGATATCGGGCCGCAAATAATTTGTCCAACGGAGTCTGCAACTCTTCCCACACCTCAACAGACCTGGGTTCATGCAATTTTCGAACTTAATTGCGAGCAAATCAAAATAAGGTACCTTGTAAAGAGAAAAAAAAAGAAAAAAAAAAGAAAAGGGCTGCCATGCATGCATAAGTAACACCTATTTGCTGCATGATACAAATGAGTAATACTTTCGTCCCAAAATTATTGTTCAATTTAGATTTTCAGTTTTAATACAAATTAAACTATAAATGAAAATCTAAATCAAACAATAATTTCGAGATAGAAGAAATATACAACAAGAATCCAGAAAAACGAGACACGAGAAATGAAAATTTATCAACAATCAGTTCACAGATATACTTACCAGCTAGTTTGGGAAGTGCCCTCCAGTTTTCATGGCCGTAGCGTTGAACAAAAGACATCAAGATTTGATCTTCTTCAGGAGTCCATGGTCCTTTCTTCAGCCCCATCTTCTCACAACAAGGAACCCTCCCCATATTATGTCTGAATTCTGATTTCTGACTGATTGATTGATTTCGCTCTGTCCTTAGTACATGAGGCTCTAGACTAGGATGATGGGGACAAATTTAAAAGAGATCATAAAAAAAGTGCAGCTCGGAAACGTGCAAAATGAGGTTTAATTTAGAAATGATATGAAAGATATACCCATAAATATTACTCTATAATGGATACGCATTTCTTATCTTGGTCAATGTAAATGTTAAGATTAATAATTATTATCCATTTTCATGTGGGCTAATGATTATAAGTATATTTTTCTAAAAGCAATTCGTGGTACTTTCTGCATCAAGGAGACAAGGACGTGGTGATTTTCTGGGTTATTTCTTCAAGTTGCATAGTGTAGTGGACATTGGACAACCTTTTTATTTGCTTTGTCTTTTTATTTTCCGAAGTCAAAAATCACACGCGGCACGTGCCAACCCAGCCCGCCATATTTCTTATGTGCCTTTTGCTTTCTGGTTGACTTATAAAGAATTAGATTGCGAGGATTGTGTTCAATAAACTAAGCAGTAATTCCAATAATTAGTAGTTCTAAAAGGCTAATAGGATTTGCTTGTCAACTGTAGACTATGATGCTTGTCAAACACCAGTTATCCCATCCATCGAGGTGTCTACAATTCAGCGAGGGGGATTAGTCACTGTTACTGACCGCGGACACCCTGCAAATATATGTGAAAAAAAAAATTTATAATGCGGGCCTAAAGCACTCTTGGAGATTCATGAATGTAGTCTGTTCTGGCGTTTAATCAAGCGCTTCAAGCTTTTCAAAATGGGACTGATTTCAAAACAAATAATATTCAAGAATCATTATCAGAAATTGACTTCATCGTCCAAAAAAAGGTACCTAGAGAAATGAGATGACGAATGTCGACGATGAACACAAGGACATTAGAAAAGAAAAGCAAAAAAAAGTGACACTTGATGCCATTCTTCAAAAGTTCCTCACGATTCTTAAAATCAAGACTTTTTGCCGACATTGGATTTTGTTTGAAAAGTCAGCTTCTGTAGCCGTTTTATTCAGGAAAACTATGCATTTCTTTAGTACACTCATTATAGCTTTAGAGTGGCTTACACATATTTCTTTTTATCGCTGATTAGTGATTAGGATAGCCAATAAGGAGCAAAATAATCATGACATTTCTTCGCACTCCATATTTTGGACGTCAAAAGTTTAGAAGAAAAGGAAACTTAGAAGATATCATGCATTCGCATATAATAATGTACTTTTCAATGGTTGACGATGAAATCAAGAGAGAATATGAATTATGAAATGCGATTATCGAAAAGTCCACATTCTTTGTGATTTTGTGATTGAGTATTAATTATATCATATGTTATTTGAAAGAAGTTATCGTAACATCCACTGATTAAACAATGGATGGAGTACAAATCAAGGTACAGAGTTTAAGAAGTTCTACTATTCGTGGCAGTTTATTACATGAATTTGAGGGAAATAAAATGCCTATAGTTCGAATCACATGAAGCATGGGGGCTGCTGATTTTTTTTTTTAGTTGTTCTTTTCTGAGATGTTGAAGTGAAATCCATCAGGGAACCTTATAATTGGTGCTCTGACGATTTTTCCACCCTTCACCATTGTCCATCTGGGAAACAAAAGAAGAAACATATAAATTTTGAGGATTATACTAGGATGTGGAGAGATATGTCCGAACTCTTCTTAACCTTGTTGAATTTTGAGGTTAAGAAAATGGCTAAGAAAAAATACCTATATTTTGTGACCATAACATGTAAGAAAGTGGCCAGCAATGCCTTGCTGTACTCTGCTCCAGCACATTGCTTCATCCCTGATCCAAATGGCATAAAGCATTTTGATACCACACTTGGCTGGATCTCCTGTCAGTCACAAACAAGTACATGAATACTAACTAAATCAGTTAAAAGGGCCTCGTTTGGATTTGTTTTTTTCTTTTCCAAAAAGAAGAATGCCATATATTGGAATTGTTCAGACCTTCCAGCGCCATGGATTGAATGCAAGAGGATCTTCAAATTGGTTAGAGTTCAAATGCAGAGCTGCTGTTGCAATCATAATCACCCATCCTTTTGGAATAGTATATCCTGTTGATTGTGTAAGAAATTAAACACTGGAGCATGATTGAAGAATCAGAATTTAATTGAGATTAAGATGAAATCAGGATGTATACCGTTGACAGGGATATCTTTCAGGGCACGACGGAAAAATCCGGGCGCAATGTTCCCTAATCTCAAAACTTCATTGATAACCTGCAGAAATTACCCCAATAAGTACGCAGAAAAAGTCTACCTCGATGTTAAAATCCTTCATGTAACAGAACCATTAATTACCTGCATGGTAAATGTCATTGATTTGTATTCACTCCATGTTAATGGTGTATCCACGTTCTCTCTGTTCTTCAGGATTTCTTCATGCTCGGCCTTGAAAGAGAAAATGTCAGTCACCTCAAAATTTGGACAGAATCTCAACTCAGATTTGTGTCAACGGATGATTTGTGTACATATATTACTTACTATTAATTCCTGGAGAACAGCTGGATGATCTGCGAGTAGCTTAAATGCTAATGCTAATGTTGTCGAGATGGAATCCGAGGTGACGAATAACAGACCGAACATCAACTGAACTACGAAATCTTCCTTAATGTATGCCTCAGTGTTCATGTCCTGGATGATGCCGTCAAGCAAGTCTCCATAGCTCCTTTCAGGTGCTGCAAGCCTCTTTCCGACGACATCCTTCATCAATTCTCTCACCTTCTTGTGAATCTGACAGTGGTTTTCCAATCCGTTAGCTGACAAATGCTACTAACTTGATCAGGTAACATTTAGATAGAAAACAATTTAGGGGCATTTGGATTTAGGTACCTGCAAACATTTGTGATGTGCAGTACCAGGGAAGTTAATAGGGAAGGACATCATTCCTTCAACTAAGTCCTTAAACATTTCACTGATATTCAGTGGTGCATTTTCAAGGTCGCCGCTGAAAATTTGTTGTGCTGCAAAATTGACAGTCATCTGCCAAAAAAGGGAATGAACAAAACAACTCAGTTTTCACACTACCATTTTAATAGTCCTGTTTCAATAACGCGACTATTATTATGGGACGAAACAGAATATAAAGGTTATTGAGATAGGTCAACGAAATTTAACTGTAATAGAGGCTCCTTTGACTTCAACTGAGTCTTTATTTGACCACTTTCTCAGAGTTTGGTTAGCCATTTCTTCCATCTGAGGAAGTAACTTTTCTTTTAGGGACTCTACACCAAAGTGTTTCAAGGTCAAATTCCTGGTATATTTTTTAGAGGACTGGCTAGCTTGATCGAATACTTCAGCAAATGTATCCATTGACCAAGTGTCGACTAGCTTTCCGTCTTGTCGAAGTAGAAAATGGTTGAATTCGGGGTCTGCGGTGATGATCACCGGCCTCCCTGCAACATTGGTACGGAAAATTGGACCATACCTGAATGAACAGATTGAGAGTATTGTTCAGTAAACGTTCAAATGAAAGAAGTGAATAATGCTAACAAGTTATAAAAATATTTTCCGTCCTATTTTAATAGTCCACGGATGCGCGCATTACCTTTTAAGTCTCTTCTTCAAGAATGGAGGAAGATCAATTGATGGACTAGGGAGAACTAATTGAAGGGTTTCACCAATCAATGGAAGCCCCATAGAACCTGGAGGAAGAACTCCATTGCATCTTGGATTTTGCCATCTGTAAATGTAGCGGGTGATCAAAACTGCTACTAAGGCTACGGCGATTAAGCCAGCCATTGTCGCATCCACTTTCATAACAATTTCTTTCAAATCTGTGAATAATGTGTCAAACTTCAAGGAAACAGACTCCATTTCTTCTTCTTCTCTGTTTCGAAGGGAATTATCAAATAGGAAAAGAGTATCGTTGAGGTTATTGCATTATTACATGATGAAACAATCCTTACTTATATACTATGTTTAAGGTAAGGTGCATGTGCCCAAAAACAAGTATAAATGTTTAAGGCAAGGTGCATGTGCCCAAAAAACAAGTATAAATGGGCATCGAAGGTTCAAATATGGAGTACTATGTGCCCAAAAAAATCAAAAATGGGCATCGAAGGTTCAAATATGGAGTACTTGATATCTTAATTAAATATTCTGTGTCTTGGCAGTTTACGGTTTATTACGACAAGAAATGGTACTTTATAGTACTTAATTTGTGGCCGGCATGTGAAAAATTATGGATTGATGCTTATAGTCGTTTGTTTTTCGATTAATAGTACTAAAACAACTAAAATACCATTATATAGTAGAACTTGGGTAAAATAATAATTAATAAATTAATAACTTTTAACAATTAATAATTTCTATGGTCTCAAGTTGGGACCAGTAAAAAATGTGAAAAATCGATAAAATGATAAAATAATAATGTTTCAGAAAATGTACTTTATATCTATAAGTCCCAACAACACCATAAATTAATAAATATCCTAAAAGTAAAAAATAATAATAATAATAACTACAAATATTTAGTATAATATAAACTGTTGATACTTGTTTTTTAATCAATAGAGACGAAATGAACTATGTATGGATATCAAGTGTTCAAAAGAGTTTTTAATACTTGATTAATTCGAGTGTAAAGACAATTACAAATTGTGTAATCTAGTGACGGTTCTTGTTTCTCATAGAAATTCTTTAAATTAATAATTTATTAATTTATCGTTTTGTAATAATTCTCTAAATAATAAGTTTTGTTGGTTCCAATATTATTATTAATTTATAGAAATTCTACTGTAAGTTTATACTACTAGAACTTAAATGAGGTAATGCTGATGTGGAAATTAGAAAGGGATCTCTTGTCCAAAATCATTATAAGAGATTCTGTGAAGAGGAATTGGAACAAATCGACTTACAAAAACAGGATAGAATCCAAGATTGATACTTCTCCTAATTTTGGGATTTAGGTAGAGTTACATCACAAGCTACTAGAAAGCGTTTAAAATTTGCTTTAAATCGGAGAATTACTACCCTTATTATCCGATCAGGTTACTCGCAATCTCTCATGCTTGGTGCTATTTTGTTATTCAAGTTGAATACAAATAGATTTTTAGAAGTTGGTCTACCGTTGGAGTTGTAGTTAATTTATGTTTTGTCATCATAATTAGCTAAAAAATCCTAATGGCATCAAATTTGTACAAGGTACAAAATTCCTAGTTCCCCCCATTTTTAGCCATGGATTAAGATTTATACCAAAATTCAATATGTCAGAGTTGCTGAATTCCTCCTAAACTCCCATATTTCTTCTTTCATTTGGTTCCCTCTCGTATTCGAACTCTTGTTATAGTCTTCACTCTACTATTCAAATCTAGAAGCCCGGTAATGGTGTTTGGACCCATCAAGTAGACGGGTTTAGCTGATCCAATAAAAATGGTCCATTTGACAAAAGACCAAATGGAAGTTTGTTCTAGGCGGCTTTGAATTGAAGTTTAAACGGCAAAAGTTTTGATTTTGACTATTCTTTTCTCATCCATCCCAACTGGCGAGGATTACTTGAGAGTTCAGATATTTAGCGAAAAGAAACACACGGAGAGACGACAACGAAGACCACTACGATAAAACGAGACAAAGCTTATGCAAAATCCTGCAACTCGTTTTAAATATATTTTGAGAAAATAAGCACAGACACCTGTTAAATAATGATAAAGTTAATCATAATCCCTCAATAAAAACAACTACCCTTTATAGATCTCAAAATTTTTCCCGACCATAAAACCTTTCTTAATTACTTACCCTTTTAGAGAAGTGCTGATGTTTTCTGCAGTGATAATTCTTTTTATTCTCCCGGAAACCCAAAATTGAATCTTTTTTTTTTTTTTTTTTCTGCTTTGGATTTCTGGCTACTAAATAAAGTAGTATGGGGAAGTGTAAATTATTGGGAATTTTGGCAGTTGGGCTATGGTTGATTGGGTTTTGTGGGGTGGCGGTCCATGGAGACGGAGATTCCAGATCATCTTCTTCGGAAGCGTATGTGACCCTTCTTTATGGGGATGAATTTTTACTGGGTGTTAGGGTGCTGGGCAAGTCCATTCGGGACACTGGATCCAGTAAAGACATGGTTGTTCTGGTTTCTGATGGCGTCTCCGATTACGCTAACCAGCTTCTTCGGGTATGTCTTTTCAGATTTCTTTGCTGCTTTTCTGTTTGTGAATTCGTATGTTTTCCAAGCATCAGGACATGCAAGTTTAGATAAGTTAAAAGTTATAATTTTGGTAAATCCTGGTTCTTGTGATAATTCTAAGTTGGCGCTTACTGTTCTGTAATATTAAGCTGAAAACAAGATTTGTATTGAGCTGAACGGGTCCATAATTTACCTTCGTGATTGAGAAGCAGAAATATAGGTGAACATTGGATTTGTGGGGGGTTTATTTAGAGTAATGTTTTCACAATTGAGATGAATATTGGAGCTGTGAGCCTTTACCTAAGAGTAATGGTATTCACATTAAGATGAACATTGGAACTGTGGGATTCTACTTGAGAGTAATGATTTCCTATTTACCTAAAAATTGAGGTAAGTTCAAAATCACCACTTACACTTATTGATGCGTAGATGTATGTATGTATATGGTAAGGAAAGATGATTGTTCTTTCGTGTATGCCACTTTTTGTATTGAATGATTTCCTTCAGAGCATGATAATCTTTAGTCAGAGAAAGCTAGTAGATAGTGTAGGGATTAAGCGATTTACTCTGTGATTTCAGTTTTTTCGAATTGCATTTTTGGTGCTTGGTTTTTATATTTTAGTTTTTAGACGGAGTCATGATATTTTATTTCGGTGTTATCTGACAGTCAATTTTAAGTGGTAACTTCAAGTACTTACTAGTTTATGCTAGTGCGTTTTTTAACTTAACATTGTTCTTTTATTGCAGGCTGATGGTTGGATTGTTGAGAAAATTAGTTTACTGGCAAACCCTAACCAAGTGAGGCCGAAGAGGTTTTGGGGTGTTTACACGAAGCTAAAAATATTTAACTTGACAAAGTACAAGAAAGGTGAACATTTGTCTTAATTAGTTCTTGCTTTGATAGGAAGGATCGAAATTGTCGTTGACTAGCACTTTTGCTTCAAGTCTTGAAATCTAATTATAGTGCCTGTTCTCATGTCTCTCATTGCTTCCAACGTATTTTTTTACTGCCTACAATGTTGTGAGGGGTATTGAACTTACTAATTTGCATACATGTTTCATGAACAGTTATTTCTTTTATTTGTTGGCAGTGGTTTATCTTGATGCCGATACAATTGTGGTTAAGAACATCGATGATCTCTTCAAATGTGGGAAGTTCTGTGCGAATTTAAAACATTCAGAAAGGCTAAATTCGGGTGTCATGGTAGTTGAACCGTCTGAAGAAGTTTTCAAGGATATGATGAGCAAAGTCAACACTTTGTTTTCTTACACTGGAGGTATAATCATCAATAATCAGATATCAGTATAGTTGCTCGTCCGTTTAGTTTCATATATGCTAATTTGATATTAGCTGCTGCCAATGTTTTTTTTTAAATCTAGTTTCAGTTAATTCTTTCTGACATGTTTCTTTTGGTGCAAATTTTGGTTATATTTGTTATTGAATCTTCAAAGCTTGAAATTATTTAAGCATTCACTATTTTGTTTACAAATATTCTTACACCAGTGTCACGTTTTGAAGTTTTGTTTGATTACTCATTCTACTGCGAGACGATTTAATTTGGCCAAGTAATTTTTTTCCTGCTTTCTAACAGGTGATCAAGGGTTTCTTAACTCCTATTACGTGGGATTTGCTAATGCCCATGTTTTTGAGCCAGACCTATCACCTGAGGTGTTGAAATCTAGACCAGTTCCTGAAATGGAAAGACTTTCCACATTATACAATGCTGATGTTGGTCTTTACATGCTTGCTAATAAGGTATTATTAATTTGACCTCCAATCCAAAGTCCATGTCCCTATCTATCTATCCAACGTCAGTGTTTGTCAGATGAGTGCATGAATAGCTAATTTTTTTGAGGATAAAAGCATATGCTTGTATTGAAGTTCGTTGGGGACATGGGCTGTTGTGCAGTGGATGATATTTAACTGTTTTTGGAAAAGCTTCAGTTTAACTGCTAAAATAGTTTGTTTGAAACAATGTTTTTGATTACTTATGTGTTTCTCTGTAATAATATGTAGTGGATGGTGGATGAGAAAGAACTCCGTGTCATTCATTACACACTTGGCCCCCTTAAGCCTTGGGATTGGTGGACATCTTGGCTAGTTAAGCCTGTGGATGTCTGGCAGGTATATGAATTATTTTGTTATATATGTGTTGGTTTTATATGTAAATATATCGTTCTCCCTGAGTGTGCTTTCCGAGGTTGTATGCACATTTTTCTTTTGCGAATTAACTAGGATATTCCTAAGAATACATTCCTGTTGTAAGTTCTTATTGGCTGGTGCTGCAGAATGTTCGGGTACAGCTCGAGGAGTCTCTTCCTGGAACACAAGGGGGTAACAATCCAACTGATGAAATCATAGTCAAGTTTCTTTTTCTGCTTCCATTTGTTCTCCTCCTTTTCTTCTATTATCGATCAGTTCTGCAGGTGAGTATGATTGCTCTTTTTTACTTATTTAGCCTAGAGGATGTTCATTCTTTAATGCTGACAACATGCGTCATTCCTCCAGAGTCGTTCATTCTTTGATCATATAAGACACCTTTACTACAAGTTTAGAACCGGGGCAATTTTTACTTACTCTCCTGTCTCCGGCTCCACGTTCAGCACGAATCAACAGGTCCATTTTTTTTTTTTTTGGTTTCCCCTTTTCGTTTGACAATTGTTTCCTTTTGTCTTTATATGGAAAATTTCTATTGTGGCTTATTATATTCACGATTTTTCTGGATACTAAAGCGGAGTATCTGGCTTAGTTCTTACTCGGCATTCACTGTGGTGTTGTTTCAAACTTCATGCAGTTCTCAGATGGCTTCCAGTCTAAGGTCCCTGCTTGCTTGGGTGGGATGTCTATAATGGTTTGCTTTTTGGCTGCTGTGACATCCCTTGCAGTTTCATTTAGTATCATTCCTCGGCAAGTAACACCATGGACGGGCATGTTTCTCATGTATGAATGGACTTTCACGATTTTCTTCCTGTTGTTTGGAAGTTACTTGCACTTGATCACTCAGTGGGGTAAAGCTGTGGCTACTAGAGCGGCATCATTATCTTCTCCTCCTGAATCTTTGGAGTATGACTCTGGAAAAGGTTATCATTCTTTCATGCAGTGAGTAGAATTTGATTTCTGTTTTTCTCGTCTCGTTCTTACCTCCTGCTGGTTGTATAGGTCACCAGCGGAACCTGTCATCTTGTGATGATGCTACCTGTTATTATGGAATGGGGATGGCATTTTTGGCCATTTTAGTACCTTCGTTGCCCTTTATTCTTGGGATTACTGCATTATTTTTGAGGTACTTCCCTTGATTCATTATTTCCCAGATATTGCTGTGTAATTTACATCTGATTGTCAACAAAGTCATTCAGTGGTGGTTTCTGGTTAGGATTCTGCAGTTTTATTGGTGTATGACATCCTAGTTGTGATCTTGTGGCGGACCATTATGTTCCTTGTTATAGACCAATATTTACATTGGAACATGGATGAGTAGTCGAGTCCAAAGGATTGATATATTTGTTTTGGTTTTGTTTTTCTTGTAATCTCAATTACATCTCTTTTTGATTATGTGATTTTTTTATATCTTTTACAGGTTAGGTTTAATGGTAGTGGGAGGAATTGTTCTGGCATCCTTCATGACTTATGCTGCTGAGCATCTTGCAATTAGGTCATTCTTAAGAGGCCTTGAACAACGTGACACGCAAAGGACCAGCAGCATATGCTTCTTGTGCTAACAAATGGCTTGACGATCTCGTAAGCTAACATAAAAAAAGTAGCTGTCCAATATGTAATTTTGGTAATATTTTTGTAGAAATTCTTTAGGCTTGTGCGTTTCAGTCTCAGATTTCTTGTGTTTATTATGCCATGGTGGTTTTCCGAACTTTCTGAATCGGGAGTCCATTAAGGGTCCTATTTTTCTTATGGGGATTGACAGCATTAAGCTTGATGTTGTAAAATAGAATCCTGCTATTTCAAGTGTGAAGATATAAGCATTAGTTTGCCTTGGCATTTGTAATTTGTAAACACCATTAACAGTTCCCCATCTTGGATCTTATCTGTCAAACCTTGTTTTTGTTTTGGATTTCACACTCTCCATTTTGCTGTGATTGGCAATATGAATTTAGACCCTCTTTTAAGTGGATCATGGTTTGTGCTTAAGAAAACTTCTTTGCCAATTATTATGGTGCTACGAACCTCTAGTGGAGTCGACCAATGCGGCTGATTGCCTATGATTTCCAAATGTAATTCCAGAAAAAGAAAAGGTTCTGGAAACCAGAAAACAGAGACAGTGCAGGCGGAAAATCAAGGGCTAGAATATAAAGCTGATCCAGCATCAATTTTTTTTTTTTTTTTCGGTACAATGATCCAGCATCATTTTAACTTCAAGTAATATTTTGTTAGACTGGTATAGTGTTCCTTTTTAATTGTCTAGATTCTTTCTTTTAGTATAGTGCTGTTTAACTGGAGTATTCTGTATTGGAGGGAATGAAGGCCATTGAAATTGAAGTATAAAGCTGAAATCATTGAGGCCATTAGATTTCAGTGAAGCGCTACTTTATTGCCAATATGTGCTTCAGTGCACTGTTAAACCTCCCCCAGCTGTGACGCCAAATTACCAAACCACCAACGAAATCTAAAGTACTGAACTCGCACTTGTTCACATTAAGGAATGAATCTTTGAGCTTCTAATAGCAAATATTATACACAAGCAGCTTTGCATAGTTGCTTTGCCAGTTTGACTTGATCATGTCCCTTCATTTATTCCTTATAAAAAAAAAAAAAAAATCTGCGGATCGAAAATATATTAAGGAAAAGGCTTGTGGATAAAGGCATTCGGAGATTCTGGTTAGCAATAATGCAGATACAACTGCCCTAATAATCACCTAGGAACACATGAATACCCTTTACAATGCATCAATTGTAGAGTACTACTACTTGCTTATTGGGGGAGAGAGAAGGGATAGAGCCCTATCAAAATCATCTTAATTTATTCCAACACTTTCCTTTTCTTAATTAGTATTACTTGGTTTGGTGGTTGCTAATAAATTAAAAGAAACAGACATGGCCACTGTCTATCATTGTTCCATTGTCTTTTGAAATTGATGAATAATCCACTAAAAACCAAAAAAAAATAAAAAATGAGGACCATAATTAATCCCAGGTCCACCCATGGTCACTGATAGGAGTTAGTGAGACAAAAGCTATAAAAATTGAGAAGTTCTTCCCCCCCCCCCATACAACAACAGTGCAAGTACTGATCTCTTTTGTATAGCTTATATATACTAGCCTAAAGATTCATTATTTTTGCAAAAGGATTCCATCACTCCCATGTGGTTCTTCCCATTTATCTTATTTAAAGGCGTAGATAGACCTCAATTATTGAGATCCATCTGTAGTATCGTTGAGTGACACACAAAAGAGTGAAACATGGCAGTCCACACTCCACTCCAAATATTGTGCACATTCTTCTTTTTACTTCTCAGCTATTTGTGTGGCTTCTTTTAAGGTGTAAAAGGGTGAAAGTTTGATGGCAGACACAATAATTGAGGAAAGACAAAAAGCAAACAGAAGACTAGAAAGCCTACAGTTCCACGGCAACCCGTTTTAATTTCGTCGTACAGTCATTAACATTCAACAAAAGCGACATAAGTAAAATAGTAAGAAGGGAGTAGCTCATGAAGTCATGATGGTATGGATAAGCTTCGAAGAGTACAATCTGTACTCCTTGAGGTGATGTTCTAAACTTGTACACATACTCCTTATTAAAGCTTAATATGAAAAAAACAAAAAAAAAAACAGATGAAAAAAAAAAAGTTACGTAAAACCTACTTCAGTTCTGGTAACCGGGGCATTTTGTGGATAGAGTTTGGCCAATAAAATTGACTCTGTCCTAAAAACTTTCTCAAACAGCGATGAGATCTTTCTCCTTCTCAAAGAATATGATGCCTCCCGAAAGAGACTTACCCGAATTAGTCGGAACAATGACTTTGAACACGGAGTGCGTAATATATGGAAAAAAAAAAAAAAGAAATTATGGGTTATGAAATTTTTCTATAGTGCTTTCTCTGTAGTTCCGCAATATTAATAAAGACTGTGTGATAAATATGACCATGCATCATTTCGGAACAAACAAAATACAAGTTTTCAATAACAAATTGTCAGAATAAGATGAACAAAGTTACGCTTCTTTTAGATAAATTTTCTTATTAAGTCCAAGCCTGGTGAAGTGAATCCCACGTGTAATTCTTGTTCTAAAGCAAGAGCTTTCACGTGAAGCTGCATTAGCCACAAAGATGGCCGTCCCGTACTTTGGTGTACGACACCATTTTTATTCCATGCACCGGAATTATCGTCACTGGAGGATTGATTTAACTTTACTCATTTTTCACTTACGTAGCTTTTTTTCCTTTTCCTTTTCAATCAAAGGGATCTTTATCAATGGGCTCCAGTATAAATTGGACACATACACAGACAAAAAAAATTAAGTAGAGAAAAGAAAGAAAACAGGAAAACGGAAAGGATAAGTGGCTAAGCTTATGTGTGGTGTCCATTCGTATGGTTCTATTTGGTCTGAAATCTAGCATTGAGGATTTGGTCCCTAGCTATCGACTTGGGAGACACCCGCTTTTAAGGCACCAAATTCACGTCCTTCAACTGTTGTACTTTGGCGAAGTTGGGGTTTGGTATACCAGCATTTTCCAAAATCGAGGGACGAGCTTATTCCGTCAGCCCCCCTCCCAGTTTCCTACTGTTAGATACTACGAGATAAAGCAAAATCATGATTTTCAAATGAGATAAAATGCTAAATTCTAATTTAATTACAATACACACCTTACTGACCAAAGTTAATGATCCTCAATATTCAGTGTCTATCATCAGTCCTTGTTTTTTTCTTATATATATATATTTAAAGCGATCTAGTAAATGATGTTCGTGAATTGGTTCTACATTATATGCATCCCTTAAAATGTCAAAGTGCAACGTGACAGTGAAATCCAATGTAACTAATACAATTTGTAGATTAAGAAAATGATAAGCACATTACTATGTAAATTATAAACCCATGATGTGATTTACGTATGACAAAACCATGGTGCAACATGACATAGTAATTTTAATTCGAATGACTAGTGTATTCCACTACATATCTACCATCACTAGTGTGTTTATTATCGGTTTCCTTTTTTTTATTTTTCAGGTGCACATTGTCGTGAGGTCTGTATATATTTTTAATAAAATCTCAAAAGTTTCAAAATAGGGATGCTGCATAAACGACAAATTTGCAGGTTAAAATTAGAAACGAACAAAATGGATATTTACTTCGCTGTTCTAAAAAACTATTGTACGATAAAAAAGAGAAAAAGAAAGATAATTATTGCAAGACAGAATATTAATCAATTAAACAAAAGGTTTTGAAACTGCTACCCTAATCCCACAATCCTATCCTTAAATTATGATAGACCTTTTTTTTTTTTTTTTTTTTCCCTTTGGGAGGATCTAGTTGAGTCTTCGAGAGCTGCAGTTGAGTTGCCTATCTCGCTCAGTTCACTTGTGGGGCCCAGCATGTGTATGTGTTTCAATGAATTATTCCTTGGCAATAAGATTCTAAACGCAATATAATTAATACATTGTCTTTATCATTTGATGATTTTTTTACTATTTTTTTTGACACATATAATTTGATGATTGAGTGCAGGTGAAGTTAAATACTACTGCCAGAGTGAGAGAGAGAGTGAGTATGTATCAAGATCATTGGCCAATCGTGATGGGAAAGACAACAAAGTGTGCCCATTAACATTTGTTAATGATTGTCTTATCTTTTTAGAATTAATTTAACAACGTAGTGAAGCAAGCAACAAGTGTGTGGACCAGACTCACCCCCATAACATAATCAGCAATCTGTCAATTTTAATATGCTTCGTAATCTCGTCTTACACCGATCAATGATTTTGGAACAGAAAAAATATATATTACAGAAATAATTCAAAAAAAAAATGTAGAGATGGAAAATATGATTTAAGTAGATCAGGATTTGAGATCTGACATAGACATTCTCTAATGATGAATAGGTGTTCGGAAAATTTTACATCAAAAATCATCGCTGTTCTAATTTGGCTCCGAAGAATTTAGTAATAATATAGGGAGGCGTAAAACCAAGCAAACCAAACGTGATAAGAACTGTGCCCACCGGAACATTATCCAAATACTTGCAAGCACTTGTCTCACTGATTGAAACTACTACGACAATCAGCGCTTTACACTTTGATTTCCCAAGTACGACGAAGAACTGATAAATAATAGAGAATTGTCAATTTCTCCGCCGGACTTTCTCAAATAAAATGAGCGCCCCCCCGCTGTTGACATTTTAGTCCTCCTTCCTAACGTGACCCAATTGCTTACATCATCAAACTGAATTATGCAATTAATTACTAGAAGTGTAATATTATTATTGTAGTATTAGTTCCATTAGATGACAAAACCCCTTTCAGAAAGATCTTTCCTGGGGAAATGATGTTCCTTAAATTCTCCAGTGACCCAAATGCTTACATCATCATACATAACTGCAAGTTAAATACTAGTACCTATGATAGTACTAGGTGTTTTTTTTAAAAAAATTATACCTGGTAATCTAGGGTATATAATTAGTAATCCATTTGAATTAGATTCCACTTAATTAGTTAAGTACAGTATAATTATATGAACGATGGAGGTTTTCTTCGATTGGTCTCATGATAATACAACAGCTGCCACATTTTTATTTTTAGTTATTTATTTTTATTAAACTACTAGTTCTGGGTTGTCAGTGGATGTAACTATGTAAGTCCCATGTGAGACATGTTCTTCTAAATTGAGCTGCTGTGGGAAGGTAAATAAACAAGGCTAATGATCTTTTTTGACGAAATATTTATTGTGTTTAGGTAGAAAATGGATGCTATTTTTGATGAAATTGTACCATTCTAAGAAAAATTAATGTATGACAATTATATACTTGTACTTTTTTTCTTCACTCAGCAACAAATATTATGACCCTTTATTTTGTTTAACATCTGGGGACAAAGAACAAGAGATGGAGTTTGGAAGATATGAAAATAAATGAGTTTGAATCAGGGAAAAAAAAAATAGTATGTCAGTTATTACGATTAAAATTCAAGGAAAAAAACAACTAGTGCGACCATTCTCGATATGGACTATGTGAATGAAGGTTGAATATTGCAACAAATTCATTACTATTTCATTGTCTTCTTCAATTAATTTACTTCCCCAATGGATTACTTTAATTATTAGTATTAATTTTTTGTTGGGGTTTTGGAGATAAGGTGATAAATGTTGGATGAACACTCCGTAACTAAATCCCGGAGATAAGAAGATCCGACAAAATCATGATTAATTCCATAATTACACTCTACTAAGAGAAAACATTTCTGACAAATAAATTTGTGAAGTTTTACCAATAATAGTACTACTTAAATTCTGAAGTTTTAACCATACTACTTCAAACTAAAGCACTCCCATACAACAATTTCTTTATTCTTTTCACCTGAATACTTTAAAACTTTTGTTTTTTTTTTGTGAGTGTCCATTCTGACCACGGCACCATGATAATCAAGTTTCATCGTCATATAAAAAATGTGAGAATATCAAAGTTGTACTAGTAGTCTAGTATTCACTTAACACTTGTACTAATAATATTCAGATAATGTAACGTTCTAAAAATCCAACTGTCATGACTCGTGATTAAAAAAAATATATACTCATAACCAAACTTTTTTTTTTTACTCCCTCCATTTCAATTTGTAGGTGGTTTTAAGTTTGGAGTGATTTTTCAAAATGTAGGTCGTTTTGCAAATTCTATACAAATTAATGACTATTTTTCCAACTTTACCTTCAATAAATAATGCCAATATATTTTTATTTAATCTTGTTTATAGTTCCAATGTAATTAATGAGAGGTGAAACATATATTTAACACATAAATTAATTGTTAGATGATTGTTTCCTTAGTATATCTGTCAAGCCTAAAGTGACTTTTATATTTTGAAATGGAGGTAGTATTATCTAACTGCTAACTTAATCCCCTAACCATATTAAACTCCCTTGTGATTTACCCAACCGCGGGACCACTATGATTGATTACTTTTTACCGGACCCCTCCAAAAAAATTAAAAAAGAAAAAAGCAAAAGGATCTCGAAAAGAAAAGGACAACTCCGTCATTTTAGCACCGACCCTTCCGCTTATTGGTTTTGGTTTTTCCTTTTCTCTTTTTCTTCCGTACGTATAGTCTTGCCCCAACTTTTTTTCAGTCTTCTATCAATCAAATTCAAAGCTATAAGAAGCTTTCGAGAAAATTACCACAGGGCCCTCACATTAGAACATTCCCATCCGGCCTTTTCTGCCTCCAAGTATTACAACGCAGTAAATAAGATTAACCATCTCTTAATGGCTCATTTAATGCATTTATTTTAATCAGCAGAACTCACACCGGCATCGAGTATCGACTATTTTACTCTGTCAATTCTAAAATAAGTGTCATCAGAAATTTAAACACAGTTTGAAAATACTTAAATGGGACAAATAAATTATTAGAACATCTTAAACCCACCTCATTGAAATAAATAGCTACCATTAATATTATTTCTTTTACGGGAAAATTTGACCAAAAAATGCATTAAAATATAAAAACTTTATTTTAGAATTTTTTTATTTTTTTCTTATTTTGGAATCGAATAAGTACATTTTTAATTAATAATTGAACCATTCAGTCAATAACGTTAAATGTGCTTAACTATTTTCACAATCTTGATTCTTTAGGCGTTTTCTTAATCTAGATATTCATAGTCCATCTAGAATTATTTATTTCAAAATACAAGGGCGGTCTATTATTATTATTAACAAAACCGTATCCAACCGAAAAACAGTAGAAAATACTGAGAGCAAAGCAGTTATTATTATATCCAACCGAATATTCCATTTGGGTATCCCGTTTTTCAATCCCCCTCACAGGACTCAAGTTTATAAAACCCACCCACATAGCCTCCGACCTCCTCATTTCATCAACACACAGACCCAAAAAAAACCCCATCAGAATTATCATGACCGATACCCTCAAGACAGAATACCAGCTTTGTGAAGAGATCGGCCGTGGTAGATTTGGAATCGTCTACCGCTGCTTCTCTCCCCTGACCGCCGGCGACTCCTACGCCTGCAAGTCCATCGATAAATCCCTCCTTTTGGATTCCACCGACCAAGATTGCCTCGAGAAGGAGCCCAAGATCCTCCAGCTCCTCTCCGGCCATCCCAGCATTCTCCACCTCTTCAAAACCTACGAGGACGACAATTACCTCCATCTCATTACCGAACTCTGTCCTTCCGGCGATGATTTGTTCGCGCGGGTCTCCCGAGGCCCGTTGCCGGAGACGGAGGCGGCTTCCATTCTGAAGCAATTGATGTCGGCGATTAGCTATTGCCACCACATGGGCATAGCCCATCGAGACATTAAGCCCGATAACATTCTGTTTGATTCCAGGGGGAAGCTTAAGCTGGCTGATTTTGGGTCGGCGGAGTGGTTTGGGCTGAACGAGAACAGGACCATGGAAGGGATTGTTGGGACGCCGTATTATGTGGCCCCTGAAGTGTTGAGGGGAAGGGATTACAATGAGAAGGTTGATGTATGGAGTGCTGGTGTGATTTTGTACATTATGCTTTCTGGGGTTCCTCCCTTTTATGGGGATACCCCATCTGAGACTTTTGAGGCCGTCCTGAGGGGGAATTTGAGGTTTCCCCCAAAATTGTTCCGCTCTGTTTCCCCTGAGGCTAAAGATTTGTGCAGGAAGATGTTATGCAAGGATGCTTATCGCAGATTTTCTGCTGATCAAGTTCTGAGTAAGTGCTCTTTTTGATCTTTATTTATGTGGTTTTATTTCAAGATTTTACATTCCTTGATTTTTTTTGGTCCCGTTAATCAAGGTTTAATCGTGTTTGTTAGTTAATAAGAATCAATTTGGGAGGATGATTTGGTCTTTGGAAACAGGATTAAGTCAGTCTTGGCTCTCAAAATGGAATTGGAAAAATTATTGATCAAAGATTGGATTTTGTTGACCAGTGAACTTCAATTTTAGTAGTTGCTCTGTTTTGCAATAGCGTTTGATCTGATGTTTTTTTGTTCTTCCGATTTCAGGGCACCCATGGGTTATCAATGGAGGAGAGACCGGATCAATAGATCTAACCTAAGGCGTTTGATAAAAAGAGTTTCGGAACCCATTTATCATCAAGTACTAAATGATTTCAAGTACGATATCCTCTGCTGTAAATGTACCAGCCATATCCCTTCTATATGAAGGATGGTTATGGAAAAGAGGAAAGAAAGAAGAAAACTCCCCTGCATCTTAAACACATCGTCCAAGGACGAAGGAGCTGTTGTTGGCTTCTTCCCCTTTGGATTTGAAGATTTTGCTCAGGTTATTTTGCGGAGAAGATGAATCTGAGATTATGTACATATATGCGGAGTTGTAATCTACTTCTACTACTACTAATGCTGCTGCTGCAGAGAGTTGAAGAATCAAGAAATACTATTATGTAGTATCTTTTAGCTGGTATGAGTGAGAGAGACCCTCCCTTTTCCAGTTTGTTCCCTGCCTTATTTTCCTTTTTTTGGTATGAAAATATAAGGTTTTGTGGAGATGAAGGTACTGATGTATCACCATGGCCTAGTAGTGCCAGCCCTGATGTAATGGATGGATGGGATGATGTACCAGTCCCACCCACCATTGCCGTTGTATTTTGTCTGAAATATTTTGCTGAGCATCTTATGTAAATTTTTGCTAAATATAATAAAAAAAAAAGAGTATTATGTAAAAGTCTTCCAGGAATTACTGTTTTTTGATGGTGGGTTGTGTCTTTTCAGTATAGCTGAATTCGGTATATGCTGGCACTAGTCTCTCATGCTTTGGATCCAAACATAAATGGAGCATTATCCCGATATGATCCTTGAGAAAAGCACAAAAAGATGTAGATGTACATATTGTACGACTGTTGTACCGAATTAACAATTTCGGCATCATATGCATCTGGTTATTTTTTTAGACAAAGTAGTACTAGATAAGTATCAAGCCAAGTGCTTGCTGTCCTCCGGTAACTGGAGCATCTGGAATTTTTGGTTTTACCAAAGATTCTAAGTTGGATTTTGAACTGAGGAATATTACCAGCATATACCTTTTCTTTGATCCATTTCAATTCATTGATGATTGTACGGAATCACACAGCTTAAATCTGGTTTCTCGTGACACATTAATCAGAGAGAAATTAACCTCCATCACATAAAAACGGGTTGTACGTAACATTCTGCAGATGTGAATTGGGATGATCATAGTTGAGGACCACACAGCCCTTTTTAAAAAGTTGCAATTTGCACATGCTACTATATGTAAAATGACAATTTGGACGCGTATTGATTGCCACATAAACATGTGTTTTGTCTTGTTGAACGAAATAAAAACACGGATAATTAAAGGGGGGTCACTTCCTAAAAACAAATATTAGTACTCCAATTAACTTAACGGTAGACTAGTTCGGCCGAATATTTATTCTTCAACAAACAATGAAGTACTATAAGAACAGAGCAAATGCCATGGATGGCTCTAATGTAGAAGTACTTTTTGATATTGTTCAAATCGACCTACATTCAGGGGCGGAACCCTTTAGGGGCTCGGGAAGCCAACCGGAAAACCTCTTAGGAGTAATCATGGTTTGCCTTATGTTATATATGTTCGACCACTTATCTTGACTATGAATATGTAGTTAGTCCTTCCAAATCCGAGTAACTAGTGCCTACATTAACGTTAAACAAAGCTTTGTAAACCGAGCAATCGTGTCTGTGCAACTTCAATAAATGAGAGGAGATTACACTTTGTCCCAAAACTGACTCGAAAGGGCGGCACTTGGGAAATTGATATAAGCCATAACTTTGCACTGTTTTCCAGAAATATCATCGCCAATTAAAACCAGAGGGGAAAAAAAAAGAAACAAAATTTAAAATGTGACAGGAATATTAATTACGAATAATTCCAAACACATCCCATGTGATACGGAAGAGATACGTGTGAACAAAGTCAAGTGTGGAAGTGCTAGTGTTGTTGGGGAGCTCTGCGGAATGAGAAAACTTTTCAAGATCTGTGGAATATCATATCAATTTTATCAAATATCAGTTGGTCTTATGTGGTGGTTTTGCTTTAAGTTTTTTCTTTTTTGGGGGGGACCAAACCCAAACGGAACTCAAGGGGTTCAATATTTGACCAAACCATCTAGAACGTACTACGATTTAAGCTTGACTTTTTTTTCCATAAGTTTGATAACTTATCTTGGATGCTATTCTCTTCTCCCTTTCCAAGTTTTTTAAACAGTCAAAATCATAAAAGGTGGCCCAATTTAATTAGACTTTCTCTTTACGCTTGTTTCTTTTTTGATATTTTTCTTTCTTTGTTGAGGAAAAAGGTTTATAGTAGAAGTTCAAATCTTTTTTCTTTTTTTTTTTCTAATTGTAATTTTCGTTTACATTTCAATTTAACTGTGAACCTTCATCCCGTAGATATTTTTTCTATTTGTAGTTAATGATATGTCATTCTCAACAGAATTTCTATATGATACTGTTCGTGAAGAATTATTGAACACAAAACAAAGAATGGTCACCCCTTTTGACAGATTTATTTCGTGCAAATTATGAACATTATTATACTAAAAGAAAAAAAATAAAATAAAATCGAGAAAAATATCGCTCTTTCTGGTGGCGCATAGCTGGGAGAATCTAGTTTGGCAAACATAGAATATTAGCTAATTGAAGCTTCATAAACACATTTCAAATTTTAGCGTTTAGACACGCTGGTCCTTCATCGTGGTTCATGAGCTGGGAGATTCTTCTGTCTGAAAAAAATAATAATAATTAAAAAGAATACCGTAGTCGTTCTAAGTTGAAATTTGAACACATTTCCTGATTAATTAAGGTTAACCCAAAAATTTTGACTTAACACGTACATTCAACAGATGGATAATAAAACGAACAAAAATGCTGCAGACTGCAGAGTGTAACCATGTGAGTGGTGACGCACCCCTTTTTCTGTTGCAGTGTCATCATGCAATACGTTAAGCTTGGTTCAATAATGGACAATATTATTATTTGTGATGTATAATAAAACTGTTTTATATTTTATATTTCCGTACTATATTTGCCTACCTTTGGTTTGCTTCCTTAAACAGTGGCCGGTTCTCATTCGGGTGGTCCTTCCTTGCCCCCTCATATTTTATTCATTTTAACATTGAACGAGCTCCATACTATCGACGAGTGAGGAGGCATTTTCATTTTTTAGAGTTTCTTTTCCTCTGAGAAGTAGGTTTTGAACACATCGTGTAGTATGAAACTCTCCAATAATTGATTTTCCCTCCGTTCCAAAAAAAAAAATATAATTCACATTGAATTTTCAAATTTTTTTAGAATGAAAAATATAATTCTTTGTTTCAGAAAAATAATTCATATTGTAATTTATAAATTATATTAAGGCTTTGTTTGTTAGGTTTTTTTACGGTATTTTCATAATATTTAAATAATAATTGTCCCATCCCAACATATTTTTTTACATTTTAATACACCTTTTTAAATTCCCAATACAAAAAACACCTAAAAATACATACTAAAAAAACGAAACAAACATACCCTAAATCGGTAAAATTCACGAATTATAATGTGGACAATATTTTTAAAATAGATAAATAAATATTTCAATCTTAGACTCTTAATGTTACTACGTAGCATCATAATGCATGTGCATTGGTTATTTGAGGTATCGTTGTAGCTAGGAGAACATTTATGGATGGTAATTGAGATTAAACTTGATTATACTAGCACATTAATGGGTTTTGTCTTCTTTGAAGTACTTGGGTTAGACTTTTATACTATATTATAAACTAATTATTCTGTTTGAATTTGCCGTATGTGTATATTTTGAGTTTTTGTACAAACATATACGAACATCATCCGTGACAGATAAAAGACTCCATCGGTCACGATCGATTCAAGATGACATAAAACTAGAAGTAGTGAAGTGTCGTGCCACACTCTACCTAATGCCCTGCCTAGGTTTTACATTTTAGGCAAACTTCATTCGTTGTATACATAAATTAACTAGAGTCAACTTATTATAATAGATTTTATCGGCATCATTAAGTCTAAAAACAATATCAAGACTGGAATTTCATCTCGCCGGCCAACCATGCACCATCATCCTCGAATTATTATAATAGCTCTGTCACGCCTTAACTAGAAAGTCTATAACCAGAAGTCAAGTTGAGTTCTTTGACTAGTGAGAGGGAGAAAGAAACAAATTAAAGAATATTCGGATCTTCTCTTTCAGGTACAAGAATCTCTGAATCATAATGGAGGATAGTTAAACTCTAAGCCGATCTTTTTTTAAAATTCAAGAATCGAAAAAAAAAAAAAAGAACGAAGATTATTATCTCTCTTTCATTATGTTGGGGAAGAAGAAAGACAACGGATGGTAAATATTTTTCTGGTTTTAGAATAGTCAAAGATTTCTTTTCTGGCCTTCTTCTTCTTTAAATTTCTTTTACTTATAATTGTCAAAGTACACTAATATAACGTGCGTAGTGTGCAGTTTTGCAAGTTGAAAGCATGAAAACCTACGCTAATGCTATATATTTTAAGATGTAACTTCTGTTTTCTTATGGAAAAACAAGGGAAGATACATAGACTTCTCTGCATGGGTTCGAGCATTATGTCGAATTAATTATCATAGTGAAGAAGAAAGAAAGGCTTCAAATTCCAAAGATATTTCAGAAACATGTGGACGCATCCGCGGAAAAGAAGCTTTGGGTCAAACAGGCAAATGACCGGTATAAGTTGAGAAATTGCCAAATGTTTTTTTGGTAAGCTAGCTGCTTATTATCATAATAATACTACTACATTCGTCCCATAAAAATAATCCACATTGAGTTTTTAAATTTATACTAAAAATAGTATAAAACTCAAAGCTTAATGTGAATTATTTTTATGGGACGGAAGGAGTATTACTCAATATAGTAGTAATTTAATGATATAAGTGCACTTGATTATTAGCGTTGAAGGTTGTTTTAGGTGCAATGTCATACTCAGTCATCGAACAGCAACCTAAAAAGTCTGGGGATTGATTTCGTAATTGTTGAAATTTATTAACGTTTTCCCTTTT